TTGAATGCCATTTGTACATTTGTAAATAATCCCCCCCGCCGCCGCCACCGCCGCGCCTGCAGCAGCTGCTCATGACGTGTATTTAACGCTCCGCACGGTAATTATTGGGACCTAGACTTCAGCGGTCCAGATACGGCTTGTAGGACATAGGAGCTGAGATTCCGGTCAAACTTTCCCGTGATCCTTGAATTCTGTTGCTGGAGCTGCCGTAGCTTCCCAGTTTCCTGAGATGGTTGGTTGACTGACGAGTTGTCACCGTCAGTCCCCAGCCAAGCACCCGGTACTCAGAGCCTTTGTGGTTCAAAGGAACGCCAGTTTCATACCAGGAAGAACTGATGCCTGTCTAGATACACACCTAAATCGTCGCCTTTCGAGAATGCGCGCGATACTCCTCTAATGATGAACAACCGCCCAGGACTAGCTCCTCTCTACTGGCCACCAGGGCGCTGGATGCAGTGTGCACAGTGAAGAAGTGAGTAGATAAGTCGCTATGCGCGCTCTGCTGTTCCGGATTATGGCGCGCTGTCCAACAAATGTTCATGGCGATCGGAATCCGGAACCAAAGAGGCTTTAATAGCGCTGGAATCAGAAGTGCTGGAATCAAGAGACAACGCGGGAGTCAACTGTAATCGTACCTGCGCTGCTTTATATGATCTTTATCGATTGATCTGCCTTCGCATACTAACGATGTATCACCTGGACTGCTGCTGGGCCTGTATCCGTTGGAATATCATGACCAGTCCCGGCGGCAATGGAGCATGAGCGAGCAAAGAAGAAGGCGATGCCCACACCCGCCTGTAGTAGTAACACAACAGGCACCGTGCATCGGATCGTAGATCGCACAGCACGGCCACATGTACACACAGGTGGCTTTGAAACACATTTGTCCCGAAACCGTGTTGAAAGGTGCGCAAGGTGCAGCGGTCATGAAACGTCGAGGAACGAGCTACATAGCCCGGAGTCATCGACAGCGCGTTATGTATCTAGCTCTTAGCTATCTTTAATTAATGCCTAACGCGTAAATAATCGCGTTCACCGTGACCAAGAACATCAGACAGATGCAGACAGATGTTGATTCTGTACTGTATCTTGAACTATTCCAGCAACCTCAGCGTCTCACTCGCCACGGATATCTTCAACTATGTCCCACTGGGACCATGTCACACTACCACATCTTCCTCCCTCCCCCGCCTGCATGCGTTCCTCCTCTCGACTCCTTCCACAACACCCCTCGTGTCGCTCCACCGCCCCTCGAATTCCATACCCTCTCAGCCCCTCCTCGACACGATGAATCTTTCCAGAATTTGTCGTGTATCGAGGAGGAAGCAACTCAGGACTCTGCACAAGAGAGCCTGAGTGCGTCAGCTCGTCTAGAGCCCCCTTCGGCTGGCTTGAGGCGTTCTCGCTCGCCTACGCCCCAGCCTGCTTTTGGCTCAGGTGTCCTGGGTTCCAGAGGCTTCAAGGATAAACTGGCGGATAGGAAAAATACGCAGAGTAAGGAGGAAGAAATAGTGCAGATGCCTCCACCGTCTTTGCCTTTACCATGGATGGCGCAGAAGAAGACAAGTCAGGGAGAGAAGCGCCCGGCTGAAGTCTCTGAGGGGTCAGATCGACCGGGAAAGAAGGTCTTGCTACAGCCTCGTCCTCCTCGAGCCTCCACTCTGCTCCCCGTTCTCCCTTCCATCATATCCCAGCAATCCCAAGCCAACCCGTCCCCACACGACTCCGAGGACTCTCGCTCTGACCACTCTCTCGGCTCTTCTTTCAATACGACAGCTACTTCGACTTCGCAGGCTCCACTGCCACCCACCGCTGTAGACGGGAACACCAGTATCGCCAACTTCCCGGCCTGGTCGGTACCCATTGCAAAGCTGTCGAGTCTCCAAGAAGTCCTTCGCGCGAGGCCTGAACCTGCTATCAGAGGACTGCCAGATGCTGGCTTCAACCAGAAACGATATACCCTTATCGTCTGTATCGTCTCTGTAGACTCTGCCGTGGAGAGACAGCGAAAGGCGAATCAAGGTCCTCGTAGCAGGGGTATTGGGACGGAGGGAGGAACGTTCTGGGTGGGCAAGTGGTCAATCACAAGCCCGCCTGTCGGGGCAGATCCCGAGATGAGCTGTGATGTCAAGCTTTGGGACCAGTGTGCGAGGCAATGGGGAGATGAGAAGTTGAAGAGAGGCGATGTTGTGTTGCTCGAGAGTAAGCCCTTTGCTCGAGTCTGTGATGGGACTGGCGCTGATGCAGTTGCAGATGTCGAGCTCAAGCCAGCTTCTGCCCGGGAACCTCCCCACCTCAACATCACACCGTCGACCAACCCCAAGATCACCATTCTATTCCGAACCATCCCCAGCTTCACCACCGCATCCCGCTCCGACTACATCTACCGTCGACCCAATACCATCTTGCCCGACTACGGGGAGAAAAAGGAGGTGGTGAAGGGGGATAGGCAGTTGAGGCCGGACTTGCGGTTGGGAAAGAGCGATGTTGGCATTAGGAAGGTGGGGGATGTTGTAGCTTGGTTTGAGGAATGGCTTGGGGTTGGAAATGGTCGACTGTAGATCGGAGGGTCGGATGCATTTCGTCAATTGCTGCTTGCCGAATCTCAGCTTGAAATGGGACGCAAGGGGTGAAGAGGCTGATCAAGCAGAATTCCCGATGATGGCAGGCTTTGCGTATATCTGCCAGTCATAATGCACATGTATTGCACCCCTGTTGGTCAGGCCCTGGTGAATGATCTAGGAGGTTCATCGAACAACACGGGTAAATCACTTGACCACGTTTCAATTAATTTTCGATTCATACAATGCCTATCTGATGAGTAACAATGACTGCTTGACGTCCAACGGTAAAATTATAGCTGGAGATGCTTCAACCTCTCATCTGCCCAGTTGATATACTCCCCACTGAGCTCCGCAGGGCCCTTGACAGCAAGACCAGCAAGCACAGAACCAGGCCTAGAGCACATAAGTATTGATATAGAGGTAGAAGGGACGACGTACTGCTCAGGTGCGAGGAGTTCGCCCTTCTCGTAAGCTCCTTGGAACTTGGCCATGTCGGTGTCACTCATCTCACCCGGGCCATGAGTACGGAGGAAGAGCTGCATCTGTGAAATGTTAGCTTTTCCGGTGGACTCATTCAGTGGATTGGGTGCATACATCAGTCTGAGGCCTTGTCAGCACTGGTCTATATCCCACGACATACGCACGTTTACAACTCCCGGTCTGACAGCGAAAGTAGACACTCCACTCTCCTTCTCTTCACTAGCCAAAGTCCTAGCCAGACTGTTCATACCGGCCTTGGCCATAGAGTACAAGCCCCAGGCTTGGTATCCAGTCGTAGAGGCACCAGAAGACACGAGCACGATTCGACCTTTCGATTCTCGGAGATGAGGAAGGGCAGGTTGGATCAGGTAGATGCTCGCAAGAAGATTCATCTGAATATACGGCGTCAAGGCGTCCAAAGAGACGCTACCGAGCTTGCCTGGGACAGGATCAACGACTGCATGTGCATAGAACGAGATATATACCCACCAACAGGGTCTATGCTGCCAGCGTTGACAATGAGCCCATCCAGCTGGCCCCACTTCTCTACAGCTTCCTTGACTACCCTAGCATTGTCCTCTGGCTTGCCGGCATCGCCTTGGACAGGGTGCACGCGGCCAGGATATTCCTTGGCGGCCGCTTCGAGCTCCGGAGTGAGGGACCGCGAGAGGGTGGCGACTCTGGCGTTGTGGGTGTCGAGGAGGATGCGGAGGACGGAAAGACCAAGGCCACGAGAGGCGCCAGTGAGGATGATGACGGGGGACATGGTCGATGGTGGAAGAAAGATACGGCCGACGCCATTCCACAGGGTCGTCGGTACCATCTGCGGACCTTTCTCCATCATTGCTTTTGTCCTTTACTTTGTCATCTCCATTTTTAAAAACCAACCTACATACATCCACGCCTGATTTCCAGCTCCCTCAGCGCCAATACAGGAGGCTCCAACACCCCCGGCCTGCACAGACACCCCTCGCCACCCCCGCCGCCGCCGTCGTCCTATCATGTCCCGCGCGCCCTCCGGTTCACACCCTCACTACACGCAGCAGCAACAAATGGCCTACCCTCCCAACGTCCATCCCTCTTATTACCAACAAAATGCCTCTGCTGTATACCCCCCCGACCCACATAACCCCCATGCACACTACGGCCGGCCGCACCAAGTGAATGGGAGTGCTGGCGCGTGGCAGGGGGGCGCTAGTGCAGGGCAAATGGAAGGCTACTCTAATGCTGCTGCTAGCTCTTCGCGAGGCGAGCCCTATCCACCCTACCCCCAACCTCAACAGCAACCTCAGCAGATGCAACATCGCGACTCGCCTACGGCTCAGGGTGGCCGGCCGGGTACAACAGGTGGAGGGTACGGCGCGTGGGGTCTACCAAGCACACCGTCCGGAAGAGGAGGCGTCAAGCTGGAGGACCTTGTGAGCAGTGACCCCAGAACGGGCAATGCAGTCGCCACCCCTCAACAGGTTCAGCAACAGGGGAAAAGTCAGCCTCTGTCGTCGATGCCTCTAGGTGGGACCTTTGATGGTCGGAATCCGTCCAACGCGGCCGACCAGCAGGGTGGCCTATCGCCCCAACACACAGGTGGCAGAAAAAGTATAGGGGGCGAAGATAAGGGCAAGGACAAGAAGGACGACAAGGACAAGTCACAGCAAGGACCGTCAGATTTTATCAAAAAGCTGTACAAGATGCTGGAGGAGGAGCAGGCGACCCATGGAAAGGGCAAAAAAGCCGAGAAAGGCAAGAGAGGTCCTGTTGGATGGGGCGCTGATGGAACGAGTTTCGTTGTGTGGGAGATGAACGACTTTACAACAAAGATCTTGTGAGTTCTAGTCATCTCGTCTACCGGCTTGGCTGATCCACCCGAGGCCTCAAACGTTCCGTCATTCGAATTTCTCAAGTTTTGTCAGACAACTCAACAAGTATGGCTTCTCCAAGGTGCGCACTACATCTCATCATCATGTTATCGTGCTCATGTCTCCTCCTTCTAGATCAAGCATATCGACAAGAACTCTGGCACAATCAGAGAGAACGTTTGGGAATTCCAGCATCCCGACTTCCAAGCAGGGGGCAAGTCCAATCTGGAAAGCATCAAAGTGAGTATGTCGCATATATATGAATCCGTGCTCATCATGCGGTCTAGCGTAAACCCGTACAACCCAAAAGGCCTGCCCCTGAGACCAGCAACGAGGCCGCCGCCTCGCCCGTCCAAGCCGTCGTCATGAACGGCGAAGATGCTCAGCGAATCAACCTCTTGGAAAATCGGATAATGACGTTAGAAGAAGCTCTGCAGAGGTCAATGGCTGAGACCGCTGAAACAAGAAGGGCGCAAGCGGGGATGATGGGGCTTCTGAGAGATTTGGTCGGCCATGTCGCTGCGACAGAGAATGGTGAGTGACCGGCAAAGCTACTCTGGGCATGACTGACCTGAATCAGAAGCTATTGGTACGCCAACTTCTAATGGAGGCAACACTCCTCGAGTCATCAACTTGATCAGATCGGTCGAGGCCCTCACGCAGACGCCTATTTACGGAGTGCAACAAGTTGCTCCCATGCCTTTCACCCCCAGCCAACCGCAAAATGCCCAGGCTTTTATGAACACTGCCTACAGCAACAACAACCCCGCTTTTAGCGGCGGCACTGTGGCTGGCGCTCAGGCCCAAGCTTCGACGCCTACAGACGGCACCAACAGCCGAGGCAGCTTCAGTGGGCCGAGCACCGTCGACGTCAGGCCTCCTTCGTCTGCTTCTCGTCTTCGAGCCGTCTCAAATGCTAGTGCAATGGGCATGCCTAGTGTTCCCAATCCTCCCGCTGTCGACCCTACGGCCCCGATTGCCGGCCCTTCCGCCCACGCTGAAGATCCCGCAGACGATGTCATCGAGATCCCCAACCAGATGGAAACCATGTACGAGGGAGAGTCACTCGGTCTGACACCTGTCTTTGTCGAGACCCCTGCGTGGCTGACAGAAGGGACGTCGGTGCCTCTAACGATGTATAGAAAGCAGAGCGATGGGCAGGCGATGAAGACGATCTACGAGGCATTCGCCACGGGTGGCAACAAGTTGCCGGAGCACGATGTTGAAGGGAGCGGACTTGCTGCTGGCTCAGCTACTGCCGGAATTCCGGGACAGACGCCACTGCAGTCTTATGGTAACGGGTCGAGCATGGGTATTCCTCTTTCGCTAGGCACACCCACGTCAGCCGAATCTACACCAAGCGGCAAGCCTTCCAAAAAGCAAGGCAAGAAGCCCAGAGTCGCAAATCTGAAAGAAGAGCGCGAAGCCAAGCTCAAGCCTCACTGGTCTCAGACTCCCAGGATTTTGGTCGTGGAAGATGACGTGGTGTATCGAACCTTGTCGAAGAAGTTCCTGCAAAAGTTTGGATGCGAGACTGAGACTGTCGAGAATGCGCAGGGAGCAGTTGACAAGATGAACGGAGCAAAGTATGATTTGGTCCTGATGGATATCTTCTTCGGGCCAAACATGGATGGGTAAGCTTGGTCACAATCTTCCAGGTGAATTACTGACCACGTTTCAAGTCGAAAAGCCACTTCTCTGATTCGACAATTCAACAAATACACTCCGATCATCTCCATGACGTCCAACGCCAAGCCTCGTCAGTGTTTTGTATATTCCTCTCAGGCGGAAGCTGATGTCTGTTGCAGAGGACGTCGACTCATACTTCCAGTCGGGTATGAACGACATTCTGGCCAAACCCTTCACCAAAAATCATCTTTTCACCATCCTCGATCGGCACTTGGTCCATCTTCGACACGCCCAACTCTACGAAAAGCTGATCCCCTTTTCTGTCGGCCTTCCTCCTCTTTCGGACCAGCACGTCCAAGAAGCCCTCGCTGTGAGCGCAGCGTCGTTACAGAATGGCGAAGGAATGATCGGGTTTGGTGCAGGGCTTGTAGGCGGAGGGCAATTGCAGGTGGACAATGGACAGGCGGCAGACGGCCAGAACAATGGTTTGGAGATTGGTATTAGAAATCCTCTAGCAGGAACGGGGTGGAGTGATGAGGCGTATCAGCTTGTTCTTGGAGTGCGTTCGACCTGCTTGAAAGTCAAATCTCGAATGTCTGCTGATATATGCCCCTAGCAATTCCTCCAAACTGGCGTTATGCCCGACATCCACACCATTTCCTCCATCTCTACCATCGACCCTATCCCCAATGGGAACCCTACGCCCAATCCCAACGAGGCCAGTGGCAGCGGCACCGCCACTATCGGTACCAACGTTGTCTTTGGCGAATCTTCCGGTTTCAACCGCAAAAGGTCAATTGACGCCATGACGGAGGACAATTGGGAGGGCCAAGTCCAAGCCCAAGCGCAGGTGCAAGCTCAGGCTCAGGCTCAGGCTCAGGCCCAAGTCCAAGCTATGCAAGAGCAGCAGAACATGGCTCAGGCGATGCAGATGCCTACCGGTGTGGGTATCGGCTTGGATGAGATGGAGATGAACGGCCTCGGAGGAGGCGGCAATATGGGAGCGGGGCAAGCTCAACAGGAAGCAGATATCAGGGAGGCAAAGAGGGCCAGGGGGATGACGCAGCAGGGTATGTGAATGTGAGGGAGGGTGAATCTGTTTTTTTCCGGGGTTCTTCTGTTCTTTCTGCTTTGTGACGACTTTGTAATGACCTTCTCCCTCTTCTCCTTTTCAATATCTATGTACCAGTCTTCTCTTTCTTGCGGACATTTCCTCTTTCGCGTCCCTGTCTGTTAGAGCGTCCCTTTTGAGTTTGCTGTAGCCAGTACCGCACCGAGATTTGTGGAGATGAAAATGCAGAGAATTGTATGACCATGTCTTGAGTGCTGCGAACATGTCTTGTCATTGTAGTTTGTGACACTTGTCTTTTCCAGTGGTCTATCTGCCATAGACGGAGCAATTTCAGGGCTGATTTCCATTTCTTCCTTTTTGTCTTCGTTGAGTAATACAAAGATTACGAGTAGTGTAGGCGATAGATTGATATATCAGTTCTTTGACATTGAGCAGCAGATGTAATAGGCAGAGAGAGGAGAAAAGCGATGGTATGAACATGAACTTCATGAATGGTTCGTAATTTGCTAAACCCTTGAGACCCTTGATGCTTCTCTGCTACACAAGATCTCTTTTTTACTCCATTCTCCTCCTCAAGTTGTCGTATTCTATGGCCCCGCGTAAGCACTGTACAGGGTCCCAAGCTGTTTGACTCACTGCTTCCGGGGTAATCCAACTCATTCTCCCGCTGCTCCAACTCCCCGATAGCATCCCTCACAGTCCTCACCAAACTCCCTCCACTCCCCTCCTCCTTATCCGCATCTAACTCCCACCACATTACTCCTCCAAGACCGTGGTGCCTCACATAATCGCCCTTTTGATGCGCAATCGCCTGGGTATCGTACGAGATGAGCAGCTTCTTGTTGGCGTCGTAAGAGTAGGAAGCGCCGAGGCGATGGTCGTTGATCTCTTCAGAGTTGGGGAGAGGAAGAGCTTTGTAGTCCCACATGCCAGCTTCCCAGGAGCCTTCGCCAGTACCAGAGTATGACTGTCCGATACCGTTGGTATTTGCGAAAGCTCGACCGTATGCCGGAAGACCTAGATAATGTCAATCCAAGCACATATGGGAGGTAATCAAATCAACACACCGACGACGACCTTGGATGGATGAACTCCGGCCTGAAGATAGAACCTCACGGACTTGTCCACAGAGTTTGCGTTGGGATCGTCGGCGTACAAGTTGGCTTGGTGCCCAGCGACAGAGTCCCACGATCCCGCAAACTATATATGCCATCAGATCTTCTTCCTTCTGTAGTTGTTCACGAGCAAGCTTACATCATAAGCCATCAGATTCCAGAAGTCCAATGCCTGGTCCATCTCTTGGACTCGCAGGATCTGCATCTGCTCCGATCCACAAGGTGCGGCAACAGAGAGCTGGTATTGACCGGGGTTTTTGCCCTTGCCTTGAGCGAGGTTATTGAGACCTTGGCGCAGCTCGTGAAGGAGAGCGACATAGGCAGAAGCGTCGTCGGGGGTCTTGGGGTATTCATAATCGATCTGCGGAGAGGCGTCAGAGATAATTGGGCTTTTGAGCTGGAAGACGCACATCGAGACTAGGTAACAGGTCAGCATGATTTCCGTACACGTTGCAGAGGTATATGCTTACCCGTCAAGACCAACATCTTCGACAAGCTTGACAGCTGTCTGGACAAAGTTGGCTCGCCATTGAGGGTTGGTGATACCGGCAAAGTTCTATACCAGTTATGAGCTTGGCCAAAGTCAAGAAAAGATTGAGCTCACAGGCGAGTATGACCATCCTCCGATGGACATCAAGACTTTGAGGTTACTTAGGAGTGTCAGCAAGGACTCTCGCTCGAGCAACAGAGGAGCTCACCGGTTCTGCTTCTTCAGCAAGTAGATCGCTTTCAGACAGCCGTAGAGGTTCGTCCCCTCATCATTCCAGGAGTCACCCTCATAATGGATCTGCGATATCATTGTCAGCCATTGCATCGACGACACAATTCGGAACCAAAACACGCACCTCCACGTCTGCCCACGAGTCGCTCAGAGCTACTTCGCCGCTGTCCTTGTTGACGTTCGCGAAGGCATAGTTGATATGGGTAAGGTGTTGATGAGGAATCTGCTGGGGAGCGTACTTGCGGTCATAGATGCCCCTATATGCCGTTTGAGTCAGTTACACGTCTTTGAGGACACGACGTCCATGCGCCCCGGTCGCCCAGAGCGGGAGGTCCAGAATACTGACCAGTTGACCTACAAGTACCCATCAACAGGTGATTTGGATATAGTATTGAGGTATGAATTAGGCTTACAAAGTATCCAACAACACGCTTAGGAGACTGCATTGCGTCGATGAGGAGAGTGTCACCGAATATTGTTTGACCGAGGTCTTTGAGAGGGTGGCTGGGGAACGTGAAGTTTGTGTGTCCGAGGAGAAAGGCAAGAACAGCGAGAAAGAGAATAGTGGCGAGGACAAAAGGAGTGCGATAGGTGGACAAGCTCTTGTCAGGCATGCGTGGAATGACAAGGCAGAAAGAAAATAGGGGTTGCGATGCAACTTGGACGAGCAGGAGGCGACCACGTCGGCGGCGTCCGTACTCTCAGGGTTCTCGGTGAGGCCTGCTGGCTGGAAGGGTATATGGTCTACATCCCTTCTCCAAATATGTATCTAGAACACTATGTTTGCGTTGTATCATCTAGTAGAAGACCCCTCATGATAGGTTACACTTCTAGTTTTACACAAATATTCGTTACAGGCCAGCCAGAATAGTCCACGTGCTATGGATGAAGCAACCCCTCATCAAAGATCATCTATACGTTCTTCAAATTGCGGAAGAGCGAATTGGGCAAATTACCAAAGATATCCAAGACTCGTTCTGCTGCTCATGCAACGAGCTGTTTACAAGCCCATCCAAACACCAACCATCCCCAGAACGACACCCATCCCCAAGGCCCAGATGCTTCCTCCAGCACTCGGCGCAGCTCCACTCTCCGCATTGGAGCCCGTCAAGTTCGACGCCCCTTGCCCACCATAGAGTTGTATGTTCCTGAAGTAGACATACTGGTCCGTCGGAGACGCCCAGTCAGAGTTGTCACCTCCAAAGAAGGTGGAAAAGTAGAGGCCGCCGATGGAGGATATGGAGTCAGATGAGCGGATGATGAGGTCGGTATGGGCGACAGCTGGGACACCGTTGTACCAGAGTCTACGGCATTGGTCAGTATATGTAGGATGAAGGTGAGACTCGGGTACGTACTCGATCTGGCCGTTGGCAGTGCCGACTTCGTTGAGGATTACAAGCATGTAGATTGTCTGCCACCTGCCTGTGGCGAACGAGTATCCGCCACGAGAGAGGGACGTTCCGTAGTCGGAGTTACAGGTGACGTCGGTCTCTGTGCAGAAGCCCTTTTGGGAGGTAGGGACGTATGCGTAGACTGAGTCTCAATGTCAGGAGGGCACATGAAAGGTAGGGATGGAAACGTACCTTCACCAGCGCCACTCGTCCTCCACATCAATCGAGAGCTGAAACACGTCTCTCCATCCGCCTCGGAGCCGCCAGAACATCCATGAGGGTCATTGCCACCTCTGAGACCAGGAAGCTTTCCGCCTCTGACCCATCTGCCAACATCATTAGCTTTGAAAGCTTTGACAGACAACCAGACTTACGAGAATCCAGTAGGAAACCAGATATCATAGGCCAAGAGCATCCTCTCAAGCTCTCCATTTCTTGACGAATTGCCAACAGCATCGGACGCATCAGAGCTACTGGCGTTGAGGGGCTGAGCATAGAACTGCGTTCCACCAGTCTGCTTTGAATATGACCCAGAAGGATATTCGATTCGAAGCGCAGGGGCCTCCCCACTGAGGTCGGTGATGGTAGGATAAGTAACCGCACTAGTGGCAGCCGAAGAGGAGCTACCCGTCTTCGTGGAATGGTGCGCTCGGCGGACAAGAGTTGACGTCGTCGTTGATGGGTCGGCAGTGAAGACGCTAAACTCAAAGTCAGTCTGACGGATACACAGCAATGGCGGGTTGACCAATGGAGTTCGTGCAAGTGGATTCCGCACGCGCCAAGAGGACGATATAGTTGCAATAGGCGAGAACGACTCACATGTTATTACCTCCCCAATCAACCTTGTTGCCATTGGTCGACCACTCCTGGTTAATCCAAGACGTCGCGTCGCTGGAGTCAAGTGTCTCAGTCGGCCACGTAAAATTGTACGATCCGGAATCGAGGCCGTATGCGTCGATGATACTTTGAAGGGTGACTGCTGAGGAAGGTGAAGGGGCGAGAGAGAGCAGGGCAGCGACAAGAAGAGGGGTGAGGAGAGTCATCTTGGAGAGCGGCGTACGTAGTGGCGTTGGGGGGCGCCGTGGCTACGTAGGTTAGTCGGAATCGGGATGGACTGTTGGGGTTCGTCGGGTAGATGGGAATCGAGACTCCTTTTCACGCAAGGCTGGTTATATATGCGCGGACAAGAAGGAAAAGAGTTGGAATGGAACGAAACTTATAAATGATGTCAACAAGCTAAATAAACCTTTTGGACCGGAAAAGGGAAAACCCGAACAGGCGCGCAAGGGACAGGCACAGATGGTGATCTTCGGTGAGTCTCTTCAAACGTTGGGCAAATCTGGCGGTCTTCCCGAGTTTCTAGCTGCTCTTCCACCATGTTCTTCCACCAAGAAGGGGCAAGCTATGCATAACTGCACAGCTCAATGCGGGTACATTTCGATCATGCGGAATACATGTCTGAAAGACGGAATCGCCTGAACCGCCAGAGGAGCTGGCCTCACCGCCTCAGACCAAGACCTCCCCTATCTGCCTGCAGTTCGGCGAAATTGGAGATCTCTCTTTTCAAGGATCTACACATAGTTAAGTTGGAATAGCTCCCATCAGCAAGAGAGCTTAAGATCTTCGAGGGACAAGGACCTCGGGCCTTGAGGGCCACATCTGTACAGCATAATGATACAGGGCTTAGACTCCCATTCATTGGGCCAATGGACATTGTTCTTCTTTGCGGAGGTCGGAAGCAGAAAAGAAGCCAGACCTGTGGCCTACGAGTATGGACTGAAATCTATGCGTAAACGGGAGCGACGCGACGCGCCTTACTACTACTACTGATCGACTGAGAACATGAGAGACAGAGAGAATGATTGGCCCGGCTGCGTAGTAGTATTCCAGCACCACATTACTCTTCTATCCTTCGCAGTCCCGATAACTTTCAACTTTCTATTATTGCTGTTGTACATGTCGAGTCCAGCACATTGAGCCGACGCTTATAGGTCTTGGCATAGTGCTGCACAGCTTTGCTTCTGGTGCTTGAGTACCTTGGCAGAAATTGGACCAGCAAAGCGCTTCTTCAGTCGTTGGTGACCCTGTTCCCGCTTGTGAACTATCAGCGCTGTGGCGACATTCGCGGATGTTGGAGGCTGCTAGGGTAAGGTGACACTCCTTCTGCGTTTTTATGTACCTAATAAGCGTTCGATCGGACAGAGGCATGATTCCAGCTATCCAGCTAGACAATTTGGTCTCATTTGGTAGTTGGTACGCATATCAAGAGCGCTCGTAATATCAATCTAGTATGAAGTCGATTGCTCGGAATGAATTCGTTGCGTATTGCACGTACTGTGCATATCATTGTCCCTCCCGCATCTGGATGCCTGGCTTTTGGGTCCATCTCTTTGGTTATAGTGTGTGCTTAGGATCCGTGTTGATGGTCTTGGCTTAGAGGAGGAAACAAATTCCCCGGAAGCCAGCAGCGCAAGCTTGTCACGTCGAGATAGCGGCGACGACTGACAAAGAGCCGCTTACTGCTCTAACTCGGGTGGAGCTGAGCCAACAAGGCAGCCGCATAAGGCTATTGAGAATGTAAGTAACTGTATGTCTAATTGTCTATCGTTCAACAGGTGTCTGCGGAAAGCGGCGCTGCCCGCTGATAACTTCGCCGCCGCGCGAACGGAAGTGGCGACGCAACTTCAAGAAGGTACAGAAAGATGATTGATCTCGAGCTTTCAAGTTGCTTTCCTACAAAAGCATAGCTCAAAATGGTTTCCACAAAACGCTCACCATCGCCTCCGCAAAATGACTATGAGCTCCCAGCCGACTACAAGCCTTACGTCCCAGTCGCCAAGCGGAGAGCGCAGATGCTCTCGCAACTGACCGCCAAACATTCGCCAGTCGCCAAGCGCGTAAAGACGCAGGAGGAACTGGAGAAGGAGGTGGAGGATGAGATACGGGAGCAAGCTGAAGATGAAGAGAGGGCGAGAGAGAAAGCGAGAAGGGAGAGGACGTTGTTGCAAGCGGCCCAGGAGGTGAAAGAAAAGAAGGCTCTAGCAGGTGCGCATGTCCGTCTCGTCAGAGATCGCTGCTGATGTCGTATAGATGCCGAGAAGACTGCAGCAGATATGGAAGCCGAGAAGGAAGCTCGACTCCTCGCAGAGATGGAACGAGCCCAAAAGAAGCTTGCTGGTGCTCAAGAACTCGCCCAAGGCGTGTCATATACCGAGTCCTTGAAGACTTCCTGGCGCCCGCCCCACTATATCCGGTCACGCTCGGAAGAGGAACATCAAGCTGTTCGTGAAGAGTATCATATCATCACTGAAGGCGACAACCTGCCCCCACCCATTCCTCACTTTGCCGATATGAAAATCCCGAAACCAATCTTGTCGTATCTCAAAGCGAAAGGTATCAAGCGCCCAACACCTATCCAGATGCAAGGGCTGCCGACAGCCTTCACAGGGAGAGATATGATTGGTATCGCCTTTACAGGTTCAGGCAAGACTTTGGCGTTCACTCTGCCTGCCATCATGTCCTCGCTGGAGATGGAAGCCAAGGTGCCATTTGTCCGGGGCGAGGGGCCCGTGGGGCTTATCATCTGTCCCTCGCGAGAACTAGCGAGGCAGACGTACGAGCAGTGTCAACAGATGTGCACGGCGCTGAAGGAGAGTGGACAATACCCTGAAGTTCGCAGCTTGTTGTGTATTGGCGGTATCAACATGGCCGACCAGGGAGACGTCTTGAACAAGGGCGTGCATATCGTCGTTGCCACTCCCGGTCGACTCATAGACATGCTTGACAAGCGCAAGCTCAACTGTGACAACTGCAAGTGAGTGCCTGTCCCATTCCTTCGCTGTCAATGCTGATGCCGGGTAGGTACTTGTGCATGGACGAAGCCGACAGGATGATCGATATGGGTTTCGAAGAAGACGTCCGCTCCATCATGTCGCATTTCCGCTACCAACGACAAACCCTTCTTTTCTCCGCCACCATGCCTAGGAAAATCCAGGATTTCGCTCAACAATCGCTTATCGACCCCATCCTCGTCAACGTTGGTCGAGCTGGTGCAGCCAATATGGACGTCGTTCAGGAAGTCGAGTATGTGAAGCAGGAGGCAAAGATGGTCTATCTGTTGGAATGTTTGCAAAAGACTCCTCCGCCTGTCATCATTTTCAGTGATAACAAGAACGAAGTGGATGATATCCAAGAGTATCTTCTGCTGAAGGGGATTGAGGCGGTTGCTATACACGGGTCTAAGAGTGCGTATTATCTTTTCCCTCATTGATCACTGCCTAACTCTTTTTCAGCTCAAGACGAAAGAGAATACGCTATCCGCTCCTTCAAGACGGGCGCTAAAGATGTCATGGTCGCCTCCGGCGTAGCTTCCAAGGGTCTCGATTTCAACGAAATCCAGCATGTCATCGTTTACACCATGCCCAAGGAGATCGAAGACTACGTGCACGAAATTGGTCGTACAGGTCGTTCAGGAAAGACGGGTCTGGCTACGACGTTTGTCAACATGAATACGAGCGAGCAGACGTTGTTGGATTTGAAGTATCTGTTGATGGAGGCGAAACAAAAGTGAGTGTAGCTCTTATCGGCTTTGGGTATGATACTGACTGTTCCGCAGGATACCGGACTTCCTTCTTTCTATTGACGACCCCCGTGCAGCCTACGGTGGATCTCTCAAGGGATGTCCTATTTGTGGCGGTCTTGGTCACGGTCTGGAGAACTGTCCCAAGTTGGAGGAAGAGCAGAGAAGGAAGCAGGCGGCGCAGAGGACTTATGATGGGGGTGGTTATTGAGCTGGGGTTGCCGGTCGTGATTCGACTTCTAGAGTGAAGGGGAGGCATACATCTCTGTTGTATCTCAAAGTGTACTGTACTATTATAGAGGCAATGCAGTCGCGATCAAGACGATTGCCGTCGTTCAACTATATCGTGTTCTTCGCACTGGCCATTAGTTTGCGCCCAAATTCTCGTTTTGTCGCAGACACCATTGCTCTCCTGCATCATAGCCCCTCTATGGAGAGACTGGATAGATCAGTCAAGTATCATCATGCATGGCTTTGGCTACCTCTGAGTCCTCCACGATACCGGGATAAAATGAAAAATAAACGTTGCGGGATAATATTGATCCCGCTCTGTTGTTGCCGCGCTCACTCGGCGCTGGGTGATGGTTGAACGATCCTATTTCTCATCTCCACACGTCAACCGCATCCCATCCTCGTCACCCAACATGGAGGTAAGCGGCCCTACCATGGGCATCCTCCTCCCTCCATGAGCTCAGCTGACGTCCCACAGGCCATCTTAGACTTCAACCAAGACCTCGACGTCGGGTAGGTGCACTCACCGTCTAGTCCGATTCCCAGCTGACCGCCGCGCAGTCTGATTGACCAGGTAGTCACAGCATTCTACACCTCAACGGGTGAAACAGTAAGCCCATTACGCTCGGGGGTTCCGCGCTGTATTGCGCAGACCCGCCACTCCGCTGTCCAGATTGCTAACCCGGCGCCCTAGCAACAAACAGCACAGCGTGTCCTCACACAGTTCCAAGAGAACCCCGACTCATGGCAGCGTGTCCCCGCTATTCTCGAGTCATCGGCTAGTATCAACACAAAGGTGCGCCTTCTCTTCCCTTGCACAATTCAGAATATCCACTGACGCGTTTGAGACAGTACATTGCGCTCCAAATCCTCGAAAAGCTGGTCCAGGTGCGATGGAAGACTTTGCCGTCAGATCAGCAGACTGGTGAGCCTTGACCAGCCAACAGTGGAACGCTGCTAATATGACTCAGGTATCCGAAACTTCATTGTGGGCGCGACAGTTGAGATAGCATCTGATGAGTCGCGGATGAGAAGAGAAAAGGGTTATTTGAACAAGCTCAACTTGGTTCTGGTCCAGGTACGTTGCCCCTATCACAAAGTGGATCGTGCTGAACCCCTATAGATCCTCAAACAGGCTTGGCCCAAGGACTGGCCCCAATTCATCCCCGAAATCTGCCAGTCATCTCAATCCAACCTCTCCCTCTGCGAGAACAACATGATCATCCTTCGTCTCCTTTCTGAAGAAGTTTTCGACTTCTCCGCCGAGCAGATGACTCAAGCAAAGACAAAGGCGCTCAAGCAGACAATGTGTGCAGAGTTTGGAGAAGTGTTCCAGTTGTGTAATGAAGTGCTGGATAAGGCCAACAAGCCAAGTTTGGTGGAGGCGACTCTGGAGACGTTGTTGAGATTCTTGAACTGGATCCCGCTAGGATACATTTTTGAGACGTCGATCATCGATATCTTGGTCGGAAGAGTGAGTGGGAAAGTCTCTTGACGTGAATTGTACTCACTTTAAGCAGTTCCTTGAAGTTCCCGACTTCCGCAATGTCACTCTCAAGTGTCTTTCCGAAATCGGCGCTCTCAACGTTGGCCCAGAGTACAACAGCAAATTTGTTGCGCTGTTCCAGGTCGTCATGACCAGCATCAACCGAATGGTCCCCCCTTCCACTGGTGAGTCGTGCGTGATCCTTGTGGCTCCGCTAACATGGCTTAGATATGGCCGGCGCGTATGCCTCTTCTGACGATGAGGACCAACAACTTATCAAAAACCTCGCCATTTTCCTCTCCAACTTCCTTCATACCCACCTCCGCCTTATTGAAACCCCCGAAAACACCGAGCTTCTCATCAACGCCCACCTCTACCTCGTCAAGATTTCCACTGTTGACGACCGGGAGGTGTTCAAGATCTGCCTCGAGTACTGGGCCAAGCTTGTGACGGAGCTTTACGAGGAGATCCAGTCATTACCGCTCAACGACATCAACCCGTTGATGAACCTCAACCTGGGCGGCCTTGGAGGTGGCTTGAACGGTGCGCAGGGGATGGGCTTGAACGGCATGCCCCTCCGCAAGAACATCTACTCCGACATTCTCTCCAATCTCCGTCTTGTGATGATTGAAAAGATGGTCAAGCCCGAAGAAGTCTTGATTGTTGAGAACGAGGAAGGTGAAATTGTTCGAGAGTTTATGAAGGAGAGCGACACCATCGTTCTTTACAAGAGTATGAGAGAGGTGCTGGTCTACTTGACCCATTTGGATGTTGTGGATACCGAGACGATAATGACGGACAAGCTATCCAAGCAGATCGATGGGTCCGAGTGGAGCTGGAACAACCTGAATACGCTTTGTTGGGCTATTGGTTCCATCTCTGGCGCTATGAGTGAGTCTTTTCGGTGATATCAATTCCGGACGCTAACTATATTTGGCAGACGAGGAGACTGAGAAACGATTCTTGGTCACTGTCATCAAGGATCTCCTTGGCTTGACCGAGATGAAGCGAGGAAAGGACAACAAGGCTGTCTGTGCTTCCGACATCATGTACATTGTCGGACAGTACCCTCGATTCCTCAAGGCGCACTGGAAGTTCTTGAAGACTGTCGTCAACAAGCTCTTCGAGTTCATGCATGAGACCCACGAGGGTGAGTTCAGCGCTTTTGGCACGTGGTCCCACACTGACGATCAAATGCAGGTGTCCAAGACATGGCTTGTGACACTTTCATCAAGATCGCCCAAAAGTGTCGCCGTCACTTTGTCATGCAGCAGGCTGGCGAGCAGGAGCCGTTCATTGACGAGATCCTCCGGACGCTTCACCGGATCACCGTCGACCTCTCTCCCCTGCAAGTCCACACCTTCTACGAAGCTGTTGGCTACATGATCGCTTCCCAGCCCAACAAGCCTACGCAAGAGAGGCTTATCGAAAAGCTCATGGAGCTGCCCAATAACGCTTGGGACAACCTCATGCAGCAGGCCGCTAGTAATGTCGACATTCTTGGTAACCCTGAGAATGTCAAGATTATGAGCAACATCTTGAAGACAAACGTCTCGGCTTGCTCTTCGATCGGGTCATTCTTCCTTCCTCAGCTCGGTAGGATCTGGCTCGATATGCTCGGGTTGTACAGGACTGTCAGTGGGATCATCAGTGATGATGTTGCCAACCAGGGTAAGCAGCTTATTTTGTCCGTTGAGAGGTGTGCTAATAAAACTGCAGGTGAGGTTGCTACCAAGACACCCAAGGTCCGAGCCCTTCGAACTATCAAGAAGGAAATTCTCAAGCTCGTCGAGACTTACGTCAAGAAGGCCGAGGATACTCAGGGCGTTTATGACAACCTCATCCCGGGGCTTTTCGACGCGGTATTGGGTGACTACAACAGAAACGTGCCCGCCGCGAGAGACGCCGAGGTCTTGAACGTCACCGCTACAATCGTTTCGAAGCTCGGCGTGAGTAATCATCAAAGCACTTGCGGTAACATACTGACTCGTGTGCACAGCCCATCCTCTCTCCCCAGATTGCCCCCATCCTCGACGCCATCTTTGAACCCACTCTCACTATGATCAACCAGGACTTTGCCGAGTACCCTGAGCACCGAGTTGGCTTCTTCAAGCTTCTGCGGGCTATTAACTTGACATGCTTCCAGGCGCTCTTGGAGATTCCTCCGGCGCAGTTCAAGTTGATCATCGACTCTATTGTCTGGGCCTTCAAGCACACCATGCGAGACATTGCCGACACTGGTCTCAATATCGCCTACGAGATTGTCAACAACTTTGCCGCTTCTTCTCCCGACATCTCCAACCAGTTCTACCAGCAATACTTGCTGTCGTTGCTTGGTGATGTGTTCTTTGTCCTCACCGACGCCGACCACAAGAGCGGGCTGAAGATGCAGGGTATGTTGTTGGCGCAGTTGATTGCGTTGGTGGAGACTGGCCAGGTGCAGGCCCCATTGTTCGACCCGGCTCAGGTGAACGACGCGGGAATGACCAACGCGTTGTTCTTGAAGGGGTACATCTCTGACTTGTTGACAAACGCCTTCCCTAATGTGCAACCGTGAGTGACACCTCAATGTTCATTGTATCATCGCTAATAGCTCAATAGTTCTTCTCTTGCCACCTTTGTCAACCTCATGTTTGAGAATGCGTCCGACCACAACAAATTCAAGCTCACCATCCGAGACTTCCTCATCTCTCTCAAGGAGTTCTCGGGCGAAGACAGTGGCGAGCTGTATCTTGACGAGCGCGAGGCCGAGGCCGAGAAGCGGGAGAAGGAGCAGAGGGAGGCGGCGAGTAGGATTCCGGGAATGTTGAAGCCAGCGCAGATCGATGATGATGCCGAGTTATAGTGAGGGGGAGGCTGTGAGCGGGTATGGGGATGGGCACTGAGGAACCACACAATCAACTCGCATCTTTCAGCATCATCGCTGTCCCTCACTTTGGCGGGGGTCATTCGACATTCACATTTCACAAAACTGGCATTATTGTGTGGCAATAGCCGGCGGTTCAAGGAGAAGTAAACTGTATAGAAGGAGGAACGAGTGTATCATCAACGTATAAAGAAGGCAACAAGGGGTGTTTTGGGTGTCTTTTTCTTTCCATTTTCTCTTTCTGGCTCTTCTGCTCATCTCATTTCGCAACATACCATATCATCTTCTCTAGCCTAATCCTTCACATACTGGTAAACGTCATGACACCTTGCGTGTTGCTTTCATACAGACTTATACACCCTGTCGTTTTGGCTTCTCAGCATCTACTTCAGGCGCTAGTATCAGTGTTGCAAGGAGATGAGCCTGTCTAATACTTTTTGATCTGGTTTCGTGCATTTGGTAGCGTATCTCTCATGACTTATGAATTCATTCTCAGACTGAAATCACGCGTACTTGTCAGGAGTATACGAACGCAATAAATGCTTTCAACGACATGTGCATGTGCATATGCAATATAACAAGAAAACTTTGTCGTCAGAAGTTTGTGCACAGTACTCGTATGATACAACTATATGCTTGTAAGAAGACATCCCATCGTTTGCCCCACTCCCTCTCATGCTCATACCCATGCCTATGCCTGTCTCATGAATCGTCCGGCGCTTGCTCTTCTTGCTCCTCTGGAAGAGTGAATCGTGCTAGAGCATCTGGCATGACTGTCAGCAGGATCCTCAATTCAGGAGAGAGCTTTCTCACCCTTCGGGGCCAGGTTCTCTTCCTGCTGTAACCGCATGATCAAAGCAAATGACTCCATCTCCTGCGCCACCTGCTTCTCATCAGCCATGCCCGTCACGCGCGACGCAGCGAGCTTACCCGTAAAACCCTCAACCCAGCTTCCGGGAACGGCCCATCCTCCCCTTCCCTCAAAACCACCTCCATCCTCTCCATCCTCCTCCCCCTCCCCACCACCGCACTAAACGCCCCCTTCCACTTCTTCTCCAATATCTTCCACTCCATATCCGAACACAAAATTGTCCTCTCCTCCGTCTCTCTTGCGCGGTGCATGGGATGATCCGGGTCGTGGTGGTATGGTATAGAGACGTATGATGAGGGCGGGTCGAAGGATGATTCGATGGGGTCTGTGAAGAGGATGTGGGGTATGCAAGGGAGGGTGAGGAAGAAGCGGGGGAGGTAGTGGGCGGGGATGTCGTATAGGTGTGTTGTGCTTCCGGTGACGACGAATTGGAAGCGGGCGCTGTCTTCAAAGTTGTGGAGAATGAAGGATGTCCACTGGTTCAGGTCGTCGCCCTATGCTTGTGTCAGCTGGAATGTTCATGAATGTACACTCGCGAGTTCTCAGAAGATGCGTTCGACGGATATAGAGTCTCCTCGGGAGGAACTGATAAAGCAGAGCGACATGGGAACGCATATGACTGAGATTAGACCCACCTGCATTTGACCTAGCGCCTCAATAAAGTTCACAATAACCCTCAGCCCAGCTCCCCCTTCTAGCTGAGGCAACGGCTCCTGCGATGGATGCGCCTGCACACCACTACTCTCCCGGGCGATACAATCCAGCGCATTCAAGAGATCGTCGGGTGATGCCGAAGTCGGTTGGAGCGGGAGCGATTCGAGTAGCGAGTCCAATTGCGTTTGAGCGTCGGCGCCGGTATCGGGCGAGGCATGTTTGGAAGGCGTGCGGGGTGGAGAGACGGCGGAGAATGAATAGGATGCCATGAGTTGGGCGGTAGGGATAGGGGAGAGGGGAGAGTGTAAGAGGTATTCCATCGAGCAGGGTCGTAGAGAGTAGAGTTGGAGAGAGGTGATGATTCCCGTCAGCATTCTTATAACGTCCATGACAAAGGATCATAAACAAAGTGGAACCCACCTTTGCCAAAGGTGCGCTGCCTGCTGCCCCGGCGCCATCTGCCACCGTCCTGGGGCCGACTGTGGCTCCCCTGGTCCGACTGGCACTTGCTCCCCTCGCTGACTCTGCTGTTGCTGCTGCACCATCCTCGCATGCTGCTGGCTCGTACCCGGCGGGAACCCCTCATAGCTCTGCTCGCTCATATCGGCAATCACCTCTTCTCCTCCGGTCGGACTGGGGCCGTTCGACAGCGCCGGCGGGCGGTTGGTGCTAGTGGTCGACATTGTGGAGTTGGATCGGAACATTGCCACCTGGGGCGGCTGTGCTTGCGGCGTCGTTCGGATGACGTGAATATGGTTCGAGGGCAATGGCTCGGAGCCGGCAGGGGTCTGGGGAGAAGTCTGATGCGTGGTTGGGGGTATGCTGTTTGGTGGGTACTGGAACGCCGCGTACGGCGGGGTCATAGGCAGCTGGGGAGAGCTGCCGTTCGGAGTCTGGTGGAGGTAGTGCACAGGAGGGGGTCGGCGGTGGATGCTCAGAGGGGTACGATGCGGGGCGTTGACGTGCGTCGGCAGGGGAGAGGGATAGGGCTGGTGCTGTTGGGGCGTGCTGGCATAGTTGTGTTGGTAGAAGCTAGGAGAGGGCGCCGTGGTATCCATGTCGCCCGGGGCGGGGGGTAGGATGGCGCCGGGAGGGGGGGAGGTGGCGGCGGGGGTGTTTTTGATGGCGGTGAGGGGTGTTTGGATGGCGCCGGCGAGGAAGAAGAGGAAATGAGACGCGAAATGAAATGCGCTCATCTTCTCTTTCATCCATCCATCTGCATGACCGCCATGCTCCGTCTCGCCCCCACTGCCCGTCTCGCCGTCCGACAACTCTCCACCACCGCCGTCCGAAGGGAAGAGGCCGCGGCCGTCGGCACCGTCGGCGCTGTCCCCGTCAAGCGTCCTGTTGGAGGCTTCCGGTAAGTCGCGGTCAGTTGGTGGTATCGTGTGCTCATCTTTGGAATGGCTTCTTGTTCTGTCCACAGCGGAGGGTAAGTGCTCTATTGCATCTGCTTGAGCGGCGCTGACAACCCATCCAGTATCCTCGGATTCGTCAGTCCCAGACCCCATACCCCCCGGCCGACGAGCTCGACTAACGCCCCATCACAGTTCTTCGGCTTCTCCTTCGCCTCCGCCCTCTCCATCTACTACCTCCAAGAAGAGACCAAGGTCGCCACAGGCCTCTTGACGTCCAGCATCGAGCAGCTCCAGCAGGGTACCGGTAAAGTACGTTCTTTTGTCCATACGCCGACGTCAGTCGGGATACTAGATGAAGGCTGATGCGATTTGCACAAATGGTAGATAACAACCCACCTCGACCGACTCCAGACTGTCGAGAAAGAGCTCGCGGCGCTCAGGGCCAACGCTTCTGTGAAGGAGGACGTGACCAAGGTCCGAGGAGAGATGAAGAAGGTCTACGTGAGTGCACCCTCCTCTTTTGCATTGGGATGTATACTCACGGATTGTATAGGATGGCCTTCATCTGGAGCTTCTGGACTTGCGTGCACATGTGTGGGGTGTGGAGCAGGACTTGCAGAATGTGGTCAAGACTGGTGGGTAACCCGACTTGGACGTGCAATGGCGCAACTGACCTGGGGGTGTAGAGTCTATCAAGATCTAGTCTGGCCCCAGTGCTATAGATACACCACCCATCAAAATGCTACAGCTTTGCAGACACTCCCTCAGGCTTGACTTGTATCGGGCCATCAGGAAAGGTCGCCAATTATCACTCACAAGACGTTTCTGCGCATAGTCGACCAAACTTCGGCTTCTTGGGAGAGGCCAGCCCTATAATCAGGACCGACGGAAGGGATATAAGGTATCAAGACACCTTCAAGTATTATCGCCTTCACCAGCTAACAACGAGGGTTCGCATGCCCCTCAAGCGTCGTCATGGGAGCCTCTGTTTCACCTTGTCGTCCCGTGAAACAGAGAAGCGAAGCTGATCTTCTCTAATGTACTGATACCATGAAATGCTGTATCAATCTATGCAATATCCCAACCCCACTCACCCTCTTCCACACCCACCACACTTCCGACGACCTCTCTCCTCCCACTCCAATCCCACCCTCTTCTCTCCCTCCTTCAACCTGACCCCGTTATCCTTCCCCTTCTTGCTCAGACCTCCTCTCTTGACGACGACTCTAGTCATGTACCTCCCTTCTGGAATTGACATGATGGCTTCTCCCAGGCTTTGTGTGGTGCTGGGGTAGGAAAGGAGGAGGGTTTGGTGGGAAAGGTATCGGTGTCGGTGGGTTGTTTTATCGAGGTGGCTATCGCGAAGCGTCAGGCGAGTTCCTGCAAGGGACCAAAGGGTATGGTTCAAGAAGACATGGTGCTTACTGTTCGAGTAGGTCATGTATCCACTTTGCCCATACCTTCACCCCCTCGTCCCTTTTCGATCCCTTGCCCTTGTCTTCTCCCTCCTCGGTGTCTTCACAAAGATACGCCTCCACCGCACTCTCCCCAAAATCGGCACACCAATCCTCCATCCTCGCCCCATGCAGCACCACCTTCCGAAAACTATCCTGCTCCAGAAACTGGCCCAAAGCAGTGACGAGGCTGCGCGAGACTTTGTCTCGGGTGACAGGGACGCAGAGAGAAGCGTTGTGCCAGCCGTACCCCATCTTGATAAGCAACCTTGGCATCACCTTGTTCCCCCTTTTCTCTTCTTGTATCCTCTTCCACAACTGTTCCCCAAAGACGAGCCATTGACAGCCCTGGAAGAGGGCAAGCCGCTTGTTCTGAGAGTCGAAATAGTGCAGGATATGGGCGTTGAGCTGGGAGACGAGGAGTTCGCGAAAGAGGCTTATGGCGTGGATGGTGAGCAGGAAAGAAGGGGCGTCAAGCATGGTGAGGTGGACGGTTCTGCTGATGAGTAGGAGTTTACGGGCGAGAAGGGGTGTGGAGAAGGAAGGGGCTCTGGAGGGGCGGCGTATGATATCTTCGTCCCCGAGCTTTTTCACATCCTTCCCTCCGTCCCCTCGTTCTGCACCACCTCCACAATCACCTCCCAGTCCGGCATAGAAACCCAGCACATTCCCCTCGTGCAGTTGGACTGAAGTGTAGGGAAGGTGGGCGAGGGCGGTGTAGAAGGTGCGGTTGATGAGGAGGAAGGGGGTGAGGGAGCCGGGGGGAGGGTGTGTGAGGATGGCGTGGATGAGGATGGCTGCTCTGTGGTGTTTTGCAAGCGGGCGATGTAGAGGGACGGGTGGGAAGGGCATCGAAGGAGGGATGCAAATGCAAAGGGAGATACAAACAGTGATTGCATTCACGCATAATGATACCCGTATCACTCACAGCTGACCGAGATAAGAATTCAACACGGAAAGGATGCCCCATCCTCATCCTCAACGGTGCCTCTCAGTGTTTGTTTCAGCTGCCGCATGGGGACTGGGGGGTGTGGTGGAGGGAGGGTATATGCGGGGGGTATGCGACAGTCATGTTGAGTGACTTGGCGTTCAACAACGCGCTGTCCGGTCTCTTCTTTCGAAGGGTCTTTCCGTCATTGTAGCGTCAATCTATGTTTCATACAAGGATCCCTCACTTATCTTGAAGTAGGATCAATATATATGTTCATAGATTGTATAATATGAATGCCGTCGCCGCCCCTCCTGCTGGCTTCTCGTCGATCTCAACATGTAATCTCGCGCACGGATGGGGCCCAAAGCCAGAACAGTCATCCAAAAGTGGATGATCGTTACGATCAATTTGCACCCGTAAGAAAGAAAGTGTAGAGGGAAAGGAAGGGAGATCAGCGAATAGGCTTTTTGCGAGGGTGGGAAGCTCAAGTCTATTATTCAGCATCTGCGAACAGTTGCTGGCGCCGCAAAGCTCGCTTCGTCATGTTTCAATGAGCTGCATCCTCTCATTCGGCTCCAATCAGCCTGGACATTATTCTGAGGTACTATCGGGGTCGTTGATGCGCGGAAGTGTAGCTAGATGGAAGAGAGCTGTCGAAAACGGACATGACCCGCTGGTGGGAGTGACGAAGAGCGGATGAAGAAGTTTCGAACACCTTTTCCGCAATGTACGCGCTGTAGATCCGCTGCAATTCCGTATTGGTTCTTCCCGCCCTTCATTCACCATGTTCACGATATCCGCCAGCCTGACATATATAAGGCGGCCTGTATCTGCATTGTAACGTCTACTTTATCTTGTCGCTCACCCTCACCAAAGAAACAAATTCATTACCACAAACAACACCCACCCCATCACAACAAACATGTCTTCTACTGTCTCTTCTTTCAACATGGGCGCTGCCCACCGTTCCACCTCTTTCGAGAGCTGTGTGTCGTCTGAGCACCATTCTCACCCTTCCGTTAAGGATATCAATGGTAAGCTCGCATACTTGTACCTTGCCGGGAAAACAAAACTGACGCTACGCAGTCCAGCACATCGCTGCTTTCAATGAGAAGAACACCACCCCCGAGGCCGTTCCCACCGGCTACATCATCACCTACACCACCCCCGGAAACTGGCTCCTCGGCAGCCACTTCTCCAACACCCACACCCACATCCACGTCACAAGCAACCCTACCAGCCCCACCCCTGCTACCGCCGATACTGTCGACTTGCTCTCCCGAGTGTTGAAGCGCGGTTTCTGCTTTGCGGCTGTTTCCGAGTCTCCTCGCCGGGTGGAGAGTACTTTGGAAAGGGATATTGAGAGGATTCAGGCGGAGGATGAGGAGTATAGGGGTTTTGTTCATGTCCAATGTGTCAATAGGTTGGATTTTATGATTGGGAAGAGGTTGGCGAACAAGATGGCCGCTGGTATCTGAACGACGAAAGTGGGGCTGTAGCAATCCTTACGAGTACAGTACCGCACATCATACGAACACTTTACATTGTTATTATATTATGCATCATCTTATAAAATACTGATTTGCAAGAATATTACGGCGCCTACTCATTGCATATCGTCTGCTCAATCGAGTTTAGTCAATGATGATGAGCCTCTAGGTCACTCAACTCCTTCCCCTCGCGCGGTTGACGCATACCATCTTTGTCCTGACATTCTTCTTCCCTTATTACTCTGGCTTGTCCGATCACCACTTTATACAGTCAGCGAGATTATGAATGTTGAACGACGCAAAAGTCCCCTTTTTCCCTAGGCACATGGATTCCTTGTTACGGTCGCATGATATTGCAAGAACAGCTTGAATCAACATCGACGGCCATAGCCTCCTCAAAGTACCGCGTCCCGTCTGATCCGCGAAGTCAACTAGGAGAGCGCTCGGTTAGTACCAGGGTGGGGGACCACCTGGGAATCCCGGGTGCCGTCGTTTTTTGCGTTTCTTTTTGCTCAATTGAGTACCACCGGGCTTGTTGATGACGGCAATACGTGGCTTTGCGACCTGTATATTCAGCGAAGACCTCAGAAGTATAAGGACAAAGCTGAAGAAGTTTCGTGAGTTTGGCAATAACCGTCACGGGCGGATGGAAAGGTGTAACGTGAGACAAGACGGGCCGTTCTCGAGAGGTGTTGCGATATGCTCCGATACCCCTACATGCATGCACGTTTCTCCCAGCCATGACGCCCCTCACTGCTCCACCCTCCACGGTATGCATCCTCAGCTGACAGGGAGCAAGGCAAAGCGGCAAGACGGCATCGGCTTTGCACGGCGTTGTGGGCTGGCTGGGGTGTTTGTTGACACGGTTTCACCCCTGGGGCCCTGCTGTTACCCGTCGGGCGTGCCTGGGGCAATTACGTGGTGAATTTTCCAATTGACTCGTTTTGGCTTTGCAACGCCCAGAAGCCCAAGAGGGATTGCGACGACTCGAATTTCTTGGAGCATGTATATTGGAATAGCTTTTTGCTTCTTTCCTCTTTGTCATCTGTCCCAACACACTCCGCACTTGTCAAGTCCTCCCTGACCTTTACTCAGTAACCGCCCAGGTCCTCTCGCCACTGAGTCATAAATGCCCGACGCGACGCGATCCTCTATCCACCTAAAGACTTGATTCGACAAATCACAAAACAAGACAAGCCTCAATGGGCTTCTTTGACTTTCTCCCCTGCTGCGGTCCTCGCCCAGGCAAATCCTCTTCTCCTGTACGCACACCTTTCTCCCCACGACATCCATAATTTACGATAGTCAGCTGACCAAAAATCTGCTTTCCAGCTTTCCCGCGAAACGACAACTCTCCTACCTCCCTCGGGCCCCGGGAGGGAAGGGTCATTTTTGACTGCTTCCGACCCTGGTCTTTCCCTCACTTTGACTCTCAGCGGCGGTGCAGCAAGCGGAGGTGGAGGCGGAGTGTACGGAGCGACAGGGGGCGAGCGGTTGACTGAGGAGCAGTTGAAAAAGATCCAAGCTATCCGCGAAAGTACCCAAGGGTACGCACTCCCCACAGAAGATACACAGGCAAAAGCTGATGGAGATAATAGGTATATGCTGCCAGTTCAATCCATGCCCCCGCGCTCGCATCTGATCATGTCCCGAACCTCCACCGCCCACAACCACCCTTCATCACTATCATCATCTTCCCCTTCTCCTTCCCCATCATCCTCCCGACCGTCATCACGCCCTTCTTCTCCAGCAGCGCTCTCGAGCCAAACGGTGCGGTCACCAGAGGCGTCGCCATATCAGCCTACCGGGTCTCTTCCTGGATCTCCAGAAGGAGGAGAGGGCGAGAAAGGGGACGATGTGGTTCGGAAACAGCTGTTTATGGGTAATACGCCTATGGGGAGGGGAGGGCGGAAACCTGGTGGGGGTGCGAAAGCGAAAGCGAAGAAGGGGAAGGGGAAAAATTAGATTTCGTAGAAGAGGAGCGGAACGAAGGTGGCAGCAGGATGGGAAGGAACAGAAGGAGCGATCGTGTTGTATCTCTGCATCCAAAAACACTCATCGTTAGACAACATATTCAATTGTAGCATCTAGCCATTCACCAAATGCATTGATCTTGGTTCTCAATCTTTGGTGGCTTTTCTGAGACTCTGATATGCTCAAGTGTCCAAACGAGATGTTCGCCCTCGAGCTGCAATCATCAACTCTATACACTCACTTAGGTACTACTCTCCACCGACAGCAGCAATATGTCCAAATCCGCATTTCTGCTATTGACTGGAAGCGGCTCAAATACCCAACAGAAGACGGATACAGAAGAAAAGCTAGTGCGGCCATGCCCGCCACCGGCCCCGAGGCTGTGGTCGGAACCGGGATAGGAGCCGGGCGCGGTTGGCCGAGGTTGACTGAGTACACTATATAATACCATCTCCAGTCGTTTGTTTAAGAGTCATGTATAGAATGCTCTCACGCTTCTCCCCCCGAGTACTATCATTCCCCCTACGCTCTCGCTTCTCATCCACATCTCAACTCCGCAACATGTCCAGTGGTGCGTTCTTCCATAACTTCGAGCGCAATTCTGAAGAGCTGATGTCATCAAACGGGTCCTCTAGCAGGCCAAGTAGACGCCTACCTATCCCCCAAGCTCCTCCACCCCTCTTTCGGCGCCCACCCCGCTCTCCCATCTTTCCAAACCAAAGCCCGCGCCGCCCGCCTCCCGCCCATCTCCGTCTCTCCCCTCCAAGGCCAGTTCTTGAGCATCCTCGCCTTGTCCATCGGCGCCGAGAGGATCTTGGAGCTCGGGACGCTTGCGGGGCATAGTACGGCTTTGCTTAGCAAAGCGCTGCCGAAGCATGGGCAGATTGATACCCTTGAAGTCAACCCGCGGCACGCTGCTGTGGCACAGCGAAATTTTGAGGATGCGGGCTTGGCGCCGTTCCCCACCATCCATATCGGGCCCGCTCTGGAGACTTTGCGAAACATGGATAAGCCAGAAGGGGGAGCGTATGATTTGATGTTTATCGATGCGGATAAGGAAGGGACGGTAGAGTACGTCAAGGAGGGGTTGAGGTTGTTGAGGAAGGGAGGGGTGATTGTTGTAGATAACGCTGTGCTGCATGGGACGTAAGCCATCCATCTTTCTCATATTTTTGTGTACTAGAGGTATCTGACATCTGAGATAGGATTGCCCTAAGCAGGAAGGAAGAGCCATCCTCAATCGTAGAAGGTATGCGCAGGCTCTACGACTGGATCGAGGAAGATGCAGGCAAGACGGTACTGGCGAATGTGACGCAGACCGTTGGCGCAAGGTCTTGGGAGTGAGTCTTGTATTCTCTCTTGCTGAGTAGACACTGACGTAGGTCCTCGTAGTGGGTTCGCGATCCTGTACAAACTTGTCGAGTGAAGAAGCAAAGTAAATCGAGGGAAGCAGGGGTGTCAGAAGCCAGAAGCGGTCTTGAAATCCTCTGACACTATCTAAGGATGCATGCTGATGTAGGGTTTGAACCGGATTTTCTATCATGTACAAGCTCGTTGACTGAAGAGGCAGGCTGGGGACACCATGATGGAAGTAAAAGCCAACTTGTTCGGATTCTGTCCATAGTCTATGAACCCATTGCACCACTCACAATGACAACCGTTATAAGTTGCCACATTATGCACCTTCTCTGAGCCAAATTCGAGTGCGTAGAAGGCGATAAAACCCCTGGACACTGCACTCATCCCCACTGCACCAGATATAGAACGAGGCGGCGCTTACGTACAGACGGTCCGGATGGCCGAGTTGTTGTGTCATTTTCAAGTCATTTTCCCATTCGGCCTGCCATTTCATCCCCCACAATGTTCCCACGCCTCTCCCCCCGCGCCCTATATAACACAGCCCCCCGCCCCCTCCATCGCCCATCCCTGACACTTGTTAGAAATATGACGACTCCGACACCTGTTTGGAAACCGGATGCTTCGTATGAGCGAAGGGATATGCCGCCTACAGATGGTGGCGAGCCGTCCAGCGGTACGTCTCCCTCTCGCCCACATTTGAGCAAAGAGCTGATCATGTGACAGGCCCCACAGCAGGCCAAGTAGACGCCTACCTCGCCCCCAAACTCCTCCACCCTTCCTACGGCGCCGACCCCGCCCTGCCCGCCATCCAATCCCGTGCCCTCGAAGCAGGCATCCCCGCCATCTCCGTCTCCCCCCTCCAAGGCCAATTCCTCAGTATCCTCGCCCTCTCCATCGGCGCCGAGCGGATCCTCGAGGTCGGTACGCTTGCGGGGTACAGTACGGCTTTTCTGAGTTTAGCGTTACCTGGGCATGGGCAGATTGATACGCTTGAGCTGGACCCGCATCATGCGGCTGTGGCGCAGGAGAACTTTTTGAATGCGGATTTATTTCCTTTCCCAAAGATCCATGTTGGGCCGGCGCTGGAGACGCTGAAAAGGTTGAAAAAGCCCGCAGAGGGGGCGTATGATTTGGTGTTTATTGATGCGGATAAAGAGGGGACGCTGGGGTATGTTAAGGAGGGGCTGAGGTTGTTGAGGAAGGGGGGAGTGGTGGTGGTTGATAATGCTGTGAGGAGTGGCAAGTGAGTCCCTCTCTTCCGAGTCCTGGAAGAATCAGGCTGATGCGTCATGTAGGATCGCTCTTAGCAGGGAGGAAGAGCCGTCTCCCAATGTCGACGGTATGCGCAGGCTCTTTGACTGGATTGAGGAGGATGGAGGGAGGACAGTGTTGGCGAATGTGACCCAGACCGTTGGGGCAAAGTCCTGGGAGTGAGTCTCATCTTCTCTCTTGCTGAGTAGACACTGACGCAGGTCCTCGTAGTGGGTTCGCGATCCTGTACAAACTTGTCGAGTGAAGAATCAAAGTAAATCGAGGGAAGTAGGGGTGTCAGAAGCCAGAAGCCGTCTTGAACTGTAACGTATGCAGCGATTCAGTCATCCCAACCAAGATTGTGTACATACATGACTCCTTCGCACCGTCTAAAGATACGACTCTTCTCCCACTCTTCATAACTATAAGGCTATACCCAAATCTCTCCAATTCACTATGTTTCTAGACCCAAACCATCCCAAGATACCTCCCCATCCCTATGCCCCATGACCCCCATACCCTCCCGCCCAACTATGCCACCCCCCATTCCCCTCCGTATTCCACCCCCCCGCCGGATAATACCTCTGCGCCGACGTCCACTCTGCTTTTTGCCCTCCCTCGCCTTGCCACGCTGTCCACGGCGGCAGCATCGGCGGCCCGTTTTCAGCCGGGGGTGCCGCATAAGGAGGGTAGGGGTAGGGGTAGGGGTAGGATGCGAATGGGATTTCGGGTGGGGGTGGGGGTATGACAGGAGGAGGGGGTAGAGGGGGTGGAGGGATGGGAGGAGCAGGTGGGGCGGTTGCTGCTTTTTCTTCGGCCTCTTTGGCTGCCTTCGCTTCTGCCTCGGCTTTCAGGACCGGTAATAATGGGGTGTACTCTGGGAAATACGAGGTGTGTTTCCAGGCTTCGCTGACTACCGGCGATGGCGGCTCGTCGTGCTGATACGAAGAAGACGATGAGGCGTTGGAGATGGGGGAGAGAGGCATGGGGGTGGTGGGGTATTTGGTTTTCGAGCTAGGCGGTGAAGGAAGAGGACGGCTGGGATCTTCCTTCACCCCGCTGACCCCGCTCGCCGGCACCACGTCTGCCATCCCTCCCTGCCCCTGCCCATCTTCAAGATAATGATACTCCCTCTCATGCTCACCCATCATCGGCCGAGGTCCACAAGGTCCACAAAGCCCAAACGACCGCTTCTTCTTCACCCCCCTTCCCTCCTTCCTCCCGCCTTCCACCCTCGCCTTTTTGTACCCCTCCCCTTGGTAGGTGTATCCCCCGGCCTCGTGCCCATGGCCTTCCGGGGTAAGCGGGATGCGGGAGACGTCTTCGAGGAAGAAGACGTGGTTGCCAGGAGGCTTTTTTTGGAGTTTGTTTTGCCGGGGAGCAGGGGCGGGGGGCGTGTTGGGTGGGGAAAGATGGGTGGCAGCAGGTATCTTTTCATCCCACGTCACAGGCATGGGCAGAAACTTCAAGGACGACCGGCGGCGGATGACGGCTGGCTTCTTCTTCTCTTCGTGCGAGACTGGAGGTGGGGCTGGCAAGGGGCGTTTGGCAGCTAGAGGCGTCGGGCGGAGGAGGGAGTAGGGGTCGATAGCGGGGGCCGGGGGAGGAGGGACTGCCATGCCAGCTGATCGTATCTTTTGTTGTATTGTATCCGTTTTGAAAGTCCAAGTACAACGTGGATGGAATGATCCTAAGAAGGGATGTTTTCATGTTTTGATGCGCGGACGGGGACCAAAGGGGCGCAGAGATGATCACCCAACAGGACAGCTGCCGACCAGGAACAGGCAGAGGGTGGCGCTGTTTGTATGGCGTATGTAGCAGCGGGCCGGGTACGTGCTGGATGCATGGGCCAGTACTATTCTCGCGCTTGGGGCTCGAGGGGACGGGGTGAGAAGATAGTTGAATACATTCACACACCGTCTCTCGAATCTTGATTATCCTACTACTAACCCTCACCAACTCCTGATCTGCTCAAGGATCCTTTCTTCCAGAAGTTTCACTTCGCACCCGCTCGCCAGCAACATCACTTTCTCAGCGCAGCCCTCATCATTCAAGCACTTGTCCAAAATCCTCCTTTTTGTTGGATCATCAAAGTCCTCCCTCTTCTCCAACCAGCTCGCGATGGTAGACAGTCTACTACTTCGAGGGTTTGCGACCTGCCTCTGTTCTGACAGGTACTTGTCAATCGAGCTCTGCATCCCCAAGACTGCCCTGGCCATTGCATCAACGGCCAACTCCTCTTCCTCTTCCTTCTTCTCGATATCCCTCCTTGGCCACCCACGCCTCGCCCTTTTCTCCTTCTTATTCACTTGACTCTCTTCATGCTCATCTTCCTCAGAACCGTCATCATCGTCTTCACTATCGTCTTTCTGTTCTGTTGCCTTTCGCTTTCTCTCAAGCACGATCTCAGCTCCATAGTCCTGAGCTGCTCGCCGGCCAGAAGGTTCGGACGAAGGAGAAAGAGACAACGAGCGAGATCGCTGGAGAGATAAAGGGCCAGAAGGGGTCTCACCAGACGAGCGGGGGAATGTCGGACCAGCATTGACGCCAGACGCCGATTGGCCATCTAGGATGTAGTGCATGGCATCGAAATGGTGGAATGGTGTTTCCCGCAACTTCTTGTAGGCGGAATTGGCCTGTAAAGAAGTCAGTGGAGATACACACCAGCCACCCTTGCTACTACTCACCTTGATCCTCTCCTCCCATTCCTTCTCGGTCAGCTGGAGCATCCCATCATAGAAGTCGTGTCCATATTTCCTCCGGGCATCAACGATAGGCTGGTACCAATCTCTTGCAAGATGGTACCATCTATTCTTCCAGTAGCCGGGGGTCTCGATTTTGACATTGACGCCGGAGAGCCTGCTGTCCTGCTTGGCCCTCCTGAAAATCTCCATCCATACCAGCTCCTTGATTGCGAATTCGGTGAGAGGCTTTTGTTTCTTGAGCTTTCGCTCGTCCATCCACCTATTGGCCTCGACATCGCTCGGGGTGAGCGATGTGATGGTTCCCTGCTCTGGTACAACAAGTCAGCCCGTCTTTTGAGACTTCAATGGACGAAATACAAGTAAGACGAAATAAGAAACGACTGCAATCCACTCACGTTCGCAGAGAGGAGAGGTTTCCAATCAAAACCTCGTCAATCAACCGGTGCTCCTCCCGAGTAGCCTTCGTTGGAGGCTTTTCTATGTTCCTTGCATGCACATTTGCACTCTGGGAGGGCGGAGCAGGGCTGGCCGACTTTTCAGTAGGTTGTGGGGAGGTCATCGTTGAAGTCTAGTAGAAGCAGCGGTACCACTCTCAGCTTAATGACATCACCTCTCGTCCTCAACACATTCGTGTCGGAGTTGGCCTATATACGGTCGTCTACTGGAGTGATATGGCCGCCCCTAAAATCGAACTCCACTCAAACCTCTGGGTGTCGGAATCAGGTCAGGGACTGTCCCGAGCGCTGTGCGTTCTCCCTCTGTGGGCTCATCTTTTGTCTGGCCGTCAGTCCAGTATTCCTAACGATCCAGCGCTCAAGTTGTCTATGACCGATCATGCATGGAGTGTGCAAAGCATCGTCTGCTCCAGCACTATGATCTATGCTTCTACGCACTCCGGACCCCAGACTGGTCTCTCCATTCTTCAAAGAACCTCATCATGTCGGGGGTGATCCTTCTCCTGACCGTCATGGCTGACTGCGTGAGATGGATGCCCTTGACCTGTGTCATGTCAGCATAGAAGACAGCTGTAGAGATAGGAAAAACGCACAAAGGGAGCGTTGAGGTCTTCATTCATAGCCGACAGAGCAGCATCTTGACAGATCGAAACCACCTCTGCACCCGAACAACCCTCAGTCTAAAGTACAGTCAACTTGGCATCCTTTCAACACCAACAACACAAGACTTACAAGCATAGCAAGATTCCCAACATCCACCCCCGGCTCCACCGCCATTTTGCTCAACCTGATCCTAAAGATATCTTCCCTCGTCTCTCTATCGGGCGCACCCACATACAAGATCCGGTCCAGTCTTCCGGGCCGCATCAAGGCAGAGTCGAGCACGTCGGGACGGTTGGTGGCGGCGACGACGGTGACGCCGGAGAGTTCTTCGACGCCGTCCATTTCGTTCAGGAGGGAGGTGAGGACGCCAGAGTGGTTGGTGTCTTCTCCGCGGGCAGAGCCGAGGGCGTCAATCTCATCCTACAGAGATCGTCAGCTGGAGTGAATAAAGCTTGAAATGGAGACTTGCGAAAAAGACGATTGAAGGTGCGGCTGCCCGAGCTTTACGGAAGATCTCTCGCACAGCTCTCTCAGATTCACCAACATACTTGTTCAAAAGCTAGGCTGCTGTCAGCAAACCCCCTCTCTCCAGGCCATGCTACTCACTTCAGGACCCTTGACAGCGATAAAGTTGATACCACTCTCCGTAGCCAGCGCCTTTGCCGTCATCGTCTTACTACACCCCGGCGGGCCATACAGCAAAACACCCCTCGGCGCTTCCACCCCCAGCCTCATAAACGTCTCTCTATGCGTCAACGGCCACTCGATACACTCTTTCAGCTTTTGCTTCACCTCCCCCTGTCCGCCGATATCATCCCACTTGACCGACGGTGTCTCTATAAACACTTCCCGCATAGCGGAAGGGCGGATGGAAGGTAGAGTGGTGAGGATGTCTGTGTTGGTGAGCAGGGGGTCGGCGGAGCGGGATGGGAGAGGGGTGGAAGAGTAGCGGGCGATGGCGGAGGAGGCGGATTCGCGGACGAGGGAGAAGAGGTCGGCGCCGACGTAGCCGTGGGTGCGGGAAGCTAGGGAGGCGAGTTCGGGTTCGGTGAGGGAGTGGGGGATTTTGGAGAGCATGATATTGAGGATCTCGCGTCGGCCATTCGCATCCGGCACGCCTAGAGAGCAGTGGTCAGTACTGACTTGGAAGTATTCGGTGAGGGCTCACCGATCTCGATTTCCCGATCGAATCGGCCAGGACGTCGGAGAGCAGGATCAATACTATTCGGCCTATTTGTAGCAGCCACCACAAACACCCTCTCCCCAGCCAAGCTCTCGTGGCTCATCCCGTCCATCAACGTCAACAACGTAGCCACCACCCTCCTCTCCACTTCACCTCCATCCCCGCCATCTCTCCTCGGACAGAGCGCATCCACCTCGTCCAGGACGACGATACAAGGACTCCTCTTTCTCGCTTCGGTGAATACACCGCGGAGACGTTCTTCGGTTTCGCCGTGGTACGCTGAAGTGAGTTCGGGACCGTTCACGACGATACATGAACATCCTGCGGACGAAGCGACAGCGCGGGCGAGAGCGGTTTTACCAGTACCAGGTGGGCCGTGGAGCAAGATACCGCGCGGGGGGTTGAGGCCGAATTTAATGTAGAGTTCGGGATGGAGCATGGGGAGGTCGAGCAGGGTCTTGATCTGGTCGATCTGGGATTGAAGACCGCCTAGGAATGTGTATGCAGAGTCGGGGGACTGGGAGGGGGTGAAGAGGTTGATATAGGATGGTACAGAGTCTGAGAACTGCTTTGACTATACCAGTGTTAGTGTGGATGATATGGGTAAGACTCGGGACGTACAGAGCCTTTGGTAGTGATCTTGCCGTCCTTCTCTCCCTTCACAACTCCCTGCCCTGCCTTTTCTTCCCCATCCAATATGATCGCCGTCTTCCAATGCATCTCACACACCTGCACTTCTTCTCCACCAATTTTGAGGTCCAAAAGGGCGTCTTCGAGGGAAGCTGCTTTGCGCTTTTCGATATCTTTGGCAGAGATTTCGACAGAGGTGATTTGGAACTTGCGAGGCACTTTTTCGGCGTCACCAACGATGACAGAGTAGCCCGAGCGGACATAGTAGATTGATGCTAGTGATGGTCAGATACAGAGAGACATGGATGGAGGGGATGACTCACTAAGGGCTTCTTTCACCGCTGCCTTACACCAGACTTGCTCTCTCGGACTGTTCAGGTCGACAGGCGTAGTCTTTCCCTTGGAGGATGATGGGGCATCCACAATGGGAATCTCCTTGACAGTGACAGACACTATCCTCCCCTGACTCTGTCCAGCTTTGAATCGGTAGGCTTCCACCTTGGGTCCTGCGAGATTGTCCATCTGCACCGGGCAAAATCCGACAGCTACTCCCTACATCAGCTAGATTCTTCACCAGTTCTTGTATATACACGCACAGTCCTCGCTAATCCCGGGTTTGGGCCACGCCTGAGCGACGGTAGAGCCATTGTCAGATTTGAATAATAGCCAGTCACCGGCGACGATCTTTTGAGATTTGAGGAATACGGGAGCGAGGTAGGCCCGTCGAGCTTCGCGGGTGATGACCCCTGGTACTGTGTCCTGCGCCGGGATTGCTTTGAGGCTGGCGAGGGGGGTCATGGTGGTGTTTTGAGACGTCTAGGGGACCTTGTAGAATCAGTCGAGATTGGAGGCAACTTTCTGGACACACGAACGAACTTTTGACTTTTGAGGACGAGAAATGCTTCCGTTACGGCGGTGATCCGACCCCTCACTACTCTTGTCCACTTCTTGCTTTTCACAAACCCTCTCAACCTCTCTGCATTCATCTTTTTCCCCTCCACTCCTCTACCTGAAGCCAACACTACAGCTCAGGATGAGCGACCTGACGACGGACGCTGCTGAATCACCCCCGCTTGTACGCCAGTGGCTTGCCACTTACGTACACTCCGCCCGATTTGGACTTCCAGCCCCTTCCCTCCACCCGCGATGAAAAACCCCAAGACTCCAAATACTGGGAACACACCGACAACTGGTCCATATCGCTGGGAAGATCCGCCCCCGCCCCCTGTCGAGTTCAAGAAGAGACTCTTTGCCCTCTTTTTCTCGGCGAGAATTGATTGTCAAGAGAGACGACAACATCGATCCGAGCTCGATCAAAAGCTGGAATCTGACCTCCAACCCGATGTTCGTTTCCCGCCAACCAATTGGACCAGGTTTCAATTCGCCCACGACGACCGGTGCTCTGACTTTGGAGCCGACGTCCCGCCCTCTCATCTCCACAGCCATATCGGGCTCATGAGGTTCATCACTACGATCGTGCTTTACAGCCTCAACAAATTGATCGGCTAAACGGAAAGCTTATGGAAAAACGGTGTCACCAGTAGTACATGGAGAGACGTGGGAGAGGGAACTTAGGAGGCGGCTGATCTGCTGCGCGCCGGAGCTTTCGGCTTCGTCAGGGCAGATGAGAGGGAGGTCAAGGAGGGGCATGTGCTGGAAACTTTCCGATATTCCTTTCCTCAGAGCCAGAACTTGGTAGTCTTCACCACCCCCGACGACGGATTGCTGGATCCGCCGAGTGGCCTCGTGCATGCGTCAATACGAGCTCACTTTGCTCAAGTGAGTTCCTCGGAAGACAAAACCGACTCTACGCTGATGCCGCTGCCAGCCGCCAGGTGCTTCTCGAAGCCTACGTCAGCAGGCGCATCGGGGGTGTGGTCATCATTTTCAACCTCTCCTTCGTTGTGAAAGTGACAGGACGGGACGAGCTCAGTGTCAGCCACATCTTTCAACGAGACGCCCCCGAGAATGCCAAACCAATGGCGACCTAACCCAGACATCTGTTCATGGCAAAGGACGACAGTGGATGGAAAATGATCGATTGGGGAAAAGGCTGTGACCGCTCTGAGGATAGAGAAAGTTTATGGGAGGCGCAGCTTGGGAACGAGACTCGTGACTTGAGGGTCATCGTCAACGGGCTCGGATAGCAGGCTCCTCGGTAGTCCGAAGGTGTTGGCATGAGGAGGAAAGCATGAAGGGAGAAACAACATTACTATCCCTCGCGTCTGAGAACACACTATTACATGCACACTGTATCATATCATCAGTAGCATAGTCACATAATCATTGATCATGGATCCACCCTCACGTTGGAACAGCAGTAGGTTTGGGTAGCTGTCTGGTCAGCGCGACCGGACTTTGTCCGGACTGTCAGACATGTCCGGGCCCGACGCTTGTCGCATGCGAATTTCGATTTTGTCTGGGGTTCATGATGCAGAGCCCACCGTACAAGGAATGTCTATAAAGGGCTCTGTTCAGCTTGGATCGGTTACCATAGAGCTCCTCTCAGACTCTGCCTTGTCATCCCCCTCAACCTGGTCCTCTCTCGATCCCCTCAAGCTCCAAACCATCAAGAACCTCGCGTCGCCCGCTTCCGGACCCAAAGTCGATCTTCTGTCACAAGCTTTCAGAGACCCGGGGCTAGGGCTACAAGCAGAGTGGAGAGACATTGGAAATGGTCGAACTGCGCGGATACGATGTTTTATAACACCGAGCGATGTTGGGGGTAGCATCTGGAAGCAGGTGCTGTGGCGTGGTCGAGAGGCTGTGATTAAGGGTCTATTGAACTCCTTGACTACAGAGTGGGAGATAGAGGATAATGGTGGGCGTACTATACTGCAACTGACTGTAAGTCAGGCTGGGATGTGTCCGAGATGAAGCTGACTCATATCCAGGACGAAGACAATCATAATATGCAAGACATCTACGCCTCTGTACCCTCTCCCACAGATCCTGCTTTCGAGCCCACCGAATCTCCTGTAGATCAAGAGATACATCGGAGTCTGCAACACTATGAGAATCCCGAGGGTGTCAAAGCCGAGATGTATCTGTATCAGATCGTGAGTGTCCAGCATCCCGGTGTGAATACTGCTGACCAAGTCTGATAGAGATCGGCTGCAAAGATGTTGCAGATGGAGACGCAACCCAAACGCTTGATCGACCCACTATTCACCCCCCTAAAGGAAGCTGGCGCCGACAGAATATACTATGTCAATCTGTCGAATTGGGATATACAACGACATCCTGGATGGTATGACCTTCCCCGAGGTGGCGTTCTGTGAGTCCGTTTCCAGATCTTTGTACGGTGACACGCTTACGCATATTAGGTGTGAGCAGATGGGCACTGGCAAGACGTTGATGTGTCTTTCGCTAATCGTTGCCACACTCCACCAATCTACCCAGCCACCCACCACCGAAATCGACATCACTCCCACGTCGACCGAAATCGCCGAGCGATCTTACCCCTTCACTGCGTATTCTCAACTCCGAAGCCTCACCGGCTTCCCTACCTCTCGAACCAACTTTATCTTTCCCTCACTCGTCGAGCTCTGCGCGAACGTCTTATCGGTCCACGATCCATCTTCGATATCATCCCCATACCTCCCGCCCCATCTCACCGCCCTCTTAAAGAGGAACGCCTTCTACTGCAGTCTACCGCCGCCCCAGGAGTGCGTCAGAGAAGCAAAGAGGAATGCGATGCGGAGGGATGTGAAAAAGACATATCTTGCGAAAGGGACTTTGGTGGTGGTGCCTCAGATATTGGTGGCACAGTGGAAGGGTGAGATTGAAAAGCATGTGGAGGAGGGTGTATTGAACGTGTACGAGGTCAGCGGAGAACTGCCTCCAGTAGACAAGCTGATGGAGTATGATGTAAGAGAACATCGTCTTCTGTGCGTGGATATGCTGACATCAGTCACAGGTCATCCTCATGGACGTTGCTCGTATGTAACCAACTGTGTTACAAAACGTTCTGCGGCTGACCGACATCTATAGGCTTCGCTCACGAAGAATCTTCTCGCCGAGAAACGCACAAGCTCCCACCATCAGTCCTGTTGCAAGCTCGCTGGAAACGTATCATCCTTGGTACGCTTCTACTCCTCCTATCTCCTTCGTTGCTGATAAGTGCCCAAGACGAGGGACATGTTGCTCATAACAAGAGCACCAATGGTATGCTTTTCGCCAGGCAACTCAGCATAGAACGGCGGTGGATTGTCAGCGGTAGTATGTGCAAAACTTTACATTCAACCATCGGGTACTTATTATGCCCACAGCCCCTACTCGGCACTTGCAGCAGGGCGGCGAAATCGAGCTGGAATCCATGGACACATCTTCCCCTGCCCCTTCCGTTCTCACCAATGCCCAGCCCCAGAGCCGCAGAGCTTGGTCCAAGCGCGATATGGAAGACGCCACTCGTCTTGGTACTATGATTGGCGGATTCCTCGCTGCTGAACCGTTCAAGTCGGAGGGCAAGTTCCAACAATTAGTCGCTGCTCCTCTAAGGAGAAAAGAGGGGCCAGCCTTTGGGGCGGTTGGGCGGATGAAGTACCTACTGGGAGGGTTGTTGGTGAAACATGGGTGAGTAGCTCCTCCAGTGATTTGGGAAGAGACTAACACGGGGCAGACCCAAGGTGATCGACCTGGAGGCTCAGCTACCACCCTCGACCACCATCAAAGAAGTCATACAGTTCGACCCCATGCAGCGATTGACGTACAACGTCCTGGCAGCCCTCGTCGCCAGTAACGTCTACACCAGTACGCCACTGTCCCCTTCTGGTCAAGAGTCGTGCTAATGGGCGACTAGGTGGCGGTGAAGATGCCGACTACTTTCTCCACCCCCGCAACGCCGAATCATTCCACCAAGTCGTCACCAACCTCCACCTCGCCTGCTTCTGGTACTCTGCCCGAGATATGGACACTTTCGGCTGTCTTTTGCGTACCCGCGAATGGCTCGAAAAACACCCCGATCGCCCGGTACACATTCGAGAGAGGTTGGAGGAGGCGTGCTGGCATTTGGAGAGGGCGGTGAAGGAGGAAGGGTGGGTGGAGTGGATGGGAAATGCGATTTCGATGCCGTGTGACGGCTCTCTCCTTCCTTCCATCCTCAAAGAGGGATGGTCCGATTCGTTTGATACGAAACCCGACATGGTCGATATCCACAGTCTCAACATTCTCCGAGAGCTGAACGTCAAGGGAGCGAGCTTGCAAGGGCTGCATATGGCAGGATGGGCGAGTAGGGTGGAGAAGTGTGATTGGTATTGGGAGGTGTTGGGCAAGGGGTATACGACGACGCAGATAAGGGAGCTGCTGGGAGATAAAGCACCCAAAGCGGCAAGGCCGAAGAAGGAGAAGAAGAAGGAAGATGCCAAGAAAGGTGTTACTGCCACGACCACGGCCGCGCAAGCTCCCCGTGAAGCACCTAAATCGCCTTCCAAGCCCAGAAGAGGCAAGAAGAGCGATGGAGATGAGATTGACTCTAGGCTGGACGAAGCTGGCAGGAACGCCCGGCTGGCCGAAGCTCTCAACGACAATCGCCCGACGCCTCTCTCTCTTTCAATCCAGACCAAAACAAGGTCTGCCAAAGTCAACTTTGTGCTCAGAACTATATTGGCAGCTCCGGAAAAAGACAAGTTTGTCATCTTTGGAAACACGTATGAGCTGGGGCATTTGACGGAAGGGTTGGACATGTGTGATGTGACGACGTGAGTCCGCTCTCAGTATACTCCGATCTCTACCTGACGTTCTATCGTCTAGCTGTTTCATCGGACATACTCTAGACGCGAAACATAGGCGACAAGCTTTGGACAGGTTCGAGTCGCCAGAAGTGAAAGTCTGCTTGTTGGATCTGCGGCTCGCAGCGCGTGGACTGTGAGTCTACTTGCCAGTATCCATTTCATCAAGAGTATGCTGACTCGCAAACAGAAATCTGGTGGTAGCCAACCGCATGATCTTTCTCGCTCCCATATGGAGTCCCGATATTCAAGCGCAAGCTATCAAAGTACGCCATCTTCCCCATCTCCCTCGGCCTTAGCTAACGTTGCTGGCAGCGAGTACATCGTATAGGCCAAACCCGTCCCACTACGGTGCAGATCCTGATCACGGAAGGCACGTTTGAAGAAGATATCGCCAATCGAGCCAAGTCGAGCAGGTCGGATGATGAGGAAAAGATGTATTCGCGAGCTATGATCGAGGTTTGTCCCTTCTACCCTTGTTGGGGGAGAGAAGGCTGATGATGGGTGTAGAATCCGAGGTTTGCGTATGCGGAGAAGGAAGAGGAGGAGAGGCTTGAGGTGAGGTTCTGTCCAAAGAGGGATTGGGCGTTGGATAGAGAGAAGAGAGAGAAGAGGGAGGGGCCGGCGTCACCACCACCGCCAGCGAAACGTCGGCGTGTCATGTTTGCAAGCCCTACCCCGTTGCCCGAGCCGCCGACGAACGGGCATGTCAAGTCCGAGGCGCTGAAGAAAGAAGCAGAGGATAGACCGAAAGAGCCGAAGAAGAAAGCCCGAATATCATTTGCATGAGGAATCTTGTTAGAGAGTTGTACAACACATATAGACACCCTGTCCATGTATACGGGCGCAAACACAGGCCCTCTAGAGTTTCGCCTTTACCTTGGAAACATCCACATCCACCATCCCTCCCTCGATCGCCCCCTTTGTCTGCTTCCCCTTCACATTAGCCCTTGTCACCCCCTCCTGCCCCGTCGTCGCAATCAACACCCCATCCCAAGTGTATATCCTCCCCCTCGCGAGGCCCCTGCCGGACGACAAGTTGACGCTCTGCGACTCCATGACGTGCAACAGCGGGGCGGCGGGGTCGAAATTGGAGGGGAAGGGGTAAAAGTGGATAGCGTGGTCGAGGGAGGCGAGCATGCCGAGACGGGGGGTGGAGTTTTGGTTCATGCCCACGGAACGGGCGGCGGTGCCGATGAATTGAAAGTCGGAAATGTAGGAGATCATTGCCTGGGACAGTTAGTATATACTACGGCTGAAGGAGGGAAACTTACCTTGACGGTCTCGACGTTGGGAGGCTCGGGTCCGAGATCTCGGATTCGTAGCCAGCTCATGCGCGAACTGGGATACGGGGCATTCTCTTCAGGGGAACCAGCCTTCCGGCGTCCACGAGATATAGATACGGGAGAAGACCGCCTCTCCTGGAAACGCATTAGCCAGAAGTCATACGGCAGAGTAAGAACTGACACTGATATACTCTTTGAAGAACTTTTTCTGCCAAGGCTTCTCTACGTCTCCATGTTGCTGCACCCATTTCTCCAAAAAGTCCGCATCGTCCTCGCACTCGGAGGGAGGACAGACGTCGTCAGGAAAAGGTGTTTGGAAGCTGGGAAACACCCTGCCCTCTTCTGGGGGAGGCAAGTCAGGACGTGGGACTTCGGTCGAGAAGGCCACACTGTGCTTGCTCTTCCCCTCCCCAGCAGAATAAGCTGCGAGACCTAAATTCGCAGGAAGCGCTGTAGGTGGGAGCGAGTAGCTTGCCATAAGAACAAATATATCGCTGTCGCCTTGCCAGGCCCTAACCAGCCTTGCAGAGTAGCTTCTCCCGTCGCTGAGCTTTTCGACCTTGTACTCTATCGTCGGGCTCTTTTGCGCCGGGAGGAGAAAGTAGCAGTGAGCGCTGTGGAGGCCTAGTTTGGGGGATACGGTGGCTGTGGCTGCCATGATGGCCTGGGCGAGGATCTGGCCGCCGAATACGCCTCGAGCGCCGGAGGGGACCCAGAGGTTCTGGGAGAGGGAGGACATGGGGTTGGAGGGGTGGGGGGTGACGGCGACATGGTCTTCGAGGCGGTTTGTCATGGTGTTTAGGGAGGGGAGGGGGGTGTACCAAGCGAGGAGAGATGGGAGTAAAGATGAAAAGTTGTAGATGATAAAGTTGTAGATAGATAAAAAGTTGTAGATACTTCGACAGATGGGTCCCCGGCAGAAGGGTCCGCGGTTACCGGAGGGGGCCGCCGGGCATTGGCCGTACCGTCGGTTCATGGCCGGAACAGATCTGTCTATCTCTTCTCGGTATGCCACCCATAGCGACTGTGCTCAATGTCGATTTCTCATAGACGCAATGCCCGCCCATCCATGCTCGCCGGCCGCAACGCAAGATAAACAGCAGAAGACAACCCAGCCGACCCTCTCTCTTTCCTTATTTGTGGGTATATATCCGTCCTTATATACCCAGTAAAGAGCGGGAGTGGTTCGAGAGCCTATACCCAGTAGAGAGCAAGAGCGGTTCAAGACCTTCTGCAGTTGCGCTTCATTCAGGGTCGCGAGTGTATGCAGCGCATGTGTTCTTGTTGCGAGTGTGATTGATGAATTCTTGGGCCTGACAAGTGCATTCAATGTCCACAACTAGACGACTCAAACCATTCCCCAAGCTCTGCCACCCACTAACGCATCATACCGTCTCATCCAAAGACTACTCTCCCCAACCCCATCAGAACTCCCATCCCTACAGCACCCACCAGCCCCGCCAACGCCAGGTCCCTCTCTTGCGAAGGCTTTGCCAGAGGGTCGAGGGACGGTGGAAGATCGGCCAGGGTTTGGGTGAAGAAGGGGTGGATTGTGGGGAGGGAGAGTGGTCCGGAGGTTGAGGCGGGGGAAGGGGACGGGAGCGAAGGGGCAAGAGACGGTGAGACGATCTCGGGAATGGAAGAGGCTAATTCCAGAGGTGCTTGTTCCTCTTGTACCACCTCTACTTTCGCACGCTCTTCAACAGCAGAGAGAGCCTTGGCAGATTCAGGCCCCGACCCCACGGCGACTACCCTCTCTAAATGCCCCTCCACTCCTTCCAGCCTTTGATCAACCTTGGCCATCATACTCGACACCCTCTCTTCCAGCTTTTCCACCAAACGCTTACGCTTCCACGGCTCGACAATGAGCACAGCCCCGATAAAGACGATCAAGTTCAGAGCTAAACCGGCTACATTCGCCCAAGTAGACACTGAACGGATCTTGTCACTCCACACTTGCTCCTCATGGTATCTCTGCAGAATAGTCTGCATCAACCCCGAGAACGCCCTGTCCACCCCGACCTCTGCCTTCTTCATCTCTTCCGCTGTTCTTGCCACTTCATGCGATGAGGAATGGTCGGCACGGACGAGGGTGGTGAATGTGGAAACGTCCGAATCGGTCCAAGAGTGTTTGCGCTCGAGGAGGGCGTTCATGGAGGATTGGGCGGAGGAACGTGCGGTGATGGCGAGATCGTATGCGGCTTTTGTGGATTTCGCGTGGTCTCGGAGTTTTTGAAGCTCATCCTCTGTTCCATTGGTTAGTGTTGTACGGCAAGAAAATGTAAGAGAGAGGTGGGGACGTACCTTTAGTGAAGACGAGATGTTTCAACCGCTCAACTTCCAGATAACCAGTCATCTCATTGACTTTGAAGCCCAGCTCGATAAACTTTTTTTGCGCTTCTTGGACGACCTGTTGGGAGTGCTTCATGACCAGGGCTCCCCATTTTGTGAGGCGTTCGCGGACCTCCGGAGGAATGGTAATGTTTGCGGGGAGGACGAACAGGGAGGGCGATTTGCGATCAGGAGCTGAAGTGGTAGTTGCAGGAGAGGTAAATCGTGAGGAAGGGGAGGATTGGGTTATCGAACCTGTATCTGTATCTGTTGATAATGGCGGTGGAGAGAGCGGTATAGAACTCGAGCTCGAACTGGCCGTACTTTCGCTCGCCGACGCTGATGATGGCGATGCCTCTGCCCCTTCAGCAGCCGCTCTCTCCTCGGCCCTCTTCTCAAGCTCCTCCCTTACACTCTTCATAACCTCCTTGTCCCCTCTCTCGTCTCCAGACACACTTGAGCTAGCCCACCGCCGACCCTCAGAAGCGCCTATGACGCGCCGGCATGATGGAATGACGCTTGGTCCTCTGGACAGGCGGGAAGAGGAGCGGGCGGCGAGGAGGCGGGATAGAGCTGCTGATGCTGGTGCGAGGGCGTGGCGGGATGCCATGGAATTGTGAGTTTGAAAATGAGGCGCAGAGAGGTCACAATATAGCCGAATCGATGCAAGACAGCGGTCGACCGGAACGTCGAAACGCGAGGTGGAGGCGGGCATCGCCGCGCGGAAGCAATAATCGTAGACAGCTCTGTACTCGCTATGCCTATCCCTATGTATGACTGGAAGGTTCTAGCACTAGCCCATGGTATGAGAAAATGTATTTGAAGGATAGATCTGCACCTCACTTGAAGCGAGAGTCTCAAGCAGGTCAAGCTGTCTGCTCGTTCGAGCGCGCGATAATGGTCATTTATTCAACGTCAACTATGATTACGAGATACCTTTGACGGACCCGAAGATCATCAGGCTGTCATCAAGATCAGCGGTTTGGAACTGCTACATACGTAGGTATATCCATCCGCGGTTGCTCAAGATGCGGTCCCCAAACCCCTCTCGGTGACTCACGGAATGCCGACCCAGGCGCGAAATAGCCGCGCTCGGAGATAGCCGATGATTATGGCAACACTCGTGCACTTACGGCACTTTGCATTCCCGCCACATCTATCTTCCCACTATCTCCTCTTGCACTTCTACACCCTCGTAGCAACACCATGGCGTCTCCGAACGAGAAAGAGTCGCTCCCTGTAGCTCATACCCCAGTACCTCAGCAGCCGCCCAAGAAGACTTCTTCCTGGGCCTACAAGTTTGTATCGGCCACGGCCGTCATCCTCATCCTCAACTCTCTCCTCATCTTCTCTCCCCGTATCCCCCTACTCGACGACACTCTGCACCCCGCCGCCTCATCATCCTGCCAGCAAGCCGACCCCATCTTCCCCAAGGCGGTCGACCATTCTGAACTCGTCAGGGGCGAGAAGGGACAGATCATCAGCTGGCTCAGCGATGCCGTCAAGATCCCTACAGAGGTCTTCGACGTCATGGGAGAAATCGGCGAAGACGAGAGATGGGATGTCTTTTACGAGTTCTCAGAGTATCTGGAGAAGGCGTTCCCTCTTGTGCACCAGCATTTGAAGAGGACGCGCGTGGTGACGCACGCACTTGTATACGAGTGGGAGGGGTCGGACCCGTCCCTCAAGCCTTTGCTCATCACAGGGCATCAAGGTAAGCTTGCTTTGCAGCCCAAGATCAACTGCTGATATGGGAGTAGATGTCGTCCCCGTTCTCCCTGCTACGCGCGACCAATGGTCTCACGACCCCTTCGGCGGCGAGTACGACGGGACTTATATCTGGGGGAGAGGGTCGAGTGATGACAAGTCCGGTACAATCGGTGTCTTGTAAGCTCTTCCACTTGATCTGCCTCTTTTTCAAATTGCTAATCATGGTGGGTTGGGCAGAGCGGGCATTGAGTTACTCTTGAAATCCGGCAAGTTCCAGCCCAGGAGGACCGTCATCCTCGGGTTCGGGATCGACGAAGAGACTGGTGGGAAGGTGGTTCGTCTTCTGTCTTTTCTGGAGACTGACGCTGATGCCTACATGTCACGTAGGGTGCTTACCACATCGGTCAATGGCTTGAAGACAAGTACGGCAGGGACTCGATCGCTCTTTTGGTCGATGAAGGTAATGGCGTTCAGGAAGTTTGGGGCCAGGTCAGTCCTTCTTTCTCTTCTTCTTTACTGATGAATCCGAAAGTCCCGCTAACGCTCAATTACACTGCAGCTCTTTGCTGCCCCTGCGGTCGGTGAGAAGGGTTACTTTGACCTCGAACTTCGTGTCGAAACCCTCGGCGGGCACTCTTCTGTCCCACGTAAGCCGGTCCCTTCCCTTCACCATGCGCAAGTATATCGTTTACTGACTCACCACAGCACCCCACACATCCATCGGCTACCTCTCCCTTCTCATAGCCGCCATCGAAGAAGAACCCCACAAACCATATCTCTCCCCCAACTCGCCTTTGGTCAACTACATCTCCTGCGCTGCAAACTCTCCCGCCCAGACCCCTTCCGATCTCGTCAAGGCTATCAAAAAGGTCGACTCGTCCATCTCTCGCGGTGGGGCGAAGGGGGTGGACAAGAAAGCGTTGAAGGAGGTTGAGGATTGGTGGGTGGAGGGAAGTTGGGAGGATGGGACTTTGATGAAGGGGCAGGGGAAGGCGATGGTCTCCACGACGCAGGCTGTGGATATTGTTTATGGAGGGTTGAAGGTAAATGCTCTTGTGAGTCTCACCTTTTTTCTTCTCTTCTACTTGTTCTCTCCTTGGAGGAAGAGGAAGTGCTTGAGATGAGTTGCTGATGAGAGTACAGCCTGAAAGCGTTTCAGCGGTCGTCAACCACCGAATCAACATCGCCTCATCCGTTGCCGAGCTCCAATCTCACCTCATCGACGTCCTCTCTCCCATCGCCAAGAAATACAACCTCGCCATCAACGCTTTTGGCAAGGACATCCAGCTTCATGGATGTCACTCTTCTGCTTCTTCCGAGAAAGGACCGAAAGCAGGTAAAATCGTCTTGGCGGAGGCGTTCAACTCGGCGCTCGACCCCGCTCCGGTATCGCCTTTCACGGTGGATAGCCCGGCTTGGAGACTTCTTTCTGGTACTGTGAAGGGTGTCTATGCGACGCGGCCGGGAATGAATGGGACCTCGGAGGGAGAGAAGGAAATCTATATGGCGCCTTCTATCTCTACTGGTGTACGTCAAAATTCGCATCCATTTGAACATAGCTGATGAAGGAACAGAATACCGACACGAAGAGGTACTGGAACCTCACCAAGAACATCTACCGTTTCGCCTATCAGCTCAGTAAAGACTTTAACAATGTCCATACCGTCAACGAGCATATCGTACGTCTTTCTCCTTCCTGTCATCTCTCTCTCTCTCTCTCTCAGCAATCTTCACAAGGGCTGACGAAAAGGATGATAGAGCGCGGATGTGTTTGTGGAGCAGGTCAGGTGGTTTATCAACTTTATCGTCAACGTGGATGAGAGTGATGAGATTTGAGCATCAAACTATAGTTCGAGGACTGTTTGTAGAGATGTATGAAGAGACTTGTGACCAAGCCATGGACATGTCATGCCTAAGAAAGCTGAAAGGCATGCCCAGGAAGGACATCATAAGCGATTCGCATGGAGGAAGAATTGTCAGGTTCACGAAGGACATTGGTCAAAAGTCTTTTTGCGACACTATGATTGTCGTTGGGAACTGTAAGGGTTTGACCGACTTAAGAAGTCCTAGAGGAGCTCGATAGGCAAGAGTCAACCGATACTATGTCTCGAGTGTTGTTTCAGATTTGTGATTAGTCCGAAAAGTCTGAGATGGGATATGCGTAGAAGTTATAGGAGAGGCAAGCTCGACGTGTGTTAGAGTCAGAAAGAGAAGAGAGACTTCTATGACCGCAAGCAAGTAGATGTATATGTTAAAAAGATGTGAGTCTTACTGTGGTCTCGCTCAAGCCTCTACCATACTCGGCCCGCCTCCGTCCCTCCAGTCTTTCGCAGAGCACCGCAGGCTCCAGCATGCATCTAAAGACAAGTCCTGAACCTGACAGTGACTATGAATACAGGCCATAAATTCCACCCCCACTTTACTCGCCCACGGGCCGACACCGCCAGTAGCGCGTTCGAGCTCGTTCTTGTTCGCCTATAACTCATTCTGATACATCTCTTGGGATCCCCAGCTCGCATACCACTCCCCACGCCCCCCCCCGCACATCCCAGAACAGCCCGGCATCTTCCCTGCGTCTCGCAACCACCACACAAACACGGCGACGTCACCATGGCCACGTCCATGAGAGGCTTGACACAGGTAAGCACGCCGCATCAAACCTGGAGCACGTCTGACAAGCTGTAGTACATCTCGGACCTTCGAGCATGTCGTGTCAGAGAGCTCGAGGAGAAACGTATAAACAGAGAGATGGCCCACATCCGCCAAAAGTTCAAAGACGGCAATCTTGATGGATACCAGAAGAAAAAGTACCTCGCCAAGGTGGTCTTTACGTATATCCTGGGGTACAAGGTCGATGTTGGGCATATGGAGGCGATCAACCTGATCAGTTCGCAGAAATATAGCGAAAAGCAGATTGTGAGTATCGTGCTTTTAAACTTGGACCGAGCTGACCGCGCGTAGGGGTACCTCGCCTTGACGCTGTTGATGCACGAAGGCTCCGACCTCGCACGACTAGTCATCAACTCTCTCCGCAAAGACCTCGAAGACCATAACGAAGTGTACAACTGCCTCGCGCTGCATGCGATCGCAACACTCGGAGGGAAGGAGATGGCCGAGACGTTGGCGGAGAATGTGTATCGGTCCATGATCAGCGCGACTTCGAGCACTTTTGTAAAGAAGAAGGCTGCGTTGACACTATTGAGGCTGTATCGCAAACACCCGAGCGTGATGCCTACGACCGAGTGGGCAGAGCGTATCGTGTCGATGCTCGGGGACAGAGATCCTGGTGTGGTCCTGACGGTGACTGCTTTGGTGACTGCTATGGCCCAATCAGAGTTGGAGGCGTTCAGCGGGTGTTATCAGAAGTCTGTGGATATGTTGGACAAGGTGAGTAACATCGTGGTTTCGTGGTGGTAGCTGACAAAGTTCAGATCGTCTTTGAATCACATTACCCGCCAGAGTACATCTACTACAAGGTCCCCAACCCTTGGCTTCAAGTCAAGCTCCTCCGCCTTCTCCAATACTACCCACCCTCCGACAACCCTCAAGTCACAGATATCGTCAATGGCATAATCCAAGCAATCATCGACTCTTCACAAGAGACTCCCCGAGTATGTCCACCTGCACCATGTTGGAACCAGCTAACACCCCGCAGAACGTCCAACACAACAATGCGCAAAACGCCGTCCTCTTCGAAGCCATCAACCTCGCCATTCACATAGAACCCTCCTCCCAAGTCGTCCACAACGCCTCCATCCTCCTCGGCCGATTCATCCTCGCCAAAGAAACCAACGTCCGCTACCTCGGCCTCGACGCCATGGCCCACTTGGCAGCTACGTCCAACTCTCTAGAAGCTGTCAAGAAACATCAGAATGTGATCATCCAGGGATTGAAGGATAGGGATATCTCGGTGAGGAGGAGGGCGCTGGATTTGTTGTATTCGATGTGTGATACGTCGAATGCGAAGGTTGTTGTGGGAGAGTTGGTTAGGTATTTGCATGTGGCGGATTATAATCTGAGAGAGGATATGGTGTTGAAGATTGCCATCTTGACCGAGAGGTTTGCTTCGGAGGTGCGTCTGCTTCTTCTTGATCATTTGGGGCTTTACTGAACAAAGACGCAGTATGAATGGTACGTCGACACCATTCTGCAGCTCATATCCGCTGCTGGCGACCACGTCGGCGCCGAAGTTTGGTACCGTGTCGTCCAGCTCGTCGTAAACAACGAGGGAGTCCAAGACTACGCCGTACGGGCCGTCTACAAGCATCTCCAAGCTACGGCATGTCACGAGAATATGATTCGCGTCGGAGGATACATTCTGGGAGAATTTGGACATTTGATCGCGAATGATCCTGGGTGTAGTCCGGTGGAGCAGTTCCAAGCGTTGCACTCTAAAGTCAACTTGTGTACCGCGCCCACACGAGCTCTTCTTTTGACGACCTACGTCAAGGTAAGTCACCGACTTTTGCGCAGATGATCACTGACAAGGCTTTTCAGTGGGTCAACCTTTTCCCGGAGATCAAGGAACATCTCATCAACGTTTTTGAACGCTACACCCACGTTCTCGACGCCGAGCTCCAACAACGAGCCTGCGAATACCTCGCCCTCGCCCGCCGATCCGAAGACGACGACCTCCTCGCCACCATCTGCGACGAAATGCCCGTCTTTCCCGAACGCGAGTCTGCCCTCGTCAGCCGGCTCCACAGCCGCGGCGAAAAGGCGCAGGACAAGCGGACGTGGGTCATCGGCGGGAGGGAAGAGAACAGTCAGAGAGAGTTGCAGAGGTTCAAGACGTTCAGGAAGGGCACTGGGGATTCGGGGGGAGTGTTGGCGAATGGGTCGCCGGTGGCGGCTGCTGCTGTTCCGGCGCCGGTGCAGGCGGCGACGCCTGAACCTCGTCAGCCGCCACCTCGATCGTCTAGCGTTCAGACAGACACGCTCATGGGCCCATCATCAGGCCCGACAGAGGACATCATGTCTTCCCTTGCCGACCTCGACCTGACGGGGAATAACGTACAAGATCAGCCGCTGTTGCCGGACGCGACGGGGTATGCGTCGGATTTGGCGACGTTGTCGATAAATCCGACGGGTATGCCGCTGCAGCCTGATGTGACTGGGGTCAATGGGGGAAAGATGGTGCATAATGCTACGCTTGGTGGGGTGAACCCGGCTTTGCTTGCGCCTTTGACGGTTGCTGATGGCTTGGAGAAGGTGAGTAACAACGCAATGTGTCCGCGACATACTGACGCGCCTTGCAGTGGTTGGAGAGGCAGACTTACGCCAATGAGGGTATTCTCTTTGAAGACTCGACGCTTCAGATCGGTGTCAAAGCCGAATATCACGGCCACCTCGGTCGTCTCGCCCTCTTCTTTGGAAACAAGGCCGGGTCCCCACTCACCTCATTCCACGCCCTCATCGACAACCCTTCCCCCTCTGCCCTCAACATCCATTTCCACGACACCCCCGTTGCCGAAGTCAAGGCCAAGGCGCAGATCCAAGAGATGATACATGTAGAGTGCAAGGACGTGTTTGCGAGGGAAGGAGGGACACCGTTGTTGAGATTGAGCTACTTTGTAGGAGAGGATAGGAAGATTTTGGTATTGAGGCTGCCGGTGTTTTTGAGCAAGTTTGTGGAAGGTGTGCAGCTTGAATCAGCGCCGTTCTTTGAAAGATGGAAGATCATTGGAGGTGCGTTTTATGGTTTCTGATATCGACCACAGCTGACATGATGCTCCAGGCCCTCCTCGAGAAGCTCAGAAGATCTTCCCTATCAAAGTGTCATCAACAGGTGCCGTCGACGCCGCCAGAAACGCCCGTATTATCAGCGGAAATAGGCTGTCCGTCTTGGCCGATATTGATCCCAAGCCCGATAATATCGTTTTCGCCGGTGTTTTGCATACTTCTGGGGCTGGTAAAGTGTGAGTTTCTTACTTAGACCAGATCAATAAAACCTTTGCTGACGGACTCGCTATTAGCGGCATTCTGGGTCGAGTTGAACCCAACAAGGACGCCAAGCTCTGTCGATTGACAGTCCGCAGTACCAACGAGCTCGTTTCTGCCGAGATACTGGCATTAACGTCAAAGCCTCTGGACGTCGACGTAGCTGCGTCGCTCTAACGAATGAGGATCAGTGCATATTGTGCGAGGACGTTGTAGCATATCCGATCTGTTTGGGAAACGAGACGAATTTTTAAACCACTTATACCTTTCATCTTTATTCGCCCTAGTCAATGCAAAATGGCATTCATGAATTGCTATGATATATGAAAAAAATGCGTTTCATGCTTCTAAAGTCATCGTCGAAGTACATCAATCATACTGTCGTAGATATACGGATTCGCTGCAACGCTACAACCTCAAGATCCTCGTACCCGTCTACTTTTCATTCTCTCTACCATTACCAGACACAATCAAGCGACAACATCACAATCACCCAGTCCTAGCACATTCACTAATTCTGTACCCTGTACCCCAACCTCATACCTCTAATCACCACGGTCTCTGCGCCGGTAATGTACTCTGCCACCCGTCTGGTGGTTGCATTGTATTGGGCAATGATGGCGGAGGAGTGTACCAAGTCTGCTGAGGCGCTTGTTGGTGTTGCTGCTGAGCAGCCGCCTGCACCAGCGTATGCGATACAACCCCATCCTTGGGCGGCGGCTGTGGACTTGCCGCTCGCCCGGGAGCCGCACCCGAAGAATCGCCAGCGACTCCCAAATTCTGCATATACGTCCGCCAGTCAACCTTTGCTGGAGGGGTGTTTGACACAGCCTGTTGCTGGATGGGAGCAGCAAGTGGAGCAACGTAAGACTGAGCAGGATGAGGGGGCTGGTAGCCTTGCTGTTGGGGAGGTTGCGGTGATGGCTGACGGTCATTCACCGGCTGGGGAGTGGAGGATGGCGGGTAGGAGTTATACGGAGGTTGGTAGCCCTGGGTTTGGCTCTGCCATGGCGCCTGGGACTGTTGCGGTTGGGGTGGCTGGGGCGTTTGCGAGGGATGAGCAGCCTGTTGACCGACGTACGTGGGATGTTGGGGGACAGGAGGCTGTGGAGAGGGCGCACGGCCGTAAGCAGTTTGCTGAGGAGGCGTCTCCCAGTTCTGCGAGGGCCGGTGCTGATGCTGCTGTGGCGGCTGGGGTGTAGGAGGATACGGCGCCTGCTGAACAGCATACCCAGCATCCTGAGCAACAGACGGCTGCGGTGAAGGGGTTCGACCATAAGTCGCCTGCTGGGATGGGGTTTGCCAGCTCTGTGCCGGCTCACGCTGATGAGAATGTTGGGCAACCTGCTGATGAGCAGGCGGTGTTTGCCATTGCTGCTGCTGAGCATTCTGCCCTTGCCCTTGTCCTTGCCAGTTTTGTTGCCCTTGAGATAAACCCCCAGGTGGAGTAGGCGTAGGCGTCCGTGAATCTAGCGGTTGGGCATACAGTTCATCAGACGGATAATACCCCACACTCGGCTTCACCGGCGGTGCAGGTAGAGTTGAAGGCCGTCTCTCCGGTACAGGAGGTGGTGGTAGAGAATAAGAGTGTTGGGGTTGGGGAGGAGCACGACCATAGGACTGCCGTGGCACCGACTGTCCGTACTGGTCTGCGTAAGATGGCGTAGGCGGAGGTTGAGGCACAGCCTGAGGAGCCTGAGTAGACTGAGTCTGCTGATACCACGGCACATAACCTCCCTCGTTCGTTTGCTGCTGCTGCTGCTGCACAGGGGGAGCGGGCGACAATTGTCTCGGAGGCTGCGTCGAAGATTGCGAGTAAGAGTACGAATGCGCCGGCACCTGCACAGGGGGCGGCTGGGTATGAGGGGTCGAGTAGTACGACACGGGGCTCGCAGAGGGCTGAGGAGGCGCATACGCAGGATTGTACCCTTGAGCAGACGGGGGTGTCTGCTGGTAGTCTTGTGCGGGATAAGAGTCGCTCCTTGTAGGGGTGCCGTACTCGGGTTGTGAGCCATAGCCGTTCGGTACGGTATGCGCTGGGCTCTGGTAGGCAGTAACTGGTTGAGAAAGAGGGGGCTCGGCTTGGGGCTGGTAGTAAGTTGGCCCTGGGCTTTCCGCTCGCACAGATTCAGCTGGCGGTTGAGCCAGACCGCCATAAGATGACGCTGGCACACCACCATAGTGACCATTGGGAGGCCTCGTGGGAGGGGCAGAGTGCGAGAGAGGCGGGGGAGCAGGTGTGGGCGGCTGATGAAGATACTGTGTAGGTGCCGAAGCAGGAGGGGGCTGGGAGTAAGGCTGATGAGCCAGCTGAGGCGGTCCACCCGGTCGGAGCGATGCGGGAATGGGCGACGCCGCTCTGTAATCCTGGCTCGGCGTTGCTTGAGTCATAGGCGGTATCAGACCCGGTGCGCCCCCATACCCTTGTGATTGGACCGACGTCGGTCTCGGCATGGGAGTCGCAGCAGACCTCAGCCTCTCCATTTCCAATCTCTGCTGTTGTTCCCAAGACATCGCGTCGCTCGTTGATAGGGGTCGTGGGTGGGGTGTGGGTGCGGGGGCGAGCTGTGATTGAGGAAGCATGGAACCCCATGGCGCGTCTGATGGACCTCCAAAGGAGTGACGATGGGCCCCGTAAGAGTGACCTAAGCTTGACGCAGAGGCTGCAGGCGGCGCCGGAGTAGACGATTGAGGTGGGTATTGGGCGGGCGGGTTGAGCGACATTGATGTCATCGGTCTAGTGAGGGATTCTATAGAGTTACCGCCACCTAAAGAATGTGAAGGAGTGTGCCGGGGAGGGTAGCCCGCTTGAGGCGGCTGCTGTAAAAGTGTCAGTGATGCCCATGTTTGGGAAGACCATACACACATTTATAGGGAGAGCAGAACCAGGCCTATGTCCAGGAGGCAGTCCTAAATCTCCAAAGCTATTCGAGGACGGTACGGGCGAAGGTACACGCGCAGCTTGAGCCGCGTACGGAGGTATGTAGAGATTGGCTCCCGATATGCTACCCCCTTGACCCAACGACGGTAGACTGCCCTTTCCTGCAACTGAATTCAAGCTCATGGAGGACCCAGAAGCCAACAAACTCCCTGCCGTGGAATATCCAGGGATTGAGGGTCTTGGTACATTCCGGCGTACAGGCGGAGCATCCTAGAAAGCGAGTCAGCAAATGCTTGGCCAAAGAGGGCACTACGCACGTTTGAGAAGAAAGTGAGCTCGAGATAAACTTCGCCGCTGTATTTGTCTCTGTATTGAAATTCGTACCACTCTGTGCAGAGTCAGTGTTGCCCCACCGCGTAGGGTGAGAACTTACCATCGACTTCTCCCTTCTTCAGCGCCTCATCAAGATCGACCACACAATCTCCAATCAACTCTGGCTCCTTCGCATCATCCGCATAGCACTGTATTCTCATACTCTTCCCGCCCTTCTTCTTTCCTTTCCTACTCTTGCTGGCGAGGGCGGCGGATGTGATGACTCCAGAATCTTTGGGGAGGGGTGCCGGCTTGCCATTCAGAGACCCATTGAGGTCTTCGGATTGAGAGTCGGACCGCTGAATGACGTCGTCGACATCTTCGAATATCGAAAACCTAAGCTCTTCGTCCCATTCTGGGTGTTGGCCACCTCTGCAGCAAAAGGCATCAGCATAGCCCTATATTTGCTGCGGCCAAGACGCACCGCTTGATCGGCTTGGTTTTCTGCTTCTCTTCGCCGATTGCCAGAGTACAGAATGGATCTTGTTTTCCGAATCGAGATTTGTTGGGAAGGTTGCGCTGAGGAATTTAGTCAGTCTTGCAAAGAACGATCATGCAGGGAAGGCCGAGGGACTCACCGCTTTGCCGACTACTACGACGAGAGTGCCAAGCTCCCTGATTTCGACCTCATCGGAGCCCATTCTCTGAATCTCTAGTGGTAATCCGTATACTGTCATGCTTGTCAGCTGTTATCCACATCAGAGCAATCCGCACTCACTCAAAAAAAAACACCAATCTTCACGTAAACAAAGATACCGCGGTGGTTAACCAGCCGCTGATGAGGATCTGTTGATGGCTTCTTCGCAAAATAAACGCTGCTCAGCAAGTAGCGACACTGTCAGCTCTGCCGTTAACTTGTGCAGTAATGGGACCCGGTGGCGGCGATGCAGGGGCCTGCTGAAAGAGAAAATATGGGTTTGGGAAAGCCAAAAAGACAACACGTACTACACGTACAGCGCGTCGGGGTGTTGTTCAAGATAGGCTCACAGAGACAATTACGTAAAGACAGGCGCGCGAAACGCGTAGTTAGGCTTGAGCAGTGGAAGAGATCCGCAGCTGACGTTGGCCGAAAAGCGCTGTACGAGTGCTGTAGAGTACAGTATACAAAGCCCTTGTGTTCTACCCAATCAGGGACCATTGGATGATACAAGGAATCGGGATAGTGTACAAGGCCAGACCATGAATCTAGGTTGAGCTTACAGGGCCTCACCTGGGGATAAGCTGCCTGGACGGTCGACTGGAAGGAGGCCGGCGCTGATTTGCAGTCTTGTCATTAACTGCTTTTGATCAAGTATTCCTCTGTAGTCCTGTCGATAGAGCCCACGTTCGAGGTCGAAAGTTGAGTGAACACCCCAAGTGGCTTCATTGTCACGTGATATCGACGGAGGGCGCCGCAGCACCGTCACCGGAGCCGGTGGTTGTGATGGACAACGAAAATCGTGGACAATATCCAGCGCAAGCCATCTCCCGTTAACATCAGTCAACATGGCCAAAAATAAGGGCAACTCAAAGCAGGCAACCAACACTCGCCGCCCCAGTGCAGGGCCTCTGATCCCTACACCCGACTCTGCCCACGCCATCGCCCACGTCCCCACTCATTCTACAGACGAAAAGCGGGACCTCAAGTCTGCCAATGGCACCGGCGCCAATACGCCTGAGGAAGTCGAAGATGACGTCTGCTTTATCTGTGCGGAGCCTATCCAGTTCTGGAGTGTGGGTATATGTGGTCACCGGACTTGCCAGTGAGTCATTTTCACCTCGTCAAAGAGATAAGGGCGCTGACGACAGGTGATCAGTGTTTGTGCTATTCGACTGAGGACATTCTACAAGAAGGACCACTGCACTTTCTGCAAGACAGAGCTACCGACTGTCTACTTTTCCAGACTGCCCACCGCCGTCTTCCCAGACGAGAATCACCTAACGCCGTCGCCTGCTGCAAAGATCGCAAAAGCAAAGGCCGAAGCCAAGAAGGATGAAAAATGGCAGAAGGGGCTGATCCTGCCTGGCACTCTGGACTTGGGAGCCTTTCCCTATGTGGATGACAAGCTCGGGGTGGTGTTTGAAGATGAAGACATGGTGCGTCGTCAGGCAACCCCCAAGACATGACTAATCAGTATCATATAGATGGAAGCTACCCTCACTCTCCTTCGCTTCAACTGCCCTTACACTGATTGTGGTTTCCAAGCAGTCAACTGGGCTTCTCTCGAGCGCCACACTCTTTCCACCCACGGGCTTGTCCTCTGTACACTCTGTCGGTCCCAGCTCTCCCGCTTTGCCCACGAGCAAACTTTGTACCCGCCGCATCTATTGCCGCTGCACGATCCCTCCAGGGTCAAGAGGGGACAGAAACCGCCAAAGACGAGGAATGCACAGGAGGCTGATCTGGTCAAATCTTGGGAGGCGCCGCACCCTGTCTGCGAGGTGAGTCCCAACCCCACGGACATGGGGGTGGAGCTGATATCATCATAGTTCTGTCACCGCGCTTACTTTGGCCCCGACGACCTTTTCAAACACATGCGCATCGACCACGAAGAATGCCACGTCTGCCGCGAACAAGGCAACCGCCACGTCTACTTCGAAAACTACATTCGCCTCGAGCACCATTGGCGAGACGACCACTACCCCTGCTCCCAACCGCAGTGTCTTGAAGACCGGTTTGTGGTCTTTGGGAGCGAGTTGGATTTGAGGGCACATATGATGGAGGTGCATGGGAATCAGATGAGTGCGAGGGATAGGGCGCAGGCAAGGACTTTGCAGCTTGATTTCAGCAGGCCTTCTGGTGGAGAGAGTTCGGGTGGACGAGGGTTCTCACTTGGTGGTCGGAATGCGGGGTCTTCCACAGGACCGTCGAGGATGCGTAACGACGGACCCCAAGTTCAGGCGTTGGACGATACACCTGCTATGACCCCGGCGATGATTGCTCAGCAGAGGCGGCAGATGGCTGTGGATCGAGAAGGAGGGACGGCGGGGGCCAGTAGTAATCAGAGTGCGAGGAGGAGGGGATTCGATGGAGGGTTGACTCGGCCGGCGGGGCAGGCGACGAATGGACCGGCGAGGAGTGGGCCAGCTACACCTGTCACTCCTGCCGCCCCTCGGGAAGATGTCGACGACGTGACCGTCTCGTAAGTTCCACATGTTATAAGACTCACTGAAGCTGATATTCTCCCAGGCGACACGAAGAACTCCTCTCCCGAGTGACCATGCTCACCGGCGACTCTCCCACCAAACTCGCTTCTTTCCGACACGCCGTCCGATCTCTTAAGACCAACGAATCTTCTCCTCGCGACATGATCGACACCATCTTCAACGGTGTCTTTGAGCTCGACCTCGACGTCACTGTTGCTATAGGCCGCGAAATCGCCAAGCTCTTTGCCAGCGAGGGCGACAAAGACAAGGAAAAGAGCATTTTGGAGGCGGTGTCTGGGTTGAGAGCGGAACAGGCGAACGAGTTCCCGTCTCTCTCTACCGGATCTTCCCAGACTGGGTATGGTAACCACTATGCCGGTGTCGCTTCCGGTACCGTCCTGAACGTCAAACGTGCGACCAGGCCGTCGGCCGGTCAAGGACGGGCTGTCTGGGACCGAGTGCAACAGGCGGCAGAGAGGGGTGCTGCAAGCCGGCCAGCACCGAGGGCCACGACTGGCGTCGGTGGCAGGTGGGTGCCGGGCGCTACTACAAGCCGCGCCAGTCCGGGCTCGGAAGCTTTCCCTTCTTTGGGTAGCTCTTCCGCTGGGCCTTCTGCGTCTTCGTCCAGACAGACGTGGGCGTCGGGATCAGCTGGGCCTTCTACGTCAAAAGCGCCTTCAGCACTCGTCCCCCAGATCCGGTCCGTCAACAACCCTTCCAACCCTAGCACCGGCCGGAAACCCAAAGCGCCCAACCTTTCGTCTTTCCCGTCGCTTCCTTCTTCGAGTAAACCGAAGAAGACGACCAAGGAAGAGAGGCTGGCGTTGATTGGCAAGCCTCAAGGGAGGGCTGCTGCTGCTGAACAGCCAGAGCTTGGGCCGAGGGAGGCGATGGAGGGGCTGAGTATTGGGGAAAGGCCGGAGGGTCAACAGGGAGGTGGTAAAAAAGGAAAGGGGAAGGGAAAGCAGACGCTGTTTACTATTAGTGCTAGACCTCAGTAGATGCACTCTCTTGCATGGATGTAGATCTTGGAGGGCGTCTCTTTGATTAAGGGTTACATGTTTACAAGGTGGATAGTATACAGACAGGAAGAGCTGAGTAGCTTATTCGGGAAGTATCGTCGGTGCGACGAGAGGTTCGGGTCTTTGAGGCATCAATCAGTACGAGCTCAAACGAAGGAGAGAAACGCACCGTAAAGAGAAGACCACCTTCTTCCTCACAATCCCCACCACCGTATAGTGTCTCGTTCTCTCCGTCCCATCACCTCTCTTTCTTTTTCTCTCCTCCTTCTTCGCCTTCCTAGCATCCGCCAGCTTTTGCCGTTTTCTCCGCTCTTCAGCCTCAGCTTCGTCTTCTTCGCTGTCAGAGTATGGGCGTTTAGAGCTAGAAGGCGCTATAGGGGACGACATTTCGATATCGGACGAGTAGTCTCGGGGTGTAGAGGGAGGTAGGAAGGGGGAGCTGGTTTGAGGGTGGGCATTTTCTCTTTCAGGAGTCCCGTCCTTTGTAGGCGGAAAGAGCGGCCCTTCGTCCTCGTCCTCTTCATCATCATCATCTTCCTCATCTTCTTCATCCGAAGAACCCTCTTCGTCGGCGGCCCCTTGGACTGCTATGCCCTTGCCTTTTTCTGACGCCAGAATAGATGAGGAGGCAGCAGGGTCCCCGACAACTCGGCGGATAACAGCATAAGGCTTTTGGAGCTTTGCGAATTTGCCGTGGAGGAGATGATGCGGTCCGAGATGTAATGTCGGTTTATCCTGCCATTCCCGTCAGCCCTATAGCCGGGCACAAAGTGTTCTCCTTACTGGACGATCTAACCCAATGACACCGACCACGCCCCCAGATTTTTCGCCCTCCCAACTGAGCTCGCCCTGCAACTCGACAAGGACGAGGTCGCCGCCCAGCTGGACGAGGGGCGAGTCGGAGGGAGAGGTGGTGGGCTGTTTGAACTGGGAAGGGTGGAGGGGAAGGTGAATACGCATCGTCGAGAGATTAAATTGGTGAATGTAAGGCCAGCTAAGAACATTTGGAGAACATCAACCAGAGACGATGGACGCGTTTGACGCGTTTAATAATAAGGCACTATGGGCACGGACAACCGCCTGAATCTTCAACTTGTAGACTTTTTGAATGCACATTTTGAGAATGAGCAAGATGATTTGGCAGAGAAGAAGGGTGCCTGTACAACATCCCTGACATGACGGTACGATCTAGAAGTATTCCTAGCCTCTTTCAAACGTCGACATGTTCGCAGCAGTGCCATTTGTGATCCTCCTCGGATCGCTGTTCCTCCAATCACTCTCAAAACTTTTCAGCCATATAGTTCAGGTTGTCTCGCTTCATTTCAAAGGTAACCTCTCTCTTCAATCGACTACAAGCCCAAACTTCCATTTTGCTGCGGTCAAAGTCAGTAAAGTACCCCCATTCACCGTCGTAGGCTTCAGCAATATTACCTGTCAGCACAACATTGATCAGAGGCCACAGTAAACTCATTGGAGCCGATCTGGTTGAGTTTGCCCTGTTGGATCAACTGTAGCGCCCTTGACCGTAACTTTGCTCCGTTCAAGACGCAAGTCGCGATCTCTCTCTCTGTATCCCATCATACGTTTCAAGGCGGCGGGGGTTTCCAATATCCTTGCGGCCAACTATGTTTCCTCTGCAATCTTGTCTTCCTTTTCCTTCTCTGGCAGCCCTTCAAAGTCGGAATTCTGAAACCAATGCTGAGGACCACCGTAAGGTAATCTGTGTGGCCAGATACCGTCGACGGCCATATAGCGCTGCTTGATATCCTCAGGGATGATCTCGCATCCTTCCTCCTTGACCCACTGCGATCTCCGTGAGAGACGATATGAGACTTGAACTGCAATCAATCGCCTCAATCTTGTCAATCAGCTCCGCCATCTCTGCACACTGCTCGGGGGAGAGGCCGATGATGAATTGTGCGATTTGGTGGCCTAAACAGGGCGGATCAGAGCCCAAATGGTTGTACATGGCCCTGTGCTTGTTGTTGCGGAGAATGTAGCCAATGAGGCCGCGGGTGCCCATGGTAACTGTGAATCGGTGAGGACTATGGGATGTTTGGTGAAAGAACAGATAAATCCGTCGGCGTCCCGCACAGAAGTCACCAAAAAGTAGCACGAGTTCCGTTCGGGCGGCAAGCTCGACGCTGAGCAGGCAGGGCCCAGGGGAGTACATATCGACAAACGACTTCGGCGGCAGTATATATTGACCACAAGACAAATGCATGCGGCGCCCACACGCTGAACATGAGGAAACCCAACGCGTAAATCAGGATCTCAGGGAAGAGAGCGCGATTCTTACGCGGATTATTAACCTTCTTTGTGACGCGTCTGCACCCTGACTTGGTCTCACCGCCCGGCGGTCCGAGGTGACTCTTCATGATGTTGGGCTCGGCCACCATACGTACATACATAACCAGACGGCACAGTCATGACTCATGAGGGAGGGTCAAAGGAGAGGATGTATGCCCAGTTGGCCTTGCTCAGGGTCCACTGTGAGTATGGCCGGTCTTGATCCGACGGATAGAGAGAGTACATACTCATAGTCATGTCCATTCCAAAAATACTTGTGACAGTCAATCTATCGCTATCCTCCCCAAGGCCAAGATGAAGAGCCTCGGATGTGCATAGCTGAAACACGGCCACCCCTATGCCTAGTCTGTTTAGCTGACGAAAGAGATCGACCATTAAAGAGAACAAAGGGAAAGACGAACCGTCGCAAGTGACGTAGAGCGCTATCAAAGGTGAACGTCCTCAGATAGAAACCAAGCATTAGACCGGCCGATCATCCAAAGGGGGCCATGTCGACAAGGCCGAGAGAAAGAGCATGGGAACCTATGCCAGGGCAAGTTGAGTGAAGGTGGTGAAAGGGTGTTCTTGGTATAGCTGCGGGGGCTCAGGAGGGCATGGCGGACTGAAACAGGGGGTAGCAAGAGTTCGGCATTGTGAAGATGACGCATGGTCGATGTATGGGTGCATATACCAGTGACAATGCTATGAAAGTACGTACCCCACCACACAGCTGCAGGGCGAACGAACGAACAAAAGGGTTCAAGTGACATTTTTGGTTTGGCTTGACGCGTCGTGTGCCTAGACATCGATCCATCAGATCCTGCGCTGCCGCTTTGTCGCTCTTTTACAACCGAATTGTATCTCATTTCTCTTTCTTTCTTTATCCTTCACTTCTCCCACCCTCCCCTACCGCCCTCTACGCGCAAACTCACCCCCACTCGCACCGTCTACATTCTTGCGCAGGTAAGCCCCCTTCGTCCTCTTCGTGCTGTGTTCCCTGGTAGCGCCATGCCTGCCGGCTAGAACTGCGCACATGCCCCCGCCATGACACTCCCGCTGACAGTCCTGTTTTCACTCAACATTAGGTCGCAGCATCCTTTTGCGCATATAAACACATTCATTAACATCCCACTCGTCTTTTCTTCATCCCTCCAGCTCTTTGCCGTTTCTGCCCCGACATCTCTCAGAAAGCAGGCTTTGTACGCTTTGACGAAATCAACGACCTCTACGACTCTGTAACGACCTCACGTGTATCCCACAACAAAATCGCATCATGGTGACTCCCACTCTCGCGCTCTTCTCCTCCCTCCTTGCCGCATCCAGTGCGCTGGCGCACATCCAAATGTCATGGCCCTACCCCCTGCACAGCTCCCTGAACCCGGCCACCCCTGAGGCTCTGAAGGACTACTCTATGACAAGTCCGCTGGTTACCGACGGAACGTACCCTTGTAAAGTGAGTTGATCATCTACTCTGCTAGGACAAAGAGATCTCTGCCTTTCCGTTTTCCGATATTTTCCTAGCCTTCCTTCCGCTAACGTCCTTCCAGGGCTTCATCACCACTGCCGATGACATGGGTTCCAACGCCGAATGGTCTGCCGGTTCTACCATCAACTACACCCTTGTTGGTACTGCTACCCATGGCGGCGGTTCTTGCCAGCTCTCCATGTCCTACGACAACGGCGATACCTGGTCCGTCATCTTCTCCCATATCGGCGGGTGCCCCATGGAGGAGGCCTCCATGACCACCGACGTCACCATCCCCTCCGACGCTCCCTCCGGCCAAGCTCTCTTTGCTTGGGGCTGGTTCAACCTCCAGGGTAACCGCGAGATGTACCACAACTGTGCTCCTGTGACCATCACCAACGGCGGTTCGGGTCTTACGAACACCGACGACTATCCCACCCCCTTTGTCGCCAACGCCGATGTCAATGACTGTGTCACCATCGAGAACACTGCCGTCGTCTTCCCCAATCCGGGCAAGACTGTCAAGTACGGTGGTGACTATTCGTCTTCGCAGCCGACCGAGGCGGCGGGCTTCACGGGAAGCAACTGTGTGGGACCCAACGCTAGCTCGTCAAACTCTTCTTCGGGTTCGAGCTCGGCGTCTTCTTCGGGTGCTGCCACAGAGGCTTCTACCGCCGCTTCTGAGTCTACTGCCGCTAGCGGTGTGTCTGCCTCTGCCGGTATCTCCATCAGCCTCTCGGCCTCTCTCGGTGTCGGCGAAAACGCCCAGGCCACATCTTCCTCCTCCTACGTCGACGCTTCTTCCCCTTCATCCGTCTCCGTCTCTTCCTCCGCCGCCTCCGCCACCACCACCTCTTCATCGACCTCCTCTGGCAAGTCCTGCAAAGCGAAGCGCGCTCTCAAGGCCGCCGACAACGCCCGAGCCCGTCATGTCCGCCGCGCTCCCAAGCGATTTGCCGCTTCCAAAGCTTCCCACTCTTCCTCCAAGCGCGATGTCTCCCCCGAGGCCGTTGTCCAAAAGAGGGATGGCAAGAGGTATGCTGCTAGCAAGGCTTCGCACGCGTCGGCGGAGAAGAGGACTGAAGGAGCTGGCTTTGAAGGCAGGGCGGGGGTCAAGAAGTCTGCGGCTAGCAAGGCTTCGCATCCTAGGGATGTTAAGCGCGGGCTCGTTGGCAGGGGCATCTTTGAGACTTCTTCATGAGCTTGCTCTGGACATGACTTCGGGGTCTGGTGAAGTGTTAACTTGGACCGATCTTGAGGAAGCGAGTACAGGTTACTTGTCCTTCTTCCATCTCCTCTTTTTCCCCTGGTCGAGCAGGGATAGCAGTGCTATCATCTCGGCTTTTGTATATAACGATCTCTGTTTGTCCTGGTATCCTTCGCTGTGCGGGGGAGAATGTATATAACGAGTCATCTTTAATTTTTGCGAAAGTTTCATGCATGGTCGTGTCTTTCGTGCTTTGCTCAGGTTTCTAACCACGGCATTGATATCTGACAGACCGTGTACTGTACATATGCAAATGCAAGCTCAATGATTTATGAATCTGACGTCGAGGCCAGATACATACAGTAGGCCAAACATCAATCGGAGGGCACATAGCAGATGTACACAGATACGAAAAGCAAACGTTGGATGATGGTTGCGGCCACGCGCCATGACAGAGCGACAGTGCGTCGGAGCAAGCCACTCCAGGAAAGGAGGTGGAAGTAGCTCAGCCCGAGGATCATCGGTGGTGCATTGGCTGAATGGCATAAAGCCGGGGTTGATGGAGACAGGGGCGTAAAGTTCCCGCCTCAGCATACCCCATAGCTCATATACTACCACCACCACACTCTAAGGGGCCACCAATCATCACAAGATCTTCACACCAGCAAGACATGTCCCACCAGAACAAGGACATCGCTGCTATCGTTACCACTGCTGTCGCTGGCGCTGCAGCTGTGGCCCCCAAACGTAGTGGTAGGGACGGTTCTGAGTGCTGCTAGTTTTGGCCCAGGCGGAGTTGGCGCCGGTGAGTTTCATTTTTGGGCGATCCTGTCTAGAAAAGTGTGTTCACGCCTCGAATGCCTCTGATAGGGACCGCAGAGCGCAGGAGCGGGCGGGGCTGCTTTTGTCGTCCTGGGCACAGGCGTGACAGTGATTGCCGCACCCATTGCAATTGTGGCTGGGGAGTTTTGAGTTTGGCGTGTTGTGAGGAACAACAAGAGAAATGGGATGTATATAGGTAGTTCAGTTGCATGCAATGAGCGGCAATGCTGGGTTTTGAGAACAACAATAATCGTGCAATATAAAGATGGATCATGGGAGGAGCCCTAGAAGAAAGTTCTAGGGTGGTGGAGGGTCTGGTCCTACTCGTCGTCGTCTGTCAACCTGCTGCATCACCCAGGCGCCAGAAGAGGGCCATCCCGCTTTCATATGGGAGCACGTCGCAGTCCACGATTAGTGCGGATGGATGAGCGAGAAGAGATATATAGCAAATTGTGACGCAGAGTGACATACTGACAAAAAGTGAAAGCGGGAGAAGCAACATATTGGAGTGGCGCGGGTCTGACGAGAGAGTCGCGCTATACAAGGTTGAATGGTGGTTATAAGCAGCTCCAAGTCCCCATTTCCATTCTCCGGCTTGTATCCCAACACCTTGTTTCTTATTATCCCCCCACACTCTCATAACTTACAACAACAAATATATCATTATGGAAGCTGCTGGTTTCACCGCTGCAGGCATCAAAGCAGGTGCGTATCCGTGTGGGGCAAAACTTACACGTTTCATTTTACCTCTACCTTGTACAATTTCGCAAACCCTTTCTACAAACCACCACACACTGCTGTATCTCATTCTGTAGGCAGCGCCGCTGCTGCTGCTCAAGCTGAAATTGGAAACGTCGCTGCCGGCAGCACCTTTGCTGGCTTGCAGAGCGTGGGTGCTGGAGGCGCCGCAACTGGGTTGTTCAGAACTGTTGCAAAAGCTGTTGGGCTGGGGGTTCTGTTTGGGCTTTGATCGTTGTGATGTACGAAAGGCTTTCTCGGGGTTTTGAGTGTTTGTTTGAAACCAGTTCGTAAGGTACAAAGGTCTGATACAACAACATGTATTGAATGGCGAGTGGCTGGCGGTGGCTGATGCAATGGGCCTTGTCCTTGTCAGGAGCTTGGAAGATAGTGTGGCGCAAGCTTTTCACATAGCCCATGGAATCACGGGTACACAGGAGGCCGAAAAAATGTTCCAAATAGATGTAACATGAAAGTGATATGTTCACTGATGATGATGGTAAATCTGGGGACCAGCAATTTCTCCAGTTGCGTGGTGGTTGCATGCGCTCCAGTTTGCGACTTCGCCCCGTTCCCCGTGGAGTCCTTTCGCCGGAGTGGCTTGTTCCGGTGTGCACTCTAGAACCATCACCAGCTCACCGCCCTAACGTTAATTCTGCATGAACCTCGGTTTACGATATGTACCCGCTGTTATTAACCATGGGCCCGGGAATAATAAATCAAAAGGAATACATGCAGGTCCTGGTGCCCACCCTTCTCCTCTTTGCAGACTTAAATCGACTCAAGCTACACGACCATACATCAGAGCATGGGCACCAAATTTCCTGCGTTCATTGCTACTGGTACTGCCCTTACTGTACTTGCTGCGGGTCCTATTGTAGGAGGAGGACTGGGACTGTTTGGCTTCGGGGCTGCTGGTGTGACTGCCGGTGAGTGTTGGCACCACACAATCTTGTTCACTCGCTTATCCTTCCCTCTAGGCTCCCTCGCTGCCTCGATCCAAGCTGGAATCGGCAACGTCGCTGCGGGCTCCTTGTTTGCCTTCCTCCAGAGCGCCGGGGCTGGCGGAGTGGCGCTCCCGGTCCTTACAGGTGTTGTCAAAGCCGTCTTAGCTACGGCTCTCTCCGCCGTTGGTGCAAAGAGTGTCTTGAAGCTGACCAGGAGGCATGTGGTGGCTGCTGTGAGGGTGGCCAGAGTGGCACTATTGAGGGAGCACCTCATTAGGCGAAGAGGGGTGTTCATCGGTGGTTCGGGTCATTAACAAAGCGTATCTCAGTAGATGCGCTGTTGACATGCAAATCTTATAGCTCCTTTCAGTAGAACCACCAGAGATCTTTGAGATTTCAGAGCATTTCGTCCTTACTTACGGCCGTACTTTTGGGCGACAGAGGCCCAAGTGACCATTCCCTGTTGACTGGCTCAGACTCAACCGTACCATGGACATTGATGACGAGGGGACGATGGACAGGAACCAAACCGCAGTACGCGTCGGCTAGCCAGAGCGTCAGCTTCAGAACATCATACGAGAGAAAAGGGGTGACACACTATTAGGCTGCGCCCAAGACTTGAGCCTCTCCACTTCCGCAGGGAACACACGGATGGCAGAGTTGGGTTTGTTGTCATGGATGACTGAGGACCAAGTGACGCCGATGGCCTCGTCAACCAGATACAGGGGGTTGGTTATGTTGGGATCAACGTAGAGAGAAATGATGACGGGAAAAAGATTGGCCGCAGTTGTAAGGATCCAGTGGTCAGGTCCCGGGGCGCGAGTTAACAAGTCCAAATACCAACATATGCATTACAATTCCGGAGCTGGAATTGTGATGCAGTGGATTTTGCTGCTCATCCGGTTAATTTATCTTACTTGGTACTTAGTTTCTTCACAGACTGGAGATTATACGATGATTCGAACACCATAGGCCGCAGCCTGTTCGGGTCAGGCGCTGAGATGCTGTCGGTGATGAAGACCCCAGAGCCGTCCGAGCGAGTAAACATTGTCGAGTGGAAAAGTGGTTGTGAGTGAATGAGATAGTGTAGTAGTGATAAGGCGACTGCTGGTGGATGGGTAGGCATCTTTGACCACGGAAACATTGCCTTTCATAGATCCTGGCACCACCGGCCAACTTCTGGAAACTGTTACATTGGCGAATGCTCTCGGAGAATGGAATCTTTTGAGGGGACTAACGGGAGCCGACGGTGAAACGAGAGTCGATGGTGTTAGCCCTGGTGTTGCTGCCGAGGGCAGTCCGGCTGGGGAGATCGTCGTCTACATTACCCGAAATGCTGGGGCAGGAACGGGCTACTGATGAGACGGTACGCGGGGCACGGCCTGGGGTGACAGATGGAGGTCTGGAAGGGGTAGCTCAGCCAGACATGGAGGGAGTGGCGCGGCCGGATAGAGTGTAGGAGGCTTGTGAACGATGGCATGAGGCAACGGAGGATGGGAGGCTCCTGTTGTTGGTTGGGAAAGTTTGACTGCTGTCACAAAGATACCACAGTTCGGTGGGCATGAAAAGTATTGCACACTGTAGTACATGAGCAAGAGCCGAGTTGAATGGGAGATCACGCACCCGCCGACATTTCCATCATTCTTGCCTTTTCCCTTGAACCCCCCTTCCAGCTCCACTCCCGCCCAGACGCCTTCTTTGAATTCTGTCGCTCCATAGAACCGCAGTGTCCCCTCGTACCCCATACTGCTGATCCTCACTCGCTCTCCCACCACAGGCACCCATTTTGGCGCTCGGCGCTGTCGCGAAGCCTCAACTATGGAAGCTTTGCGGGATGCCTCTTGAGATGCTTTCTCTCGCGCCACAGTTGATCGGAACGCGTGTATGCCTGCCTTGATGCCTCTGAGCTCATTATCGAGACGGACGTTGATGCCGGTGATGACTCGCTTATTTTTGGTGGCTGTGGAATATCTGCGGTACGCTGCTATCGACATGGTGGGTGAGAGTAAGGACTCGAGGGTGAAGAGGGGAAGGCGAGGCTGAGGATGAAATTGATTGCCGGCTATGTCTCAGTAGTGCAGTTACGCATCCAGAAGACAAGAAGAGTGGGCGCGGAGAATTCTGATAAGTTCCCGGTTGTAATGAGCTCAATAGGAAAATTCTTCTAATGCATTAGAAGAAGACGAGTGTTGCAAGAAAGTCACTTACGTAAGGGCTTATCCGGGCCCCGGGCCACCGCCGCCGAGATGGGTCGCCGGGTTGTCTGATGTGCTTTCAGCTCTCATTTCTATTCTTCTCTTTCTTTTGCATATGCATAGAAGTGCAACAGGTGAGCACAATATATCCATGGTGAGGTGTTTATACGCTGACCTCTGCAGCGATCGTATCGCCCCTCCAAACAGCCCTTGCTAATACACCTCGCTCCATTGGACCCATTTCCTCACGCACATCCAACGGCTCTATCTGGTCGCTCAATCGCCTACCTAGTACCACTCTATCACACCAAATCAGGTCACATAGCGCTTTTGCGAAGAACGTCTACATGGGCGACAACATCGTCAAGTGAGTTCCTGACGTCGAGGACGTCCTCGTCGTCGAGATCGTACTGATCTATCTTGCAGTTTCTTTGCGGGTCAGCCGCCTCTGAACAGGATCGCTTTCCAGAGGCATGAGCTCGAGAAAGTCAATCACCATCTCCACAACCCCGAGACTCAATTTTTCTTGTTCAAGTGCGTGCTTTTGCTTATCTATGTCGAATGATGTGCTCATGGTGTATCTAGGGATTTCAAGCCTCTTGTCAAGAAAGGAGAAGCTGCTCAGCCTCTATATCTCAAGAAGGATGATGTAAAGGATCTTATCGGAGAAGGATACCGAGGACCGTAAGCTCTCATTTTGATGTACCATGGCAGCGCTGACCCCAATTAAGCTCCCCTGGAGCCACACCCGAGATTTCCAAGATTAGCGAGGTCACCCGTCTCTCCCTCCCCAACCTCATCTTCCTCGGTATCGACGACCGCCAAGACCCCACCACCAACAAGTCCTCCGCTGTCGACCACCTCAACCCCAAGGGCACGCCCTACTTTGCCCTGGACGCCACGGGAACGAGCTTTGATGAAGCTGCCTTAGGCGGGGAATGGGGCGATCCCAGAGCTAGCGGAAGTGCATTCGGGGCGTGGGATGCTGGAGTATTTGCTGAGGCAAGAGCTTTGATTGACTGGAATGGAAGGAATAAGGTGCGTGCTTTCTTGTATAGCAGAATTAAGACTGACTTGAAGAAACAGTTCTGTCCCGCTTGTGGTTCCAAGACGTACTCTCTTTGGGCTGGGTGGAAGCGTAGCTGTACAACTGCTCTCAATCCTATCGAAGGCCAAGAACCTTGCTTCTCCACCAAAGGTCTGCACAACTTTGCATACCCTCGAACGGACCCTGTCATCATCATGGGTATCTTGGACTCAACTGGGGAGCACATGTTGCTTGGGAGGCAGAAGAGCTGGCCCAAGGGTAGGTCTTTTCCTAACATGAAATGTAGAGTATCTGCTGATTGTCTGATAGGGATGTACTCGTGTTTGGCCGGCTTTATTGAGCCTGGAGAATCATTCGAAGACTCTGTGCGCAGAGAGGTGCTCGAGGAAGCTGGTATCGAGGTCGGCCCTGTACGATAGTAAGTTGAACCCCCATCTTACCACGTGCGCAAAGCTGATGTTGTTCAGCTCTTCGAGTCAGCCTTGGCCTTTCCCTGCAAACTTGATGGTCGGCTGTTTCGGGCGTGCTAAAGACGGGCAGACGATCCGATTTGATCTCGATAACGAGCTTGAAGGTAAGCCATCAACCCCTCCGCTCTTTCTGCTACATGTCTGACTCTCATACAGATGCCCAGTGGTTCCCTCGCTCAACCATCCTCTCCGTCATCTCCAACCACGGCTCCTCCAACTACACCCGCGACGACCACAAGAAACTCGAAGACAAGAGTGACGCCGACAAGGCTACCGCTGGCGCTCTTGCACCCTCCGAGAGGACACAGGAAGATCTGGCGAAGAAGACGGAAGGGAAGGATGTGAAGGAGCTGAAGAGGGTACCGCCTGAGAGTGCTATTGCTGGGGTTTTGATACGGGAGTGGGCGAAGGGAGGGTTGGATCTTGTGAGCAAGTTGTAGGGTGACTCTTGTACGTGGACAAGTGTGTTAGGCGGGTGTTGCGATCATGTATAAAATTGGTCTTTCTTCACCAAGATGTGCCATGGAGGTGATGCATCCTGATGGTCCCCTGTAGGCTTTGCCTAGGGCTTCTCCCGATGCCCGAGGTCAACATACTAGGGGTGGTGAATGGGTGAGAAAGTTGTCATAACGGCATGTTGAGATACAGACCTGCGACGCCTTCCAGCAAGCAAGGCGGCGGGTCGGTAGTCACTAGTAGTTAGTACTACCCGGGCCAGGGAAGACTGAAGCGGTATGTGGAGGCGATTCGTCATTTCCTTTCTGCTCCGCATTTTTCCATTCCGCTCAGCTACACAAGCATACAATGGCCGAGATTCTGTCCTACCTGTTTCTCAGTGGGACTGGGGCTGGAGCGTATCTAACAACCTTGGCTGCGGGGACGGGATCGTATCTGTTGAGCTTGGCGGGCTTCGGGCAGGCTGGTGTGACCTCGGGTGAGTCAACCACATCTTGTCGTTTCAACTTGACTGGGCGAGAGAACATGGGCACTGCTGATGCCAATCCCGTATTCTTTTTCCTCGCGACTGCCCACCCCAATCATCGCCTGTGATAAACTCTTTGGACTTAACGACGGCTACCTCCCTACCTCATTGTAGGCTCTCTGGCCGCTTGGTTCCAATCTTACTTCCTTGGCGGCTATATCGCGCAGGGAAGTTGGTTCGCCTACCTCCAAAGCGTTGGTGCTGGCGGATTACCAGTTCTTTCGTGGTGTCAGAGTGCTTTCCTCGGATCGTTCACGGGATTTCTGACTTATCTCGGGTGGGGATGGAAGGAGCCTGAACCCGAATGGGGCTGGTTCAGTCCTGTTGTAAATTCTTGGAGAGCATACTGGTATCCCTAGCCGGAGAACATGTTCTGTAGATATGCGGGCCTGTGGTGTTCCTCATGACCGCCGGCATGAAGAAGTCTCGATGATGGAGGTGATTTGTTCTGCGTCAGCTGAGCTCGCACATACACCGACATAGATGAAAGTGTCTATAGTCTTGGCCTTTTTTCTGCCTCTGAATGTGTATGCAGTGGGATCATCTGTGATATCATTACGCTATGATTGTCCAGGGAGCAAAGAGGTAAAAGTCGAAGTTGGTGTACGAACTAACAGACTATATCAATATAAAAAACACACGACAAAACAAGCTAAGCAAGAACAAGCAGGCATCTCAAACGTCCCGTACGAGTAATCTTCTCAACATCCTTTACAGTAATACAAAAGACATATTGTCTTCATCAGAGCGCCAACCCAACCTCTTCCGTCTCAACCTCCAGTCCAAGACCCAACCCGCATCCCATCTCCATCCTCTCCTTGACAAAGTGCCCTCCAAACACAATCCCTCTCTCCTTCTTTTGCTGCGGCGTGCTCGCCCCAGCCGTCTTGCCTCCCATTCTCCCCCCAGCAATCACGACGGGTGTCACGCTCATGATGCTCGCCGTGTAGATCTCATCGTCGTCGCTCATCTCGCTTCCGCTGCACGAGTCCCTGTAGCTCTTGCTCGACCTGTTGCTCTGCATGGATCCGAGCTCAGACTCGGAAGCCGAGGCGGGAATGACGGCGACTGTGGGCGTAGGGGTGGCACCAGAGCGCTGGTCACACGAGACCATGGAAGACTCGGAGGAAGAAGGAGTGACGGTGGTAAAGACACCGCTAGGAGAGGCGCTGGGGTGGATACGAGCGTTGGGGTAGTAGCGGATACGGTGGTTACGGTGGTTCGCCAGAGGAGCCGACTGGGTCTCTTGAGGAAGGACCTGTCCGTACTTGGAGTTGGACAAGTCGAGAGGGGAAGGGATGTGGTGAGATCGGACACGGGAGGATGGGCGAGAGAGGGACAAGGGAGCGGTGGTCTCGGCTTGGAGCGCGTCAAAGTCTAGTGGGATCTCGTTACTAAAGTCAAAGCTCTGCTCGCGAGGAGTGTCGATAGTGGTCGACGCCATACTGCTCTCCGAGAGAGAGGCGAGCATGGAGCCAAGAACTTGCTCAACGTCTGGGTAGGACGCCAAAGAAGACATCGACGACGAGTTTGGCATAGTCGGGGAAGAGAGGGATGTCTCAGAGTCGAGAGAAGGGAGAGACGGGTATGAGTAGAAAGGAGGCGAAGGAGGAAGGGGCTCGGAAGGAGGGCGGTCGTGAGAGAAACCCGAGTCTTCGTATGTGTCGTACCCCTCCGGCTCGTCCGAGTACATCTGACTGTCCTCATCATCCTCTGAAGGCTGAGACCAATCAATGACAGACTCGAGAGGAGCAAAGTCAAAGTCCAAATCAATGGTAGGCACTCCCTCTGGCTCCCAGCTTCGCTCCTCCTCGCTCTCTTCATCCAAAGACACATCGACCATCTCCCTCTCCATAGCTCGCATCTTTTCCTCCAGGTTGACACCATGATCCAAAATTCGCGCCTCCGGGGCAATAACCTTGGGAGGGAAGGCCTCCTCTTGGTCTTGAGGCGTGGCAGGGATGATGTTGAGCATGGGGACGTCTGAGTCAGACTCGTCGGCCTCATCCTCCTCGATGAAAGGCCCCGCAAATACAGGCAACCTCGCCTTCTCAACAAATGTCGCCATAGGACTAGGGCTGTGACCCTCGCGGTCGTTGGTGCGTCGATAAGGAGAGGGAGGAGTCGCGCCGTAAGAGGAGGGAGAGTACTGGCTGGGGGGAGTGGAGAAGCCAGCAGAGACGGGGCTGGAAGACTGTTGAGGAGGGGTAGATACCGCGCCGTAAGGACTAGCAGACCTCACTTGTTCAGTACTGACGCGTACACGTGTACCGAACGAAGTAACGCTAGGTGAAGTAGCCCTCGAAGACCTTCGCGACAGAACGCGCGCAGGCGAGATCGACTCGGCGCCGGGGCTGCTGTTACTCGGGCTGGTAGGGTGCTGGGTGACGGGGGTGGATGGAGCCGAGTTGATGCCATAGGATGAGACGACTACGCGTGGCGTAGAAGGCTGGACTCGGCGGGTCGCGTTCTCGTTTTCAGGCGAATATGACTGGACAGGAGGCTGAGGGCGCGTGGGGTAGACGCCTGGGCTCGACAGTGGAGAGTCGGCCTTGGTGCCGCCGGCAAATCGGAGACCATTGCCAGCCTGGTCATCCGAGTTCTTCTTCAAGATGGGCCTGGGCGGCTCATCCGATTTAGGCAGGTAGTTTGGCAAAGAGGGGGGAGCGGCCTGTTTCTTTCGCCAGAACATTGTAGGTAAAATTTACGTGGTTTCGTTTATGAATAGTGTGACTGTGGCGCGTGGTAGGGCCGTAGTGGTTCTGAGTTGAACGAGTGTGTAGGGGTGCGTCGAGCAAGGCGTGGTTTGTGAACAAAAGAGTGTGTAGCGTCGCGTCTATGCCAAGAGGTCAGCTTGATCATTCCCCAAGAAGAAAATGGTACGTACGTCAAGGAAAGGAAACCAGCCTATCGTGCAGACGCGTGGGAAAATGAATAGACAAGAAGAGGGGAGAAGAGGAAGACGTTTGAGGGACAAGGAAGAGAAGAAAGAAAAGCGTCAGAAAGCGAAGATTCAATCTTTCTTTCGCGTCTGCTTTCGCAGCATGGATTTAAACAACGGAACCAGGGGCAAAATCAGGGTCCTTTCCGGGACGCGTTCCAGCCAAGGTACCAAACTCTATCGACGCGTCACCTGGGATTACAAAAGCTGGTCAAAAATTCACTAATCGCGCGCTAAACGTCAGTACAAACATGCTACAGCCATGCTACCAGTTTTCTTTGTTTGTATTCAGCTCCAATTCATTAGAGAAAACATCCCTGAAACCGAAAGTGCACCGGAAACGCCAACCGGAGTTTCCCGTGGCTTGAACGCATGCCTGGTGTCTTGGACTGGCCTTAAGCGCTAGTAGACGTTGAATGAGGTCGTGTAGGATACGATGCATCCTCCTGGGCCTTCTGCATTGCTGAGCTGACGTCTTGTTGGTGCTGGAGAGCTCTGCTGGAATCGTGGACTTTCCCGTTCCGGCTCCTGCGCTAGCTGAAGGGCGCGGTTAGTTGCTTCCCATGATGACATGATTTGATCTGCAGACCCATTCTCTGCCGTTCTGGATCAGGGACCGTCGCGTGGACCTCTTCGTTCAACACCTCGTCATGTCCAGAGCCATCAACTCAAGCATCGACTCGTCCCGGTGTAAAAAGTATGCAGAACCAGAATATGGTACGCGCACCTGCCATGTACGACAGCTCGTTTACTGCAAACCCTGCTTTTCAAGCTCAAAAAATCTATCAAACGTGTCCTTCAACGTCTCGTCATGAGGTCGATCTGCGATCAGAATCAGCAAGATACCCGAACAACCACATCTCTCTTCACCTACAAGTCATTCCCAACTCTCTCTTACTCTTCTCATTCGAAACATCGTACACTCCGGGATCTTGGTACATGTATTTCCCGGGGGAGCTGAGTGCAAAACGGTCGGCTTGGGCGGGGTAGAAATCTCGAAGTTTGTCGGCGTATTCTTGGAAATCGTAATCTTTGATCGGTTCGGTAGCTGTTTGGTTCTGAAGCTGGAAAAGGGAGAGATCAGGGAAGGACGTACGACCAGCAGATATGAGAAACCGCCCTTGAGCGTGTCGGACGGCGGCTTCATAATGAGCTTCAGCAGCGTCGCGTACCTACAGCATAGTCGCTATAATCAGCCTCTGTCATTCACAGTCTATGGATAGCACTTACGTCAACATAGTAGGGGATGAGAGATGACATGATAGGCTTATCCTTGCCGCCGGCAAGCATCCACATGAATTCAGTAGACATGCCCCCTTGCGAAAGAGATGAAAGTGGTTGGACTAGATGATGATCAGTTGTAGGCATCAGCTCAAGATATGAGAGTAGTGCTCACTTGGAGGACCCCAGATCAACACACAGTTCATAGTCGCCAGACTCCAATGTGAGCCTTGGGCCTTTGCTTCTTTCTGAGCGTCCCAAGCTGCAAGCTCGGCGTATTTCTTACTACCCATGTAAAAGAGCATACCGGGAGGGAAGACGGGGTTACTATGGTCTATCATCAGCCACTAGTACTACCCGATAGGAAGGGGTGGTTTACTCGGACTTTTGAGTTGCAGAGATCTCGACCAACTGTTCGAGCGTATACGGATTCCAGTCATCCTCTGTAAAAGTGCGACCTTTGAGCTCGGTGGGGTGGTACCGCCATTCACCCACAGCGCCTAGAATAAAGTCAACTCAATTCTCTGATAGTTGAAGAGCTGAAGGCTCACCGATGGAGCTTGTAAGAACGACCGACTTGATACCAGCCTCCTTCGCCGCGGCTTGAAGCACGCCCTTCGTACCATCCACCGCCGGCTTCAGATGATTCTCCCTAAAGTCATCTTGACCAAAAACCACGGGCGAGGCCGTGTGCACCACCGAGTCAACACCTTCAATTGCGGCTCTCCAATCAGCAGATTCGAGGGGCCCGACAGCGAAAAGCTTGAGGCGGCCCGAAGCGAGGTAAGGGGCGTATTCTGGTACGGCCTCGACAGCAGCGCGTTTGGAGTTGGAGCGAAGGATGCCGTGGACTGTCCAGCCGTGTTTGAGGAAGGAGTGGGCTATATGAGCGGCAAGCTACCAAACAAGTCAGTATGGTTCATGGGTTTGAAAGATACGAAGAATAATCACAAAGCCGGTTATACCGGTGAGAAGGACGGTAGGCATATCTGTTTGCGGTCCGTCTCGACAGAGAATAGGTAAGCAAGGAGAGAAGTTGGGAAGGAATAGTACGGACGTTGTTCAATGTAAGACCCGTATTTGTATGATCTTCGTAGTCAGCTATGCAAATCCGCCTTCACGATCGAGCAGCGTTATGCGAAATGCGGCAGCACAAGCTGCAAGACAACGCCCTGATGGAGAACGTGGTGTTCTGTACCTCGGTACTCGGATCGCCGACCGATCGTTCCATAAGGTTCGCTTTGGATTTAGAGTATCGTACTACTCATGTACTGTACTGTACGAGTACATAGTGCGACCCTTGAGCTCAGTGGGGTGGAATTTGTACTGGCCCACAAGGCCTGAACACAGCATCAGCCCTGCCACCATGATCTGAGCAACCTGACGTACCAAACGAACTGGTATATACAACAGACTTGACACTCCCCTCTCTACCCACAGCCCTCAGAACACCCAACGTCCCTTCCAACGCCGGCTTCAAATGCGTCTCCCTAAACTTCTCATCTCCAAACTCCACCGGCGAAGCAGGGTGCGCGACCGACTCGACGCCTTTGATAGCCTCTCTATGGTCGGCAGATTCGAGGGGACCGACTTCGAAAAGTTTGAGCTGGCCTGAAGCGAGGTAGGGGGCGTATTCGGGGATGGCTTCGACGGCGGAGCGTTTGGCGTCGGAGCGGAGGGTGCCGTGGACTGTCCAGCCGTGTTTGAGGAAGGAGAGAGCTATGTGGGCGGCTAACTGCCAAGGAAGTCAGGACGAGTCGCTACACAACCAGACGAGGAGTCAAGTACTCGCGAAGCCGGTTATACCATAGTCAGAAGAACGGCAGGCATGTCTGCTTGACGTGGAGAATGGATATGTCGCCAGTGATTGTCGAGAGATGAATAGAATGTCGAAGCTGGCCATTGTCGCAATTGCACCAGCGCATTGACAACCACAAAATATATGCTCTGCACTTGCACAAGACCTCAGAACTCGGATCACCGATCGTGCCTCCTTCGACGAACCTTGCCAACGTCTCGGCCGTCTCGTCCCCCAAACGTGGCCAGAGAACTAGTCTAGGCCTAGGGTATGTAGTTTGGCATGCTCGCACTTCATACTTTGTTTCCCGGCGTCCCGGCACTTTCCAAGGCTCGTCGTAACTGCTCGTCGCGTCAAGTCCAACTTTACGACTTGAGGTCTCTGCAACGCCTCCAGTCAACAACTTTGCAAGAGCCATGATACGATAACATGCTATATATATGTGTGTATATTCACTGAAAAGGAAGAGAAATGCTATGATACGATTGACCAAAATTCTTGGTCTGGCTATTATACACTTTGCAGAACCGACTCTGCGATTAACCTCTTTTGTTTACGTGTTACAAAAAATGGTTATGAACAAATTTCTCAACTCTAACCTGAAACTCGTGATGATTCACAAACACGACATCCCCCAACTCCTCTCTTCATCTCGCCTCATGAAAAAAGGTCATGATCTCCCAGAAAGACCGTTGATATCTTTAGTCCCCGTCGTAGCCCCGCCATCGCCTTTCAAAGGCGTCGACGACCCTTCTTCCTTCTTCTTTCTCGGTTTCGATCTCCCTTCCCTCTTTGCTACCTGTCTTGCCAGTCTTAATCCACATCTATCCACCATCATCAGCTCTTACCCTCATACACACCCAGTGAAAAGAGAAGACTCACGCATTACAAAGATCCTTCTTCCCAGTCTGCCCCTTTCTCCATTCGGGCGACTCTTTCGTGCCGCACATGACGCAACACTCTATATCCCCTGGTGGCCTGACGAGAGGTCTGGAGCTGGCTTTACTATTCCCATTGCCTCCTCCTGCCCCTCCTCCCGCTTCACCCTTCCCACTCTTACTCGCCCCGGCCCCGGCCCCGGCCCCAGAAACAGGAGCAGAAGCCAAAGCACCAACAGGCACAGACCCATGCCTATCCGCCGTCGCCGTCGCCGTCTGCGGCCCCGCCCCCTGCGCACCCGGTGCACCCGGCGGCGGATGGGCAGTGCCCAACCCGCTCGAGAGAGACGAGCCGTAATCTGGGGCGGGGGTGTAGTAGCCGTATGACGACGTAGCGCTTGCGGGGGTGGGGTAGGCGTTGGATGGGGCGAGGTGTAGGTCGTTTCCTTGGGCTTGGGCTTGGGCTTGGGCTTGCCCTTGCCCTTGCCCTTGGGTATGAGGATGGGCGTGGGGGAGGGGGAGGGGGTGAGGGTGGTGCTGAGGGTGGGCGGAGGGGTGGCCGTAGTTGGAAGAGAGGTGGTGATGCCCGAGGAAAGACGGGGGGTTGTGCATGACTGGATTCTGATGATGCCCCTGCCCCTGCCCTTGGCCCTGCCCGTGTCCGCCATGGCCATGACCATGATCATGCAAACCGAGAGAAGCAGAGTCCATCATCCCATACGCCCCATGCGGATCCCAATCGCTGAAATCGGACGACCCGCTTTCTTGGCGGTGCGGTAAGAGGGATGGGTCGGTGGACCAATCTTGTGGGTGGTGTTGGCGTTGATGAGGATGGGAATGAGGATGCGAGTTTTGGTGAGGGTGGGAGTAGGGGTGCTGATGGGGATGGGAGTGAGGGTTATTTTGGTGCGCTGGGTGGGTTGAATGAGGTGGGAGATGTGAAGGTGTTGGCGCTGGGGATGGTGTATGCGACGGTGCGCCCGTCGGAGGATGTAAACCCCCATGACCCCACCCATTCCCCTGCTGCCCGTTCCCGTTTCCAATGCTCTGCTGCCCCTCCATCTCCATCCCCATCCCCGGCTGCCCCGGCTGGGCCTGCCCCTGCGCAAATTGCTCCATCCTCCTCTTCGTCGACGGCAGCTCGTGCTCCTTGATCGTCTGAAAACACGCAAAGATCAACTTGCCATACGGGATAAACACGCTCGCCACCGTCCTGTGTAGCCCTTCCGTCGTCACAAGGTGATGCGCCCCATACCGCGTCGTACAATTCGTCCTCAACTCCCCCGGGCCAGCCGTCAACTGCGACGGATCCATATCCACATGCTTCATCATATCACAATACTCCAACGCATTGTGATACCCATCCAGCGTCGCAAATGAGCCCTGCGCCCGGGGAGGAGGCCAGGAGAAGATGAGCTGCGTTGGGGTTTCGGGGGAAAAGTCTGGTGGGAGGAGGTGGAGCTGAAAGACGCGGGTTGGGGGACGCCCGGTGTTGGGGGGTATTGTGATTTTGTTGAGGACGTCGCGGTAGAGGGCTTCAATTTGCTGCTTCATGGTGTTAGTACACCTGTTCTCGAGGAGGTGGGACTATGACTCACTTCGTCGGCCATGTATTTCGTACCGCACCAGTTGGACCATTCTTCGTGGGCGCGTTTGGGGTCGTTGTTGCCCACGGGGTCTTTGTCTTTTATACTGTGGAAGAATGCTAAGAGCATGCCTTCTGCGACCTGGTAGATGGTCAGCTATGGTCGGTTGAGTGAGAGAGTACTTGCCCAGTTGAGCACGACATCCTCGATGATGTACATGTCGTCCTCAAAGACCTCATCCATGCCTTCGGGAAACTCGTTCTCTTCAGGCAGACACCCCAAGATGGTCCGTATACGCGACATTCTCGCGAACCGTACCCGGGTCACGCTCCCTTGCAGGTCGTCCGCACTGATAGCGCTCGTAAGATCCTTCCTCGCCTCTGCGACAACATCAGCCACTCTTCCATGACAACGGTGTGAAAAGCCGCAAAGGACTGGCCACTCACGTTCACGTTCATGAGGATGTATAAATTCCAACACCTGCCGGCCCATCATGGACATCTTTTGCTTTGACAGATGGGCATCGAGGATGGGGTCGAAATGGACAAACTCGAGGTCGAGGCGGGGGGTGGTGATGGCCGGGTCGGGGTTGGGGGTGTATTTGGGTTTGAGGAGGGCCCAGTAGCAGCGTACTGCACCGACACGCTGGTCACCCCATTCGTCAAGTTAGTGGCCAAGATTTGGAACCAGCGCCTCAGGAAAAGGCGACAAGGGGGCTCGACTCACGGGTACACCTGGGATGCCGCTGGACTGGGACGAGCTGGAGGAGACGGACATGGAGCTCATGGCGGCAAGGGGGGGCTCTTGGGGCGAGAGTCCGCGGTGGAGGGGCGAGGGGCTGCTATATGGGCGGGTCTGGTTTGTTGATGGCGGGCGACGATGATAGAGATGAGGAGAATTGCTCGATCACCTGATAACCCTCGATCGCTGGGCGTCACCGTTGTGTTCCCGCTAATCCGGCACACGGCTGCGCTGCTCTTCTGCGTGGTTCGGTGGATATCGCCGCCCTGAGCGTGGGATGGGGCATGGACGGACCCAGCTGGGATGGAGGAGGAGGGGGAGGGCGCAGAGGAAGAGTATTGTGACGGGTGGCCTCGATCCTGCTTTCTGGGCCGCAATCCCCACATCCGCAAATCACCCCGCCCCGGAGCGAAACACAAATCGGGGTTTGGGTGGGTGCGCCCCGGTTTGGGCGATAATTTATCCAAGTGGGGTGCCTAAGTCAACAAGTCCCTGACTTCCCCCAGCGTCTTACGTAAATGCTTAAGGTTGTCTGCGAGATCCAGATCTGGGTTTGTTTGTTGACCTCCTTCGTATTCGACGCTTTGCTACGGATCCAGAGCTCAATCAGAGATAGAGTAGCGGGACATCATGAAGGGAAGGACGGTGTGATGCATGATCCTGGACCCCGCGTGATCACAGCAGGCGTGCTGAACCAAGATGTCAAACGGTCTGTGGGTCGATCTGTGGGAATGTGGGATCTGTGGGACTGGCTTTCGCTTTCTCTTCTCTGGTGTCCCTTGGCACTTTATAAGACCATCACCCACTTGCAGACTGTACATCTCATACACCTTCATCACTGGTTCCCGAAGGATCTCGTGTCTCGTTCCGTATGTACAACAACTCATTTGAAAGGTGTATGTATATTTCCCGCCAACCTACTCTCCACCGGCTTTGATCTCATTCCTACACACGTACCCTTATCTTTACCCTATGATTACGGGGGAACGCGGTGACAGCTCGAGGGTGGAGGCGAAGTGGAGGACGAGGACGAAAGGTGGAGGCAGAGGTGGAGTTGAGGTGGAGGTGGACCGCTTTCACATATATATACAGCGAGCTCGAAAGAATCCCCTTCATCCACTCGCCACTCTTTATCCACTCAACCATACACCACCACAAGCTATATCAATCATGCCTACTGTATTGCTCACCGGCATCACCGGCTTCGTCAGTCCTCAACCCGAATACAAGTTGGGATCGATGCTGACCCATTGCACAGCTCGCCGCCCACGTCGCACTCTCCTTCCTCAAACACGACTGGACAGTCCACGGCACCCTCCGCTCCGAATCCAAACGCTCCGCCGTGGAGGCCATCCCCGAATACGCCCCATACTTCGCGTCGGGCAAACTCAAGCTCTTCATCGTCGGTCCTCTCGAATCTGCCGATTATGGGGAGGCGATCAAGGGTGTGGAGGCGGTGGTGCATACTGCTTCGCCGGTAGAGTTTGGAGATGAGAAGTTTAGGGAGAAGCATTTGGGGCCGGCTTTGGAGGGGACGAAGGGGGTTTTGGAAGCTGCCGCCCGAGAAGCCAGCGTCAAGTCTGTTGTGTACACTAGTACCTTCGGTATGTTTCCCTCTTCAGGTGGTCGGGGAAGCGATCTGATAATGATGATAGGTGCTGTGGGCCAACACAGGTCTCACCCGACCGAGCTCAAAGGCCGCGTCTTCACCGAAGACGACTGGAACCCATACACCCTCGAAGAGCTCGACGCTATCGCCGCCGCCAACAAGTCCGAGTACGTCCCCACCCTTCACCTCACCCCCTCCATTGCATCGCTAACAGCTCTTGAAGCAACCCAAACCACCCGCCCGGTAACTTGTTCTACATGGGCAGCAAGAAATACGCCGAGCTCGCCGCGTGGGACGCGCAGAAGGCCGCTCAAGCCCAAGGCGCCGATTGGAGTTTGGCGGCTATGAACTGTGTTATGATTTTCGGTCCTCCCAGTACGTCCCTCCTTCCTCCTTCCCTCTTACTCTCTTACCCCCTTTTCCTCCGCTTCCTTCTTGCCTACTTTGTGCTTGAGCTGATAGTCGCACAGTTCAACCACTTACGTCGCTGAGCAACGGCGGCGTGTCAACCGAATACCTCTGGATGCTCGCTGGCGGCCCGGAGAAGGGGGTTATGGAAGCTGCTTTTCCTTATTATGTTGATGTGCGTTTTCATCCCTTCTTGTGCTCGCTCTGTGCGTAGAGACTGGATACTGACTATGATGGAATGTAGGTTAGGGACGCTGCCGAAGCGCATTACCAAGCTGCCGTCAAACATGCGCAGGGGAGGTTCATCCTTTCTGCTGGTCGTACGTCCTTTTCTTCCTTGTCTCGAGTCTCAGCTGACTTTTATGGCTGCAGCCTACGACTTTCAAGAATTCGCCGACAAGCTCCGCCACCTCTACCCCGCCCAAGCAGGCCGTTTCGCACAAGGTACTCCAGGCAAGTATATGTACAAGGACCCTGGAATTTATGAGCTTTCGAATGAGAAGAGTCAGAAGGAGCTTGGTATTCAGTGTGAGTAGCATCGTGCGTCTATGGAAATATCAGGCTGATTTTATAATTAGACCGAGCGAAGGATGAGACAGTCAAAGACGCTTTCGATAGGTTTTTCGAGCTCGAGCAGCAGGGGTTGAAGTAGGGCGTTCGCTCAGAGTTTTAGCTTTGAGATCAAGAGACTCGTCGTGCTTGGTGACTGTGGATGGGTCTGTGATTGTGATATGATGAAAGGTGGCTTTGATGCTCGAATAATGTGTCTAGCTTTTTCATAGTCTGAATGAAGGTTGTGCTTTACGATAGCCAGCAACTTGCACATGCTGAGTGCACATCCCATCCTCTTGGACCTCTTGCTAATACTGGTACAATCCGACTACCGACCGCGCACGACGACTTCCAGAGTACGCGTTTCTTCTTCAAGCTTCTTCTTCCACCGACTCTCGCCATCAACAAGCCGATCACACCCACTCCCCCAGTCGATCATCTTCCACCCACTACTGTCTTTTGCCACATACAGACTCCTCGGATCAAGGTCGCCGATGGTATATCCCATTTCATGAACAGTCTTTAGCCATTCGACTGCTTCTTTGTTTATTAGATTCATAAGCATTCTGAAAAAAAAAACACGATATGGACGACTCACCGGATCTCGGGGGCAACATTCCTCCAGCGATCAACAGACTTCCATTCTGATATGGCTGACGCGGAGCTCGTCTGCGCCTGTTACTTTGACAACGAAGGAGATGTTGAAGAGGATGATTATTGCCCAGGTGCGTCTGTTGATATAGGCTTCGTGGATGACCTAACAGCGTCGTTAGCATAGGCCGAAATTAGTTTTGACGGTACTTGAGCAAAGAGAGATTTCATGGTCGAACACACGGAGCCATTCGAGGGATCTTGCAGCTGATAGTCTCGGACGGTGAAAACCACCTTGCCCTGATCCCCGGGTAGAAACTCCTCCAAAGTGCCCTCGACATGCTCTTGTATAACAACATCCCCGTCTCCCTTCACCATACCAAAAGCGGCGGGGCACAACCAATCAGTCACCGGCAGACTCCCATTCTCTTTTCCCACCAATCTCCAGATAGTGCTAGCGATACCGTTCGACCAGATACTCTCCTCCTGCGCTGCCAAGTTGGTTCACGTGGGCTATGACGGTGGAGGTAAAGTAGAGGTGAAGCATGGTGTGGTAGTCGAGAGTAGAAGGTTCAAAACTGACAGTGACGTTTTGGCGAGAGGTCTTGTCCCAGAGCTGTGTGAGGTTCCAATTGGCTGGGGAGAGAAGCGGACATCGGAAACAAGCTCGTAATCCAGCACATCCACAAGCTCAGAGACCACAGTGTCGTCCCTCTTGACGACCACTTGTCCGTGCGGAAAGAAGGCAAAGAATTCTCTTCTCTGCCAACTCTAGGTCCTCCCCCCAGTCTGATAGGGGTGAGCATTCGTATCGAGCGGGTGTGGAGTGGGGTTAGAAGAGGTGATGAGGCGAAAGTCGATATCGGGAGGACCGGGTGGGGTGCAGGTGGTGAGCCATTCGCGTACGGTTGGGGGCTGTGCTGCGTCATCTACCGAGACGCTCATATTGGAGGGGGCACGAGACGGAGTGGCAGAGGGGAAGAAGGTGGACGGAGATTTGATTGGTTGGAGAAGGCGAAACAAGTTTACAAACCCGCGGCGAGTCTCTCAAAGTGCAGTGTTTTCGGCAACTTGTACTTGAGCTTTTGCATTCGAGGGTAACGAGCGTTGGTTGATACATCCATGAAGGTTGTAATTGCAAATTCTCAGAGTCTCTTTACATGCAGATGCAAAGTACCATTCCATACAAGGTCTAGATCATTTCAATGTCGTCAAGTCATAATCACAAACACCCCTGGACAAGAACCAATCTTGACAAACTACCCCACCGCCTGCTCCCCATCCTCTCCCTCTGATCCCGTCTATCCCTCAAAACACTCATCAAATCCCCAAGCCTATCCACCTCATCCAACTTCATCCCGCCCTTCCCTCTCTCATCCTGTACACTCCTCCACATCTCGCCCAACACCGCATCCATCGTCTCCCTCCTCGTCTTCCACTTTCCCCCCGCCCCTCCTCCAAAGCCCGGGCTGGGAGGCGACGTGGGGAGGATGGATCTGCGGGAAGAGCCCTTGCGGGTGAGAGAGTTGGAGCGGGGGAGGGTGGAGGAGAGTTCAGCGGGGGATTTGTTGAGGTCGATGGTTTCGCCGAAGAACTGGGAGAGTTTGCCGGTACGTCTGCGGCGGGCGGTGTGGGATTGGTGGTCTGGATGCATTTGTGGGGTGGTATCGCCTTCACCGGAGCTCCTGGCTGGGGTGGGGGTCATCTCGGCGGGATCCATATCCAGAAAATCATATCCTCCCCTACTCTTCTCTTCCTTCCATCTCTCCTTCCCGCTCTTTCTGCTCTTTCCGCTCTTCCCGCTCGTGGGCGACTCGATTACAGGCGAGGTAGGCCCAGAATCGACAGACGCCTGGCGCTGATGCTCGGGCAATGACCTGCGCGAGCTTCGTCTCATCATGGTCCACAAGGTAGAGTAAGCCCTGTAGCGAGGCAGAGTAAGATTCGAAAGACGAGAGACGCTCTTCTGGGATATCAGGAGTGGAGCGGAGGGTGGAAGGGATGTAGATGCTGGAACTGGGAGGTTTATCGCCTAGTACCTACTAATCACGTCAGCTTACTTGCCCCTCTGCTCCCTAATGGAGAAGAACGTACCTGTTCCAACTTTGCAGCCCTCTTCCGAAAAACCATCTTTTCCTCCTTACTCATCTTCTTCTTCCCCTCTCCCAGATCCATAAAACTCGCCCCATCATCCCCACCCTCCATCCCCATCTCCCCCATGCCCACCAAAGAAGAAGAAGGCAAAGGCGACGGCGATCCAGAGCGCGAAGCCATCTTCCTATGCAGCCCCTTCAACTTGTTCCACTTGTTCCCCTTTCCCCTTCCTCCTCCGCCGCTGGTGTGATTAGGGCTGTCGTCGAGGGAGAGGAAGGAAAGACCTTCGAGAGGCGGGGAGTCTGTTTGGCGGGATGAGGTGGAGCTTATGGATGAACGGCTCTTGTCCCCTGGGTCGGGGGCGGGCGTGGGGGTTGGTGCTCGGGTGTGGGAGACGAGTTCCGGTGGGATCGGAACGCCCAAAAGTCTATGCAACTATTCCCCTCATCAGTCTCTACCCTCGTCATACACTGAAAAAAAAAAAAGAAGAAAAACGCACTTTGGCAAGCTGCACCCTCCTCCCCTTCTTCACCGCCTCACTCTCACCGCTCTCCTCCCTCAGCTGACTCTCCCAGCTCGACGTCGTATTCGCACTCATCGGGCTCATCGGACTCGTCGGCGGGACTTGCTCCCTATTAACCCCCACGGACGAGCTCGTACCTCTCGAGACGGTCTCGGTCACGCGCATCTGGCGTGAGACGTATACTTTGAGTTCGTCCGATTTTTGGGGGGCGGGGAGGTTGAAGGCTGCGAGGGCTTTTTGGGCGAGGGACATCTTGACTGGTTTTGCGAGGTCGTCCTCCCCGTGTAAAGAGGGTAAAGATCCACCGCCGAGCCCGGCGGGGACCCGGCGAACTAGACAATCTTCCCTCTCCCACTCTGGCACCCTCCTCCCCCTCTCATCATCTTGCGCTGCTCGGGCAGTAGCGCTCGACCCAGGGGACGGACTCTCCGGCCACGCCTCCCCCACCTGCACATCATACTCCCTCACCCCATTCAGCGGCTCGATCAACGATTGCTCTATCTGCGCTTCTGGCAGCGGCTGTCCCAGGAGATGTTCGAGTTTCCTCGTCCTCTTGACCAGGAGGGTGCGTTGGGAGGGGGTGAGGGTGGTGGAAGTGCTGCCTATTAAAGAAATGTTTGAAGGGCGGGGGGTGAATGCTGGTTTAACGAGGCGGAGAGACGTCTCTGACGCTGTGGGCGGTAGCGACCTCTTAAGCAAAGGCCTCTTCTCCCCATCAAGCGTGTTCATAGCGACGACACTATCACTTAAGCTCGGGTGCAGGCTCGGTAAAGAATCGATCGAGACCGACCTGCCGTGGAAGCCGGCCCCCCGGGGAGGGGGAGAATGGGTTTTCTCGAGGGGAGAGAGGAGGGCTTGGATGGTGGTGGTGCTTTGGTCCCGGGTGGGCAAGGGGAGGGGCGGGAGGGGAGAGAGGCGGGGTGGGCTGTTGACAGGGAGTGAGGCGGAAGGTTTGTGCCTCATCGGCGGCAGCGGTCCATTCCTACTTGTCATCAGTACATACATCTATCTCCAGGGGGGGAGGGTAGACACACCGTTGTTCAATCGTATCCTCCAAAACCTTCCGATCCAACCCCATATTATACCTCGCATACTCTGCTCCTTCCCCCAACATCTGATCAACTTTACTCCTCCTGAAGCCATTCTTCCGATCTTGATTCTGCTTCCCTTCTCTCTCCCTATCCCTTGCCACTAACGCTTTGTCTTGATCAATCTCCAAAGCCGGCTCCAGCCCTGCTGGTCCGGCAGGGTAAGGAGGCGAAGGCGGTAAAGGCGACGGCGCAATACGCCTCTCATTAACCCGACTCTGACGCCAGAGGTACGCCTCAATCCCGCGCTCACTCTCTTCCTCCCGATGGTCCGCCCGATCACTAGGCGTCCGCATACCAAGCTTGTACCCCGCCCCCAGCTTCTCCAGCGCGGATTCTGTAGTGGTATGGTCCTTGCCCTTTGTGGGCGAGTTGTTGGTGGAGGAAGGGGAAGAAGAGAAAGAGAGCGGTCGACGGCGGGGGGGTGTGAATGGGTTATCGGCTCGAGGTGGGGAGGAGGTTGGGGTTTGGCGAGGGGGAGCGTCGGGGGAAGTGTGCGTACTCGAGTAGAGCGAATTGTACCTCCCAAACGTACCCACACTCATCCTCTTTTCTGGAGAATCGACTCTTCCATCTTTCTGCGTCTTCTCCCTCGTCCTGGTACTGACCACAGAGACAGACGCTTCCGGTATAGAGCTCAACCCTTGACCCCTCTTGAACAACCCCGGCAAAGTCGCCATGTCCGGTACGTCCGGTACCGTGCTCGGCGCCGAAAAGTCCGAGTAGAACGTGGTGCGGACACTGGCGCTGTCGATATTGCCTTCGCTGTCCATCATGGGCAGGTGGGAGGCGGGGAATTGGAGCTCGGTGGGGGCGTAGGTGTCGATCGTCGGCGCGGGGGAAGAGATGGCGGATGGGGTGGCTGATGTGGCGTGGGACCAGCGCCAGAAGGACTCGTCTGCTTGGGGTTTTGCGGTGGGGCGTCTGGGCGCGAGGATCTCTTGTTGTTCTTGGGGGTCGAAGGGGGAGTGGGAGGGACGAGCGGGACGGGGGGGAGATGGGGCAGGGGACTGCTTGACGACGGCAGCATGCTCGGTACGCGGTGTCCCACTCTGAACCATCTCGCTCTCGGGGTGGTCTGTGAACGGGTTGAGAGGGAGGGAGAGGGGGCGCTTTTTGTGCGGGGGCATGGCAGGTCAAGGGGTACACCGTGTCACTGTTCTATTGTGCATGCGACGTGGAGGATCTATTGTCCCCGGGGTACAGGGCCTTGCCGGTGTGTGCTGGGATGTATGCATGACCCTGTGCGCCAGATCTGTGGCATGTCCGTCAGTAACGTCCTAAAGTACCTTCACTGCCGTCACTCACTCTCCCTCTACCCTCTACTCGTACCCTCTACCCTCCATTCATCAGTCCACCCCAAACAACGCTCCCCATGCATAGGGAACCAAACAACGCTCCTCCCTCATGCTCTGCAGAGCGGCCATGTCCGTCTCGGAACTGATCGTCGCGACGGACCACCGAGGCTCTTTCTTTTCATTTTTCCTGGAATCCCATTTCCCCTCACCGCGCCATGTCTTTCTTCCCACCAACCCTCAAGCCTCTGTCCTCATGGTACCTCCCAAGAACCGCCGAGAAGATCAGGCCCGTCTGCCGGTGTCTCTCTACGAGCACAGTGGTGTGGTCAGGAAGCAATCGATGGTCGAAAATCAGGCATAAGAAGGGGGTTGTCGATCAACAGCGCGGCGCCCTATTCTCCAAACTCAGCAAAGTAACGTCCTCCTCCCTAGAGAATGAAGTGAACTGACGGATAAGGGGGGATTAGGAGATCATCCTAGCAATGCGCCCGCCCGCTTCCCCAGATCCAGCGTTCAACAGCAAACTGACTACCGCGCTTCAGCGTGCTAAAGAACAGGGGCTGACGAAGCAGGGGATTGAGAATGCCATGGCCCGGGTCAGTCCCCCCTCTAGATTTGTAGAGGAAGAAGGAAGCGAAGCTGATGGGGGGAGTAGGCGAAAGTGGTAGCAGAAGGCGGAGGACAGACGGTGGTTTATGAAGCTCTAGCAGCTGGCGGTCAAGTCGCTCTTCTCATGTACGCCCCCCCCCCCCCCCCCCCTCTTCATCCCCATTCTATCCAGTAATTCCACTGACGTAACTAACTGGGGTTTAGCGAATGCAACACCCAAAACGCCTCCCGCCTCGTCAAACGCGTCAAAGAACTCTTATCCAAAAACGGTGCCCAGACATCCGCCGTCTCTTTCCTCTTTGAAAAGAAAGGGTCGATTACGCTCACGCCGAACGAAGGAGAAGGGGGAGGGGGTGAGAAGGGGTTTGAGGCGTTGTTTGATGCGGCGGTAGAGGCGGGGGCGGAAGATGTGAGAGAGGTGGAGAATGATGAAGGGGGTGTAGAGTATGAAGTACGTCCTCTTCTCCTTCTCCTTCTGAGCCAAGAGACTGATAACTGTGGTAGGTGATAACAACGCCATCAACCCTCTCCCCCATAACCCAACTCCTGCAACCCAACCCAGCCTACACGATCCAATCCTCCGAGCTCATCTTTGTCCCCAACGAACCCTTGAAAGTACTTGAAGAGGGGCAAGAGGGGCAAGAAGGGGAAGGGGTGAGGGAAGAGGTGGTGGAGAGTGTGGGGAGGTTGGTGGATGTGTTGGAGGAGGAGACGGAGGTGGAGAAGGTTTGGACGAATTTGGAGTGAGGGGAGAGTGGTAGAGTGGGCATAGCATGCATTGATCATTCATTCTTTTGTGTACTCTCCGTATCGCAGACTCTGCCCCTCTGTGCAAGGTCTGCCTAAAACAAGTATGTTTTGAAAAGGTCAACAAATGTGGTTTTATCTCGTGCCTAGTCGAAACGCTTTCATCGCTGCTTCATCTTGATCTTTCGCCATCTACGCCATGTCCACCCCTCCCCCTCCCCCGATCCCAATCCCATCCCCCACCATCCTCACCCACCTCACCGCCCTCTCCCACCCCCGCACAGCCCTCCCCCTCTCCCTCCCTCACCTCCACCCCCACGCCCCTCTTTCTTCCCGCCCCGCCCCTTCCACCCTCCGACCTTCTCAACGAGGCGGGAAGGACAAGTCTCGGGAGAAGACGGAGGGGGGTTTGGTAGCGGAGTTGAAGGAAGGGGTCAAGTTTTGGAGAGGGGTTGTAGAGGGCCAAGGGGAGGAGGGTCGATTGTACCAGGCGCTTAGGGAAGTGCTCACCCATCAATCTACCCTCCTATCCACTTCCTCCTCCCTCCTCCCCCTCCCTCCTCCACCAAACACACTCCCCACAATCACCCCCCCAAACCAACAACAACCGCCCTCCACCCTGCTCCAAACGCTGTCCTCCCTCGCCGGCCTACAGACGTTTCTGGAAGACTCGCAGTTTGGGCTGCAGCAGGCTAGTTTGGCGATTGCGGGGGAGAGGGTGGTGGTGGATGTGGATTTGGGGGTGGACGTCGCTGAGGGTGAAGGCGCTGAAGGCGAGGGCGCTGATGGTGAGGGGGAAGGTGAGGGGGGGTCGAGGATGGGTACGCCTTTAGGTACTACCCCTCTAGCTGCTTCCACCCCCGCTCCCGCTCCCGCGCCCGCCCCTGCGCCGAGCGCGGGCGATGCAGGACCCCCCACAGGCCGTGAAGAAAGACCACCCAAAATCAAGCTCCTCAAACTCGAAGCATCGCATGTGACGCCGAAAGGCGAGACAGGCCAGTCGGGGCACGTCAAAGCGACTCTCACAAAGTTGGTGGAGGAGTATTTGGAGCTGTATAATGTTTTCCCTGTTGTGCCTACTCTTCCTACCGGATTTCCCAACACCGGCTCACAAGCCCCGCCGCTCCCGCTCACGCAACACGATGAAGAAGGAGGGAATCAAGCAGAAGCCATGGCGGATATCATCAGACACTTGGAGAACGAGTTGCGGTCGTTGAAACGTATAGACGATGTAGCTTGTGCGGAGGGAGAAGGGGAGGGGGTGGTAGATTGGTTTGAAGAGGTTGAGAAAGTGGCGAGGGGTGTTGATGCCTTGTTTGGAGAATCTTTGTGCGTTACCCTTTTCCCTTCCAATGTCGGGTGTGCTTGTTTGTAAAAGTCTAAAGTGTGTAGCTGCTGATAGTTTGGATAGGGAACATCCGGTGTACCCGGCTGAGAGGCCTTGTATCTTTCCTTCTTTCCGTCTTTTACCCCCTTCTTCACCTTCGTCTTCTGCATCGACGAGTACGAAAGAGGGCGGCAGGGTGGAAGCGTTCAACCCGACTTGGCAGATCCGGCCTCTCCTCTTGCACCTCAACGAATCCGTCCCTTCCCTCCTCCCTTCCCCTGCTTCTCATTCTCTGCATTCTTCTCAAGATGAGCACGGGGAAGGAGGAGAAGATGTCACCATGGACACGCAAGAACATGAACAGGAGAAGGAGAATGAAGCAGGAGGATGGCTAGGGAGCGATTGGGTCATCGAATGTCTCGACCCTTCCGGGCTCGTGTGTCCTAGACAATGGCTCTTATCAGACGACGGTGTACAGTCAGACCGAGATGAGAGGGACGAACCCGCCAGCCAAGTCGGCTCGAGGATCGAAAGTCTACTCGCAAGTACCCACCTCTTTCCTGACGTTGGGAAAGGAGTGTACTGATGAGGTCGTAGTATCGACCATACCAACAACCTTCCTTCATGCCGCCTCAGGCTCAACAGCAAGCTTTCCCGTATACTTTACCGTTCGTACAGAGTTCTCAACCAGCCCACCAGAAGCAGGGAGAAGGGGAAGGGGAAGGGGAAGGGGAGGGGCTGGAGCAGCATTGGTCGATAGCGCATCCTGGGCCTGGGGGATGGGTCGTTGGAAGGGTGGGGTTGGGGAGGAATGAAGAGGGATTACGGAGGGCTATTGTTGTGAGTTTTCATTCTTCTTCCTTTTTTTTTTTTTTTTTCTCCTGCTTTCTGGACTCTGGAATCTGCATATCGGCATCCAACTTTCGGCATTTCAAAGAGGGACTTTTGTGCTGATAGTATGACAGGCTCTGAGACGACAGACGGTCATGAACCAACTCTTCTGCCAGATATTCAAGACAGAGTATTGTCGGCCTTATGACGTTGATGTCGGGAGTGTGCCGGATCCTAATGGCGAGACCAACCCACTGAACGGCGAGGGTGAGATGAAGAAAGAAGGGGAGGATGCAGAGATGGCGGAAGATGAAGATGATGATGGGGATGATGATGATTGGTGGCTCTCTGGTACGTCCCCTCCACCATGTCACACTCACCACGATACACCAAAGTACAATACTTACGGTGCAAGCAGCATCACAAAAATCAATCCCATGCTCCCTCACCATTCTCCCATCATCATACATCATCGCCCTACCCATCCTCTCTTCAGAAGGCAAGATACGCGATACGCAAGTCACCGTCAAGCCGTCCTTGGTGTCGGAAGGAGGGTATGTGTATGTTGGGGTAAAGGTTGATGGGGAGGATGTTGGGGTGTTTGGGGATGGGGCTGGGGATGGGGCTGGAGGGAGGAGGGATTTGGTGGGGATTGTGGATGAGGTTGTCAGGCTTGTCAGGGGATGATTGAGTGGATGACGGAGCTCGGCTTATCATGCAGCATGTTGACAACAACGTCACACCATCTGATCTTTTGCATAATCCCATCATATCACACGATTCAGCCTATCCAACTACTCGAGAGCCATGGACGACTCCATACTTTCAATACTTGGACACGGCCTCTGGACTAGAGCACCACTCGCTAGTCTTGATATCCTCGCACCAACCCCTTCTGCTCCGGCTGCCAGCCCAACCACTCTTTCGTAAGCTCGCTCGAAGCCACCATATCGCGCGCAAAGAACATCTCGACAAGGGAAAGCGTAATAATGCACTGCCGCTTCCTCCAGAATAAGACTCTTGGTAGGAATCCCAAGCCTGCCAGCGACAGCCTCGGCGATAGATCTGAACGGTACCCCAGCATCTTGGACCGCGTGCAAGACCTCTCCACCCTTGAGAGTCCTGCTCTCGAGGACGAGTTTGTAGACTTTGACAGCATCGTCAACATGCACAGCTGGCCAGTGATTCCCGCCTTTTTCCCTACATAGCCCGCAAAGCCAGCTTTCTTGGACTGCTGGATGTAGAGGGTCATGATACTTTCATCCCGTCGCCGTGGGTGGGTAGGGGCCAGACGGACGACGTGGGAGCGAATGCCGGAGGTAGCGAGAGAAAGGACGAGGTGCTCGGCTTTGCCTGGGCCGGCTTGGATGGCGGGGGTGAGCTCGGAGGGGGTGGGGGAGGAGGCGGCGAGCAGGCCGGAGGTGGTGATGAGGGGTTAGGAGGAGGCGCCTTTGAGGGCTTTGGCGAACGTCTCGACGGTGGTATAGTCCGCTGTTGTTCGGTTTGTTTTGTCAAAGGGTAATAGAGAATGGGAGGGCGCCTTAGCTTCTTCCGCATTCAGCACCACATGATACTGAGACTATATGTTCTCTTGCGCAATATCATGCTCTATTCACGCGTTCTGGACTAGTCGCTATACTACACTATCTTTCCGTCCAGAGATGTGCGGATAGAAGGAGCGGGCAGTGGCTTGAAAGATCAACCGCCAAAGACACATGAGAAAGTAGAACGGTCGGTGGATGTCGGGAAATTCTTTGCCGTGCTCGCTCCGGTCAGCCAGCTTTGACTGGTACTCTGCTGTTCATACTGCTGCAGTAGACTGGTCGACATCCGAGAGGCTACAATCTATACAGCAGACATCCGAGAGGCTACAATCTATACAGCAGCTCCCCTGTTGCTCTATTTCGCTCTGAGGTGTTCGCTGTGACGATAACACTAGTAGGTACTGGTAATTACTTTATCTTCAAATCGTTTATCGCACTGACGACCTATGTAGACGGGTACATATCAAAACTTGGCGGCAGTCCCCTCTGCAAAATACCACTCCGTCTTCTCAATCTCCTCCACCAACGCCCTCTCCTTCGGCTCCCACCCAGTCCACTCCCTCGTCAACGCACTATCCGCCAAAAAATCCAACGAGATAAAGTGTCCCAACCATGAATACGTCGCCCCAGCTTCTTCCGGTGTGATGCTCTTGGTGGGGATACCCAAGCGCTTGGAGACGGCGGCAGCAACATCCTTGAAGGGAACGCCAGCGTCCTGAGTAGGGTGCAAGATCTCACCGCCCTTCAAGCTCTTCTTCGGGTTCTCCAGCGCGAGCTTGTTCAGCTCTGCCGCATCCTTCACGTGCACCGCCGGCCAATGATTCTCCCCCTCTCCCAGATACCCCGCAAAGCCAGCCTTCTTCGACTGCTGGATATAAAACGTCAAAAACGCTTGATCCCCATCTCCATGCGTGGTGGGTGGGAGGCGCATGATGTGGGTGCGAACGCCGGAGGAAGCGAGGGACATGGCGAGGTGTTCGGCTTGGCCGCGGCCGGTTGTGCTGGCGGGGGTGCGTTCGTTGGGGGTTGGTGAGGAGGTGAGGAGGACGCCGGAGGTCATAATGAGGGGTTTGTTGGTTCCCTTGAGGCCTTTACCGAATGCTTCGAGGGCTGCCAATTCGACTATCCACAAATGTCAGTGCTGAAATGAAGGAAGGGGAGGGGTCGTACCTTTGATAGCATGAGGCATGTTAGTAAAGTCATGGATGAAGCCCAAATGGATGACGCCGTCGGAAGCAGCAGCTGCCTTTTCGAGAATATCGGTGTCTTCGAGAGTTCCGCGGACGACGGTGATACCTTGGTCTTCGAGCTTTGTTGCCTATCTCGGATGTCAGCTTGGATACAAGTCGAAAGAAAGAAGGGACATGCAGAAGCGTCCGACCTGGCGAGGGCGGTGAGGTTGTGGCCGGCGGCGAGGAGGACGGGGGTGAGGTGAGAGCCGACGAAGCCTGAGGCGCCAGTGAGAAAGACGTTGACCATCGTAGTTGCTAGTGGGGGATGGGATGTACAAGAGGTGGGCGAGCAACGAGGATACGAGTATATATATAGCAGGAAGACAAGTTCGTAAGCAGTCGGTAGGCCGAGTCCGGGCGACCACGCCGATGCCCGAGGGGCTGGATGTTGTCATATGAGCATTTTAGCTCGTTGCTCGTCGTCGCAGGAGAGGGGGTCGGAGTATAAGAGATTCAAAGAGCAAAATATCAACAGCCTCAAAAGACAAGTGAACACCAGTTGCATTTGAAGACTTTTCCAGCGCGCTATGAACAACTCTACCCAGACCTCTGCATTTCAAAACTTGGTCACACTAGTCTCCTCAAAGTACCACCCACTCCCCTCCAGATCCTCGATCACCCCCTTCTCAACCGGCTCCCACCTAAGCCACCTCCCAGTCAGCTCGCTCGACGCAACACAATCAATACCCAAGAACAATGCCAAGAAAGTATAAGTCTGCCCCGCCTCTTCCTTCGTGATACTCTTGGTGGGGATGCCCAGTCGTTTGGCGACGGCGGAAGCAATGGTTTTGAGGGTGATACCAGCCTCCTGCGAGGCGTGGAGCACTTCACCGCCCTTGAGGGAGCTGGAAGCGTTCTCAAGGACAAGCTTGTACACTTGCACCGCATCCTTCACATGCGTAGCAGGCCAGTGGTTCTCCCCCTCCCCGATATACCCCGCAAACCCAGCCTTCCTCGACTGACCAATATAGTGCGCCAAGAAGCCCCTGTCGGTATCGCCGTGCACGGTAGGAGGCAGGCGGACGACGTGCGAGCGGATGGAGTGCTCGGGGGAAGAGAAGGAGAGGGTGAGTTTCTCGGAAGCGGCGCGGGGAGGGATCTTGCCGGGGGAAAGCTCGGTGGGGGCGGGGACGCCGGCGACGGGAATGGCGGAAGTGGTGATGAGGGTTTTGTTGGAATCCTTGAGGGCGGTACCAAAGGCGGTGATGACGGCGAGGTCGGCTGTGAGCATTGTCAGCTTTTGTTTCTTATTCTCGTCGTTGGGAGAGGGGGCGTACCTTCGACAGACTCGGCATACGTCCTGGAATCATGAATGAAACCCAAATGAATCACGGCATCCGCTTCTCCCGCGGCTTTGGCGAGCACGTCAATGTCCTCGAGTGTGGCCCGGATGGTGGTGATACCTTGGTCTACGAGCTTCTGCGCCTGTTTTGCTTTCGTCAGCCTTTGATTTGAGGACCAAGGAAGAGGAAGACAAGATACGTACAGCAGACTCCGACCTGGCGATAGCAGTAATCTTGTGCCCCGCAGCGAGGAGGATAGGGGTGAGGTGGGAGCCGACAAAGCCAGAAGCGCCGGTGATGAATACGTTGACCATTGTTCGTCTTGTAGTAGATTTATTGGCTAGTTGTTGTTGCGCTGAAAGCTTACAGAGCTGTGCTGTGGATAGGAAAGGTTGATGAGAGGTAGAAGAGTCAAGGTTTTTCAGCCTTATATATCTTTGAAAGTGACGAGCAAGAACGCCATACATTACTCATCTTCGCCTCCTATCGCTCTACCGTCCTCGGGCACCAAAGCCGGGCAAAGGGCCCTTCCTGCTCAGCATTGTTCAGCAGGCAACTTACTTTCCAATGCATCGTGCTAAAAATGGGGCGATGACAAAGAGGTCGCCATGAGAAAATGGCTTGCTGCAGCGAACAGCGTGTTTGATTTCGCAGACTATGAGTAAAAAAAGGGTGGTCAATGCCCGAACGAAACCGAGACCTCCGGAGTTCTGTTGAGATTTTGTCCGGTCGTCTTGTGTGATAGGTTGCGTGTATCTTTGGGGGGGCTGGAAGGGGATGGAGGGGAACCGAGTGGGGTAGCGAATACCGAGGGTTCTCAGGTCGGTCAACTGCGCGTGATGTGCACGAGTAGGAGTTGGGATTGGCTGTACCCGTTGACCGACAAGTGCGGTCAGGAGTGTGGAATGGGTAGTGCTTGGTAACATGCCATATGCCGATCGGGAGAGGAGAATGCAGTCCATACCGGTCTGTTCTTGAGACTGCCATCCAGCCTTGATCCAGCCGAGCGGGTTCAAATGGGTGGAGGTGCTCTCCTCGTCGCGTCGCGTCGAGCCACTCAAGCCTGCATGCCTTACCTTCTTCTTATATATAACGCCCATCGCGCCCACAATCACTCAAACCCTTCGCAACATGTCTAGCCTCCTCTCCCCCTTACGGCCATCAGCACCAGTACCAGCATCAGTACCAGCACCAGTACCAGCACCATCACCAAAAACAGAGAAAGAGACAGCAAGTATAGTATCGACCCTCTCCCAGCTTTCGCAATACCGCAATGTCCGGGGCGTCATGGTCATCGCCCGGCCCTCTCATCTCTACAAACAACACGGAGTAGAGAGTAGAGTCAGGGAGGGAGAGCGAGATGGAGGGATAGTACAGATTTCGGGTCAGGCGTTTGAAGGTGAAGGAGGGGAGAGGTATGCGAGGGTTGTGGAGAGGATGGTAGCTGGGATTGAGGTGGCTGTGGATGAATGTGAGGAAGGAGTGAGTCTGCATTGATGCTTCACAAGGGAGAAAACTACTGACACAATACACTCTTTAGGATGAGCTAAAACTCGTAAGAATCAGAACGAAGAAACACCAGCTCATCATAACACCTGGTAAGCCTTCATTATATCATTTGTCCCATGAGTGAGATTGGATTTGGGATAGACTGACGCTTGGACGAAATGGTAGATGAAAAGTATGTGCTGGTGGCTCTGCAAGACCCGGGAGAATGATTCGCTGTGTTGTATCCGTTTACGACCTTTTGACGACTTTGTGATGACTTTGCATGCACGTCAGTCCATATACTTGGGTCACTTCAAACACTTTCGGGATGCCATCAACCCCAGTACATCGGCTCCTTCAGCTTGAAATTCACGGGATAAGTGAACCCACAGCGCGCGGGACATCACATCCTAAAACCACCACCCGGGTTTGTATGTTTGTGTTCAATCACCTCGCCGCTACTAACTCCCTCTATCATCACAATTATTGAACGCTATGCCTTATCTTCTCCTTCCTCTACCCTCGATAAACACAGTCATCCCCAAAATACCACCCAAACCCCACCCCCTCCGGCTTCCACCCAAGCCACGCTCTCGTCAATTCACTCGACGTTCTACAATCCATCATCATCATCTGTACCCCCCAGGTATATGCCTCTTCAGCTTCTTGTTTTGTGATGCTCTTGGCTTTGATGTTTAAGCGTTTGGCGACGGTGGAAGCTACGGTAGAGAAGAGTACTCCAGATTCGTGTGAGGCGTGGAGGATATCACCGCCTTTGAGATGGATGGTCTCGAGGGTAAGTTTGTACACTTGCACTACATCTACAACATGTGCAGCTGGCCATCAATGTTCCCCATCGCCCACATACCCCGCAAAACCAGCCTCCCTCGAACACTCGATTTAGTGCGCCAAAAACCCTTTATCGCCGTCGCCATGTATGACAGGCGGTAAGCGGATGATGTGCGTACGGATACCAGCTGAAGAGAGGAATAGCGTAAGACGCTCGGAGGCTGCCATTGGAGGAACTAGGCTGGGGGACCATTCGTGAGAGTTTGGGATACCGGTGACGAGGGTGCAAGAGGTGATGATGAGGGGTTTGTTCGTGCTGCTGAGTGATAAAGATGTGGACCATTGGGGCTTGAAAAGGTCCTTGCTCGCCATTGTTCGTGAAGCGAAATAAAGACGCTGGCTGGATTGTACGACAGAAACGACAAGCCAAAAACAACGAGATGTCATAGGAACGAACAAAGGACCCACTGTGTCTGGGGTATGGACATGTGGGATGTAGACGTACTATGTATGCAGAAGGGTTGTCAAAGGCTCAGACCGTCTTTGGGGCAGGAGGATCATGCGGCCTACATCTGACACCTCGCTCATCACCAATGACAAAGCTCATCACATTTTTATCAGCTCCACTCGACCCAGAATTACATCGAAGCGTCTAGAAGCATCTTTGCCACTCTGTTGGCCACTGAAGAAAACATCGGAAGGTCATGGAAAAGGGATACGTAGGCTTGAGGCTGGATATAAATACCTACGTTCTTTCATAGCAATAGATACTCTGTCGATCAAATATTGTTGTCTCTCCAAACACAAGCGTCCATGTCCTCCGGCATTGGCTTGGCCACCTCTCATTGTCCTCAAGTCATTTCGACTCACCTCAACTACTACAAGAGCATCGCTAGAGGTCATGGACCCGTGTGACAATCTTCGTCTTGTAAAGTGGTGAAAAGTGTCAGATTGAATATTCTCATTCATGTTTTTGGCTCTGCTTATTAGAACGGCCAAGATAGACACCGACTACACTCAGCCTCCTTCATCAACACTCCCTTTGAAGGCATTCTGACTAATAGCAAGATCATCTACCACGGCCAGCATGGGGCCATCTTGGATTCTAGTTGTCGTTGCTGGTTTGCCCGTCCAGCACCTTATCGAATTCCAACTGGGAATCCTCCTTCCCTCTCTCAGCTTTCGCTTGCGCCCACGCGTTGAACAGTTCAATTTGCTCCTCTTCGGACATAGTCAGAGACGTCTGAACGGTACTTATACGGGATTCGAGATCGGCTATCTTGTGATTCAGGGCCTTGTGATCTTGGGCTACTCGTTTTATCCTAGCGTGACTATTTCGGGCTGTATGCGAGAGTCATGTCAGTACTTGGACTTCAATTAGATATGACCTGATACGTACAGTTTTGGAGATCTTTCTGTCGTTGAGCTGCGAGAGACTCCGCGGTCATGTTGGCTAAACCAATCATGGAAGACAAAGGCAATGTCAGCATCTTCATGAGCTTAATGAGCGACAGCTAGTGTTTGGCAGGAACATACTTTTCTTGGTGCTTTCTCTTCCTGTGTTGAAACCTGTTGACTGACTGCACACAGAGCCCAACGAGTCAGCATTATTCGACCCATGACGTCTCTCGCTAGACAAATAGGGGGGCTGCTGCGAGGCTTGGCAGCAAAATGATACTGACGAGACATACTTATCATAATCCTCGCCTAACGTGGAGGTTCCGGCGGCAAAGTTTCGTTGATCTAGGTGGCCACCTTCTCTGCTTGGCTGAGATGGATGTAACGTCGACCGTTTGACAGAATCGTTGTTGGGTCGATGATGTCATGCTGTAAGGAATGACCTCTAGAGGTAAAATGGGTACTCACCCCGGCATAGTACAAATCGTCTGCTGTAGAAGAACCGGCAGCGTTGGAACCGTCGTCGTTTGGGTTGTTTTCGCGGTCTGATCTGTCGTTGTTGTTGGACATGTTTTTTTTTTATCGAGATTGATAAGAAGACGGATTGTAGCACGAAATCCTGGTGCATAAATACTGCATACGCCCCGATAATGAGGCAGTCACAATCCACCAGCTCCGCTGAGAATTGGTAGGGGATCATTACTTCCCACGCAAATGTGTGTCCTTCCCATGGTTTAATCGCTGATGCCACGGTTCTCCGTTATCGGCCGTGTTTCTCATGGATCCCAAGACTTCCAGAAGTCATTTTTCCATTCTATCGTCTCTGATATTAACCTCGAAGCTCTGCCTCATGAGACCATGTACTCGTATTGCTGAACAATGGTGGCAAGTCGAGTGGCACCCGCCGCCTGTCAATTGGGCGCTTCCGAGGTGACTGGAGATTTGCTTCCGAGATGATCGAGATATGCTTGCTCAGCCCGCTGAGTGTGAGTGCTTGGTAAGCGTGATCATTCGCAACCACGACTATATAATCCCCGCTGCTTTCCCATCTCCCCTCATCCCCACTTCCACTCCCATCCACATCCACAATGGTCAACGTCTTCATCACTGGCGCCTCAGGTTTCGTCGGCTCCCACCTCACCCCCATCCTCCTTGCCGCGGGGCACAAGATTACTGCTATCGCCAAGTCTGACGCATCCGTAAGTCCCCTCCTTCTCCCTCTTGCATCCACGCTGACAATTGGCTTAGGCAAAGAAGCTTGAGGACCAAGGTGTCACCGTCATCCGCGCAAGCCTCGAAGACACCAATGCTCTCGCTAAAGCCGCTTCCGCATCCGACGGTGTGATTCACCTTGGTTTCATCCATGACTTTTCCAACTTGGCCCATTCCGTCAAGGGTATGTTCCTTCCCTCTTTGAACATAGGTGTCCACATGGGCTGACAATGCGCTCAGTCGATTTCGCCGCCATCGAGGCATTCGGCAAGGCCCTCAATGGGTCGAACAAGCCCCTCATAATCGCCTCCGCCATCCCCGTTACCGGAATCCGCAACCCCTCCGAGCTCTCTCCCGGCACCCAGCCTCCTCGAGACAAGTCTGAGCACCTCACCACTTCCTTCACTTCCTCTGGCGTCCGCTCCCACGTCGTGCGCTTGTCGCCCACTGTCCACGGCGATGGGGACCAAGCGTTCTTGACACACTATGTCCAGCAGTCGAAGAAGGCTGGGTTTGCCGGATATATTGGGGATGGGGAGACCCATTGGCCGGCTGTTCATGTCAAGGATGCGGCGGAGATCTTCAAGCTCGCCTTGGAAAGCACGACTCTCAAGGGCGGCGAGATTCTCCACGCTGCTCAAGACGCCGGTGTAGCCTTCAAAGACATTGCTGCCGCTGTCGCTGGCCGTTTGGGCGTCGAGACGAAGAGTATCACTGCCGAGCAAGCTGGGGAGACTTATACCTGGCTTGGTGGCTTTATCGCTGCTGATACGGTGGCGGAGAGTCAGTTGACTAGGCAGTGGCTTGGGTGGGAACCAAAGGAGGAGGGGCTGGTGGAGGATATTAAGAGTAGCAAATGGTACTTTGAGCCGGGAACTGAGACCAAGTTTTGAGTAGCCCAGACAGTATCGTAGTCTCGTTGAACAAAAATGAATGTATAAGAAGTGTATATGATTTTTTCATCGATGCTCAAGTCGAAGCCTTCCTACCCACGCCTCTTCCATATCACGTCCTTCTTGGAAGCGGACCAGACATGATCGTTGAAGCATCGGATCCACTCCGAGTACGGGTCTGATAATAACCTGTCCGGCAACGACATTTCGCTCCAAAATGTCGATTTTTCCCATACAAAATTGCTTCCGTCGCGACATTTTACATTTTACATTTCGTCGCTACATTTCGCTGCAAAAATGCGTGTCCGGCAACTCGGCTCGGCCACGAAATGTCGACATTTCGAGACAAAATGTCGCCTCTTTTCACGTGCTTTTCACATGGTCTTCCCTGAGCTCTAGTTACGTCACCGGCCACATACGTCACCGCCCACAGCTCTGCCACAGCCGAGCCACAGCTCCACTTGTTACTTGTGCCGGAAAGTCAAATTGATGGCATATATACAGATGCATACGTATCTAGATACCCATTTGCATCACCAGTTCTCCATCCACTCCAATGAACGATCCTCGCCAATCCACAGTCGCTCAACGTTCTCTTCAACGACACCGCTTCCAGCAACGGCAAACTCGGCGAAGGTTGATCATCGGGGAAGTCGGGCAGGTCATTGGGGCTGCCGCACAAGTAGTAATCGAGTCCCAGAAGCGCTACTATGTCAAGAAGCCCCTGCACAACAGTCCTTTTGGTGGCCATCAGCTGGTCTCCGGCCATCGGCTCAGACATCTCAACGACAACGAGCCCAGTGCTGTAGAAGAGAGCTCGCAAGAAGAGCAGGACGAGGATGCCGAAGGTGAGGAGGTTGAACGTTCTTCAGTGCTGGCACCGGACAGCGACGATGAGGGGGAGCAAGAGGACTCTGGTGATGGAGAGTTGATTGAAGTAGCACCACCTGTGAGAATCTAGTACCTCTAGAGGTTGTATGCTGACTCACACCCTTGCAGCCAAATCAGAAGAGACACTCTGCTGTCGCCACACCAAAAAAGGGGTCCCCAAGCCGAGCAAGCAAGCTTTCTGGACCAGAAGCCATGCAACAGCATGGTCAACACCTCAAAGCTAGATTGGATTGTCTGGCAATGAGCCTGAACGATGTCGAACGTGCTAGCAGGAACGAACTGTCTTCTCTCCTTGAGGAAGTTTCTTCTTCGCAGCTATTCTCCCCTGGTGGCAGAGATGACATTTACGAGATGCTCTGTAGCCAGCCTCGTGTGTGCGACTTCGTCATGGCATTAAAACCAAAAGACAGAATGCGATTCCTGCAGAATCGTCTCACCAAGCAACGAGGAGGGTCATCTCAGCTTTCTGAATAATGCAACTGTAAATTATTAGTATGTCTATGCCCGTATGTCTATGTACCGTACAATGTTCGATGCAGTTATCGTAAGAAATTGAATCCCATAGCCAGCTCCATGACATATACATCAACATAATAGAAACCAACTATTATCTTGTCATATGTCGATGACTTGATAGTCGCGGCGCCGGAGAAGGAGGAGATTGATGAGATTTTTGGGACGTTGGCGGAGAAGTGGGATATTACGACAGCGGAGGAGATGGAGCAGGTGCTAGGAATCAAGATCGAACGCAAGCAATCAGCCAAGACCTTTCATCTATCTCGTCCGAAGAATATCGATGAACTCACCGACAAATTCCCCTACATTACCAAAGCAGATCGTCCCTATCAATCCTCGCTCTATCCCGAACAATCCTCGCTCCCTTCCACCACGACGCGACGAAGACGAATCGCCAGCAGCACCGCTTACTCCGTACCAGGAGGTAGTGGGTTCGTTGCAGTGGATCGCTGTGGATGGGAAGTCACAGAGAAGGAGCTGGCGAGGGAGGCTGATGAGCGTATCATCGTGTCGTACAAGTACGTTCAAGCCGCACTGTTGTACTTTGAGGGGCTGACCTCAGGAATAGAAGCAGGGACGAAGGCAGCAGAGACAGAACTTTGGCTGGGGAGGAGACTGGTATCGAACGCAAACACAAGATGGCTGAGTCTGTAGCGGAGAAGTCTGGGCTCAAGAAGTCAAAACACCATTGTTTGGGAAGGAGAAAGTAGAGGCTATAAAGCGTTCAGAAGGACAACGGAAGAGGTTGAGTCAGCTGGCACGGAAGAGAGTGACATATAGGAAATTGTAGACAGTGCAACAGCTGATATAGTACTCGTACATATGCTAGTTCGGTGATAAGAACTTCTCCTGGTGCGTTCAGCGTAACAGTCAACTATACTTTTGCATCGCATTCTGCTAATCTGCACCTTCATTCCTCTATGCTATGCGTCGTGAGGAAGACTGCCATATCTACTGTTGCCCCTCTCATATCCTCGTCTCCGTCTATTCTGCCCCTTCCCCTTGGGGCTCACAAACAAGTCCTCAAACGAGCCCACTGTCGGATGTGATATCACGCCATATGCGTCTTGCAGCATCTTTCCCAAGAAATCGAGTTCTGCGATCACTTCCTACAAGTATCGTCAGACAATTAACCATGCGAACGTTGAAAGGTGCTCACCTGCATAGCCAAAGCGTAGGCAAAGAACAAGAGATGTCGCCCCCCACTCTTCAGCTTTCGTCGTTTGACGACTTCGAGGCCGCGGATAGCGTTGACGAGCCGTTTTCGTGCGTCCTCTGCTGGGGGGAGGTAGGAAGGGAAGGGGGTACGTAGTCGAAGACCGGCTGAGAGGGTGTAAAACTAAAGATGCGTCAGTTCATTGCCAGGTTGGGTGGGAAAGAGCAGGACGACGTACGTAAAGAATGACGTTGCCGGCCATTTCACGTCGTTCTTTGTTGACGGGAAAGATAAAGGCTTGTCGCATATCGTCGTTCCTACACTCACATTAGCTTGGGCCTGTGATGATGGCCTTTGGAAAGATGGCTCACCATTCGTCTCTGGTAGTGACACATCGCATACTATGCAGCCGATCCAACACTCTCTCGCAGCTCAGCAGCACTTCGTGGTAGAAGCCGTACGCAAAAGGACCTTTGAGGCGAGGTTCATTCTTCGTCTGAGAGAGTAGGCCGCGCAGATAGTCGAGTTGGGATTGAAGATGAAGCTCCCTAGCACTGAGTCGGCATATTGGATGATAGACATTTTGGGAAGAGCTTACATTGCCATAAATTGCCTGACGCTAGAGCTCAGATGTTGATGTCCAACAGACCAAGGAGCAGAAAGCGGCGTTGTCTCGCCAACATCTCCCTCGTCATCACTGTCGTCGCTTGAGTGGTCGCCTGAATCTTCTCCTTCGGTATCGACGCCTTTGCTGTATGTGGTGACGAGTTTGGAGTAGAGATGAGAGAGGTCGAGACAGAAGCTAAATGAAAATCAGCACGTGCTCTTGAGAGATTTAAAACAAAGACGTGCTCGCTAAGACCCATCCGGAACTCTTGCCTCGCCGTAAACGGCCACCAATACCTCGAAACAATCCCCGCCCAAATCACCCCCGCAATAACACTCATCGACCTCCTAAACGCAATCAACTCGACACTCACCTCCCCTCTTGAGTTGTATTCGTAAAGACAAGAAAGATTGTATGTGAGGAGGATAAACCGACCGGCATTGTTGTAAGCGGGGAGTTGGGTGACGATGTAGAAGCAGGGCATGGAGATGAAGAAGCCGCAGATGGGGAGCATGATGGGGTTTTCGGGGAAGAGCTTGGTGAAGATGACGGCGCATGTGCCGCCGATACTACGAGATCGTCAGTTCATCTTCTCTTCGAACACGAAACGATACGCACATGGTACCGAAGATCCTCGCGAGGGACAAATAGTTTGTCTGTCCCACCGTCTGGCTCATAGCCGCCAAGTACGCGATCAAAGCCCATTCCCCTCGATACTCTAGAAAGTATTCACGGCCCATATGCGTATACGCCGGCAGCGCCAACATAGCTAGATAGCATGTCGTCAGCGTCCCTCCAAACTCCAGTCTAGGAAGAAACTCACCGCCACCCAGACCGGTCCTGATTGCATACCGCATATCCGGCTCAGCGAGCCTCTCACCAATGTACCACCATGCCCTCTTCATCCTCTCCAACAAGGGCGCACGTTTCGGAGTCGCGTTGGAGGAGGAATTTGTAGAGTCGCGGCTGTTACCAGGGCAGAGAGGCGGTTGGAGTTTGGACGGATCTATGGGGACGAGGTTATCTGCCAAACCTTGTCAGTCAAGAGTCATAAGGGTAGGAGTGACGACGTACGAAGCTGCTTGTAGATATACTCTCCCCGTCCTTCTTTCCTCCCGCGCTTGCGGCCAAAAACATGTTTGATGTGATCCCAGATCGACGGCGTGTGCGAGACGGCGAGCTCTTGCATCGTATCAAGCAAAAAGATGATCTCGCGAGCAAACTCTTCATAAGTGAAAAGAAAGCTGGGCATCATTAGCCTTTACTCGTATCAGAAGAACTCACAAATAGATCCAAAAGACAGTCTCATTAGGTCCATCCGCAAGCTGGCTCAAATCACTCCCCGACCTCTGTCCTTGTTCCCTCCCCTTCTCAGTTTCCTTCTCCTCATCATCGTCCTCCACCGGGCCGGCGTACACTTCTTTGATAGCACGGCTGGTGATGAAGCGAAAACTCCGGAGGGTGTCGGCGAGTTTGGTGCGTACGGCGGAGAGGTTATCTTGCGTAGGGTCTGATCGGGAGAGAGCTGCTACCGTCTCTAGCGCTTCGTCACAGCAGTCCTTCCATTCCCATCAGCCTCTCCCTATTACAAAAGAAGGGAAGAAGAATGACTCACATTCAAAGAAATCATCTGCGCCCCCGCACTCTTCCGAAACTCCAAAAACAGCCTCACACTCGTCTCCACATCATCCTCCCTCACCGACTCTTTCCTCGGTCCATCCACCGGCGGGAGGGCAGAGATGGAGAATATGGGCGAGTCGATATTCGTCTGCGTATCGAAATCCCAGCTGACTTTACCCTCTTTACTCGCCCTGATCAGACTCTCTTGTAAGCGCGTACAGCTCCTCAGCCCGCCTAGATGTTGTGCCAACCTGCCCAAACTGGCTACTGCAGCTTCATACAACCTCAACTTCCTGCCCCTTATCCGCTCATCCACAGCACTCTCATGCCTCGCCTCGCTCAAATCGCTTTTCAGCGTCTTGAAAGAAGCAGCATGGGATTTGATGGCGTCTTTGATGGAGGTGCGGTCTTCTTTGATGATGGTCTTCTCGAGCAGGAAGGTGGAGGTGAGGATGTCGAGGAGGGTGGAGAAGGAGGAGAGGGTTTTGGAGATGGAAGATTGGAGGCGGGAAGTGGCGGAGAGGGGGAAGACGGTATAGTTGACGAGGTTTGTGATGCAGACTGGGACTGATTTCAGCAATTGGCAAGAGGGGAGGAGGGAGCAGGTACTGACCACCGATGGCGATGATTTCGAGCGTCTCGGCTAGTTTGGGGAGGGCACCGTCGCGGATGACTACGTTGTACAACAACATCGCTGCCATCGAGCATCCTACCACTGCGTCAGAAACGCAGAAAGTAAGAACAAGGGATACAACGTACCACCGTTCCAACTCGGATTCCCCACATACAACTTCCCCCAAGCCAACAACCCCAACGTCCCCCCGATCCAAACAACACACATCACCCAATCCCCCATCTCGCTCACGAAATCCCACGAATGTCCGTGCGATGGGGAAAAGTGGTCAAAGAGAAGGACGGTGCCCATACAGAAGAGTGAGGCGATGGAGGTGATGAATGTGAGGACGATACAGTAGCGGGTGGAGAGAAACATGTTGCCGAGCGTTTTGGCGGGGTTGAACTGTATAATACGTCAGGGAGGAGTGCGTGAGAGAGAAGAGAGTAGGAGAAAGAGGTCTTACGTAGACGACGATGGTAGCGACCATATGAGCCTGGTCGGCGGGCTTCCAAGTGACTCGACCATGGATGTCGGTCATCGACTCTCTTGAAAGCAATCGAGAGAGTGCAGGTACGAACGTGAAAAGGGACGCGATAAAGTACGCCACAGCGCATTTGAAGACCGAGATCGTCACAGGCGACGGCGGCCATAGACCTATTTCCTTTATCAGCCCCTGTTGTCGACAACCCGTAAAGAGAGGGTGAAGGAAGCCCGTACCAGTATTTTTCAATCGTTTGGACGGTTTCGGATCAGGCGCAGGCTTAGGTACATTCTCGGAAAAAGGCAAGTCTTCCTCCACCGTCTGTGCTCGAAAAGGCGACTTGCCAGTCGACTTTGGCGACAACTGACCGCTATCAAAGATCCCACCATCATCCGGGCCATCTTCCAACTGTCTCGGCGTTGTCGATTTTGGTGAAAGCGTAAGGTCACCGTCGAGGATGGAGGAACAAGACCGAGTGAGGCTTGGGTCGCGTTTCCCAAAGGTCGCTCTTAGAGGTGAAGGTGATGCTTGATGGCCAAAGAGCCCCCGGACGCTTTTCGCCCCGACAGAAGGCAAGACCGACAATCGTCGTATCGAAACATGACTCTTCCCCAGTCCAGGCCCTCCTCCTCCTTCATCTTCATCCTCTTCATCTTCATCATCTTCATCCCCCGCGACTTCCTGTAAAGACTGCCAATTATCCCTCCTCTGCGAAAGCCTAGCAGGCTCAGCGATGGTGGAAAGCGCAGTATCGATACTCGTCAAGCTCGCGCTCGACGTCCGCCGAGGGATTGAGCGGGCAGAGGGGATACTGCTGGACCGCGACTGCGGCTGGGCGTGGACGAGGGAGCTCGGTCGGTGTCGGAGGATCGGCCTTGATATTCCGTCTGAGCCAAAGTAGCCCAGGGTGGGGGTGGATGTGCCGACCATCAAGTGTGTCAGAAGTCTGTTTGGGAAAAGGGAAAAGAGAGAGACGAGAAAAGAGAGAGTGCATAGAGGGGTGTTGGTGCTGTAAGGGCACGTAATGGATGGGTGATTTTTGGTGGCAGCTGATATGATAACGAGCGAACCATTTTCCCATGTTCGCGCCGTTGCACTGATCACGCCTTCAAGGCACAGACCCAAGATAAGCGAGAAATACTCCCGGGCCCGGGGGCCACATCGGGGCCAGTCCACTGGAGTCTGACGTGTTGGAGTTGTGGTGTATGTGAGGGGGCAGTAACTGAAGGATGCATGGTGCAGTTGTGTCGTCAGCCACTTGTAGAGAGAACCCCCACACAGCACACAGACAGAGGCGGCGAAGACCGCATGTGACGTTTTGTTGACATGATGTGAATATCGAAGTTTCATTTCGGTAAGCATGTCGCCAGCGGATATTCCGTGTAGTGCACAAAAATCCAGAAAGCTGGGAGCTAGGAGATGCCGACAACCGCTCGGCTGCACTCCAAACGCGCCGAACGCCTCGTTCAACATGCCGCAAAAGACTAAAATAGCAAGAGAGTTGAGAGCCCCTGTGACATTCGAGGGACCGTTCGAGGTACGGCCGCTTAACACTTCCGGGGTTTTGCCTTTCCAGTTGACGTTTGCAGAGATCCCACCAAGTCCATCCGACTTCATACCAGCGCGTATGTAGTACAGTACTGTACTCTACTCACATCTCCCTCATACACATGTACTTGTACAAATACCTACAAAGTCCCAAAAAGTTATACAATCAGAAAGAGTACTCGAGTACTACTCGTACTCGATGTCGCCCTTGTGCCACTCAGCCAAAAGTGATCCAACAGCAGCGACAGACCCCATAGTACCGGTGATGAGCGGGCTCCCCCATATACCGCCTGGGGTTGACCAGTGGATTGTGAGGGGGGCGTAGCCGCTACACTTCACGTCAGCTCCACCTCTATGAACTAGACGCAAGCAAAGCATAGAGAAGGAAGAGTGACTGACGCGTTGGAGATGGTAGCGTTCCTCCAAGTGAGCCATTCCTTGCCCAAAACCTTTGCTTGCGATACTTTTTCTTCCACTTTGCCTTGGATATCCTTCGGGCCGGTCTTTTCGTCTTGGACTTTAAAGCCTTCGGCTTCTGTGGGAGATACGTCGGGTTTGGAGTGTTGCAGGGCGCGGGTGCGGGAGGAGAGGGCGAGGTATGTTTTTTGGAGTTCGTATACTTTCAAAGCCACATACAGCCTACATTCCCATCAGCTTCCTTCCTTCCCACACACAAGAGAAAGAATAGACTCACGCCCAAAATCGGACACTCCAAAGCGTAGCCTTCCCAACCTTCTGCGGGCTCATCGAAATAATACCCTTAGTCGCAAGCCACGAGACATGTTCCAACGGGTAATAGGCGAGGATAGCCAGACATTGGAGGGTGGAGATGGCTTTAGGGCTTTGGAGTGCTTTGGCGAGGCCGTCGGGGGAGAGGAGGGTGAGGAGCGAGGTGAGGGGTTTGGGGTGGAGGGCGAGGAGGCTTTGAAGCACTGGAAGCATGCCTGTACAAACATTAGCATGGGATTTGTGTGATGGGAGGGGGGGGATGTACCGAAAGCTCGCATGATGACTCTTGCATCCCCAATACTCCCTCCTGCCCTGCCCCATCCCTCTGCAAGCTGCACAAGCCCATACCCGCCATCCACCTTCAAAACCCCCTGCCCGGCTGCTTGTGAGAGCTTGACCTTGGGGTGACGCGCGCGGATGGAAGCGAGTTTGAGGAGAAGGGCGATGATGAGCGGGGACGAATACTGGGCGAGCATGAGGGTCGCGTCGAGACCCGGGATTGTGGATTCCAAGCGGGTCAGGCGGGCGAGGAGGTGTTTGGGGTCGTTCAGGATGGACCGGGAGGGTTTTGAGGCAGACATGATGCTTTGCGAGTGATGTATAGGGAGAAAGAGGGAGATGAAAGAGGGAATGGGCGCAGGTGTCCGGACACAAGAGGTGGACACCCCCGGCCTACCGTACCGGGTATGGGGCATGTCCGCGTGTCCACGATGATGTCCGGGCGCGCCTCCACTCGCTGTGACTCATTACAAAGATTTCTATTCGCCGTCTGTTTTCCTCACCCATCCTGAAGATTATATATATCCCTTCGCTTCAAATTCGCCACCATCCGCCTCTCCATCACCATGTCCAGAACACAAACTACCATCCTCAGACCCCTCGCCACCTCCTCCAGGGCGACTCGCAACACCGTCGCCCGCTCATTTGCTAGTAGCTCTCGCCAGCAGCTCGCCACCTCTTCATCAGCCTTCGCCGGTATCCGTGCTTCCCACGGACATGAACTGAGACGCAAACCCCTTGCCCTCTTCTCCCACCAACAACGTACGTCCCCCCCCCTCTCCCACTCTCCCTTCTTCCCGTGAGTGACTAACTCGAGGTCGTCCTAGGCCGAACGATGTTTATCCAAACCGAAACAACCCCCAACGAAGCTTCCCTCAAATTCATCCCCGGCGTCGAAGTCACCCACGGATCAGCGCACGAATTCCTCGACCTCCGCTCCGCCCTCGCCTCGCCCCTTGCCACCCGTCTCCTCACGATTGAGGGCATCACGGGCGTCTTTTTTGGGCCGGACTTCGTTACGTGCTCGAAAGATGAGTCGCTCGCTTGGTCGGTGTTGAAGCCAGAAGTCTTCGCCGTCTTGATGGAACACTTCTCCTCTGGCGCGCCGTTGTTTAAAGAAGGTTCCGGCGAGACGACAGCAGAAGACACAAGAGTCCTCGATACAGATTCCGAAGTCGTCGCCATGATCAAAGAACTGCTCGAGACCCGTGTGCGCCCGGCGATCATGGAAGACGGCGGTGATATCGAGTACAGAGGGTTCAATGAAGTGTCGGGGTTGGTGCAGCTCAAGTTGAAGGGGAGTTGTAGGGGGTGCAGTTCGAGTAGCGTGACATTGAAGAATGGGATTGAGAGAATGTTGATGCACTATGTGCCGGAGGTGCAGTGTGTCGAGCAGGTAAGCTCTTTTCTTCTCTCTCTTTTCTCAAGAGGTGCTGACTTGCGGAAGGTGCTGGATGAGGAAGAGCAAATCGCGTTGGACGAGTTTGCCAAGCTCGAAGCTAGGTTGGAGAAGGAGCACGGCAAGAAGCCTGATGGCAAGCCCGAGTAAGTCCTACTCAACATCTGCCGTCTTCTCCCGTCTTCTGATGAGGACAAAGGCTGACAATGTTGACAGTATGAGCCAGTACGTGTCTGCTTAAGACGACGGACGAGATCTATGAAAGGGAGTTTTACGGTTTTACGCATAATAGCACCAGCACCATTAGATGTCGACCATGTAACTGTATCATCGTATCTCTGGTCATCAGGCTCTGCTTTGGGGGGTTTCTCAAGGGTGCCGACTCTGCTGACTGCTCTCGCTACCTCAACCGGTCGTCCATTTTCGTTATGCCACTTCTCCTTCCTCGCCCAGACTCACCGACGACCTCCCTCCTTGCCCCGTCGTCCTCACCCTCAACCCTCTTCCTCCCACCCTCCACCCCAGACTCGACTCTACTCGTCCTCGTCCTCTTCCTCAGCCCCCCTGCCAACCATCCTCATGTCCTCCTCAGAATCCGCCTCCCGGCCCACCCGCTTTTCCGTACAGACCCACTCGGCACCATCAGACTCTATGATCCGGGGTGCACCATCCCCAGGATGTTTCAGGACGTGCCCAGCCCAGTCGCTCGACTCACTCTCGCCGCTTCTCGCTTTTGGGTTCTCTTCATGTATCATCGCATCGCTTGAGACCCGATCAGCCCACGTTTTCGACAGACGATGACTGAATGGGAGAGACGGCTACGTACCATACCTCGTGATCGCTCCCTTCTTCGTTCTCGTCGCCTGCATTGTCCGTGCTTCGTTGTACGGAAGAAGATTGGGACTCTTCGTCCCTTCTCAAAGCTTTGGCATGTGCATGGCCATAGAACACCCTGGATATGTTGAACTCATCTGCTGGAGTCGTAGTGGTAGGCAGGGGAGTCGAGCTGTCTGTCGTGCTTGAATCTTCGCACAATGCTATTGCCGCCATATCGTCGGTATCGGGCGGGAGGACTGGGAGGTCCTCGCCAATTCCGAGCATTCCAGTGTCATCTCCAGTCTCATATGAGTCCAAGTGTCTGGGCCTCCGCGGTTTCCGGCTACCAGGGTCGTCCTCCGTAGGGATCATATCTGCGGTGACATGCGACTATCAGGCCATCAGCGGTACGCCCGCCATTGCCTTGCAGACGATCACGAAGAGGGCCACTCACGGAATGCTTTCTCTTCTTTCCAACACGTGACCATTCTTTCGCAAGCTCTCCAATCCTCTCCTGGGTGATGATTTCAGTTATACGCAGCCGGCGACAATTGGCCTCATGTCGAGCGATGTTTGTCACCCGGGATCCGCAACCGTGAGGGCAAAACTTGCGTGTTTTCTTTGAGGAACCCATAATGAGCTGGCAGAGGAGCGAGTGGGCGTAATATTATTGTGGTGTGAATGTCGATGGACAGTATCATAGATGATCAAGATTCAAGCCAGATCGTTGCGCCGGCGCAGCGAGCACGACATCGCGAAATAGTCCGAGCTCGGGCCCATTCTATGGGCGCCCTTACCTATGCAAGGCAGGCAAGTCAAGTGCAAAGAGGCATCAACGACGAGTACGTAGACTAATGAGGCTTTAAGGAAGAGCATTGTGAACTTATGGACAGCAAGTGTATTCATCAATTTCATAGAAGTCATTTTAGGGAGGCGATTATGTACAAATACATTGGCATTGCTGCTGCGGCCCGTTGAGCATCTTCAAGGCTCTCCCCAGTCAATCGGACTGTTGGGAGTACATGTCTGCTCAAGACCGCGGACGATATCTATGAAGGGGAGTTTTACGGTATAACGCATAATAGCACCAGCACCATTAGATGTCGACCACGTACTGTATCATCGCATCTCTGGACATCAGGCTCTGCTTGGTTCCCTCAAGGGTGCCGACTCTGCTGACTGCCCTCGCTACCTCAACCGGTTGTCCATTTTCGTTATGTCACTCCACATTTGATGCCCAATTTCCATTTTCGGCCACTGGTGCTGGACTGGATCGAGATGTTTGACGCGCGAACCGCTCGCCTGGCAAAGGGCACTCATCGGCTGCTGGTCATGGACAACCACGCCTCCCACGCCACCTACCAGCTCATCAAGTACTGCGACTTTCACAACATCATCCTCTTTTTCCTCCCTCCCCACGCCACCAACACAGCCGCCAATGGGGATCTCCTTGAGCACCGACTCAGGATTGAACGGCACAAGACCAGACATCCTCCACCCCTCCCTGATGGTTCGGCGCTTCAGCCCTAACCTCCTGACATCTTCCAGCGCTGCCAGAAAACTCGCAGTGTTGACCTTGTCGATTCCCACGCGGTCGTGGTAGTCGACACTTTGCCTGTGATGCTCTTTGAGAGGCTGAAACACGGCGAGATCAAGGGGCTGTAGGATGTGGGTGGCGTGAGGAGGGAGGAAAAAGAGGATGATGTTGTGGAAATTGCAGTACTTGATCAGCTGGTAGGTGGCGTGGGAGGCGTGGTTGTCCATGACCAGCAGCCGATGAGTGCCCTTTGTCAGGCGAGCGGTTCGCGCGTCGGACATCTCGATCCAGTCCAGCATGAGGGTGTCCAGGATGAAAGATGTGCCTGACACCCCGATGAGCGTCGAGTCGCTCAAATCGTTGTCCACCCACGACGCCCGGATCTGCTTCCCCCTTGAGCAGGACGAGCGGCTCGATGTGGTCGCCCACACAAGTCCTCGTCCTCCTCTGCCGTCGTGCTCGCTACACGGAGTTCAGTACCAAATCATTAAAGAGGAGGACCAACTCACTCAAACGACCACATCCACAATCTTCCATGACAAACTGTAATCAAGTGTCCGAAAGCCACTGGGAGTGGTTGTACTCCCCTTCAACGCGCCTTGGATACGGGGCACGGGTGATTCGTTGACGGATGTGGTAGATGGAGGTTGGGGCTGGACCAGCAGCGTGTCTATAGATATAAACATGACTCTTCAAGCAATTGTCGTATAAGCTATAACAACCTCCGTCAACATCTATAACACTTGTACGGAAGCGCAGACTCACCAGCTCTTATATTCTCCACCCAAAGTCTCTACTGTCCCAGCCTGGCTGACGCCTCTGTCTTCCAGCTTCAGGTGTCAAGGCGGGCAAGTATGCGATCCCAATAGGTTGGGAGGGCCATCGAGAATGATTGAGGATAAGAAAGACGTTGTTCTTCTTGTTGAATTGTTCTTGACTTCTTGCGCATCGGCCCTCCGCTATCCCTTACGTAACATTCTATCATCGTCCTCCCTTATAATAACAACTTAACTTTCTGCTCTCTCTATTCCTCTCGCACAACTCATCCCCCGCCATGTCCTCCCCATACACCTATACCCTCTCCCCCCAAGTCTACGCCCTCCCCATCCTCCACGCCGCCGCCCACCCCTCCCACACCACCCTCGGCCTTCTCCTCTCCTCCTCCTCCATGTCCGACAAAGAACAGACTATCGACCATGCTGTGCCGGTGCTGCACAATTATGCGAGTCTGTCTATGGTGATGGAGGCTGCTTTGGCGTTGGTAGAAGAGTGGGGGAAGGGGAAGGGGAAGAGGGTGGTGGGTGTGTATGTTGCGAGGGAGGATGGGGAGGGGCTTGGACGGGTTGGGGAGCGGATACTTGCCGCTTTGAGGACAAAGTGGGATGGGGCGTTTGGGTTGGTGCTGGATAATGGCAGACTGGGGTCTGGGCAGTTTGCTTATATCGTACGTCTTGAGAAAGTGGGAGAGAGGGTAGCTGACTTGGGGATAGCCATACCTGTCAACGGCTTCGGGCTCAAAAGCCATCACATCCTCATCGCCATCAGCTCCCCTTCCATTCATCATCTCTTCAGAATCATTACCGGCCCAGCTCTTGCAGCTTATAAGAGAGAAGAAGGTGCACCGAGACGTGCGGGACTTTGATGATCATCTCGAAGATTCGTACGTCGCCTCTTGCCTCCCTTTTTCCTCTGTTAATATTTGACAATAGATCTATTGACTGGCTGGAAAACACCACAACAGTATCCACCCTCCAAAAATACATATCTTGAAGATGATAGTCAATTAGATACCGTACAAAGTCTATGATTAGATGATTGTTATTTGAATGTACAACTACGCCAAGCTGCCGTTTCTGAAGTGCAATCAGACTTCTAGTGTGGGCGCTGTAGAGTTTCCTTGGAATTGGATGAGCTGGAAACATTGATGGATACCCTCTTGCCTCGCCAGCCTGTCCAAAATCAGTCTTTACGCGTCCACAACCGCACACCCCCCGGGCAACCAGACAACTTACAAATCAGCATGATCTCCACCCGGAACATCATGTATCGAAAGCTTGATCGCATCTCCATACTGTCCCACTAGATCGTTGAACCACACTATCCCCATGTCAGCTTTGTTCGATGGGGAGGGGGAGAGTTGGAGACGCACATTGTCCTTTTCGAGGAACCATATCGTCCAGCCAGCCCCACCACACATTCACCTCCAACGGCCACTTCACCCCTCCTCCTCCCCCTCCACCAGTCTCGCTCTCACTCCCAGCATCCGCCATCGCTTCTTGTCCCCTCTGACCATCCCCAACAACATCCCTCAACCGTTCCCCCACGCTCATCCCAAACTTCTTCCCAAGCCTCGTACGGGCTTCAGACTCCACAGGAGACTGCGCGAACTCGATGGTAGCGGCGAGGTCGGATAGCGCTGTAAGGAGGTAGGGGGCGCCGGTATTTTGGAGGCCGCGGTTGAGGCAGATTAAGTGTTCTATACCACACGTTAGTCAAACAAATGAAAGGTTGTGGGGAGGGGCGTTACCTTGTCCGATTCCTTGAGCGTTTTCAGCTTGCATATACCCCGATATCGTCTACCCCCACTAGTTAGCTCTGTACACTTACAACATCATCAGGAAGAGCAAGCCAGACTCACGCAAGTAATGCAGCAAGGCGTCTTTCCCCAGAACCTCTCTCTCGGAGGCCACTCTCCCGAATCATAATCATGCTCTTCCCCTTCCCCTTCCCCTTCTTCGGTGGGATCGGGAGCGCGGACCTCGGTTCCTTCGCCCATACCTGCTCCTCGGATGCCATTCAATAGCTTTTGCGTATCGCCTCCTAGGTCTTGCTCCCCACCCTTCCCTTCTGCCGCATATCCCTTACTCGACCTCGATGGTACCGGCGAAGAAACACCCGACCCTTGATTGAGAGAAGAAGAAGAAGAAGAAGAAGAAGCAGGAGGGTCGAAATACGACTTGTACCACCTGAGAGCGAATGCTTTGCCAGTATCGTACGCTTTCGCACCTTGGTTGTACACTTTTTGAGCTTGTTCGGCTGCTTTGATTAAATGCGGTGTCTTTCCACAAATCATCAGCCCTTATCCTTCCTTGTCCGACCAGCGAGAGGAGAGAAGAAGGTAAAGGGAAGGAGGAGACTAACAGTGATATGCTGCGTAGCGATCAACGGCGTAGGTATCCAATCCCACTTGAACGGCCAATAGTCCGGATCATCCGACGGTAACAAGGGTACCCAGGGGGCTATGAGCCATAGTTTGGGCGGGGGGTTGAGGGATGTTTGGAAGGTGGAGGGGTGGTTGATTAGGAGGTGGAGAGCGTAGCTGTCCTTCAGTCGTTAGTGGAAGTGTATTTTGGGGAAGGAGAGGGAGAGGAAGGCAAGGGAGGGGGACGTACTATATTCCTGCAGATGTTGCCAACATATGGGCGGGTTTGACGTCCAAATGCTCCAGCACAGATACCACCATCTCTTATCTCACTCTCATCAGTACCACACTCCTAACCCAAGACAAGCTTGGGGGAAGGTAAACTCACCGCAGCTTCTGGCAATACGCTCATTGAGCGGCACTTGGCCAGTCCCACCCGTCCCGGGACGGTCGACTACGATAAGTCTGATACCGTACTTGATCGCTACCGGGTCTTTGTCCAATCTTCAGCCTTATTCTCATTCCCCTGGCCCCCATCCTCGCATCTACTGGAGATACAACTCACCCATAGGCGCCGCAACCCACCTCGAACACCCACTCGGCAACAAATAAACCACCACCACTCCCCCGGGATCGCCCAGGTCGGCATAAGAGACGGGGAGGTTTGTGCGTGGGCAGCGGGGGAGGAGGCGGTGGAATTTGAGGAGGGCCAGGTAGGCGATTGGGTCGGAGAGGGACGTCGGGGGGGAGGACATGGTGTGTGGGGAAGGGGGCGAATGGACGGCTGAAGATGAGATGCGTCTCATGTCGGGTTGGGACAAACAGTCAAACGATGATGTCATCAGAGTCGACAATAATTGCCTAATACATGACCCAAGTCATACTCTACAATGTCTGCATTCCCATCCATCCCTATTACACATATAATTACACAAACCCCTCTATACGTATATGCAGGTAGATACTTTTTGGTCGGCAAGATGGGAGTTGATTCACCATACTTTCTTTGCCTTTTGACGACAGATTATTGACAAGCCCTATGCCGTTGAGGCGCTGGGCGTCGTTTTCTCTTCTTTTCTTCCCTTTTCTTCTTTCTTGAGGACAGCTTAAGCACAGACCCCCTTCTCTCCCCTCGCTCTCACGCCAAACAGCCAGTCACGAAGAAGGGTAGACTAATCCCTAACAGCCCTCTGCTTCGTCCTCCCATCATCCTTCGCCGGCCCCCTAATCCCAAGCTTCCTAAACCTCTCCTCCAACCAATCCTTCGCCTTCTCCCCCGTCCTCTCCTCATACTCTTCCACCCCCATCGGCTTCTCCCCAATCGGCGTCACCCTCGTCCCGTGCCGGAGCGAAGGATAAGCGTCAAAAGTAGCTGAATGGTTGACGATACGGTTGTCCCAGATGGCGACGTCGCCTGCTTGCCATGACCAGCGGACGGTGGCGTCGGTTTGTTGGGCAAAGGAGTCTTTGAGGAAGGCGAGGATGGTGTCGGATTCGGCTTTGGGGACGCCGACGAGGCGGGTGACAAAGCCGGGGTTGACGAAGACGCTCTTCTGCCCTGTTGCAGGGTGGACACGGACGACGGGGTGGACCGTCTCGATCGGTTCCCGCCTCGGGATCTTTGTAATTCCCGTCCTCGAGCTCGCCTGGTCAAACCCAGAATGAATAGCAGACAGACTCTCGAGGTACTTTTGGAAAGGCTTGGAGAGGGAAGAGTAAACGGCGTAGCCAGAGGACCAGAGGGTGTCGTTCCCGACTTCGGGGGTAGTGAGGAGGCGGAGGATGGTGGTGCCGGGGGGTTGGAGTTCGTAGGTGACGTCGGAGTGGAACAACTCGGCGCGGGAGAAGGCGTAGAGGTCGGGGCGGGAGTCGTGGTCTGCGTACACAACTATAGAATGTGTTAGTGGGTGGAAAGAAGGGGAGAAGGGGAGGGGGGCGTACCGACGACGTCGTCGAGGTCGCCTCGGCGGGGGACGGCGTAGGTTGCGTGTTTGTGGAGAGGACCCCAGTGCGCACCGAGCTCGCGTTGCTGGTCGATAGTCATTGTGTGTTGGTTTCGGAAGACTTTTTTAGAGTTAGTATCATGCTGCTTGCGATTGAGATCGCAACTTACAGACAACACCCCGCTGGGCAACGAGCAAAGCACTAGTAAACTATCAGCGCCCATCCCCTTTCAAGAGTAGAGAGACATACAGATCGTCCCTCTCAGCTTCACCAAGCTCCTCAAGCTTGATATCCCCCTCAATCACAGTCCCAATAGCAATAAGCTGGTCCTTGACCTTGCCTCCTCTAGCTTGGACGAATGCGCGCAAGCGGGCAGCATTGGGGTCGGCTTTGAGCCCGCGGTCGGAAAACTCTTGCAGCTCCAGAGGGGGGTCGGACTTGGTGCGCGTCGGGTTGGAGGCTGTTGCGGGAGTGATCGGGAGATAAGCATATCAGGGGTTTCGTAAGCGAGGTTTCCGCGGCGGGGCACGTGTGGGGGATAAGCATCTCCTCGTTCAACTCGTCGCGCGACCAGAGTGCGATCAAGGAGATGGGGGAGGGGGGAGGGGCGATGGCCATGGAGGAAGGACGTACGCAAAAGATCTTGATAGGGGTAGTTTGGACCGGGTCCGGCACCGAGCACTTCTCCCTGGAAAAAGTGGTCAGCGCTCGGCCAAGAAATCAAGATGCAAAACGGCCGCCCCGAGGGGGCCGAGTCACGAGTGGACGCCGCGGTCCGCTGTGCGACTTCGATATGATAGTCCACTCACGACGTATTGGAAAGGGTTGACGCCCGCATCGTCCTCGTCAGAGTCGGGGGAAGAGCCAAGTTCGACTTGAGTGACCTTGGAGATGTCTGGGATGTTCGGGATGTCGCGGATCTTGAGGTTGGCGATGGCGGACGAGTAGTCGCGGTCGTCGTTGACGAGGGTGGCAGTGGAGGACATCATCCTGGCAATTGTAGATGAAGAAGGGGGATTGATGATCAAGGGTGTGGTATATATACTTTGATTTGATCTGCATTTGCATTTGTAGATTGCGCGTTGTGCTGCAGTGTTGTCAATCTCGCTCAGCCGGGTCAATTTGTCATCCCCCCGCACTTTCCAGGGCCATCTCACTCCTTCCTTCGCTGCAGAAATGCTCAACATCTCCATCGCAAATATCACGAATGCTCATTCTCGCGTGCTCAACCCTTACCCACGTGGGACCCACGCCACACATTTGCTCCCGTTCCCGCCACCTCCAAATCACCGCCTATATCGCCGTCCCTGCTCTCTTTCTCGAGATCTCACTCAAGGGCCGCTCTCTCTATACATCTCCTCCCGGAAAGCTCATAAGGACTGTGCATAGACATCCCCTCGCGCGTCTCCTTCAGGCCGGGTCAAGAGGTAGACTCAAAGGGCGTAAGACCCCCGTAGCTCACGTATCTCCTGTCTTCTCTGAACCTCGTTCAGTGGGCAGATGGGTCGAAGAGGGGCATACATTTCACTCTCCTATGAATTGTGTTGAATTATTGCGTGTGTTGCAAATCAGGAGAAATGGTTATGGTATGGTGGAGCGATTGGAACAGGGTGAGGTGATTTCGGTCGTTCGGGTTCTATGACGAACTTGGCGAGGCCGATCGATAGCGATGAGTCAAATGGTATCGGTACATGTGCTCGAAAGCGCCTCTTTCTCCTGCCCGCTCACATCCCACAACTCGATACACCTCCCATTGCCACAAAATCCCTCCATGTAAAGGCTAGACACCCAGAGACCAAGGGTGCCACAACCACCGGCGAAAGAGAAGTGTGGCACTTGTGGCACTTGTGGCACTTTCGTGAATGTGGCACTTTCCAGACTCCAGTTGCTGACGCTTGTCTTCCTCCCTCCACATTCCCCCTCCAATCTCGCTCAACCTCAACTTACATCCTACAGCGGTCGACAAGGTTGAGCTTACCATCTCCCTGCTATTAGGCCAAGCATAGCGAGAGAGCAGAGAGTCGTTTGTCCGGATACACGTCCTTCAAGAAGGCAGACGATCCGTATCATCCCTTACGCCCCAACGGGACTTCATTGAACGGGATCATCAACCACACGACCTTCAAGCCATACCAATACCACCAGCTCTGGCTGAAACACAGCTCGTCCTCCAGCACCGTACCTATTTGGTAGCGCATACACTGCTATTGGTGAACCGCACCTCATCACAAAGCTCCGCATACCACCCGGCCCCTTCATACACCAGCGACTCTCATAACCCTTTACTGAAAGTCTCCCTCCAAGATGAGTATCAACGACACCTCCACCCCCGCCTCTGCCTCTGCCTTGGCATCAGCCACCCCCGTCCCCGTCCCCGTCCCAGCCCCAACCCCAGCGCCGGCTCCGATTACGATCACCATCCCTGCGAGCGCTACTGTCCCTCGTTCCAACAAGCGCTCGCCTCGAGGGAAAGACGCTTTGAATCGAGGTGGGGGAGGAGGGGGGGATGTGGAGATGGATGAAGGCGTTGAGAAGGGCACCTCCAATGGACACGTCAACGGGAATGGGGATGATGTAGTCATGTCGACTGACAGTCCTACGCCTGCTAGCAAGTCGCATACCTCTGCTGTGGCTGCTGGGCAGAGTCGGCCGGGGACGCCGGTGATGAATGGATCTGCTGGGGCTGGGGATGTGGGTGGAAGTGGGAGAGGAGGTGGGGGCGGGAGTGTGGGGAGGAGTGGGAGGAAGAGGAAAGTTTCTGATGAGTACGTTCCCATTTCTCTTACTGTCTACTCTAAAGAGAGAGAAAGAAGAGGGTGATGTTGATATGCGATTTGACCACAGGACACCCAACGCCAAATCAACGAGGTCTACAAGAAGTCGATTGCATACCCCCTCAGTCCACGCTTCACCCGCATCTACATCGCAGCACCGTGCCCCACCCCCTCCCCAGCCCGAAGTGGGACAGCCGACGAGGGATGATACCCTCCTCCCCGACCCTTCTTTGGACACTACAACAGCCAACACGGCGAACAACAGCAACAACCCCTCCTCCAAAGCTCCCTCCCCTGCCCCTCTCTCCGAAACCGACCCCACCCTTACCCCTGCCCCTGCCTCTGCCTCTGCCCCTGCCACCGGCTCAGGAGGGCTGAACGAAGAAACAGACCCCATCCGGCTCGAAGCCGCCGCAGGCTACGAATCCCGCCTCCGCGCGCGAGTCCCGGGTGGCGGCGGGGGTAACGCCAAGAAGGACGGGGCGGGGCACAAGATTGGGGTGAGTGCGAGTGGGAGGGATGTGAGGATTGGGGGGAGCGCGAGGCAGGCTGCGACGGCGTTGAAGAAGGATAAGGGGAAGGGGAAGGGGGATGTTGTCCAGGTAAGTTCTCGCTTCTTCTTGAGGTGTACTGGGGAGAAGGGAAGGAAAGCTGATGGGGTTGGGTGTAGCCGAATCAAGATTTCTGTTCGGCGTGTCGAGGTATAGGCAGGTTTTTGTGCTGCGATGGGTGTCCGAGGTCGTTCCATTTCATGTGCCTCGAACCGCCTTTGAGGCTGGACGAGTTGCCAGAGGAAGAACGGTGGCTTTGCAAACACTGTCGTTCTGAAAACGTACGTCACCTCTCCCTCCTCCTTCCTTCCTCCCAAGGGTGAGAAGCTGACAAGAGATATAGGCAAAGGAAGAAGACCCCACACCGAAAAAGCAGAAAGATCTTCCAGCTATCCCATCGGTGTTTAGAGCGCTGAGCGACAAGATTGAAGATGAGAACCCGGAACAGTTTAGGTTGCCGACGGAGGTGCGCAAGTTTTTTGCTGGGGTTAGTACGGGCGCGGAGGGGGAGTATGTGGATGCGAAATCTGGCCGAGCGAAGATTGAGTACGTTCCCATTCCCCCTTCTTCTTCTTCTTCTTCTTCTTCTTCTTCTTCCCGTTTCCAGAGAAGCAGCAGGCTGATCAAACCCGAAGTCGAAAAGGATTCCTCGAAGACCGCGACCCATTCCGCCTCCGCGACGGCCGCCAGAAAAAAGTCGCATGCTTCCACTGCGGCGGCTCCTCCCTCCCCAAACATTCCGTCCTCACCGACCCCGAAGCGACGTGGCGACAGATGATTAGCTGTGATTATTGTCCGAGCAGCTGGCATTTGGATTGTCTCAGTCCGCCGCCTAGTATCATGCCGAGTGCGGGGAGGAAGTGGATGTGCCCGAATCATCCGGAGCATGTTATGGTGTGTTTCTTCTTCTTCCTGGGATGGGGTTGGAGCTGATGAGGGAAAAGCCAAAGAGACGGACGCTCAACGAAGGTCTGGAGATTATCGACATTTCCAAACCCGGGCAACTCAACAACGGCAACATCGAAATCATCGTGCCCGAGACGACCGCTATCGGCAAAGACGGAAAACAATTCGAGTTTGAGGATATGGTCATCAACCGAAAGAAGTTTAGGGTGCCAGAGAAGGTTGTCAAGTTGGACTTTTGGAACAAGATTCAGCGTGGGAAGAGTGAGGGGAAGGGAAAGGGCAGGGAGGTGAATGGGGATGAGATGGAGGTGGATGAGGATGAGGTGAGTCTGCTTATCTGAATACTCTTTGTGTGTGGGATACTGATTCAGTTTCTAGGCGGAGCCGGAGATGGACGACATCAATGCTGCGGCGATGATGATGGCTCTCGCCTTTTCTAGACATACCGCGCCGCCTGTCGCGTCAACACGGTCCGAGACTGCAGTAGAGAAGGAGCGTGAAGCCGGTACAGCCGAACAGCCCAATGAGCACATTTCGGCGGCTCCATCGCTGCCGGAGAGTGGAGCCGCGATGCCGGAGAGTGGAGCCGCGATGACCCAGGTTGGGAGCCCTGCTCCGTCTGCTTGAGAGACTGCTATAGCATCTTTATCGAATAGTCAAATGAAATCAAGAGAAATGGAAAGCATGTCATTATGTATAATACTGCATATCTGGATGGTATATGCCGATGCCAAATATGGCATGTTGGAATCGAAATGTCCGTCTGCTGAGCCCCTAGTCGTCGAGATTAAGCCATAGCTCGCATAGCGAGTTCGAAAGCCACAAAAGTAGCCCCATTGGCGAAAGGCGATCTGTCCCATTGCATCAGCTTCTATCTTCAACCAGCAAAAGTCTCCAGAGAGGACGCACCGAATAAGAGTAGGACCCAAACCACCCAAGAACCCCTTGACGCCCTGAGCTCCCCACGTCTTGCGTACACAGTCAACCATGCCGGTGTATTTCCTGTCGGCGGCGAGGAGAGAGTCGGTCTGGAGTTTAGACTTGATCACGTCGATGGGGTAGATGCTATGGCACGTTAGTTGGGATAGGGAGAAGTGTGGAGGGGACGTACGAGAACCAAAGAGCGTAACCGGCAGCAGCACCATAAGTCACCGCCCAGATGGGCGAGATCTCTTCACGTTTCAGACCGGTCGTCTTGAGATGACGTTGGACGAGACCTTCGTATGCCAAAAAGTAGAAACTACACCCAGGTCATCAGCTTGCATCCGTAAGAAGAGGGATCGAGATGGCTTACCCGCATCCGATACCGTCACGCCACATGGTAGCGCCCTGCGCTTTGAAGATACCTGACAAACCACCGCCGTTCTTGTAGAGCTTCGCGGCGCAGTCCAAGGGGCCGTTGTACAGCTTAGGGACAACGTCCGGTTGGGTTTGAAGACCTACAGGATATTAGCGAAAGGGGCTTTTGTAAGGAAGACGGCGACTTACGGATACGTATGTGCTCGACGGGGTTGCAGACGACAGTGTTGGTTACACCGGCGAACGCACCACTCAGCCAGAACTGACCTATAAGCGCATCAGCATGATGTTTTCATTGCAGGTAAGAACGTTGAGTAGAACTTACCCAAAGACAATTCACCACCACCATTCCTGCCCCGGAAGAACCTCTTGGCATACTCCATAGCACCGAATTGGAGAGACACGCAAGCTCCGATACCCAATAAAGGTGTAAGAGTTCCCTACAACATGCGAGTAAGTTCCTTGGTCTCGTCTCATACAGTAGAGGAGACAACAACCTACCTTGTAGAAACCAAGAGGACCGTCATTCTTCAATAACCGGGTAGCACATTCCAGAGGGGACTTGTACGTCCCCGGAGGAGATGTTTGGACCCGAACTTTGACAATATCGAATGGCTGTACTTAGTATCAGCTCGAATCTTCGAAGAACACGAACAACAAGGAGGGGACGCACCTGACCAACGAGAACCTGCGCAATACCACCGATAGACCCACCGATCAAATCCTTTTGAGACTGGGTGATGTAGCCAGCCGGGGCAGGAGGGGGAGAGAGGATCTCGGACATTGTGAACGAGAGGACGAAAGAGTTGGACGGGGTGTAAAGAACGATCAGAGAATTCCTGGCGGAGGACAGAAAAAAACAGAAGTGAGTCGGGATCCTCCAGGCACGAGATAAGCGCTTCCTCTAGATGCCGATAAGAGTCGGTTGCCTAAACTTGCCTCTGCCCTCTGCTCGGAAGTGCAAACGGTATAAGACAATTGACAAGTCTTCTTGTCATTCCATGACATTCATAGGAAACTATTGCATCTATTTCTTTTCCAATGGACCAACCAGGGTCGTAACCATAAGCGGAACAAAAGCGAAGAACGAAAGTGAGGGTGCCAAAGGCATGCAAAGTCATGATATGTAGGTCAACTACTATAGATTGTACTGATGATTGATACTGATTGAAAGAGAGATACGTGAATACGTAAAAAATTGTCCACAATATAGAGAGAGAACACAACAAGTACGAGAGATTACAAACTCATACACTACTAGATCCGATTCCAAAGAGCCCAAAACGTTGCCGGCACCGCCGAAACTCCTCACTACCCATATATGCCCAATGCCCAGATACTAGAGTCCTGCTCTAGTATACCCAAGATGACAGCGAACTGATGCTCTGGTTCTGGTTCTCGATCTCCTCCAAAGGCGCCTTCCGTCTCTTATCCGATCGAAGCAATCGCTGCAAAAAGTTTTCCTTGCCTGAAGGAACAACGGCAAGGGCGACCTTGGTCTGGCTGATAGATCGGATAGATTCGATAGACATCGATTTGGGGAGGTAGGTGCTGCTGTTGAGGGGCACTTCGTAGATCGCCGTCGGTCTCTGACCCTGCGCCTTGGCCTGGGCCTGGGACTTGCAGGCGTAGCCTCGCTGAGCATGGGCAACCACAGGCGAAGGCGATTCGCGGGGCGTAACGGGCCCGTCATCGGATTCGAGGGACGAGGAAGAACCGGAACGGTCGAGAGGAGGGGCGACGAATGTGCGGGAACCAAGGGAGGTGGTTCGCTGGTGCCTCTTGGAGTGACGACGAGGGGGGTGGGCAGGGGTCACGGGTGTGGGAGGGAGCTCGGGCGATGAAGCCACGCTCGGGGAAGAGAAGAATGAGTATCGGCTGAGGAAAGGCTCAAAGTCTATCGCTTTTGTCAGCTTTTGTCCCTCTGACACTGGTCCGTGAAACTCACTGTCAAGAATCTCTTGCTCTCCGACGGAAAGGTCGTAGCCGAGGAGGAAAAGCAATTGCTTCTCCATAAGGTTGATCTCGCTGACAGGGAACATCTGGGCGTACTTGCACCAGTGCTTGTTCTTGGGCGACGAATCGTTGAGGTACTTGGCAGAAACGATCAAGGTAGCAAGGAAGACTCGGTGGCGCGTGCAAGGCATGCCTACTACGCGTCAGTTTGAATTTCCAGAGAAAGATGGGAAACGCACTCTTGTTGACTTTGGGCAATCGGTGTCGAAGTCGTTCGAGGTAGACGAGCGTGGCAAGAAGGGTAGATACTTGCACGTTCGACTGCTCGCACACGACAGCGACAAAGGTTTCCAGCGAAGGCAGACCGGCAGCCGCGTCAGAGTCCTCCTTGGTGGGGGTAGTGGGGGGAGAGAGGGGAGCCGCGTCTTTGGTAGCCTGGCCAATCACAGAAGTCGTCCTGTCCGCCAGGTAGTCTTCAAGCTCGAATCAGTATTAATCGAGGGGAAAGGCGGATGGATAGACTTACAGACAAGCTCGCGCGAGACGTCTGTGCGGATGAACTCGAGCAGGGCGGGGTTGTGGTAACCACAGGGAGCCATCGAGGCGGGGTGGGTCCTGTCCTCAAAGCATGGAGACTGAGGGACAAAGTCGGGGGTGGTGGGAGCGGTGGTAGAAGTGGAGAACATGGCCGTCAAGGTCTGGTGTTCGGTAAAATGTGGTGAGGTGATTTTTTCAAGCGCGAGGTGGGGCGTGAATGAACGTCGGGTGGTTTGCGAAAGAGTGAAGAGGTCGGTATAAGAGGAGGAAGAGGAAAAGATGGAGAGGCAGGGCGTAAGAGGCGGGGATTGAAAAGGTGATATAAAGACGGACGGGAAAAGAGGCAGGACTAGAGATGAAGATACTTATACGGGATCGGGCTTCGCATGCTGGCGGGGCTGGAACTGGAAGTCGGGCGCGTCGTCAAAACCTGTCACGGCGCCAGCCTGCGCCAACTTTTGGTACGTGGTTCCCTGAAAGTCACACTGGAAATTCCCGATAAACTCCTAACCCAGTTTTTCTTTTCGACGCGTTTGGTGCCTGTCTGTGCACGACGCGTCTGTGCGCTTCACCCTTTGGGATTTGTAGTGTGGTAATGGCAAGAAAGGGGGGGTGCATCGCGGTTAGGGCGGCTTGGGATGAGCTAGGCAGTGCGTACTGAATGGGTGGCCATCGAGCGACCTGGGTTGCAAGACGGGGCACTGGCCCAAGTCACGCCCTTCATGCTTCTCCTCACTGTCTGTTCTATGCGCGGTGCTCGGAACGATCGTATGAACCTTCATCTTGATGTCACTCGAATCTGCATGCTTGCATGGGCAGAAGCCAATCCCCCACACTTTGACAAGTACGTCATAGATCGCTGCCGGGCGGGTCAAGTACGGATGTTCCTTATCAGTAACCAGTGACACCAGTCACTCTGTGCCGTACCTATACCGCGTGATAGCGCGGGATGTTCTTTAGAGTGCGGGGTCTAAAGCGTTCCAGACCAGGCCTCTGCATATGAAGTGCCTTCGTGCAGTACAGTACGTACAGGTTCGCAAGCCACCAGGTGGGTCTCTGAAGCACATGCATGGAGATCCATCGCGGTGCAGCAAGTAAAATTCTACTCCCGTGAGCCCGGCGTGAGCGAAAAGCACCGAACCTAGAGGGTATGAGATACATTATACATGGGACCATGAGCCAGGCCGGGACGTCTATAAAGTCTGTAAATGAAATTGAACAATGACCTCTTTCTTTATCGATCCAAAAGCGAAAGAAATGGGGGAGAGTTACTGATCTTGTAAGCGTGCCTAGACTAATCTTTAATCTGTTATCGTATCTCCCTCATCTGTTATCAACGCTATGTACGATCTGCACGTGCAGCTTTAAAGAGCTGATGCATGATTGCATGGTGCCCGATGTCGGCAAGCTGACCGATGACGGTAAGACTTTAGCCCATATGTATGTATATGATCACGCCGCGGGCAGGCGGGAGTCTGTGCGCTGGGACTTGTACATAATCAGTGGCTTTAACCGTTTGCAGCCTAGCCAAGAGGGTACAATCGCGCTCTCCAAGACAACACTTGTGTGCCCGGCTGGCGCTTCTGCTCATCGTAGCCACTGACATCTGCAGAAGCTCGTGGCTCGTGGACCAGGATCGCGCATGTAGACGATGGCAGTCAAGCTGCGCGATGAGCGATGACGAAGTCCAACCTTGGTCCAACCACCCGATGACGAGACAAAGTTTAACAAAGGTTTTGAGGTTTCGACGCGTCTCTCGAGACTTCGAACGCGTTCTTTCAAGGCCTCAAGGATTCCCCAAATTCAGGCACTTGCATCAAAGCAGCGAACCCAAAAAGACGTCCTCGGTTTTTACCTTCCAAGTTCCCGGCCTCCGGCGATAGAAGGCTTTACCCAACATCACGAGAAGCACAGTCAAACGCGTACACAACTCCTGTGCGCAGCCAGGAGGCTACGGAAACGCGTCGCGTCGGAGGTTGACTTTGGACTTTATTTTTTTGGCGTTGGAGTTGGGGATGGCGCAGAAGGGGCGCTGAGGGGACGGGGACCGGAGATTGTGAGGCGTAAGGCGGGTACAGCTTGGACCCAACTTCAAAATCAAAGTACGGTCGATTGGCCCCATAGGAGGCCTTATCAGGCTCAGGCCTTCTACCACATATGTACGACTTCGACACCATGTGGCGGTTTGCCGCTGCCAACCAGAAGGGAAGGGTTGCATCTCGCCGCACAGACAGCCCGAGATGCATCCAGAATCCAGATCGATCAACGTATCCAGAAGATATCATCTCGCGTAAGCAGAGTACGAGTTCACCAGCTTGATATGCGTCGAAAATTACACATCTTGTCTCACTGAATGTATGTATCGCCCTAATATCTAGTCTGGTATGGTCGTTCGTGTATCGTTGTCTCGTGGAATCATAAACAACCGCCCCTTCTACTATACCTCCACGGCATCATCGCCTTCTTCATCTGCGAAGAGTCCCTCGAATTCTTCCGCGGACCCATGAGGTATGACGCCGAACGAGTAGGAGTAAGCGCACCCCACGGCCCTGACTACCTTTTTCATTTGCTTCCGCATGTCCAGTCACTTCCCGGACTTTATGTAATCAAACTAAACACGCTCCAGCATGCGCGCACAACAACAACCCTTCACAGCACACTCACTCATATATCCATCTTGCATCTCAATCTTGTGCGTCACCAACGACGACATCCCCACCGCTGTTCCCTACAAGCCCTATCACCGATACAATGCCTCGTCCCTCTCTGCCCCCTATTGACCCCAGCACACCCCCGGAGCTCATATGTCCCTGTCGCAAGCGTGTGCGACCACAGCTGGGAGCATCTTGCGAGTTCTGCGCCTCGAAGTCCAAGCGACAGGCGGCCAAACGGCTTGAGGGGCGCCAAAAGGGCAAAGTGGCCAGAAAATTGTCTGAGTTGAACGAACATCCTGTGCGTAGTCTTACTTGCCATGATGGTGCTTGCTGACGCGTTTTTGCAGGTATTCAGCACCAAGGTCGACCTACAGACAGCCGCCATGAGTCTTCTACGCGCCCATCATGCTTCTCCAGAGACATTTATCCACGCCGCTGGACATGCCGATGAACCATCCGATGAGGTGATAAGTATAAGGGGCTCGTATCAGTCACCAGTGGAGATACAAGCAGCTTGGAGCGTTCCACCAGGAGAGAGACCATTGAATTTTGGAGACGCAGAGCAATTCTTGCGACGTATAGGTCCAACGATAGCAGGTGTGGATACTGACTCCCCTTACAAATTCACGTATGTCCGAGCCTTTCTTTGCAGGTAGTCAAAGCTGACGCCATGTACTTCACTGCAGCTACCACGACATCCCTCATTCTACCGACATTCCTGATACCAGCACCGATTATGATTGCGTTGCCCGCTTCATATGTTGTCAGAGCCTTCAGTCTAAACGCAACGGTCGCGAAAAGGAAAAGGATCCTTCAAAGAAGGCCCGCCTTGGCCGCACGTGTATGCGTCGTTTCGATTGCCAAGGTGAGATGACGCTTCGATATGACTTCGCCTTGAACGCCCTCAGGCTTTGTATCAAGCACAGCATCCCACATGTCACTTACCAGAGCGTCACGTTCCCGGATGAAGCTTTAACCGTTGTTGAACGACTGGTCGCAGATGGAACGGTTGATATAACGCCCATTATGCAGCGTATCACTTTCAAGTTTCCTCATCTGACCTGGATAAGTCGAGCTCAGGTCCGCAACGCCGTGCGGGAGACGCTCTCCTCGCGTTATCTGCTGGACAAAGAGCCTATTCAATCTCTCAGAGCAGGCCTTGCACAAGCGGCAGAGAACGGTTCAGTGGGACTGATCGATATAGACGTCCCTGGGGTAACGGCAATAGCTTGGGCTGTTCTTCCTATCTTGGACGAGATCAAAAGACGTCACTTGACAGTTGAGGAAGCTTTCATGGATGCGACTTGTGAGTTCCAGGAGCGGGCGGTGACGTCTAACACGAGAGATACCAACACCCAGCGCGAGAAGAGGCGGGGGAAGGGACGATGGTATGTGAGGTTCTACGACGCCATGAAAGCTGTAGCAAGTATGAAACACGGTGAGCCAGGTAGCTCTGCAGATGTAAATTAGCTGTACGAGTACGGCATATGCATTCCTTCCAATCAGTATCTGTCCCCATTGGCAAACGTGGTTGGCAAACTGTTCAGCATTGCATGGTCCTGAAACATATAAACAGCAAGAAGTCAGCATCCATTACCGTGTATGTACATGCAACTATACTTTATAATGTTACTTTAGTTGCGATGGACTTGACTGGTTTGTGGCCATGTTGAAATGTCCGGACGTGTCCGGTTCAGCTTTGGCAGGCGCGTTCAGGCCGGACTTGGCGGAAGCAAAATGAAAAAGGTAGTCAGGGCCGTGGGGTGCGCCTACGCGGTGTCGCCGAACGCATCCTGCATCATCGTCCCCAAATGCTCCAGCTCCGCTATCACTTCCTGCGCATTCAATCAGCTTTGTCTCGTCCATACGCTCTTCGGAACCTACTCACCTGCATAGCGAGCGAATAGGCAAAAAACAGGAGGTGTCTTCCTCCTCCTTCGACACTCCTCTTGCGCACGACGTCGAGGGACCGGATAGCGTGTACGAGTTTCTGACGCCCGGATTCGGCTGGGGGGAGGTAAGGGGGCATGGGAGATCGAAGGCGTAAGCCGGCTGAAAGGGTATAGAACTAAGAGATTGTCAGTTGGATGCCGTCTTGATATACTGCCAGATAGAACGGACATATAGAATAACGTTGCCTGCCATTTCTCGGCGCTCTTTGTTGACTGGTAAAACAAAAGTTCGACGCATGTGCTAGGGATTCGAGTCAGCTATATGGACCACCAATGGAGCCAATCAGACATACATTGTCCCTGCAGACTTAGTCAGCCGATGTGCTCGAAAATGCAAAGGATTACTCACCACTCATCCCGCGTAGTGACACACCTCATACTGTGCAGCCTGTCCAGCACCCTTTCACAGCTCAGCAGCACCTCCTGATAGAACCCGTATGCAAACGGCCCTTTCAATCGGGGCTCATTACGGGTGTGAGCAAGGAGATTGCGGAGGGAGCCGAGTTGAGATTGGAGGTGAAGCTCCATGCTCATGAATTGACGGACGCTCTTGCTGAGGTGGGTTCGGCAAATGGAAGAGGTGGGTAAGAGGGGTGTCGTCTCGCCGGGTCTGCTGCCTTCATTGTCACAATTACAGTCGTCAACTACCTCGTCGTCGGTTGATCCTTTACTGTAGGTCGTCACAAGCTTTGAGTAGAGGTATGATAGATCCAAGCAGAAGCTACGAGGATGGTCAGTGCTGACCTGGCGAAAATGACATTTACTCACTCGCTGAGGCCCATTCGAAGTTCCCTTCTGGCGGTAAAAGGCCACCAATACCTCGATATAAGACCTGCCCATACAATCCCTACAGTGACACTCATCGTTCGCTCGAGGGCGATGAGCTCTACGGTAACGTCGGAATGATTTCGCGAGTTGTACGCAAAGAGGCAAGAGAGATTCTGCAGATGGTCAGCACATGCTGTCACCCGGAAGGAACGGAAGACGAACATAAGTCAAGAGCGTAAACCGGCCGGCGTCAAAGTAGTCGGGCATCTGGGTGATAACGTAGTAGCAGACCATGGAGAACAGAAAGCCAGCTAAAGGCAAAACTATTGGGCTTTCTGAGAAGCTACACTGGTGGTCAGCATCGTATAGGCGTATAGGGCAGGGCTTACAGTCTTGAGAGTATGACAGCAACGAGACCGCCGGTGACGGTTCCAAAGATTCTCGCTAAAGAACTGTAATGATCCAGTTAGTACACGAGCGGGACATTGGTGCCGCACTTACATGTAGTTGGTCTGGCCGACCGTCTGGCTCATAGCTGACAAGAACGCCACCAAAGCCCATTCGCCCCTGTAATGTAGAAACAATGCTCTTGTCGCAGGGAGATAAGCCGACAAGGCCAGCAACGCTGTAAGAGTAAATGAGCGCAAGCCCGGGCGCGACGAGCTACTCACCTCCTCCAAGTCCAGTCTTGATGGCGTATCTCATATCAGGCTGCTCCATCCTCTCTTCCCATTCACCCCAAGCTCGCATAAACTTTTCGAACTTCGTGCGCGGTGGCTGGATGCGCTCGGTGAGGCGACTGGTGGCATCTTTGCTGCTGACGGGGTGAAGGGGTGCTTGAAGCTTGGAAGGGCCGACCGGGACGATGTTGGCTAGACGTGATATGAGCAAAGAAAACAAAGGATTGGGTGAGACGTACTGAGCTGAGCGTACAAGAACTGACCCTCGGTCATTACACGCTTGCCTCTCAGGGTGTACGACTTGATCTGGTCCCATGCTGACACTTGCCGGGATGTGACGATCTGGGAGTAGAAGGTATAAGTGATATGCTTGCTCTTACAAAATTTCAGAGCACTGACTTCTGCCATTGTATCCAAAAGAAAGAGCATCTCACGAGCAAACTCCTCGAAAGTGAAGAGAAAGCTGTCAAAACATCAGCAAAGCTCGAAAGTCATCTGACGCATACGTACAAGTAGATCAAAAAGACCGTCTCATTGGGTCCATTGCCCGAATCCTCTCCTTCATGCAGAGTAGCTTCCTCATGTTCGCTCCCGACGGAACCACCGTGGCTTCCATCGGCGCTTACATACACCTTTGTGATGGCTTCGCCAGCCGCTTCTTTGAAAGTTTTTAGAGCATCGGCGAGATTCGACCTGACGGAGACAAGGGTGTGAGTGTCGATGCTGTCTTTGCGGGAGAGGCCTTGTACGGCGTCGAGAGCTTGGTCACAAGAGACCTTCAATACGAGTCAGCTTGGTTAGAGTCATCAGGAATGGCAACGTACGTTCAAAGCATCCATCCTGGCACCTGCAAACTCTCGAAACTCCACAAGCACCCTCAAGCTATCCTCTGCCACCTCGTCCTGACCAGACGTTTGAGCGGTCTCGCTATTGTCGTCGACAATGACGAGTCTGGGTCGACCGTCGACACCCTGCTCCCATCTGATCCTTCCTCCAGTAGTAGCCTTGATCAAACTTTCTTGAAGTCTCTCGCAGCTTCTCAATCCGCTCAGATGTTGCGCCAACCTCCCCAGACTTGTCACAGCCGCCTCGTACAAATGAAGCTTCTTCCCTCTGATCCTCCCATCGAATATCCTCTCCCTCTTGGCCTCGGCCAGATCATTCTTGAGCTGGCTGAAGGTTGCGGAATGGTCTCTGACGGCATCCTTGAGGTGGAGGCGAGCATCTTTGACGACGGTCTTTTCGAGCAGGAAAGTAGAGGTGAGGAGGTCGAGAAGGGTTTTGAATGAATCGAGAGACTTGGTGATGGAGGTTTGAAGGGTGGTGGTAGATGATACGGGAAAGACGGCAAGGTTGATGAAGTTGGTGATGATGACTGTGGGGTGTCAGCTGCATAGCATATATGGCGAAGACTTCAACTGACCTCCGAAGCAGATGATCTCGAGAATCTCGAACAGTTTCGGAATAGACCCCTCTCTCAGAACCACACTGTACAGCAAAATCGCCGCCATAGAGCATCCTAGCAGCACAGTTAGCAGGGCCTTCTAATTCTGACAATCTGCTCACCTCCATTAAAATGCAGACTTCCAATCCAAACTTTTGCCCACGCAATGACGCCCATCGTACCACCTATCCAGGCAAAACATACCGTCCAGCCCGCTACCTCCGTCACGGAATCCCACCCTTTGCCTTCTGTTGGCGAGGACCGGTCGAACACCTGGAAAGTTGCGATAGAAAGAAGGGAGGCAATTGTGGCGAGGGTCACGAGACCGAGACAATATTGGTTCGAGAGGAGCATATTGCCCAATGACTTGCCGGCGTTGAACTGGAAAGATATGAGTTAGCTCGAGTCTGGAACTCTGTGATGGGTAGCACTCACAAATACCACCATAGTTGCTACCATATGCCCCAGTTCTGCCGGCTGCCGTATGACCCGGCCATGCTCATCGAGGATAGCCGCTGTCGATAAGAGTGATGATAGAGCCGGCATAAAGGTGAACAGTGAAGCCACAAAATATGCCAGAGAGCATTTGAGAACAACTGCTGATACGGGCGAGAGAGGCCATATAGCAGACCAATCTACAGGTCCAAGTCAGAATTTGTCGTAGAGCCGGAAAGAGACACTCACATGACTTGAATCGTCTGAGCCGTTTTGTCGAAGGCTCTTGTTGTTTCTTGTAGGTTGGGTAGAAACTACTTGCCCGATCATCCGAATGACCTGAGGTGAAGTGGTTCTGCGCCATTAAACAATTTCGAGCCGGGGCTGGAGCCTCATTCGCATCTTCATCCCCACCGCCCACAGCGTCCTCCAGGGGCTGCCAATTGCTCCAGTCCCCTACCAGTTCGCTTTTGTCATCGTGCACCCCCAGTGTACCCAGACCAGTGCGCCCCTCAGTACCGGGGCCATTGAAGACGCTGCTCCTTCGGGGGCGCGAGGTGGTAGAGGTCGAGCCGTATTGTGCGTTTGGCTGAGATATTGAAGAGCTCGGGTGTGATTCCATAGTCGTCATTCCCGTTCAACGATGTGGCCGGATCACCGAGCTGATTATATGGGGCTCGAGGTTGCGAATTATATAGGCTGAAACGATGAGAAGCCAAGAGAAAAGAAGTTTACATACTCGGAAACACGCCCTCAGGTATCTCCTCTCGGCCGATCTCGGCTAGTGCAGATCATGGAGATCAGTGTGTCTACCTTGCGTGCAGAGAGAGGTATTTGTAGAATTGTAGAGGGCATTTGTAGAGGAAAAAGAGATTCGTCCTGGTTGCGTATTGAATTTGTAGAAACGATATCCCGAGATTACAAACAACAGCCAAGGGTCGATTCAGGGTCGTACGGTCGTACCTGTAAGATAACGGCGATGTCCGACCAGCTGCAGGGAAGACCGGAAGAGGATATGTATGGAGTGAGAATTTCAACTCTGCATTGCTCTAGTACATCTCATGCTTATCACCGACTAGAGTATGATCAAGTGATGGCCAATCAAACGAGGAACAAATCAAAAGCACATGGTCGCGGAGATGGGAGCGCCACGCTAGCCATGTCTCACTCACCACCACCACCGCACAGGTCGTCAGCAAAAGTCTCATCTTGACCTGCCTTGCTCACCTAAGAGAAATGAGGACTTACTGTGGCCAGTGCTTACCCACCAAGATCTGGAAGCGACCCCGGGGTCGAATGGGTGTCTCAACGACGGTTATCGCTTGCCAAAGCTTCATGGATCCGGATCAAGCAGCGCTACAAAAAAGCATCAGTTTCACGCTGCTTCTGTTCTTTCAGCAACAAAAATCCAAAATGACGCAAGTGCCCAAAGTGCCCATCTTGCTGACATCTTTCGTTCTACTCGCTACAAAGGCTCGAGCAGAGTCAGATACGGATGACTCTTCCTGCGCACCTGGAGCAGCAGGCGAGTACGATTTTCCCCTCCACATCGCAAGCGTTTTCGTCCTTCTTGTTGCCTCGGGCCTGGGTGTCTTTTTGCCCGTGGTTTTGGGAGAAAAGGGAAGTAATGGTGGATGGTTTGGGGGTGTGTTTTTTGGCTTGAAGTATTTCGGGACTGGTATAATTGTCAGCTTGGCGTGAGTATTGGTTCTGTCGAGTACTTGCCAGTGATAGACTGACTTGGTTATTGCAGGTTCTGCCATCTCTTGCAAGATTCTTTTGAGACCTTCGCCAAGTACGTCGTATCTCTATCCTAGATATTATGACTAATGTTACGGGCAGTGAGTGTATAGGAGAGCTCGCGTACGAGCCGACAGCGCCTGCGATAGCGATGGGCTCAATGTTCGTGATTTGGTTGATCGATTTCTTCGGTTCACGATGGGTATGATTTCGGACTCGAGGCGCAGTCGTATCTGACTCTCTTTTAGATTGAAATGAAACATGAAGACAATCCCAAAGACATATGCGAACTCGCAAAGCCACCTTCGCCGGACGGCGGCAAATCCCCTTGCATCGACTTGTGCTGCCATTCGGGCTGCAAACCAGTGGAACACTTCGACGGATCAAGCAAGAGGGTACACTGGGATGTTCAACTCCTTGAAGGAGGGATTGTATTTCACTCTGTCATGATGTGAGTTCTAAATGGAAAGAGGGAGAGCTTTGCAAGTCCGAGACTTATGGGATATCCGGTAGTGGTGTTTCTCTGGGCGCACAGGCGGATGGCTTTGCTGCTACTTTCGCAGGTAAGTCTTATCCACTTCGACTTTTACACTTTTGAGCCCTGCTAGCTCTCGTCTTCCATCAACTCTTCGAAGGACTGGGCCTCGGTGCTCGTATAGGGATGCTTGTGTGGCCGGCTACAGTCGCTTCGACATGGAAAAAGTACCTTATGTGTATGGTCTACACCCTTATTACACCCATTGGAATTGCTATTGTAAGTTTCGTCTCTGTTCAATGATGATCCTCGCTGACTTTCGCCAGGGCATCGGTATTCACCAGTCATTCAACGAGAATGGCCATTCGGAACTGCTCGCTGTTGGAACCTTGGACGCCATCTCGGCAGGCATCTTGCTGTATAGCGCACTTTGTCAGCTGCTCTACAAAGAGTGGGTGGTGGGGGACATGAGACAGGCTAAGACCTGGAGGGTCGGGGTGGCCTTGGGAGCGATGATGTTGGGGGCGTTTGCTATGAGTTTGATAGGGAAGTGGACATGATTCCAGCTCCAGAATCCTCTTGATGTACTGTTCGTGTTTGCACATACCTTGAGATAGCAGTGAAAGCTCCATACGGGCCCTTTGTCGGGCATCGCCGAACCAAACAATTGCGGGATGCATTAGACTCATTAGAAATAATTTGATTCCGCTAATGACGGGATTGTGCCACATTCTGGCGGGGTTTGGGGTTTGGCTGGCAGTCAGTCACCATACATCCATAGTCTGATAAATCACAACAAAGTACAAATCCAGTATTTTCGACGCCCCCCTCGCCCTCCCCCACGCTCTCCTCGGCAACCAGTGCCCACCAGGCTCGACAGATCGCATCGCATAGAGGCCAATCACACCGACGCCCACCATCGAGCACGCGACCGCAGTAGTCAAGCCGACAGATCCGGACCGGCTTCAGCAATAAAATTCACATACTTTTCCCCAGGCCATCGCCTCGGAAAAGCGTCTTGTGAATAAGGAGATCGAAATTTGAGAGCTTTGAAAGGAGAATAAGATCAGAGCAGGATGCTTTGGCGGTTTAATCTGGCGTCGACATCGACGCTGGACTCGCTCTTGACGCGGGAGGTCCCTCCGACGCTCGAAGAGCTTATGGATGAGCCCGATGTGTTGACAGAATGCAAAGGACAAAATAACAGGTTTGTGATAGCCATCCGAATACACGTTCAAAGCTTACTTGAATGATTGCAGACTTGTGACTTTTCTGTCCCGCGAAGACTCGGCCAAGTCGCTCCTGCAATGGGTCGTCGCTGGCCTCGACGAGCTTGACCAAGCAGCCGCCGACGCCGACGATGAGATCATTGCCCAGGCTATCACCTCTCCCGATCTGTATCCTGCTTACAAGGTGCCGACACCGCTCGTGATCCCCGGCGCAGGACCGGGCAGTCCGCCTTTAGAACGGGCCAAGCTTGGTGAAGTGAATGGTGATAAGGGAAGGAAGGAAGGTGAGGTGGAAGAGGAAGAGGACCATGGGGAGCTCGACGTACCTGGGCTTGGACAGGGGCTGCGGCGGAAAAGCGAGGCGGACGACGATATATCTCGGTCAAAGTGCGTACATTGCGCAAACGCGCAAAATGGAATATTGACTCCTCTCTAGATACCCTACGACAGCTACAGAGATTTTGACTTGTCAGGAAATATGGTCCATCGCCGACACTATCATTCGCAACGCCGATGCCCTCCTGACCCCGTTTTGGGATGCCGTCGTGCCGCCTATAGATTCTTCCACGCCCACTACCAATGAAGATGGCTTTGCATCCATGAGTAGCTCTGCAATCTTTGCTCGACAAGAAGCGGGCGAACGAGATAGAGCGAGGAATGAATTTTGGTCAGAGAAGGATGAAGAGAGGGACCGACGGAGAGAGATCATCAGAGGGTTGTGGATGCGCGTCAATGCTGCTCTATTGGTCAAAAGAGGGCCCGAGGTACGCCTTCCGCCTGCTGATCTAGACGTAAGCTGACGCAAAGCAGATGGTCCGTTTCATCCAAACCCTTCCCAACATTGTTGAACGTCTACTTGCTCGCATCTCCTCGCCCGCCGTCCAATCACTCCTCATCACTCTGATATCTCGTGAAGAAGGCAACAGTGCGGTCACCATCGACTGGTTAGCAGATGAAAAACTCGTACCTCGTCTTCTCAACATCCTCTCCCCCGAATACCCCTCTTCCCAACACACCATCGTATCCGATCTGATCAAACAGATCATCACCCTCTGTGCCCCTTCGCCATTCAACCCGCTCGGCGGAAACGCAGAGTTACAAGCTGGTCAGGGACAAGCTGGTGGAAGAGATAATCGGCTCATAAGGGAGCTTGTCAGTGAGGAGAGTGTGGACAAGATGATTGGATACGTGTTGGACGACATTGAACTGTCAGATGCTCAATGGAAAGGCAAGAACGGCGAGGACACAGAAGCTGCAGCTTGTGACCCCTTTATCGTCCACCCATTACCCTCGATTGCATCAGCCACATCGTCCCTTGTCGAAATATCGTCCATCCTCATCGAAATCATTCGCCGCAACAACTCGGACTTTTCTGAACCTCATCTGTTCCACACGCTCAGAAACAGGTTGATCTCTGTGCGTATGCAGGAAGTTTCAGAGGAGCGGGAAAGCGAAGTGGTGGGTGAGGGAGAGAAGCCTGAAGCCACGGAGGATGAGCAGGAGGAAAAGGAGAGGAAGCATATGGAAGATGCCATGGTGGATATGAGCTCAAAGATGGGTATCGTTCATCTGGGACATCTGTTAGATGTCATCAGTGAGAGGTTTGCGAAGCTGCAGGCGCTTGTTCTGCAACCGAGGTCGCAAGTGAGTGATTCCTGGACGCTATTTGATCAGCGCTGATGTGATGTAGGAACGCACAGCGTCTGTGTCAAATCCCAAGCCCTTCACATTGGAACGTTTCCGGATAATAGAGCTCTACGCCGAACTCCTTCACTCCTCCAACATGTCCATCCTGAACCGTCTTCCCGGTACCGGCCCCATATACAATGGCGAAGGCATCCTCTCAGGCGGTCTTGAAGGTCTCGAAGCGCTCGGGGAGGCAATCGTAGAGAATGACAATGACGGTGCTGCCGACATCTCTAGAGCAGAAGACGATCTGGTCACCCAAGCGAGGGAGCTGCCCGTCAGTGACTCGACTGGAGGAAGCTTGACGGGAAGCGAGGATGAGGATGTCTTGGAGGCGGTCAATGATGGCACAACGCCTTCGCCTTCGCCTAGGTCCTCAAGTTTATCCGAAACACCTTTGACGTTTGACTCTCAGCCGCCGCCCCCAACAGTCCAGGTGTCAGAAAGGCTGAGGGATATGATGGAGAAGGAATCGCAGAGACCGTCGTCATCGGCAGCGTCAGAAGTCGCTTCAGCAACTTCACGTATGGCAGAGGCCAACTCTACGGTCGCCCCCTCAATCGCCTCCGACCCCTCTGAACCGCGCGACGAGACACCTCACGTTTCCACCAAACCCCTTCCCTCCAACACTCCTCTCGCCCCAGGCGACAAGCTCAAAGAGCAGTACCTCATCAACCGTGTCATGCCTTCCATTGTCGACTTGTTCTTCGACTATCCAGAGAACGACTTTATGCACCATGTGGTGTATGACATCTTCCAGCAGGTGCTCAACGGAAAGCTCGGCCAGGGGCTGAATCGGGATTTGATTGTGCAGTTGATGGGCGAAGGGAGGCTGGTGGAGAGGGTGTTGGATGCACAAAGGGTCAACGATGAGCTGGTGAAGAGACCGAGGGGAGCGCGGTTGCCCTATATGGGACACTTGATGTTGATCGCGGAGGAGATCGTCAAGTTCTTCGCCCGCTGCCCGTCGGATCTCTTCGCGCTCATCGAAGATACCTTTGTCCACACCGAATGGGAAGCGTTTGTCAATACATCTCTTCGCGAAGCCAAGGCAAAAGACGAAAGACCTTTGGCTGGTGGTAAACCGGAGCCTCCTCCCGGTCAGAACAAGGATGACTCGGCGAGCGAGGAGGATGACGATGATGAGCCGGAAGAGCGCTCCGGGGGCATGAGGTTTGGCGAGCCGTTAACGCGGACGCAGGCAAAAGACAACTTTACGCCAAGGGGCGAATTTGATGCCTACGCGGATCACGATGAGAACGGAGATGGAGAAGATGACGAGGAGACGATGGATCGGGTAAGTCCACTCGTCATGACACTCATGATGCACAGTCACTGATGTATCGCTTCAGTATTGGAAGAACTCTGGTTTGGGTTTGGCGAGGAGAGGTGTGGCCGACTCTTCGGACGAGGATGATGACGATGATGCGGATTGGCTTCAACCTCCTGCGGGCAATTCATGGAGTGCTTCTGGTGACGACGACGATTTCGGTGTACGTATCAAGCCGTCCCCTCACGAACCAGACTGATATATGGGCATTAGGCTTGGGAAACGGGAGAAGTTGCCCACCCTGGTACCGGAGACGACTTTGATAATGACGCGTGGGGCAACTTTGCTTCAGGTCCGGCAGGTGACAGCGCCGAGAATCCCTTCGGTGACGACTTTGGCGACGACAACTTTGCCCCATCGGTCGTTCGCGCCGAGCCTCAACGGCATCAAGACGGGGACCGAGGCGAGCCCCTCACGCCTCTGGACTGGGCCGAGCAGTTCGACCGAGCGTTCAGAGAAGGTGGCGGAGACGATACCCCTCCAGGATCGTCGCCGAAGCAGACTGCCCAGGACCAGGGGGAATCCCCCGAGAAAGATGTGGCCCAGGAGGTTGTGCCAATCGTCATGCCGAGTCTGGATGACGATGAAGGTGACGACGATGTGTCCCTCGCGATGAGCAAGAGCATGGAAATGTCGGTCTCGGCCGGCACCAATTCGTGGACGTTTGCGGGTGATGACGCTGGTGTCGACTTGCCTCCTACGGATTCACCGATCATCCCCGATATTCCCAAGAGTCCCGTCTCTCCCGCTCGGCGACGGTCTAGTTCCTTAGCATCATCCTCCTCAGATTCGAGTACCGCCAGTACAGCCGCTACTGCCACACCTGGTGGTGGCCCAGCCCCCATCCCCATCCCGAAAAGGCGGGGTTCCAAATCCCATTCCCGCACCGCTTCTCTGTCCCGCTCGTTCGGCCATCGTCCCCACCCTGGACATCCCGTCACGTCTCCATCATCTAGCCCATCATCATCCCAATCCTCTCTATCATCACCCACATCCCCCAGTCGTGTGCAACGATGGGGCGAGGCTTTCTCGCCTCCTGATCCTGCTCTCATAGCGGCTGCCACGCAGGATAGCCCGCTTGGTCCCGGTGTCAGCCCGGACACGAAGATTAGGGAGGATAGATTATTAGAGAGAGAAGTGGATGGGAAACAGGTGAGGGTTCCGCAGGATGAGATTGTGGAGGCTATCGAGAGAAATGCGGATGAGCAAGAGACAGAGTCGTTGTAGAGCAGTCATGACGAGGAAAGCATCACGGAGACGAGCGTATCTATGATAGAGTAATGATATCACTGTATGCCTAGTTTGACTTTCTTCGCAGGCAGCATCCCAAGCGTCAAGATATTATACATGTTCACTAATGGCGATTCGTGACTAACACTTTGTTACAGCTGGTCGTTACTGGTCAATTCCCTGTTTCGTTTGAGCATAGCTTCGGGCGTATCTATCGAGAGAAATGCGGATGAGCAAGAGACAGAGTCGTTGTAGAGAGGGCTATGCCCAGTCATGACGAGGAGAGCATCACGGAGACGAGCGTATCTATGATAGAGTAATGCCTAGTTTGACTTTCTTCGCAGGCAGCATCCCAAGCGTCAAGATATTATACATGTTCACTAATGGCGGTTCGTGACTGACACTTTGTTACAGCTGGTCGTTACTGGTCAGTTCTCTGTTTCGTTTGAGCATAGCTTCGGGCGTATACGCAAACAGCTCCTCGAAATCATCGGTCGAACTATGCGAAATCACCCCGAAAGCCTCTTGCATCATGGCCCCAAGACCCTCCAACTCCGCTATCACTTCCTGAGTCATGATAAGTATGTTGGATACCCGTGTATCGAGACATCTTGACTCACTTGCATTGCCAACGCATAGGCAAAGAACAGCAGGTGTCTTCCTCCACCTCGCACACTCCTCCTCTTCACAACATCCAGCGAGCGGATGGCGGTCACCAGGCGTTGACGTGCATGTTCGGCTGGTGGGAGGTATGGCGGTACGGGGGTACGGAGGCGGAAACCAGCAGAGAGTGTGTAGAACTGAAGCACTGTCAGATCTTTCACTAAACCGGTAGACTGCTTACATAGAGGATGACATTGCCGGCCATCTCACGGCGCTCCTTATTGACGGGTACCACGAAGGCGTCTCGAATTCCCTAGAGATACGTCAGTCTTTGCTTCTCATAGAGCTACCTTGCAAACGCACATTATCCCTGCATTTCTGTCAGCTTACACGGGTCCAACATATCCACACAAAACTCACCACTCATCCCTCGTCGTGACACACCGCATACTATGCAGTCTATCCAACATTCGCTCACAACTAAGCAACACCTCCTTGTAAAAGTCGTACGCAAAAGGCCCCTTGAGCCGAGGCTCGTTCTTCGTATGGGCGAGTAGACTTTTCAGACTGCCGAGTTGACTTTGAAGGTGAAGTTCCCTATGGCCAAACATCAGCAACATTCCAAAAGCGAACGATGAGGGGCTCACATGGCCATGAACTGTCGGACACCGGGGCTGAGATGGGGATGTCCGATAGTCCCAGGAGGCAAAAGAGGTTCTTCTTCATCTCTCGGAATATCGGCATCTTCAGTGTCGATAGGCCCATGGTCGACGCCTTTGCTGTACGTCGTGACGAGTTTCGAGTACAAATATGAGAGATCGAGACAAAAGCTACCACCCCCATCAGCAACCATGTCCCACTCGAAAGTCGTTTTGAAGACTCACTCGCTGAGCCCGACGCGAAGCTCTCGCCTAGCAGTGAAAGGCCACCAATACCTCGAGACGATAGCGGCCCAGAGCACACCAACGATGACACTTGTAGCGCGTCGGAACGCCACAGACTCTACCAGAGTATCTCCTCGGTCACGGGTGTTGTAAGTGTACAAACAAGTCAAGTTCTATCCCAATACCAGCTTAGCATGGACTACTCGCGCAGAGCGGGGTTGACTGTCACTCACGTAGGTCAGGAGGACAAAGCGGCCGGCATTCATATAGTCTGGCATCTGCGTGATGACGTAGAAGCAGGGGACGGAGAACAAGAACCCAAGAATAGCAAGGGCGATGTTGTTGTCAGGGAAGAGCAAGGTAAAGATGACGGCGACACCAGCACCGACACTAAATAACAGTCGTCAGTCACAAGTCTTCCCTTGGCCATGATCACCACTCACGCCGTACCAGCAATCCGGGCCATGGACCTATTCGAGAGTTAAGCAAAGTCCTCACGCGCAGCAGCGAACACTCACATAAAGTTCGTTTGACCGATGGTCTGGTTGATAGTCGCAAAATAAGCGATCAACGCCCATTCACCTCTATACCTCAAAAAGATCGGTCTTCCAAACTCAGTAAACGCCGGAGCAGCCAGCATCGCTAACCCCAATATCAGCTTGCCCCTTTCCCTATCCCCCTTTTCGTTTTGTATCTGAAAAAGACGTACCTCCTCCCATACCAGTTTTGATAGCATACTTGGCATCCGGCTGCCTCAACCTCTCCCCCACAGCCCAGAACATCTGTTTGACCTTCCCGAGCCAGCTGAGGGATGTCATTGACGGGACGACGATGGGGCCTGCAGAGTCACGGCCGTTTTTGGGGTAGAGAGGTGGTTGGAGGCGGGAAGGGTCTATGGGGACGATGTTTTCTGGAGGCAAAGTCGGGTATTAGTACTGCCTGGGGATTATGAGGAAGGGGAGACGTACGAAGTTGTTTGTATAGATACTTTCCGCGTCCTTCCTTTCTTCCCCGTTTCATGGCAATCACGGATGTAATGTGATCCCAAGCAGACACCCTATCCGCCGTGACAATCTACAGGTGAAAATAAGCACATATACTCAAACGTTGAGGAGGCAAGAGACGTACCTCTTCCATAGTATCCACCAAAAAGACCATTTCCCTTGCAAATTCTTCGAATGTAAACAAGAAGCTGGCAGATATAGTCAGCAGACGTCCCCATAGGTTTGGAAAGAGGTCGAGACTCACTAATAGATCCAAAAGATCGTCTCGTTCGGACCATCATCCAAATGCTCCTGACCCTCGACCGGCAACCTCTTCTTCTCTCCCTTCCCACACCCTCCCTCTCGAGCGTCATTGTCCTCACCTACATCCTTCCCACAACCCCGATCCTCCCCCTCGCCAGAGTCCGTACTCTCCTCGCTCTCCGAACTAGACTTTTCCCAAACTTCCCTCTCCCTCCTAGGCCCCGCATAGATCCTCTTGATCGCTTTCGACGAATACCTACTAAAATCATTCAACGCCTTGGTCAAGTCGGCGCGGATGGCGGAGAGGTTGATTTGGGGTGTTTGGTCGACGCGGGCGAGGGCTTGGACTGCTTCGAGGGCTTTATCGCATTGGTCCTATGAATCAAAATCCAAAAGTTAGTACTGAAGAGGACCGTAAGAGGGAGATGGAGAGGGGAGAGGGGAGAGTGGAGAGTGGGTGTAATGCTTACGTTCAAAGCGTCCATCTGCGCACCAGCCATCTCCCGAAAAACCATAAACAGATGCACACTCCCAGCTATATCCTCTCCCCCCGGTACCTCCCTCCCCTCCCCGTCCCCATCCATATCACGCCTCAAATCCGACATGGAGATCTTTGAATGACCCCTCTCATGCCCAAAGTCAAGATTGATATGCCCCTGCCGACTAGCCCTTATAAGCCCCTCTTGAAGCCTGGTGCTACTCCTGAGACTGCTGAGATGCTGCGCCAATCTGCCCAGCGAGCCTATCGCAGCATCATAAAGCTCCAACTTTCTCCCCCTCACCCGTCCATCCAACACCCTCTCAAATTTCGCCTCCGCCAGATCCTTCTCCAGCGTCTTGAACGCCGCAGAGTGGGCTTTGATGGCGTCTTGCAATTTGGGCCGGGTGTTGGTTTTGGTGGGTTTGAGGGTGGTGCTGCGTTCGAGGAGGAAGGTGGAAGTGAGGAGGTCGAGGAGGGTGGAGAAGGATGTAAGGGATTTGGAGATGGATGATTGGAGGTTGGAGGTGGCGGAGACGGGAAAGATCGTAAAGCAGATGATGTTTGTGATGCACACTATTACACTTCTTTAGCTGTTGTCGCTTACTGGAGTGGCGTGGGGTGAGGGGGGTGGGGTGGGGACGTACCTCCGGTGAAGACGATCAGGAGGATTTCGATGAGTTTAGGGAAAGCGCCTTCTTTGATGACGACGTTATACAAGATCATAGCCGCCATCGAACATCCTGCGCTTCATCAGCTCCAATCCCCACGAGCGTACCGGTTCGTTAAACGTACCAGAATTGAAAGCCGGATTCCCAACCCACAACTTTGACCACGCCAACGCCCCCATCGTCCCCCCGATCCACAGAATACAAACCACCCAATCCCCCGCCTCGCTGATCCAGTCCCAAGATTCCCCGTGTGACGGGGAGTAGTGGTCAAAGATGTGGATTGTAAGTGTGGCGAGGAGGGAGATGAGGGTGGAGAGGATGGCGAGGAGGAAGCAGTAGCGGGTTGAGAGGAGCATGTTGCCTAGGGATTTGGCTGGGTTGAACTGTGGATCGCACGCATGAGTGAGATGAGTTTGCATGTTACTGTTTAGATACGCACGTAGACGACGATGGTGGCGACCATATGCGCAGAGTAAGCCGGCTTGGCTGTGACTCGGCCATGGGCATCTGTCTCTGAAGTCGTAGACAGGAGCGCAGCTAGCTGAGGGACGAATGTGAATAGGGAAGCTATCAGGTAGGCTAGAGAGCATTTGAGGACGTTGGTGACCCATATAGGCGGCGGCCAGTACTTTTCTTTGACTATGCCAATATGTCAGCTCGGGCCTCTAGGGGATGGGGAGAACAACTTACAAGTGACTTGAGGCAGAGCTGCCGACTTGGTAGACTTGATGGAAAATTTGGAAGCAGACATGGGATCATGCCCGGACAAGAGAGGTTCCGACGCTTCCTCAAGACGGGTTGGTGACCGGAGAAAGGTGATTCCCTCTGTTCTGGGAGTCGGTTCTCCGCTGGCAGTGTCAAATGGGTTGGAGTGGAGTCGACCTTCAAGAGTCCCAGGTGATGAAGAAAGTTGATTAGATATAAGTTGTTCGTCTTGTCTATCGCTGGCGGCAGCGACGGGTCTGGTAGCGGTGTGCGGGGACGACGTAGTAAAGTACGAGCGCATACTACGTCCCCCTGGGGTACGCAGAGTCGAAAGCGGTTCTTCATCCTCGTCATCATCCTCCGTGACCATCTCATGCAGCGACTGCCAATTATCCAAGTCGTCCGCTCGGCCACCCGACCGGACACTGCCGGCAAGAGAGCCCCTCAAAGCAGGACTGCCCAACGCCCCTCTCTGGCGGAAAGATTGGCCCCCATCTTGGATGCGGTTCCTCCAGTTGGACGGGCCGGCTGGGGAGGAGTAGCTGTAGGGGAGGGAGAAGTAGGAGGAGGGTGCGTGGCGGACTGTGCCGGTGGACGATGGCTGGTGGGTGCGGGACCTGTTTGGGGTGGCGGGCGTTTGAATGGGCTGGGGGGTGCTCTCGGGGACGTTCTCAGAGTCCATCGGGTGGCCGAGGGGATGTTGTAAATTGTCCATTCGTGAAGGGCTGCTGACTGCTGGAGGCAGCGGCACAAAGGAGCCCCGCATTACATAAGCTATGCGCACTTCTTTCAGTGGTGCGTGCAGCAGCGAGCAGGCCTGATCTTCTTGCGATCGTCTTCATGCATACGATACGCAAAGCTATCCTTGAACAAACTCAAACCCCTTCAACCCCTCGGCCTCATTTCAATATGGTAAAATCAGAAGGAACCGACAACGGCCGCTCAGCCCAAAGAAACAAATACTACAAATTCGACAGTGCCGGTCGGGGCCGTGGTGGCGGGCGTGGCGGACGAGGGGGGCGTGGAGGGAAGCCAAGTGGTCCGGGACGTGAACCATTAGAAGACAAGGACAAAAGTCAAGTGGCAGCCCCGGAGAAGGTCTTTGTTTTGACAAAGTACCGCGAAAAGCCTCTCGTATGATCCTCTCCCACATCCCTCGCCCTTATCGCTGACAGCCTGTTGGTCCGTATAGCCAGAGATGATCACCTCCCCCGGAATATTCATCTCCACCACAAAAGACCGCGAAAAAGCCGCCGAGCTCGAGCTCTTACAATACCTCGAAACCATAGCCGACGAGCTTTATCCCGAGACGGCGGAAGCAGCCGTCAAGCCAGATGAGGAGATGGATTTTGAAGAGATGTTGAAAAAGGATTTGGATTCGATGAAGGAGGATGGGGAAAAGTCAAAGAGGTTTAGGCTGTGTTTGAGGGAAGGATTTTGTTGTGAGTGAAAGCCTGTGGCTGTTTTCGGGTAGATACTGATGTTTGGGAAAGTGCTCTATGTGAATGTCCTCCCGCCGCTAGATCCTCATAGGATCGTCCGATATATCCTAGAACAAGCCGAGTCCACAGGAAAATACCCTCTCAAGTAAACTTTATAACTCTTCTCTTGTTACAAAGCTGATGTGGAACAGGCATTGCAAGAGACTAGTACCCATCCCAGAAACCTCCGGCGCAACGCTCAAACAACTATCCGACCTCGCCGCCAAAATCGTCAAACCAGCATTCGACACGCCAGACCATAGATCATTTAAAGTACGCTCCCCTCCCCTTACCTCCATCTCACCTTATACCCCCAGGTCCCTGCCCCCTGGTACACTTGCTAATAACATCAAAAAGTTTGCAATAGACACAAACTCGCGCCACTCTGAAAAACTCGAAAGACTAGACATGATCAAGACCGTCGCTGAGCAAGTCACAAACCTGGGGCAAGGGCATGTGGTGGATTTGAAAAAGCCGGAGAAGAGTGTTATTGTTGAGGTTTACAAAGTAAGTCCTTCTACGAGCCTGTGTGATCGGGAAAGAGGTTTGCTGATTGTGTTTGTAGAATAATTTGGGGGTGACAGTTTTGGAAGATTTCGATCGGTTCAAAAAAGTGAGTTCCGAGTGGATAAATTGGTTTTCGATTGTTCTTGCTCACTTGTTTTGCGAAAGTATAATCCCGGATCAGTAGCCACTCAAGCGTCTCTCAGGCTTTCCAAAGCCAAAGCCGCGTCCATCTCAAACCCTGCCGAGCCTTCCACATCCACATCCACCACCACCTCCGCATCCGGTCCGAAAGCAGAGCAAACCCAGACCCCGTCGAAAGCCCAACAAGCACACGAACGAAGTCGCCGTCGTGCCTCCCAAATCGCCCATGCCCACCCTTCCCCTTCTGCCGAGTTTGACGCGCCTCCAGCAAAGAAGACAAAGACAGAGACAGGAGCAGATGGAGAGGGAGAGGGAGAAGACGGAGAATGGATGATAACGGAGAAAGACGTAGAAAAAGGAGAACTTGTGGAAGGTGAAAATGGAGAGCAGCTGGGGGATGGGTTTGAAGAGGTTATTGAGGGTGGGAAGGTTTTGAGGTATCGGAAAGATGATTCGTCTGTCTAATAAGCAGATCAGATGACATGCCATGTAACGTTTTGAGGTGATGCGGGTACTCGTGGTGGATTGAAGCGGCCTTGTATGATATGGGAATGATAGAAAGTGCATACAATCAATCATCCTTTCACCACACCAGACGACAAGTACACACTTGCGATTTGATCAAGGATCAAGGACTACCCATACGAGCGCGCTTGGCAACCCACCCCGTACGTTCTACCAACTCGTCCCGAGAATCCTTTTGCCCGAACGTACCCTTATCGATCTCCATCTCATCGAATTTTCTGGAACCTGCTGTTTGGAGTTGAAGCTGACTGGGGTCCAGGTCCATGGGGCTTTCGTCGGTGCATTCGGGTTCTTTGGTGGTGGTGATGAAAGGGTGCGAGGGCTGGTGGGGGTTGGGAGTGGGAGTAGCGGGAAAGGCGTGGCAGTTGATGATCATAAGTCGAGAAGTCTGAGGTGTCTGAGGCGTATCGGCTAGACGAGTGGGTTGATCCCCCAATCTCTTCAAGTTTTCCGGGGTGATAGGCGTGAACGGCAGAATCTCCACCTCTTCTTCTCCCTTCCCAGCTTCAACGTCAATCCTCAACAACTTTGCCTTCTCCATCCTCCCCTCCTGCTTATTTGCCGTCTGCAAAGCGGCTTTGGTAGGGTACGACCTCATCGATTCACCCAACGAACGATCTTCTTCCTGCATGGAAGCACAAGACGAATAAGACAGGGAGGGGTGGTGGTGGTGGAAAAGAATGTCTGTCGGAGACTCCCACCATCCATCTTGGCTGATAGGGATCGGAAGGATAGGACGTTTCTCAGCGGGGGAGTGGAGTGTGTGGGTAGTTTGGAGGAGATGGATAGGAGGGAGGGTGAGGGGGCTTGGGTGGAATGTCATGGGGACGGGGTGGAAGGATGATGATGCGCCGAGCCTATGCCACCGATCGAATGGTCAGAGCGAGAAGAAGATATAAAGGGTCAGAAGACGAGCAGAGGAGGCTTACCAGAGGAGATCGTTGCCATCTTGAGTACGGCATGCGTTTGCTGGAGGAGGTTGGATGATATTTGAGGGCTGTTGAATCGTTGAGGACATTGCGGAGAAGACTCAGGTGAAGTTGTTGGTTATCGGCGGGATTTGCAAAGGTGAAGGTGATGTGGGATTTATAGAATGAAGAATGAAGAAGAAGTGGCGTGAATAGGTGGGGTATGAACATCAACGACCCACCCGACCTGTCTTATCAGTACCAACAGCATGCATGGCACCCGTTGTTTCGACACGTTCGCTTGTTCCTCCCCTTGTCCATCCTTTGATATTCCCGCCCCTGTCAACGACGCGATGACATGTGTCAAAGGATGAGTCTTCTCTGGTCACCCCCCACGTACCCACATCCACGGATCACAGCTTGCTTGAACGTGTTGGTGGCAATCGCCTAACGCGACGAATCGTTGAACGTCCTCATGAACTAATATGCCTAAAACTTGTATGCATTTCGAAATACCAACCATTTGTGTCCTCTCCATACCCTCTCCATACCAGAAGACATGCCTTCATCTATACAACCCCAACCACACACAAGCTCACGTCCACTTCCCAATAACACCCATAGCAATCATCCCCGCCACCAATGCCCCCAACGCAAGCCCTATCTTCCGCCCCGACGCTCCCCTCATCTCACCCACCACCCACTCTGCATACAACAGCTGGCACAGCCCGCCATAGAGCAAGATCCCGGCGGAGATGGAGTTGAGGATACCAATGGCGAGTAGCTCGGAACGGCCGTTTTCGTTGAATGATTGGTGGACTCCGATTCCCTGGAAGGGCATCAGCTTCTTTTGGGAATAAGGCAGAGGAGGAATATGGAGGGAGACTTGCGATGGCGATACCGACGGGTGTTACTAGGGTGTAGGCCAGACATAAGGAGTACTTTTTGAGGATGGAAGCGATGCCGGGTGGCCAGATGAGCATCCCGATCCGCGAGCCGAGACCCAGTCCTTCGAACAATTGGTGAAAGACGAGAGCTATCGAAGCGCGTGTCAGTCTATTGAGGAACTTCTGGGGCTAGCATACCTGCAAATGTGGGCTTGAAACCTTTCGTCTGCGCCCCGAGTGATACCCCGCTGCGAACGGTACATTAGCCGTCTCCTGCTGTTCTCAACTTATTTATCCATCACTGACATCATGATGGAATGGAAGACAATGCCTCCCTCGAGCAAATTTACATCCCAATGCGCTCTCCTACTCGCTCCGTCAAACGACTCGACAGCTTGGACTTTTGTACTGCAACAAGCCATGTCCGCCATGACTGGCGTCTCGCTTTGGGAGAGGGGATCCGCATGTCGCGGTGTGTTTCGAGCGGTTTCAGCATCTTTCATGGCTATCTGGTGATGCGTCAGTAGAGAGACGTCCTCGGGGCATGGGTGGTGTTTTTGAGAGTGAGCTCACCCATCGAGAGCCGAAGAAATCGACGAGCCAGATGACGAACATGGATGCCATGACAATCGACGGTGCTGTGGGCGGATAAGACAGCTCGCCAATGCAGGGGCTGTGATGGATGTCAGAGTCCGAGCAGACATAATAGTTCAGTTTGCTTACTTGAAGAAAGCCACAATCGCCTCGTGCAGTAGATGACAGAACCTATGAGCAATTGTCAGTGTACTGCTCCTCTTCTTCGCAACAAACTGCAATGCAAGAGAAAAGACTTACGCCAGACTGATAATGATGCCCGTACCAAAGTACTTGAGCGTAAAGAAAGTAGTCCCAAACCATCCGTTCTTATTACCCCTATCTCCCAAGACTACGGGCGAGAAAACGCCTAGTGCAGAAGCGACGAGTAGGACGAATACGCTCGCGATGTGCAAGCCCAAGTCGTAGTATCCTGCCTCTCCTGGGGTACATGTTGACCCCAAAGGAGCGGGATTGACGGAAGATGTCACTTCTTGAGCTTGTGTATATGGCGGGAAGCAGGTGGAGAAGGCGATGAAGAGTGTTAACGGCCATGGGAGGAGCGACATGCTGCCTTCTTGCTTGAGGGTCCGGTGTTGGGGTAGAAGTCGGATCTCAGAAGTTTGCCATATATATCGAATTTGAGAAAGATTTAAATAGGAAAAGCCAATGACCTATGTATGCATTCGGCCTACCACTGCCATGCCAAGAGTGCTCACAGTACTCACCGCCGCGACTTGGCGTTGCAGTCGACAGTGATTGCTATGGGCGGGTCGACTTTGCTGGTCCATGAGATCTGACAGCATGTGGTGAGTATATGGTTCGACTGCCATGTACTGAAAATGACTTAGTAGGTCAATCATATCGCTTTCCGACGTCGGCCGTCTATCGTTCAAGTCGAGCGATTTTTCATTCGGTTGTTCCTTGGTCCTCGGCCTTCCGGTATTCGGATCTGTCCCCCCACATAGTGCCGCCATGCAACCTCATGACCCCACTCTCGGTACAATTCCCTTCCGACTCGCCTCTCAAGCTATACGTATCCCCAGTGCTGCTATCCAACTAAAGCTGAAACCTACGAGCAATCTTTGCAACCAGTCCTCCGGCGGCTTGTCGCTTTCGCCACTGTCTTCGCTCCATGTGGTCCTTCATCCAGAGCGCTGCTCTTCTTCTGTCTAGTCTCACCCTCCAGATCCCTCATAGCGCAGAACATGGCAGCTCATACAGAGTGGCAACGACAAAGCTCTCGCAAGCTGACAGTGGTAGTGGAACATGGGGTGCTGCGTCCGAGCAAGCGCGCATGCTGATCGGCAACATGACCGTCCAAGAGAAGGTGAGATCATATACCCTGGCTCGTCTGATAGCGCAGTATGCTAAGCCACGAGTCAGGTAAACCTCACCACCGCCGTTACTGGGCCCTGTCAAGCCAATTCAGGCGGCGTCCCTCGTCTCGGCATACCTGGGCTCTGCTTCAATGATGGTCGTGAGCGCCAGCCTTTGTCCAATTTTGCCATACGCAGCTGACTAAAGGAGCGTATAGCTGCTGGTCCAAGATACACAGACTACGTTACCCAGTGGCCTTCCGAGTTTATATCCGCGGCTTCCTTCGACCGAGACTTGATGTGGGAGAGGGCGGTCAGGATAGGGCAAGAGTTCAGAGGGAAGGGCGTGAACGTCATGTTGGGACCGGTGAGCTGACTCCAAGGAATTCATGGGCCAGTGTACTGATAAGCGATCAATCAGGTTACGGGTGGACCTTTGGGCAGATCGTGAGGCTGCCTCTGGTATCCTATACCTTGACTGACGTATAAGTATAGCCCCTTCACCGGACGAAACTGGGAAGGCGAGTACTCTTGCTACTTATCTATCTGAAAGGGTACCTGACAGATTTGGCAGCATTCTCCCCAGACACATATCTCTCATCGACGCTTTCTTACCTCACCACCCGCGCACTTCAATCGACAGGACTCATAACCTCCGCCAAACATTATATCCTATACGAGCAAGAACCCGCTTGTGATGGCCCGCCCGATCCTAATGGAGGAACGACAGGATGCGTGGATATCAGTAGCGATATTGACGGTAAGCCTTGGCGTCGACGTGTCGTTTGTCAAGGAGCTGAGGATCCGGGCAGAAAAGACATTTAGAGAGGTGTATCTGCCTAGCTTTTCGGAAGCTGTTCGGGCAGGGACTGGGTCTATCATGTGGTATGCCTGTCCTCGGCGACTACCCACTAGTTTTCACTGGCTGACGATCGGTCTCAGCTCTTACAACCAAATCAACGGGACCCCGGCATGCGAAAATGATAGCGCTCTCAATCGTGTACTCAAAGAAGAACTGAACTTTGAAGGATTGTGAGTATCAATCAAAGAGGCTGCTGGAAACTTTTACTGATGACGCCTGTATAGTGTTCTCGTGAGCTGCCATTTACCACAGGACATAAGTGAAGGGATCGCTGACCCTCGTCAGAGTGATTTCGAGGCAGCGCACTCGACTGTAGAGTCGGCGATACACGGTATGGACATGGAGCTTCCTACAGAGCATTTCTGTGAGCTTTCTATCGAGCGCCGTGCAAATCAGGATGGCTCATTGGGATTCAGACGGGAAGAAACTGTTGAAAGCTGTCGAGCGGGGAGAAGTGTCGTCCGAAAGACTGGATGATATGGCGCGACGGTATGAATCGAGCTTCGGTAGAACTCAAGTACTGACCCAGAGGTGTAGCATACTCATTCCGTATCTGGCCCTCCAGCATAACAGCTCCTATCCCAAAGTCACTTATCAAAAGTACAATCTCCAAGACCAAATCGAGGTCGACGGACATGTCTTTCGGAACGAGCACGTCGATGTCAAGGGTGACAACCATCTTTGGGCGAGGAAAGTCGCAGCAGAGTCGACAGTGTGAGTATTCAGCAAGGCTTCATTCAGCCCACGACTTCAAGAGCTGACATACTCTAAAGTCTTCTCAAGAACACCGGCATCCTACCCCTTCCCCAAGGGCCCAAGCCATCTCTCAAATCCCTCGGTATCTTTGGCTCCGACGCGGACTATCCCTCCACCCTCACAGGCTGCGGTCCGGATTTGTTTTGTACGGTCAATGCAAAGAATGGGAGGCGATATTGGAATGGGACTGTCACGATTGGAGGTGGGTCTGGGGCGGCCTATGCGGACTATATCGTAAGTGGAGCACGAAAGGAAGAGTGTGAAGCTTACGGACGATCACAGGCAGCGCCTATCGAAGCCATATCCCTTCGGGCACGACGCTCTCATTTCCGAACCGACCACATCCTCCAAGACGATCCTTCCCACTTTCTCACTGTCGATACCATCGCCGCACAATCAGACGTATGCCTCGTATTCGTGTCTGTCTACCTGGTCGAAGCCTGGGACAGAGACGATTTGAGACTCGATAAAGGTGGAGAAGAGTTGATCAAAAGGGTGGAGAAGGGGTGTAAGGGGGAGGTGGTGGTGGTCATGCACAGCGGAGGCCAGGTGCTCGTCGAAGATTGGGTGAGTCTGTTTTCAAGCAATGGGAAGTTGGCTGATAACGTGATAGATCGATCTACCCAAGATAGGAGCCGTCTTGTTTGCTGGGTATCCCGGACAAGAGACGGGAAATGCGTTGGTTGATATACTATGGGGAGATGTCAACCCCTCTGCCAAGGTTGGTTTCTATTTTCGTGTCAGAGAGCGCAAGCGAGAGCTGACTGACGGGTGTTTGATAGCTGCCATTTACGATGGGTCGAGCAGCATCTGACTGGCCGCCTGCAGGTATTATCCGCAAGAAGGTATGATCTACAAAGATTGGCTTTGCTCCTAATGCTGATCACCTAGAAGGACATCGACAAGGCCGCTCCTTACCCCGTTTCCACTTTCCCCGAACGCTCGGCCATTGACTACAAGTACTTTGACACCCACAACATCTCGCCCCGGTTCGAATTCGGGTTTGGCTTGAGTTACACGTCATTCGAGATGGCGGGGCTGGAGTTGAGGAAGGAATTTAGGGAGGAGGAGGTAGGGGGCAGGGGAAAGAAGATGAGCGAGGTGAGCGAAGGGGAGGGCGGGCTTTATGAAATTCTGGTGAGATAGACAAATGGTAGCTGCACTGGTTGCTGATGGATACGCCAGTATGTGGCGAGGGTGAACGTCACCAACACCGGTCGAGTACCCGGCGCCGAAGTCGCTCAGCTCGCGAGTAACCCATTCCAATTCTGCTATCATGTTCTGCATGCTCATGGGAGGCAGTATATGACCTTTCCACCTACGGAAGCCGACCAGCCGCCCAAACATCTTCGAGGGTATAGCAAGCCTTACCTTCTACCAGGCCAGACGAAGACCGTCGAATTTCCGCTTGTCAGTTATGCTGCCTTGATCAAGATCATTTGATCTCTGTTGACGGCTGGGCTGATGGTTGACGCAGAAGAAGAAAGATCTGTCGGTATGGGATGTGGAAAAGCATCTATGGCGAATGCCAGAGGGCAATTTCGTGTTCCGAGCTGGTAATAGTTCGAGAGCTTTACCTCTTGTATCTCTCTTCACCCCGAATGGCCGTGGGTGATCGATGAAGTTTATGATTACAACTCGTTCTCCACCCCTGCTCCCAGTGAACCAATGTTGGCTGTGTGCATTTTTACTCTTCTCCTCAAGATACCCTTCTCAGTCGAGGTCAGGGTGACTGGGTCTTCGTGAGTTGTGCTTCATAATCAAGAATCATGACGATACGCTCTATCCATTATCATCCTGATCTTTTTCTCTTTCTTCCCTTTCCCTTCTTTCCCTCTGTGTCATATAATCCCTCGCGACCCTTTCCTGAAGTCTGTCAAAGGCCTGCACTCTCTGAGCATCTTCATCCCGATTTCGAGATTGCGCAGTACCTCCGGGGGTCGTCGCACCTGAAGATGGGATCGAATTGCCGAGGCTGAAAGAGTCATCATGCGCGGAAGATTGGGATGTGCTGGCGGGTGGGTTTTCGGCAGACTCGGATAGGTGAGTTGAGTCGTCGTCCGAGGACTCGGAAGCGGTGTGTTGATCATCATAAACCGGATTTTGGTGGCTATCGCTAGCAGAGACGTCGGGTCCTGGAGATCTGGGAGCATCGCGCCCTGACCCCTCGTTCGCGCCCCGGCCACTTCCCATCACCAAGGCCAAAGATGTTCCTAAACAGCCCGCCTAGTATTCCGGGCATCCCGCCTGGTAGATTTTGACCCTGCTGTCCTTGCCTATTGTCAGCATCGCCATCTTGGCCCTGGTTGAGGCCACCGAAAGGCTAATTGAGGGAATTGTTTCAGCGCCTGTGTGCTTCTCAATCTTCTGCGCCGACCAAGGAGAACCGGCTGCACACATGGTCAGCTGGGGATGCAATCAGACAGTACAGACACTTGCCAGACTGGACAGGTACCGTTTTGCTTTAGCCAAGGTACGAGACAATCGTCATGGAAAGTATGCCTGAGTTTGAGAATCAGCGTGATCCCTTGACGAATTCTCGAGGCTCACTGGCAAGGTATTCTGACAACCGCATCATCCACTTGGAAGTCGTCTTTGCACACAGGACAGACTTTGAATTGGCTCTGAGCTGGGAACCGTTAGTTTTGTCTGTTGGACAGGGTACCTACATACACAATGACTGATCATCGATCTTAAACCTTTGAGACCTTCGATGACAGTATCATTTGCCGGGACCGAGCCCTGCGGTCCGGCGGCATCCATGAATCTATCCAGAATGCCTTGGAATTCACCTGCAGTTTTGCGTCAGCACAGTATAATTTGACCTGGACGTCTGGTGAAGGGCAACATACCATCGCTGCTTGTATAGTCTCCGAGATTACCTCCACGAATTCTGCACCTTCTTCCCTGAAAAGCACAGCAGTTATGGTTTGCAGCTACGAGACCCAATCAACTGCTGTCAATTACAGATCAGATATGTGATGACACACCACCTGCCGAGCTTCCTGCTGGAGGCGTTCTTCATCACTCATGTTCGGATCATTACGAGGGCGATTTTCAGCGCCGGGGGGGGTCACTTTGAGCACATCAGTAAGATCTCGAGTAGACTAAATGGTTAGCTTACGCAGCGAATGGATCTGGGTCATCCAACCCTCCAAGTGCAGCAATTGGGTTCTGCGGGGCACCTTGTCCGCCCACACTTCCACGCAGATTGGAGCTTCCCACTGCGACACTGGTATGCGTACTTCCCAGGCTGGAAGAATACGTCTTGGCCCCTCCGCGACCACCCTGATCACCGTTAGATCCTTTCGCCACCTTGGTTGTCGCGTGGGAGCTGGTCTGCAAACAGGGGCGAGGGACTGCTCGGCTGTCCGCCATTATTTCCAGGGTGACTTCCACAATCTCCAGCTGACAGAAGACCGAATAGATTGGAGAGGAATGAGCCAGGAGTGGGAGGGTTGTCGGAGTGCTCGTGAAGAGTTGGACCGGGCGGGTCATCGTCATCACGAGCCGTGTGCTGGGGTGGCGGGGGAAATTGAACAAGAACGGGGGAAATCACCACGGGGCGATGCTGTCCCTTGCCCCAGGCGAGTTGGAGGTGGAGAAGGAAGTTCGTGATCGGGGTCTGGGTTGATTTCTGGATCGAGCTGCGTAGGTTGCACGATGGTGAGCACGGCAAGGGAGCCGAGAATGAATGCGCACTATTTCTATGAGCTCGCCATTACACGAAGCACAGTGTGGAATATTGTCGGTCTGAGAAGTACTAGCAAGTGCGAATTGTGTATCTCGAAATACATCCATAGATGGGGCGCATCTCCGAGTGACAAGGTCTGACTGATGAGCCCGTCAGCGGTGTCGGGGTGGCTGTGTCGGGGCGGCTATGGGCGTGCCTCGTGGCATATCCAGAAGGGGTCCGAGATGGCACGGGGTAGAGAGGAGAGGAGAAGCTAGAGATGCAGATGCAAGAAGAAACAACATCTTCCACGCCGCGGCGCAGGCAGCAGTGCAGGCAGCCTACTGACGACGACATTCTCTCCGATCAAGCCCAAATAATTTCAAGTCGCGTCGTTCAACTGTTTACTTTGTTCTCTGTCGAAAAGTGCAGAACATCAGTGTTTGAGGGGTGCCAAGTCGTCTTTCTCATGCTTACCTGTTTCTATGGTCTATCATTGACCCTGTGTCACGTGGCTGTCGCCACTCGACCAAAGTGACGAACCAAACACCCAAACCTCCACCGCCCACATCCGCGTCAACCTCACATCTTGCCACCATCTGGATATAACATCCATCCGTCCTACCTCCACGGCCGAGCTATACCAGCACCGCCTTCGAGTTCTATGCTTGCTAAGCCATTGCGGGCAAAAACGGAAATACGCGGAGATAGAGAGAGCAAACCCATTCCACCACTTTCGAGAACATTCTTTCGCCACCAGGTTCGCCGATGTAGTTGATTCTAGAGGTTTCGACGGAGGACATGATGAGTAAGCAGACTTGAGGTGCCAGGTTATATAAGGACGTGTCTCCATAGCAGTAGATACTCCGTCGATCCACTATTGTTGTCTTCTCTAGCACACACACTCTCTCTCGCACAAATACTATCTTCCTTCGGCATTGGTCTGGCCACTGTTGAGGTCCGGCACAGTGTTGCTCATAGGATCGGCATATTGGTAGCATAGAGAACATGACTACGGACAATGTGCACGTGGGATATGTATGGAAGTTGACGTTACGTAAGAGAGTAGTATCAACCATTACCAACAAGTAGGCCCCGACAGCCACTCACTTCGAGTTCTCAGACCATTTCGTCTCTACATCTCGGCGACCTCTGAAGGCATAGCCTAAGGAAGGTAGCCCCCTGACACCCTGGCCTCTAGCCGCCAGCAAGCGACATGTGACAAGAAAATAGTGCGGCTTGATCTTCCAGCAACGTGCCTCCTTCCACAATTGAGGCGGCCTCAGCTGACCCAACGGACTCGGAACGCAGAAGTGTCATAATTGTGCTCGCTCTTGAAAACCGAGGTACAGTATGTACAGTCGACTATATAGGTACAGGTCGTCTTAGCTTGCTGCTGTGCAGCCCTTGACAGAATCTTCTTACGTCTTCGCCCCGCACTCTGTAAGCTTGACATGCATGGATCTTTGCGCCTGTGATCTCTGGCTGGTGCGGAAAAATATTCACAGTGGCGCTACCGCCAAGATGCAAAGGGAGCGAGTACGTAGTACGGCAGCCGGCACGGCCACTTAACATGCCGAGGCGGCTATAGACGCGGCTGAGAGGTGTTTAGCCAAATCTGCCGACCTGCCTAGTACAACAAGATGACTTGCCTCTCAGCTGCCAGAGATAATATACCATACATTGGGCTGCTCTCCCTGGGGCTGCAGAACCACACAGCGGGGCAGTGGCAGGGCGATAGGCGGCGATTGGAACAGGGACCTGCGTGCCTTGCAAAGCCGGCGGCCTTGGCCGGGGCTCCAACCGAACTCCATCGTCGGACACTTCGCGTTTTTCGTAAGTCAACCTAAGCGAAGCTGTATTTTTCGCTTTAGCAGTTTCGACCAACGATGTGGTTCCGTCAGCCCGCTCGACTCCAACATCAATTTCGTGTTCATTTCTACTCCCTACAGCAACAATTATGTCCTCAACACCAAGCTCAGACACAACAAAAAAGACCAGTATTGAAGGCCTCGCGCTCGAGGAGAACGACCCCGCGTCGGCTGTGCCAATCAAAAAGTACGATGAAGTCTTTGGAGCCATCAAGGAGGATGGTCCAGATTACCGAAATGTAAGTAGCCACCTAGATCGCTGAGTGGCAACTGACAGTGTTGCAGGTCGGGTGGATGGCGGCGGTTGTCCTTCTGCTCAAAAGTCAAATAGGTCTTGGTGTACTCAGTTTACCGTCAGCACTTGGAGCGCTTGGTATCGTCCCAGGTATCTTGGTGCTCGTGGGTGTGTCCGCTATTATGACCTGGTCAGGTTACTGCGTTGGCCAGTTTAAGCTGCGCCATCGACAAGTCTGTGAGTATCCCAACTCTTTCGCCACTTTCTTCCAACGCTGACTCCTTCAAAGACAGTGTGGTCGACGTTGGAGAGATCATGTTCGGACCCATTGGAAAGGAGATATTCGCCGCCATCTACTGCACATGTGAGCACTTGGATATGAGAGGGAGGACTGCCGCTGACATGGATTGTCTAGTCATGATCTTTGTTGCCGGGTCTGCCATCGTTGGTGCTTCCATCGGACTCAACGCCATCTCCCTACACGCCACTTGTACCGCAGTTTTCGTCATCGTCTCCACCATCGTTACATTCTCCCTCGCCAGTATCCGAACCTTGGGCAACATCTCCTGGCTGGGATGGGTCGGACTCACCTCCATTGTCGCTGCCATCATTACCCTCACCATCGCCGTCGGTATTCAGGACCGCCCTGCCCTTGCTCCCCAGACGGGCGATTGGGACAAAGGATTCAACGTGATTGGTAACCCCACATTTCTTGAAGCCTCGTCCGCGGTCGCCTCCCTCGTTGTGGGTTACGCCGGTGTTCCCACCTAGTATGCGCTTTTGTCAGACATGTGAAGTGTAGAGCTGATACTTTCATAGCTTTTCCATCGCCGCTGAGATGCGTGACCCCCGTCTCTTCAACCGTGCCATGTTCTGCAGCCAAGTCATTATCACAGCCATCTACATCGTGAGTACTTCTCCTCTAACCAAGCTCCTTGAAGCTTACACTTTGACAGGCCATTGGCACCGTCGTCTACTTCTACTGCGGCCAGTACGTGGCCAGCCCCGCCCTTGGTTCTGCCGGTGTCTTGATGAAGCGAATCTGCTACGGTCTCGCTCTTCCCGGACTCTACGTCACAGGTACTATCTATCTTCATGTGAGTGGTCATGATAATACGCCAGAAGACGCAAAGCTAACTCGTATCTCCCCAATAGCTCCCCGCTAAATATGTATTCCTCCGTGTCATGCGCGGCAGCAAACACCTCACCTCCAACTCTCCCATTCACTGGGCCGTCTGGCTCTCCTGCGTTTTCACCTGCGTCACCATCGCCTACATCATCGCCAGCGCCATCCCCGTGTTCGGCAGTTTGGTCGGTCTTATTGGTGCGCTGTTCGGATCCTTCTTCTGTATTATGGTCATGGGTGCCACTTGGATCTTTGACCACCAGGACAAGATCCGGGCGAAGCCTTCGATGAAGGTCAAGCTCCTTACAGCGTTCAACTGTTTCATAATCCTTTTGGGTCTTTACCTCATGATCTCAGGAGTGAGTCTCTTTTTGTCCCTGCACAGAGATTGGAAGCTGACAGCTGTATGTAGACATGGGGTGCTGCCAAGGATATTTCTGACAGTTTTGCTTCTGACGGAGGAACATCACCTTGGTCTTGCAAGGATAACTCTAACACAGTAGAATAGAGTTATATTTCCATTCTAGTCTAGGTTTTGCGGGATGTAAACATTGTACGATACCAATCTCCGCAGCTCAGAGTTTCGAAGTCAAGGGGGTACTACATCGAAAAGCATCATCAAGGTCCAGCTACAATCAAAGCAACGAAGAAACTCGCTCTCCTCTACGTATCTAGATAAACTCAAATCTCCCATCTCCGCTCTTCAATAATTTTCTCGCATTCTCAGTTCCAATCACCCTCTCCAACTTCAACACATCAAACCTCGAGAATAGCACCCTACTCGACACCTCCGCCTCATCCACATCCACCTCCTCCCCGCTCTTATTCTTGGACACCTGGAACGGCGTGTCCATGAACTCCGAGTAGAACTGCGCATGGTCAGGGAGAGAGTAGAAGACGATCGTCTTGGCTCCTCGCAGCTTGTACCGACGGTAAAAGTGGAATCGCTCCGTGACGATCAGGAAGGCCTTCTTGCCCTTGAAGAAGAGGGTACGCGCTCGGCTGATTTCGGAACCGGAGGAGTATTCGGAGATGGCGGCGAAGGAGACCTTGTCTTCTTTGCGGAGATGGTTGGTGAGGCGGACAAAGTCGAAGTATGAGGGGACGACGATGAGGGTGTTTTGGCGGGAGATGGCGGCACGCAGAAGGGCGGGGAGAGTCTACAGTCAAGTCAGCGAGTGCAAGGCAGCACAGGACATGGAGACGTACGTTTTCGGTGAAGAAAGTCAATCTCTTCTCCACTTCGTCCACAGCAGCCTCGCCCTCCATACCCTTCGGCCCTTCCAAGTCGATCCTCTCAAACACTTGCTTCACACCAGGTCGCACACGGTCCATCACACCTCCAAAGTCGGTCTTCTCCAATCGGATCTTGCCTTGCAGGTTGCGGCAGTGGCGGTTGAAGAGGCCTCGGGATTCGGGAGTGTCATATCGACTGAGGATGATGGTTTGGCGCAGGTATTGAGCTCTGAGAGGAGGTCAGCGTGATTCTCAAGAGACAAGGATAGACATACTGGGACTCGAGATACCAAGGCTTGACTCTGGAAAAGTCACAACCATGAGGACTAGCCGGGATCTTGTTGATGTTGTTGAAGATGAACTGCACATGCTCCCAGTTCTGCATCTGCATCACATCCGCCCCATCCACCACAGTAATCTCCAAACTGCTCAACAAATCCGTACTGTCTTCCCTCTCCGAAGTCATCTTGAAACCAAGAGGACTCGTAAAGAGTATATCGCACTCCATCAACTTGGCCTCGTTGGCCGGCATCATGACGACTCGCCAGGCTTTACGCGTGAGCTTCAGGCCGAAACGGAAGTTGTCGTCAGTGTTGCCACGGAAGTTGGCGAGGTGGTCGATGGGAAACTCTGAAGCAGCAGAGGAAGATGCGAGGGGGTCTTGCTCGTCTTCGGGAAGGGAGAAGGAGGTGGTGAAGGGGCGTTGGTTCTCGAGTTGGGTCCCGGCAGGGGCGAGAGGGGAGAGGTGGTTTTTGAGATAGTGAAGAGCGAGGGCTCGGGTGGGGAGAAGGAACAGGACCTTGGGTCGGGTGAAAGATTGGTCTCGAGGAGGTTCGGGAACGGAAGTGGGGTTCTCGGCGGCAGCAGCGTGAGCGAGCTTTTCGTTGTTTCGGATGATCTTGCGTCGGGTTCTAAGAGGTGTCAGGTCAAACGTATCGAATACGAGTAGAGAGCTCACTTGAGGACGTGGTTGAGAGCATGGATAGCGACAGCCTTCCTCATTGCCTCCTTGTGCTCGCTCATCAACTGGATTTCAGACCCGTCGGCCTCGCCGTCGAGTGAATGCAGGTAGAAGTCCTTGTAGGAGCCGAGGTGAGACAGTGATGTGGAGAGAAGAGGGTTGGATGATGAAGCTTCCTTAATGGCAGGTAGTAATGAAGGAGTAATCTACTCAAGCATTAGATCGCTCCTATCTCCATAGCTGACATGACTCACTCTTGTCTTGACATCTCCAGATGCAACGGCACCCTCAGGCGTGATCTCTACAGCCCTCCCAAATCCCTTTAATGTCTTTCTCTCAGACTTCCATTGATTAGCCTCCGCCGCCTTCACCGACTCGGGGGTCAAGGCTGAAGGTTCTGCACCAAAGTGGAGGTTGAAAAGGTCGGCTATCGCACACGACCAGTCAGATCACGCTCCATCAAGTTATTGGTCTGATGTACGTACCAGATGTTGATGCTTGGGATTCATTATCAGACTCCTCTTCATCCACTGCCAGCTCCTCTTCAGATCCACTTTGCACTTCCTCGATCACGGCACCCTTGCCAATCACAGCAGATTTTCCGTTGGCTTCACCCTTAGCCTTGCCCTTGCCCTTTCCCTTGCCACCTTTGTTGAATTGGCTTCCACTGGGTCCAATCTCGCCACCCCAGATCACACTCTTCCTCTTCTTCTCGGGCTGCTCTCCGGCATCGGAGCCTTGCGCGACAGACTGGTCTCGGACGGAGGGCGAGCGGTGGCCGCCTGGGAGGTCTCTGTCCCTGGGTCGCTTGACGGCGCTGACGTTGAGGAGAGTGAGAAGCTTGACTTGGGTTGCTGTTTCGGGGTCGACGGTCATTTTGGCGGTGTCTTGGGACAATATCAGTTGCGTTGAGACCTGTCAAAACATTTTTGAGAAAGTGCGAGGAGTGAAGCCGACCACGTTACGTAACTCGCAATGATCTCTTCGGCTGCCGGTAGTGAAGACACTCATGAGATGGTTTGAAGGCAAAAGAAGTTGAGCGTAATGGAACGTTGTTATATGCATGAAGGCCAAGATTGTAATCCAGATATGAAACCCAATTCTCGGCTTTTTGGTGAGGTTTTCGCAGATATATACAGGAACGAGATATACCGGAAAACGTTCTACTCCTCGTCGTCCTCGTCTGAATCCTCGGGAGGCAGGAAAGGCGCGATGGGCGTCTTCTTGACGGAATGATTCAGTTGTGGGGCAATCCTACTGACCTTGCGGGGAGCCGGTCTTTTTGCCTTTTCGGTGTCTGTTGCCTCCTGCCCCTGCCCTTGCTCTTCACTCTCATCCTCATCATCCTCCTCTTCTTCCTCCTCCGAATCATCGGCAGGAAGAGACGCCAGAAGGGCCTTCCGAACCTCCGGGTTCGGCTGGTTCACAATCTGCAAAAGCTCTTGCCAGAAACACCACGCAAAAGACATAAGAGGCCTACAGTCCCATCAGCGGCCGAACAGACGACATCCGGGGGTACTCACTTGGGCCTCAAAATCTCCTCATCATCATCATCCACCTTCTGGCCGCCCCACGCTCCCTGCTGCTGCTGCTGTTCCCACTGCTTGACATACTTCTCCTCAAACGTCAAGGCATAGCAGTGACGGGCGACGACTTGCATGGGGGTGAGGGTCGTTTTGAAGGAAAAGTCGCGGAGAATCTTGGCGGCGGCGTCCCGGACGTTGTTGACGAGAATGGAATAGGCTTCTCGGAGAGGTTCCTGCATTTTCCTTCAGCATTGGGCGATGGGTGGAATTGGAGAAGGCTCACGTTTAGATTCTGGTCACGAACTCTCTTTCTTCGCTTGTTACGTATCGCGATACCAGTAGGAATCTCCGGCTCATACACTCGATACCTGCCACAGAGTAAGCACGAGTACACTAACGGCACTACCCAGCTCACCTTCTCATATCATACTGAAGATCCCTCTCATAGCTCGCTTTGAGCGGCTTCAACCTCTCCAAAAGACTATCGTGCAAGGGGTATCTCGATATTCGCGGGTCGGACGGGTATCCCATACGTTCTAGGTCGCTGGGAGAGAAGTGAGGGTCACGTTGGACCTAATACATGTGCTCAGTCGACAGTATCGGGCAGTATGAGATAAGAATGCTCACGAGTCGGAAGATCTTGCCTAGTATCCCTTTACTTTCGTAGGTGATTTTGGCATCGTCCTGGACATCCCAGATCAGCACGGCTTTCAGATGGCGATAATTCGCACGTACCTTGTCCATAAAATCGGGCCATTCTTGGGGACGAAGAGAAGGGTCGAGCATGGCAGCTTGTCCAGTCTTGGCAAAATCAACACTACAGACTATCAGCGCCACTCAATGGGGGCATATTTCCGAGTAACGTACGCCGTCTATGGCAGAATGTCAGCACCCGCACACAAGAGGTCATAACGTTCAACTTACAGAGTGAACCTCGGAAAGATGCAAGCACCTGGGATCAAACGGTGTAAAATAGTCCGACAGCGCAAGGTGGCAATTGTCGACCTGTCCCAGCACGTCGTTCTGTAAACCAATCAGCTTCATCTTTTACGACCGTAAATGATAACTTACAAGGACATACTGGACAAAGTTCTCATTCAGATGCTTCTGAGACACCTCCTCCACGCTGATCGGGTCTGGGGCGGTGTACTCCATGGGGTCATAGACTTTGAGCGTCTGGACGAAACGTTGGTCCCAGATGAGAGTATAGTCGTCCCCGTCGAGGTCACCTCCTCCGAGCCTATAGTATAGTGTCAGAAGCTGATGGTGAGGGACAAAGGGTAACTCACATAGATGGAAGATCACGCTCGCCTTGAGTGCTAAAGACGATGACGTTCTTGAGATGTCGCAGTTCGGGAACGTCCACAGCCCGTACACGTCGAACATCACCCGGGTGCACTATCCAAGCATCAGCACAACACGCCAATCTCGCGATCAAGACTAGACATACAAGCAGGCGCCCGACAAATCAGAACCTCATTCACAACAACCTTCGCCGGCGTCTCATCATTCTCCTGAAACTGACAAAACACCTCCCCTTCTTTCAAGATCCCCGTCTCATCCGAAATCCCAATCAAATAGACTCCATTCGACAACTTGACGCGAGCACGCCATTTGAGATCTTGGAGAGCCCTGCATTCGAGGATGGCGGCGACGTCGAGGAGAAGGGGGTTGGTGTTGAAGCCGGCGCGGACGAGTTGCATGAACGGGAACTATTGCCAGGGTGTCAGCTTGCTCAAACAGGTGAAGAGTTGGACGTACGTCGTTGCACAGCTCAACAAGCTGCTGATCAGCCTTACTCAGCCTACCCTGCTTCACCCTATCCCTAAACCCCTTGATATCCGCCACAGCATCTTGGAAGATCTCAATGATCAAATCATGCGGTACACCGTTCGCACACATGATGCTGATAAACTGCCGGTTGAGGAAGGCGACTTGGTACTTGGCGATACGGATGACATTCAAGTCGTCGAGGTCAGAAGTGAATTTGATAAGCGAGGGACGGAGGCGGATCTCTTCGTCCCCGACGAGCTGGGGCCAGTTGGCCAGGACGCCCTTGGCACCACTGCTGGGAGTAAGCACCGGATGCGACAGGTGAAGAGTGGACGTACCCGAGACGAAATTGGATGGTAGAAGGATTCGAGTTCAGACCCTGCCTTTCACCAAGTGCCAGCGCAGCTTGGTGCAACACCAGCTTCCCCGCAATTCCCACGCCGTCTGTAAAGATACGACCGTTTCTTTTGATATCAGGGAGTTCTCCGGCGATGTTGATCTTCATATTGACGATACGGCTCGTGGAGAAGGGCTAGACCTTTGTCAGTGGTGTAACGGATGCACGGTGGAGGATTTACCAGACCCATTCGCGCGGCATGCTTGGCGACGACAGTCTCGTGTACAGTACCCATCCAATTTCTCAGGCTCAAGCCATCAATCACACGAGTGTCGATAAACCACATGGAATGTTCTCTGAACAACAAGTAAGCACCCCACAACTCAATGCACGGTTCGACCTACTTTTGCTGGGACGCAGACGACGCGACGGGATAGAATGTCTGCCCGCCGATGATGAGACCATACTGGAGGGCGCGACGGATCCGGGCCATGAGACCCACTGCAGGGTCAATGTTGTCGGCGTCTTTTAGGTAATCAACAACCTGCACTCGTGTCAGCTTGTCGTCACGCGCTCAAAGATGAACACGACGCACGTATAGACGATCTTCTTCGTCGGTAAACTGAACTCGAATTATACCATCAAGCTTGTCAGAGTATCTACGAGTGACACTGTTGGAAGGTTCATATTGAGGGGGGCCGACTAAGACACGGGTGGGAGTGACGAGGACGGTCCGGATAAGGACGAGATGAGGTTGGATACAGGGTGGTCGTCTACGCAGGAAAGCAGCAAGTTCTGGGTCCTTGTCAGCATATCACCATCTCTCAAGATACCACTCACTGGGGACGAGAGCTTTGATATCCTTGATGATCTCCTGACTGAACAAGGCCTCCAAAATACGGTTATGAAACGCCGTCGAAGTCGAGACCTTTCTCAGCGTCACGATCAGCTCTGACGTATTCGCCGGTTTGAGCACTCCATGTCCTATCAGACCCTCCAGCAACGTCCGTGTCGAAAAGGCGAGTTTCGACATGTCCGGAGGGGTGTAGAGCTGCTTGAACTCTGCACCCGTCAGGACCCGGACAGACCATCGTGCTCGCTCGCTGGCAAGAGACATGAGGTCCATTTCCGGGTCGGCTTGGGCGAGGGCTCGGATCTTGTTGGCGCATGCTGTGATCCTGTCGTACTTTTTTCTGTCCATGCGAAAGACCCATCGGTAGGTGTTCCAGAACGTAGGCTGGGCGTGGGGTAAGCCACCGTATCACCGACTTCAGACACTCACATAAGCACAAGGTCCTTCTGGGATGGCGGGTATAGAGCCAGCTTCTCGTTCTCTCTTAGCGACATCAGCTACATGACTACTATCAAGCCAGCATACTCACCACGCCCGACGTTGTAAAGTCCATGGCAGTCGCCCTTCTCCTGTACAACGAGTACCTCGTCCCCTGAAGATATTGGGGAACATCGTCTCCAGGATCGAAATCCGTAAAGAACTTGGGAGGTCGCCGACAACTGACAGTCACTGTCACCTCCAGCAAGTCTGGATTGCCTATAGCGTCTGAAAGCGGCTTCTTGGTGATATGGATACCTTGATGCGTAATGTCGTTGAAAGACAGCTCAGCGGAGAGAGGATTGAGAGCCGGAGGGAGGATACGAGGGTCGAGTTTGGTAGTCGCCTTGATGACGAGAATCTCGCGCTTGAGGTCGAAACTGATGAAGGACCTGCCCAGCCCCCGCTCATCCTGGCCTTTGATACAGGCGGCGCCGAATACCTACACCAGTGTCAGACATCTCCGTGTTGCTTGTGGTGCAGACTCACCTGAGTGAACTGTCTTCCCTGAAGACTTCCCATAGCGATGGCGTCAGGCCAGAATGCAAACCTGTCGTATTCGCTGGGGGTATCTGGGGCATTGGCGGGTGCTCTGCCTGGGCGAGGCTGACTACGCTGCCCATAGTTGTTGAGAAGCTCCTTCTGGAACGGGGGATCGTTGTACTTGGAGGGGTAGGCATTGATGCCGTACCTTGTGGATGTCATGGATGACGAGATGGCAACGAAAAGGCCGACAGAAGGACACAATCCGCGAAAGAACGAGAAGACGGTGATGTGCGTGCCTGGAGGGTGGAGGCTGGAACGCTCGGTTTGCCGGTGACAATACGTAAATAGAAAGTGTCCTCAAGCATCTCCATGCATCAAACAGCTCAGATGCCGGCTTGCTGGTCTTCGATGGGAATGCTGACGAAGAGTAGACATATGAGAGTCATCAGTCATGCTTCAAGGGGCCGGGGCCGAGAATTGGAACTCTGGGAATTCGAGTGCCCAAAGAGGAAATTTCCCCGCGGTTCGTACGCGAAATGTTACTCATCTCTTTGGTCAGCATTCTCATCATCGTTCCGTCAGCTTTCCCTTTATGAACCCCATCAGGGTATAAATGAGACACGGATCAGCACGATCTATCCCCCATCCCAAAGAATTCGCCACCATATCCTTCCTACACAGGAAAACAAAGCTTCCACAGCTCACCCGCAAACTGACTACCAACACCTATCAAAGTTCTAACCTTACCGACAAGATGAAGTTCCAGTATCGACCCTCCGAGGCCAGGGGTGGGGCAGACCATGGTTGGCTCAAGGTGAGTCTCTCACAGCTTAAAAGATTCACATGCACTGACGCGTAATTGCCAGACGTTCCACACCTTTTCTTTCGCCGACTACTATGACCCGCAATTCCAAAACTTTGGGCACCTGAGAGTCATCAACGAAGACCGTGTTGCTGTGAGTACTGATCATACGACTGTCATGTTCCAAGCTGACTCCATTTTAAGCCAGGACAAGGCTTCCCGACCCACCCTCACAGAGAGGCCGAAATATTCTCCTACATCATCAGTACGCCCCACATATCTCCATGCTTCACTTGTATTGACACTGACACTTGATCCAGGCGGCCAGCTCTCCCACAAAGATACCATGGGCAACGTCGAAACCATGTCCCGCGGCGACATCCAAATGACATCCGGCGGCACCGGCATCGCCCACTCTGAATTCAACGCCCACCCCATCCTCCCCACGCACTTTCTCCAAATCTGGGCTCTCCCCCCCCAGCGAGGCTTGAAGCCTGCGTATTATACGAGACACTTTACGGATGAGGAGAAGAAGGATAAGCTGGTAAAGATTGTAGCGCCGGTGGGAACGGAGGGGGTGGTGGAGGAGAGGGAGGTCAAGGGGACGACTCCGGTGAGTACTTTCGCTCAGGTCCTATATCATTGCTGATGATTCTATAGATCCACTCTCCGGTATACTTCTACGCCTCCCTCCTATCCCCTTCCAAATCCGTCACCCACACCCTCCTCCCTCCCGTCCTCAAACCCACATCCCAAGACAAACTCATCTACATCCAGCTCGTCCAGTCATCCGGCTACAACACCGGCGCCGCTAGTGTCAAGAACGGCGCTGCAGTCAAGGTTATTGGTGGTGGGCAGGACCAGGTTATCGGGGAGGGAGATGGGGTGTTTATAAGGGGCGGGCAAGTTGGGGAAGAGGTTGTGCTTGAGAATGTGGGGCAGAAGGTTGGGGAGGTTGTGCTTTTTGAGATGGACGCGTAGATAGCAAGACTCGTCTGAAGGTTCTGTAGGCTGAATGGATTCCATGTACTTGTACAATGGTCCCTTCACAGACAGTACACAGGTTACATATCGATCGACTTCCTTTCCAATTTCACTTCAAAGCTACATATCACATCTTCCAACGCAGAAAAAGTACAAGGCTCTTGTCCACGTCTTGTTCCGAGCCGAGACGATCAACGGGTAGTGTATCCACCGTTGGCTACCACCAAGTCAGCCCACAGCCCCATAGTCATGCGAAAGATCTTCAGCTTACAGAAGATGATCTGCCCAGTGATCCACTTGTCCTTGACCAAAAAGTCGACAAGAGGCGCGATATCCTCAATCTTGGTCAAGCGGCCGTTAAGAGCCTGGGACTTGTGGAACTCGACGGCGGCGTCCTCTTCCTCGGGGTAGAAGAAGGGGGTGTCTACAGACAATGTCAGTCAAACTGAAGTGAGAGCGATAGGATCGGAGAAGGTGTACCCATGGGACCGGGAGCGATGGCGTTAACTCGAATGCCTCGGGGCTGCAACCTGTCCAATTCAATTAGTCATCTCCCAAGACACAAAACACAAAGAAAAGACTCACTCCTTGGAAGCACTCTTGGTAAACCACTCCAATGCCGCCTTGCTCCCCTGATAAGTAGAGTAACCAGGCGCAAACGCGCCCAGCAAGCTGGTCACAATACCAAGAATAGTACCGCCATCTTCCACATTCTTGCCGGCATGCTTGAGGAAGAAGAAGGCGCTCTTGGAGTTGACGAGGAACATGGAGTCAAACTCTTTCTCGCTGGTCTCGAGGAGAGGCTTTTTGAGGACTTTGCCGATGGTGTTGATGGCAATGTTGAACTTGGAGACGCCGAGGGCAGAGGTGGCGTCTTTGAAGAACCTATAGAGAGTGTCAGTGGCAAGGCAGAAGGAGGTATGAACTAAGAGGCAGGGAACATACTTTTCCACGGCCGCTTCGGTGGTCAAGTCGCCCTGAAGAGCAGCAGCCTTCACGCCAGTCTTCTTAAGCTTCTCGAGGGTCGCATCGGCCTCCTTCTTGGAGCTAAGCATACCCATCAGTACAAGAACAGAACATGGGTGGGAGAAGAAGCGCACCTGGGAGAGTTGTAGTGGATGGCAACATTGACGCCCTGGGAAGCGAGGGTCTGGGCAATCTACGGGTGGGTCAGCCTTTGTGCGTAGGATGTGATGGGTTATAACAGTGAAGACTTACGAGAGCACCGAGGTTCTTACCACCACCAGTGACGACTGCCTGTCGTCAGTAACGAGACCCAGACAGTAACCTCAGTACTCACCAGCGTTCTGGCCTTTGAGGTTGGAAGACATGTTGATTGATTATTTGTGAATTGTTCTGTTGGGAGTATGAAGCGCAAAGAGATACGACAGGGGGATGGGTAGCCAAGTGCATCTGACCCGCCCGTTTATATATCTTTTGTCTCATCCATCGTCCACATTGCGACATGCCTCCACTTGGATGATACCGCACCTCCACTCCACTTCCCGCTTCGGTGACCGACCCGGCGCGCACAGATAAAATAACGTTATTCACCACGTGACTGACTTTCTTGCCGTAAAGCCTCCATATGCTGTCCTTGGAGGTTCGAGGAATGGAGGCGCTTGGTGTGTTTGTTGTGGTCTGTAGCTCAGCTTTTCGTCTATGGTTGGTGCATGGCACTTCTCACACAGGTCCATGTTAGAATGGTGACGCCACAACAATGTCGGCGATACACCGAGAAGCGGAGAACGGGATCAATTGTGTAGCCGTCGTAGATAGCGCCTGGTCACTGGGATTCTCTTCTCTCATCTGACCATAGTTGGAGAGAGACTGAGACCAGTACCAGGTGAGTTATGTATCTGACCATAGTTGGAGAGAGACTGAGACCAGTACCAGGTGAGTTATGCATCTGACCATAGCTGGAGAGAGACTGAGACCAGTACCAGCCACATTTCAACAGTCCATATGTATCAGCATCTGCATCAGCGCCATCATGATCCAGCACCAGTAGCACCAGCGGGCGCAATGTCTACCTACGTGACTCACGCCTCCTTTTCAAACCCTCAGATCTGCTCGTACATTACCACTACGTACTTGTATCCTTCATCCCGGCACGGACATCCTCGCATGCCTGCAAACTTCATATCCACCTTCTCTTGGCCGAGTTTGCTAGGCTTATCTTCTTCAGGTTTCTCCAGGCCTTCCCTCGTCGTGACCCACATGTCATCGAATTTAACCCGGGGCCGAGAAATCAGGCGAACAAATGGATGGGCGAGGTTGGCGATACCGATACTGGGCTTGGGGCTGAGGCGCTGAAGAACAGTGACCGGTATCCATCCGCTTCGTAATTCTCATTGTTGTTCCAGACTTCCAGGGCATCATTTCCATCCGCCACATGGATATCGAGGACGACGCGTTCTATGATAATGCTACTATCTCGTTACGGTAGAGCAAAAGCGAAACCAATTGAGGTCACTGGCCCCTGTTCCCCTGATGGAAGACTGGTGGCTTTGGTGTCCGTATACCTCAAAAGTATTCTAGACGCTGTTACAGGTACTGAAGAGGACGATCCTGCGTGCTTCTGTATTACATGGCTAGAATGTGAAAGCTCGCGTCTGGAAGGTGATGTCAGCCATTGTCGCTCAAGCTGCTTCTTTGTTGATATTATTGTACTCGTGAATAAGTGCCCCTTTGCCCTGCATGTCAGCCAGATTGCTGTTGACTGAGACAATCGTTCATCGGTGCCCTTGCAGTTGCTGATACTTCTCGTCGGCCCGGAACGTAGTCGACTTGGCAGCCATTCGCGTCCTCACCCTCGGCCTTGAAGATATCAACAAGCGCCCCAAACATCGTTTCCGATATCACGGCCGGCATGACCCCTCCCGGCCCGCCCCATATGATGTGAATGCGATCATGTCATGTGATTGCAATCGTATCACCGTTGATTCTTTCCGTATGTGACATTCATAATCGAATCACTCTCTCGATCATTAGCTGGCTGTAGCGCGCCTGCCGCCACACTCCATAGCTGCCACACCTTGTAACGCCGAGAGCCCGTCCTCATGGTCTATCAGGGCCATATGCCCCAATAGACGCTTTCCGTACCTCTGTCCCTAGTTTTCTCTCGTTCCTCATTTATAGCTCCCAATGCATATAAGACCGAGGCTTGGGGGAATTCTCTTCCCTATCTTCTTTATCTTTACTTATCCTGCTGCTACCTACGTTGAGCCTACCTCTGCTACACCGTATACGCATATCTTATCACAGACCTTACGAACTAATCGCAAGCCTCCAACAACCGAGCGCACTCGAAACATCGTATTCGGTTGACTTTCTCCTATCGAGTTCCTCTGGGACTTCTGGGGACAGCCTAACTCACCACATCTGGGGTCTCGTCCCGCGTTTGGGTTGTAGCTTGTAGACGTTCGTCGGCCTGTGCCCTCCTACTGTCTCGTTCCATAAGACTCTGGTCGGTTCACACCTTCCTGTTGGCTTGTTTCATAAGACTCTGGTCGGCTCACACCTTCCTGCTGGCTTGTTCCATAAGACTCTGGTCGGTTCACACCTTCCTGTTGGCTTGTTCCATAAGACTCTGGTCGGCTCACACCTTCCTGTTGGCTTGGCTCATAAGACGTTCATCGGCTTCGCGCTCTTGCTCTGTCTGGTTTCATAAGACGTTCGTCGGCTCCTAGCCCTCCTACGCCTCGTCCTCGTTCCTCTCGTGCCCCACATCCAAGGCTTAGCTACCCTTGGATCTTCCCTGTTCCGTTTGTTTCGTTAGGTCCCTGACCGGTGCTCCCGTCCACCCACCCACCACCCACCAGCGCTCGCAAGGCGGTCAAGCGACCCTTGCTCCAATCACCACAAGGCGGTCATAAAGTTAGACCCTTGTTCGTCCACCCCGACGCACCATCAAAAACACAAGGAGGTCAAGTCGACCCTTGCTGTTCGTCCATCCCGACGCTCCATCCACCTTCCAAAAGGCTGTCAAGAAGACCCTTATTCGTCACCCCGACGCACTAGCACAATGCCCCCTGCTACCCGCTCTGGCCCTTCCTCTGCACCCGTCCCCAGTGATGCAGACACACCTACCTCCTCACTGACGAGTCTGGCTGATCCAGTTGAGACCGGTGGGCCCTCACAGGCTCAGTCCCAAGCCGATCCCTCCTCTGAAGTCAGTAACCTCGGTGACGCGGTCGTGCCTCAGACGCTCCCTGCCGAAGACGGAACGGCAACGGATCAGTCACAGGTGGCCTCGGGAAGCCGAGCCACCGATCACCCGACCGACCTCCCCGCGCGTGGTACCTCTCTCGCGCCGTCCGAAACCCCTTCCTCGTGGCACTCGGATCTACAAGTTCTCTCGCAAAACCAGGCTCTCCTCACGCGTCTGCTCCATACCATGCATGAGCAGAACATTCTCCGAGCTCAGAGTCTCCCTACTTCGCAAACGCCCCCTCCTCCCGACAACCCTTCTTCCCAGCCGTCGTTCGAACGTCGACGTCGCCTTCGCCCTGCCGACCTCACCAAATTTGGTGGCTCCGACACCGAAGACGTCGATATGTGGCTCGAAAAGTTGACAGCCGCTCTTGAGCACGCCGACTATCCCGAGTCCGAGCTCCTCTCGAATCTTCCATTCCTTCTCGAAGGAAAAGCGCTAGACTGGTTCACAGATTTGGGCCCGGTCCGCCGCGACTACCAGACATGGGACGAGTGGCGTGTCGTCTTCAAGAACGCTTTCCGGATCCCCGACTTCGAGGGAGTTATGCGCCGAAAGTGCATCGCGCGTCGCCTTCAGCCCTTCGAGTCGTTCGCCGACTACTTCGATGACAAGCGCCGACTCCAACGATGGGTTTACCCTGTCGGGACCTCTTCAAAAGACCTTATCACCGATATAGTCGAGGGGATCCCTCTGGTTATGCGCGCCCTAATCAAAGCATCGACTCCACCCGGTGCATCTTTAGACGACTTCCGTCGCATCATGCTGGATCTTCAGCCCAGCCTCCGCTCTCAATTCCCAACTCCGAACGACAAGCCACCCAGAGTACACAACGACGACCAACAAGACCGCTCTCGCACTGCCCCAAGCCGTCAGTCCCCGCAGACGCGAGCAGCCGCTCCTCCCTCTCCCTGCAGAGCCTGCGGCGAATGGCATTGGCGCGAGTTCTGTCCCCTAAACAGCCCGCGCCCTTTCAACACCCCGCCTTCCGACTCTTATGGTCGCTCGCAAAATGGCTTCGATGATCACCAGCGCCACGACAGCCAGAGTCGTACTTTCGCTGGTTCAGGTAGTAACGGCATCTCTCGGCCTTCCGACAATGGCTACCAAGACCAACAGGACACGCGTCCATTCCAGAGCCACAGCCCGGGCAACGTATAAGCCCACGGCCTACAAATCCCGTCCGTTTCCGCCCTCTCTCCTCTCTCTCATCCTTTCCTGCCCATCATGTCCGGCCCATCATCTCCTGCCCGCCATGTCCTGCCTATCATCTTCGCAACGACCCCCCTCCATGTTCGGGTCTCCTCGTGTGACCCACCGCTCTCCACACTTCTATCCTCGTCCATTCATCCGCCTTTTTCTTTCTTCCATTCCTACACCTCCCGCCTCCCAACGTAATCCTCCCATACGCCCCAAATTTCGCACACCTTCCCAGCATGGGAACATGCGTCCTGTCCTCCCGTCCTCCCCAACACAACCCCATATAGTACGATGACCCGCATCTCCTTGCTCCCATCCTTTCGTGCCCATCATCTTCGACATGCCTCCACAATGACTCATCCATTCCTTCCCCCTTACCAAGAGCCCATCACGCCTGGTCTCCTCTTTGGTTACAGCCCCACCTTACTCCTCCACACCGCGTCGTCGTCCCTGTCCGGCCTCCTTGTGTGACGTTCCGGTTTCCTTGCTATCACAGTATCGTCGTTCCCACGGCCTCCTTGTGTGACGTTCCAGTTTCCTTGCTATCACAGTATCGTCGTTCCCACGACCTCCTTGTGTGACGTTCCGGTTTCTTTGCCATCACAGTATCGTCGTTCTCACGGCCTCCTTGTGTGACGTTCTTCTATTTTTCTTTTAGCCCTCGGGACGCGGTCTTCTTCGAGCGGGGGGGTGATGTAGCGCGCCTGCCGCCACACTCCATAGCTGCCACACCTTGTAACGCCGAGAGCCCGTCCTCATGGTCTATCAGGGCCATATGCCCCAATAGACGCTTTCCGTACCTCTGTCCCTAGTTTTCTCTCGTTCCTCATTTATAGCTCCCAATGCATATAAGACCGAGGCTTGGGGGAATTCTCTTCCCTATCTTCTTTATCTTTACTTATCCTGCTGCTACCTACGTTGAGCCTACCTCTGCTACACCGTATACGCATATCTTATCACAGACCTTACGAACTAATCGCAAGCCTCCAACAACCGAGCGCACTCGAAACATCGTATTCGGTTGACTTTCTCCTATCGAGTTCCTCTGGGACTTCTGGGGACAGCCTAACTCACCACACTGGCTCTGCACTACTCAACATTGTGGTGGTGGGAAGTGTGCCCAACCTTCGATTGGCCTTCCTTTGGTCCAGTTCGCACTATTCAGCATATAATACTTCAGCCAAGAAGAAGGCAAGATCGAGTTAACAAAAGATTCTGAACCAACGTTTCCATTGTTGAAGTACCACCTCAACATCCCTGATCACTGACACAACAAACGTAAACATGCCGCAGTTTTCTACCGCCAAAGATGGCAGCACAAACGCCCAAAGTAACGATGGCGAGCACTCCGACTCGGGAGAATGGAAAGGTAGTACTGGTTCAACAGCTGAATGAAGTGTGAAGAAGAGAGGACTGATGCTCTGACCTGACAGAGTTACCTACTGCTGCTGACGATGAGGAGAGAAGGGCTTCTTCCAGAAAGTATCACGCTCATGTAGATGAGGATGATGGACTCAAAGAGCAAGCTGGTATCGACCAATCAACCATCAGACTACCGTTGTTCCACACGCAGTAGCTGACTTATTTTGCGTTGACGACAGTTTCCGTACAAGGTATCACAACAGCAGCGTCTGCCGTCGTCAGCGAGGATGCTGACGGTTACGAATTCGTTAATGCACCTGCCCCGCCCCTCGAGTCTGACGTCAACTCCGCTGCGGCATTCTCCCAACAGGTGAGAGTCAGACTGATGATCTAAATCCCTTTTTCGTCATGTCAGGTAGCTTCTCGTCGGAAGAGATAATTAGTTTGATGAGAAATCGTAGGAGATGTAGGCGGGAGGAATAAGGGGTAATACTCGCGATAGCCTAGATGAAGGGATAGTGGAAGGACGAAACGTGGGGAGTAAAGTAATTGTCGTGCAGCTGTTGAGACATATGCAACATAATCAGCGGTGGACTGGCAGCATCAAAGCAAGGCCCGTATTCGTACAACAACGTGCTGAGAGAGGTCTTCCAATGTCAGAAGACCCCGTTATCGTATATGATAGCCTGCCTCCTGGCCCGTCTATATATCACCTGTCAATCGACTCGAGCCAGATGTTGATCTGCCTCGCGATGGCCAGTTTTCGAGTAACGAACCAGAAGAGGCTGGATGATCTAAACAGAAGTGAGACATACTCTGGTTAGTTGCGTTGTTGAGATGTGTGAGGACTCCCGCGCGGGTCATTGAGGTACATACCTAGCCAAGACCTGTTCAGTAGTATAAAGATGAAACAAGCGTGACTGATGTTTGAGAATGAGAGGCACTTCTGTGACTTTTGCTTGGTTGTTGCGAGCGTTGAGCGGGAAGGCGGGTGGCCAGTAGCAGTTACTGAAGAAGCGGTAATGTTTGTCCGAGACTTTACAAGCGAACAAACATTGCGATTTAGTCTCCACTTGAAACAAGTGAGGGGAAGAAGGAGCAGAGACGCGACTCGAAAGGGCGAAGACGGATTCTCTTCCAAGTTCCATCGAGGCCACCCAGCAGCCAAAGCCAGCTCCCCCGCCAAGGCAGCAACGATGTCGAACCACAGTCCACACAATGGAGTACATAATTAAACATGAACCGGGCATCGGAGTCGACGAGATCGGACGCCGTCAGGGCTGATCCCAGAGGGAAAAAGCTCCCGAACCCTTGTCAATTCGTGGTGGCGGCGGATGCCACCCCGGAAGGCCCGGGCTTTCCACCCGTAGCAGCAAACTCTAACCCACATAAACAGTCAAACTCTGTTTATCAATCACCCCGGAATTATTCTCTCGCGTTTGTTTACCCCTTTTCCTGGTACCTGAAGTTGCTGCGCGTCGACATTGTCAACCTTGTCCGTTATTGCCTCTTCCGTCGTCTTTTGGAGCGAAACTCTCCTCCAACGAAGTGAATCTTCTCTGAAATAGTGGTATACTATAGAGCCCCCGGTTTGCGCCTCACGATGTCATAGAACAATTGTATAGCGATGCGGTCATGGAAGCACACTCGTCAGCCTGATGCTCGAAGCTGGACCGCGTCCTGGCCAGTGACATGCGCGATAAGATGGTCGTAACTATATTCGGGCCATTCAGGGGCAGAGAACACAATCGACTGTGCCTTGTCCGACATCATTCTTCGGCTCCTCCTCTCGCTGCCTCTTGGCTCTTCCGGTGGCGCCAGATCTCTTTCAGCTCAGCTTTGCATCACAACAACTCTTCAGCTCCAAAACACGTATAAACTTCGTCAGGCTGGTCTTGACCTTTTACACTCTTTTCTACTTTCTATAATCACTGGTTCATAGTCGACAACAGCGACCAAATTCGCCCAACGCGACTGCGGCTCAAATCTTCTCCACCCCACTGGCATTCGACCACCTGGAAAATGCTCCTCCACTTCTTGGTCCTGGCCCTCGCCCTTCTCGGCTCTGTCGATGCTCGACCTCGCCGAACTCCCAACCACCGTCGTTCTCTCCGCCACCTCCAAAAACGACTCACCAACCCCTCGGTTTCTGGCTGGTCATATTCCGGCTGTGTCCGCGATGGCAGCGCCCGAGCTCTGACAGGGCAGAATAAAGGGGATGCCAGCATGACTCCTGCTCTCTGTACCTCTTGGTGCGCTGCATCCAACTATATCTATGCTGGTCTTGAGGGTGAGTCTTGGTTGAACGTCATGTCGAGCGTAGCTGACCGGGTACCGGACCTCATTTCAGCCAACAACCAATGTTATGTAAGCTCGGCTTTTGCTCTTCGCTCTTCGCCGATCGCAAACTGATGAGATATCTCTGTTTATGATGATAGTGCGGCAACTCTCTCAATAACAGTGTCGGATACTCTGTCACAGAATCAGAATGCAGCGATACCTGCGTGGGCAACACCGCCTACGCCTGCGGTGGATCATGGAGGCTCAGTTGTGAGTCTTCTCTTCTCTCTCTACGACCAGTGCTAAAGGGTGGGCAGTGTACAAGAGCAACAGCGCCGGGACATGGGCGGGATGCTACAAAGATAGTGGGAGCAGCCGGACTCTTGACGGAGTCAAGACGACTTCCAACAGCATGACGGCTCTGGTTTGTAATGCGTACTGCTCCGGCCTGGGGTATGCGTACGCTGGTACCGAGTACTACAACGAAGTGAGTCTCCCGCTCTCATGTGATGACTTTTGTTACGTGACACTGACTTGAGTAGTGCTATTGCGGCAACAGCTTGGATAGCACGAGGCAGGATGTCGATACCAAGTGTCAATTCGCGTGCAAAGGTGAGTATTCGGCAGGCGCGTAAGAAGAGCAAAGCTGACTCGAAACAGGCGACTCGACGCAATACTGCGGCGGAGACACTCGACTGGGCGTTTATGCTCTCAGCTCGTCCTCTACCAGCAGCAGCACCACCGCATCCACTACCTCCAAAGCCTCGAGCACGTCCTCAGCCGCAACCAGCACTTCTTCAGTGGCCGCTGCCAGTACCAGTGGTATCACCGTTGTCTCCGGATCAACATGGATTGGATGCTATTCCAATAGCGGTATTGAGAGCGCTGTCAGTGCTACAAAGTATTCTTTGAGCACCATGACCGTTAGTACGTGTATCAGCCACTGCTCTGGCCTTGGGTATTCTTTCGCCGAACTGCAGTATTACAGCGAGGTGAGTCTACACCCCATGGATGAATGAAAGATATACTGACCAAAGAGAAAGTGCTATTGCGGTAGTTCCGCTCCTGCAACTTCTCGAAAGAACTCGGACAACACCAAGTGCCTCTATGCCTGCAAGGGAGATTCTTCGCAGACATGTGGCGGAGCCGGCAACCTCGGCGTCTACTCTATTGGAACGGCTTCTACCTCATCTTCAGCCTCTTCTACATCTACCACTTCCAAAGCGACCACTGCTACTTCGACCACAGCTTCGACCACCTCTTCTGTGGCTGCTGCCAGTACCAGCGGAATTACCGTCGTCTCTGGCTCGACATGGGTGGGATGTTACACCAATAGCGGTATTGAGAGCGCTGTCAGTGCTACAAAGTATTCTTTGAGCACCATGACCGTTAGTACGTGTATCAGCCACTGCTCTGGCCTTGGGTATTCTTTCGCCGAACTGCAGTATTACAGCGAGGTGAGTTTCCACTCTGAAGTTGATGGAAGAGATACTGACGGCTAGAAAAGTGCTATTGCGGCAGTTCCGCTCCTGCGACCTCTCGAAAGAACTCGGACAATTCCAAGTGTCTCTATGCCTGCAAGGGAGATTCCACCCAAACTTGTGGCGGCGCCGGAAACCTCGGCGTCTACTCTATCGGAACGGCCAGCACCTCCTCTTCAGCCTCTTCCACCTCTACCACTTCCAAAGCTACGTCTGCTACTTCGACCACGGCTTCCAGTACTTCTTCAGCAGCTGTCTCCACTAGCACGAGCGGTATCACTCTTGTTTCCGGCTCGACCTATTTGGGGTGCTATACCAATAGCGGTATTGACAGTGCTGTCACCGCCACCAAGTACTCTACGACCAGTATGACTGTCAGTCTGTGTATGAGCCATTGTACTAGCCTCGGCTACACTTATGCCGGTCTTGAATATTACAGCGAGGTGAGTACCTTCGATCCGTTGCAATGAGGAGGTGCTGACAATTGATTACAGTGCTATTGCGGCAGTACAGGCCCTGCTTCTTCTCGAAAGAACTCGGATGACTCCAAATGTCTGTACGCCTGCAAGGGTGATTCTACGCAGAAATGTGGTGGTGCTGGAAACATTGCCATCTACTCCATCTCTGCCTCGACCATATCTGCGGCTACCACCTCTACATCCACGTCTGCCACCGTCTCCACCACGTCCACTGGTACCGCCCCTTCATCCTCCTCCACCTCCGGCGTCGGCTCCAACCCCGCATGCTCCAGCACCAAATACGTCTACGCCCACCACATGGTCGGCAACACCTACTCCTACACCCAATCCATCTGGGCTTCCGACATTGCCCAGGCTTATGCCGCGGGTATTGACGGGTTCGCGTTGAACTATGGGTCGGATAGCTGGCAGACGTCGAGGATTGCCGATGCCTACGCTGCTGCCAAGGCGCAGGGATCTTTCAAGCTGTTCTTGTCGATGGACGTCACCTCTTTGAGCTGTTCGTCCGCTGCAGACGCCGCCACGCTCGTCAGTACCGTCACAACCTATGCCTCCCACTCTGCCGCCGCCAAGTATGAAAACAAGATGCTTCTCTCGACTTTTGCTGGCGAGTCTTGTACTTTCGGACAAGGATCGTACCAGGCTGGCTGGACGTACTTCCGCACGTTGCTCTCCAACGCCGGTGTCTCTGTCTACTTTACGCCCGCCACCTTCGCCGATACTTCTACCTTCTCCAGTAGTTCGTGGATGGACGGCGAGTTTAACTGGGACTCTGGCTGGCCTATGGGCAGTACCGCTCTCGACACGTCCTCCGATACTACCTACTTGGCGGCATTGGGCAACAAGGAGTATATGGCGGCTGCTTCTCCTGCGTTCTTCACCTACTATGGCCCGTCTAGTTACAACAAGAACTGGATCTACAGGTCTGATGACTGGTTGTTGGCTAGGAGGTTGGAGCAGATCATTTCTCAGAGGGTGTCGATCGATCTGATCGAGCTCATCTCATGGAATGGTGAGTCTCTTTCTTATGCCTGTTTACGATTACTGACGATGTCTCAGACTACGGAGAGTCCCACTACCTCGGTCCCATCCGAACTGACCAGCCCAACTCTCAAGGCTGGACAGCCGGCATGCCCCACACCGCCTGGCTCACCGTCGTCTCCTATTACGCATCCGCCTTCAAGACCGGCTCTTACAGCGCCGGCAGCGACCAGCTCGTCCTCTGGTCCCGACCTCACCCCAAAGCGGCCACTCCCTCCGCAGCTACCAACTCTCAACCGACCAACTGGAACTATACCGAAGACAACCTTTATGTCTGGGTGGCGCTCAAGTCGGCTGCGACGGTGTCAATTACGAGTGGTAGCAATACGGTGTCTTGGAGCTTGGCTGCTGGTGTGAGCAAGCTGAGTGTCGCCAGCTCGGCTGGTACGATTGGAGCGAGTATTGTGAGGAGTGGCTCCACCGTCAAGAGTTACAGCTCTTCGGGCTCGTTCACCTACACTCTGTGAGTAAACTTTCTGCTTCTGGTGCCCATCGCTGACTTTCAAACCAGTACCCCAACCGACTACAACTTCAACTACTTTGTCGCTTCGGCTTGATCTGAATGATGACGATTTGTATTTGTGCTCTTCCGTGAAGGACATTTCTTTCTATTTATACCCTTTTTTGGTGTTACCCTTGCTTGCTTTACCCTTTATGTGCTTTCTTTTTTGCTTGCTCTTCTCTACATATAGAATGTTTCTTGATGGTGTCTGGTCACACTGTATCCTTTAGGTATAACGAGGTTAATGGATTGCTACATGCATAGAGCATCATATATATGGTCGGTATAGTGGGTATATGTACATCCGCCATCAACGATAAGTGGCAAATGATGGGAGCATGATAAAGAAGAGGTGAAAGGGGTGCAATCTCGCCGCAGAAGAACCTCCTCGATAATGGCTTCGCCGCCCGAAAATGACTCGAATCATTATTGCAGCCGCATTGATATAAGCCGTTATGTTATTTCTGTACTTTCCCCTACTGTCACAGAAGCACACTACTCGTACTGAACGTCGTTCAACATTATTATTCGGCCAGATTTCATAAACGACTTACGTAATTGTTCTTGACTCGTCGTTGTTTCGACGTTGTGCTCGAACTTCGACAAATCGCCGACATTGTTCTCTATCTCTCACTTTCGCATCTATTCCGCCCCATAAACCGGCACACCCTCCAAGATGGCCGAGTCACCCGCCCATACCGCCCTGCTCACGCAGAATCCAGCTCAAAATCCCAAGCCAAAGCCCCAACAAAAACCTCAGCAGCCTGGAGAGCCCAAGCCGAAGAGCGCCAAAGATCTCAAGAAGGAAAAGCGAGCTGCTGCTGTCGCCGCCCGAGCTGTTGAGGACGGTGCTCAAGGTGGGCCCTCTGGCCGTCCTGCCGCTGGTGCCCAGGGCGAAGGCCGCAGCTCGCCTGTGGTGTCTTTGAGCGGCCAGTCGAGCAGCACGGCTCCCACCTCTGCCGGACACTCTGCCGGCTCTTCTGCGCCCCGCCGGCCTCCCAACGCTTCTGAACCCTCCGCTCCGACGATATCCACCATACAACAAAACCTCTTCTTCTCCCATCTTCCCCGCACCACGCCGACCGACACTGTGGCCGCCCTCGACAGCGGCAAGATCCACCCCATGATCATGCGTGTGGGTGTATTGATGAGCAGTGGGAAGCTGAGAGGCGCCAACGCTAGGACTATTGGCATGATGTCGGCGTTTAGAGAGGTGATCAGAGATTACGAGTGTCCCGAGGAGGCGGTCTTGTGGAAGGACTTGCCGGTGCACCTGAGTCCGATGATTGCTTGGTTGGAGACGTGTCGGCCAAAGGGTGTCGGGGGTGGTAACGCTATCCGATGGCTCAAGAGCGAGATCAACAAATTGACGGAAGCCGAGGATAGATCGGAAGCCGAGGTCAGTCATGCTCTACTCGTTCTCGCGGTGTCGCTAACGGTCCCGTAGCAAAAAGCGTACTTGGTAGATGCTATTGGGCTCTACCTGCGTGATAGGATAGAATTTGCCGACCAAGTCATTGCGGACAGCGCAAAGGAGAAGATCAAGCCTGGAGACACTGTCGTGACCTTTGCTAGGTGAGTATGGTGTACTTCGGCACGTCCATGTCTGACTTTTCACAGATCATCAGTCGTCGAGACTACTCTCCTCGAGGCTTGGACCAGTATGAGGGAGCAAGATCCCAAGGCCAGCTTCAACGTTGTCGTAGTCGACTGCCGACCATTTCTGGAAGGCGAACGTCTCCTCCAGACTCTCCGCGCCTCGGGCCTTCCCTGCACCTACATCCTCCTCCCTCTCCTTTCCTCCTACCTTCCCCAAGCCGACCTCGTCCTCCTCGGCGCCTCTGCCCTCCACTCTGACGGTGCCTTGTACTCTCGTGCTGGTACTGCCGTCGTCGCCATGCTCGCCAAAGAGCACCGTGTCCCAGTGGTCGCTTGTGTGGAGACGTACAAGTTTGGCGAAAAGGTTGTTCTGGATGGTGTGGCGACGAATGAGCTGGGAGACGTGGAGGGGTTGTTGGAGCTGCCGACAAACAAACCGTTTGCGTTGAAGAAAAATGGGAAGGCTTTGCCGAGCAACCTGACGCCGCTTCATGTGGTGTATGACGTGACACCGCCTTCGTTGGTGACTGCTGTGTGTACAGAGGTAAGCACAATCACCAACCTTCTACGCGAAGCAAGCTGACAAAGCACAGATCGGATTCATCCCTCCCTCTTCCGTCCCCACCGTGTTGGGCAAGTCTTCGGGCGTTGTGTAATAATCATTCATAGTCATTATATGTCCGTCTTGCGCATATGGATTTCGTTACCAAAAACCCAGTGGTAGAGCAATCAAAACTCAAGAAAGAGCAGTTGATCACTTAGTAATACAAAAAGAGCCTCATCTTACGCCAATGTCATCTCCCGCTCCTTCCTTCGCAAACTCCCATGCCTCGCCACACTCGCCCCGGGCACAGGCGGAACATTCTCTTCACCATCCCTCCTCAACACCCGAGTCGGCATCTTGGTGCTAGGATAGAGCTGGACACCATGGCGATTGGAGCCTTGAAGCGCAAGAGGTGTTTCGAGCGAGTTGCGCTTGGAAGCACGAACACCACCGGGAAGAGGGGTCTGCATCATGAGGGATGAGCGGCGCCGGCAGGTGGTGGCGGTAGATGTGCCGAGGCCCTTGGGAGTGGCATTCTCGGAGAGCATGTTGGTGCGTTGAGAGGCGGTGAGTGCGGAACTGCCAGCAACACCTCGGACTCCAAACTTGCGTTTCATCTGTCATCCCGTTAGCCCCCGCCATACGAACGTCGTAAACTTACCAATTCGACCTCTTGTTGCTTTGAATCCAGAGCAATGTTGAGCATCTCCCTATCTTCCTTCAACTCTACCTTTCTCCGGGTCAGATTGTGAATTTCGAGGTCTTTGGAGGCGGATTGGGCTCGAAGACGATTAATCTCGGCTTGGAGGGAAGCTTCCAGTGATGGGTCGGTGGTGGGGCCGGATTGAGCGTGGACGAGTTGTTCTCGAGTAGTCTGAAGGGATTTGCGGAGCTGTGAAAGTGTCAGTCCATTGTCACACAAAGTGTGTCCAAACGCACCTCGCGGTTCTCTGCTTCAACCTTCCTGCTTATCTCTCGGTGCTCCTCCAACAACTCCCCAACCTCTGCCTTCCTCCCGCTCTCAATCTCAATCCTCTTCTTCATATCATCCATCTCTCTCTTCCACCCCTCCGTTTCTCTCCTCTCTTCTCTCAACTTGTCGACCTGCCCAACCAGATGCTCAATCTCCTCCTCGTCCGCCGCCTTAACCTCTTTCATCTCGGCGAGGTGCGTGCGCAGAGTCTGGATCTCAGCCTGGAGTTCTGACAGTTCAGATGATTGTGATTCGAGATCGACGAGCTGATGGTGGGCACTAGAAAGCTCGGCGCGGAGTGCTTGAGCTTCTTCAGTATGCTCGGTGGCCTGGTCGAGTTGGTCTCGAAGGAGGTCGACTTTTTCCCTCAACCTCTGCACTTCCTCGCTCGGTTTCCTAATTTCCTCAAGCTCGGCCCGGAGTTGTTCAGCCTCTTCCCGCAAAAGAGCCAACTCTTCCTCTTCCTCTTCCATCTCCTCCACCTTCTGCTGCAACTCTTTCATCCCCTGCCTCAACTCCTCCATCTCCCCCTCCTCCTCTCGCTCATCTTCAAACCTTGGCACTTTGACCATCCGGCTCTTCTCGCGGTCTTCGGCGTCCCTCGCCTCTGCCCTAGCTTCTGCCAGCTCGGCAGCTTGTTGATCTCTTACTCGCTTGACTTCTTCCAGCTGACGAGACATGTGCGCAGAGTCGCTGACCGCTTTGGCGAGCCGTATCTCCAGATCCCTTATCTCGCTCGCTCCTTCCGAGCTGCGCGTCCTCGTCATAGGCGACGGCGAGCCCATCCCCGGTGGCGCCTCACCACTCCCCGCCTTGGCCTTTGCCTCCGCCACCTCCGCCCTAACCCTCACCTCCCTCAACTCATTCCTCAAATCCCCCACTTGCGCACAAACAACCTCCATATCGAGCATCCTCAAATTCATCTTGCCCAGCACTTCATCCCGCTCGACGACTTCTGCTTGGAGACGGTCGGCGAGGGAGCGGTAGAGGGCGAGTTCGTTGGTGAGTGCTTGGGTGTGGGCTGTTTGGGCTGCGAGGAGTTTTTCGGTGGGGTGGGCTAGGAGGGTGGGAAGGTTGGGGAGGGGGGCTGAGGTGGATCGGTGTGCGAGTGGGGAGGTGGCAGGAGGGGAGAGCATGGTGCAGTCGAAGAATTGGGTGACGTCGCCAGCTTTGGGTGTCTCCATCTGGAGCACAGGTTGGTTTGGTGAAGCAACTGGTGAAGCGATTCTGGCCGGCGAATGCATGCTCGACAGTGTATCATCTTCATTCGCCCTCCTCGTCAGCGGCCAAGTAAGCTCGGCCTGCTCAGCAGACATGTCGGCGAAGATTGAGCTGGTCAAGAACGCTTGTCCTGATGGTGCAGGGGCAACAGGTGAGGGGAGGGTGGGGTTTTCAGGTTCGTGTAATGGCAAGGGATCCTTGAGGGGAGAGAGTTGAAGGTCTGCGCGGATAGTGGGGTTGCTGTCCTCCCGGCTCAAAGCCGACATGGTCGACTCGTCGTGCTGGACGCCCCAAAAGTCGGCTTCGGCTCTCGCCTCTTTCCGTACACTTCTCGAAGAAGCAGCGAGGGAAGGAGCAGCTTGCTGTTGCGCAAAAGTATGCGTAGCCGACTCGGAGTCGGGAGACTCGATCATCGAGTCTGTAGGATGATCGTTCATAGAGAAAGATCCCTTCTCCGAGAACCGTGTAGACAGCAGATTCGACATGTCGGCAGGAAGACTCCACTCGGCTGATGGAAGTTCGAGCTCGCCATAAGACATATCCCTGGACGTGTTACCGTCGGGCACTATCGGTAGCCCAAGCGGCGAGCAGTGCACTTCTGGCTGCCCGTCCCACGTCTCTTCGTCCACTTGATCTTCATCCTCTTCTTCTTCATCAGAGTTGATGATCATACTCGTCCCAGAGCCTGTCGAATGAATCAACGAGATCTCGCCCTCCTCTCCTGGTTTCTCCCAGCTCCCATCCGCGTCCACTTCGACAGACTCATCTTCGACCGTTTCAGGTTCCGGTTCGGGCTCTTTCCGGCGGGGAGACATGGTGACGGCGAGAAGCTGGGAGAAGAACGAGCTGGATGTGGGGCTTGGGTTGGGGGCGGGTTTGACGGGGGTTTCGGTGATGATGGATGCGTTTGGGGTGATCACTCTGAACTTGTTCTTGGGGAAGAAGCGTACTGTCTCGATATGAGCAAGTTGACAGTGTATATTCGGAGTGATACTAACCTCCATTTCCTGATCCAGGAGTTCCAGAAGATCTCAGAATACCCTTCTTCGCCCCGTTTGGGGTGCCAAACGACGAGTGCGAGTGTTGCAGCTCGCTCAGACGTGGGAGGATGGGAAATGGTGGAGACGCCTTCTCCTTTTGGGACAGCTGGATACTCTGTGGTGGAGAGCTGTTGGGAGATCCAGTAGGGGATGTACTTTGTTGTGAGAATTCTTGGGGGTCTAAATCGACTTCTGGTGAGCATGGCCCTGGTCAGAAAGACAGACAGTGCGCACCGGCGGGGTTTACAAGATTCAAGACACGTTTCTTTGTACGAGCCGGGGTGGGGGGTTGAGGCGAGGACATGGCCAATAGACCTGGCGGGCAAGATATATTGATGTATGGGAGACAATAATGGAAAATCAAAGCAAAATCAAAGCAAGTCGCCCTTCGTTGTTGACGTCTGTTGTTTGTGCCAATCAGGCACAGATCGGGACACCTCAGTCAACTGCTGGTGTCTAATCTTCAAGGCGTGAGGCAGTGTATATACAGGTCGAGAAGGTAGGCATAAGGCATCCCAAATCCTTAATACACTGCCAAGTTACAGATCATTACAAGGTGCTTTGGTGTAGCCGAGAGTAAGAGCAGTCGGTTAAAGAGGGACACATCTCTACGCGGGCACAGTTCCGCCTGCAGTGATAATGCACCGAAGATCCAGTAGCATATGTATGGAAGAGCGCCTCAGAAGACAAGGAATACAGCATGAATGCTACTTCGATAGAGGGCAATGCAAACGACAACGCACAGTGAAGGAGGCCGCCTCGAGGAACGGGATCAAATAACCACTACGGATTCTACGGAACGCCCCTTTCGCGCTCATTACCTCTTTCATCTCACCAAATATCAAATACCCTCTGCCCCCACCCATTTCAGACAACCCGACCCATATCAAGATGTCTGTCATCCGCCCATTCGACCCCACCGACGTTCTACGCTTTAACAATATCAACCAAGACCCCTGGACAGCTACTGTACGTCTCGCATCAAGCTCCCAAAAGCCCATCTGATCATCTTCAAAATGTAGTACCACAATGGCTATTACGCTACCTACGCGCTCCAATGGCCAGACTGGTGTGTCTCTGTGGAAGACGCATACGAACCATCCCTCAAAGCCTACAGTCCGTCCCACCATGCACCCGAGTATGACATCGCTGACTTTACTTTTGGTATAGTGATCGCGAAGAACGAACCGCCCGCACCCGATCCCCAACATCACGGCCACCTCACAGCGCTCTCCATCACCCCTTCTCATCGCGGTCTTGGACTTGCGAGGGTGCTTATGGATATATTGGAGAGGCTGTCGGCGCCGGGGGAGATGGCGGGGGCTTGTGATCATGGGCATGGGCACGATCACGGGCATGAGCATGCACATGAGCACCATGACCATGAAGGGGATTGCGGGCACGACCACTCCCATTCCCACTCCCACGAACAAGAAGAACACCACCACGAAATGATCCCCATTAACGCCGGCAAAGATTCTGTCGACGCCTATTTCGTGGACCTCTTTGTGCGATGTAACAATAAGCGGGCGACTGAGATGTATGAGAAGATGGGGTATAGTGTTTATCGGAGAGTTGTCGAGTGAGTCGGACCCTCTGAAGAGGCTAAGTGCGAGGCAGGGCGAGGCAGGGTACTGATGAGTGGTGTAGCTATTATCAAGGGATGGAAGGCGTTGGGTCGAATAGAGATGAATTAGACGGGTTTGGTACGTCTCTCATCCCTCTCTCACCTCTATCCGTCATGATATCGGCGCTTACTACTTTCCAGATATGAGGAAATCAATGCCCAAAGATATCGTACGTCCCTCTCCCACTCGGCTGGCAGCGAGCATCACATGCTAATCAATGAAACAGAACAATCGCTACACAAGACCGAACGGCAGAGATATATTGGTATCCCCGGATCAGGTCTGGTCATAATCACATATCGACAAATGCATAGTGTACAACAGTATCCGCCTCATCCTACATCACCGCCATACAAGACTAGCACATGCTCTGGTGACCGTCGCCCTCTTCCTTCCTTGCGTCGCTTGCGATATGATCCGCATAAGACGTCCTCGACCCAGTTCCGATCATGACACTCCCATTCCGATACCTCCTGCCATCTTTCGCATGGACCACGGAGAGGGCTAGCCGGTGTCGGAGCCGATGATGCTCAGTGACTCGAGAGGCTGCGTGATTCGAGGAAATTGAGAGGGTGCCGGTGATTCTTCGAGCAGGCTGGTATACATTCGTCAGCGTTCAGTGCCGTAGGAGACGAAAAGAGGTCGATGCTTACACTGTCAATCCGGCCGTTACTCTTCTCGATGGCCCTCAACGCTCGACGTCATTTCTTGCATCTGCGCCATGTTTGGCATCCCTCCCATACCCCCGCCCCCACCTCCGCCACCAAGTTGACTCAAAGCTTCCCAGATCAGGCATGCCTCCTCCACCGCCTCCCATCCCACTCATCATATCCGCCATGATCTTCTGGGGCCCTTGTGGACCAGCGGCACGGAACTTTCTGGCAATTTCCGGTGGCACCGCCTTTCGATTGACTGCGATTTGGGCAGGGGAGGGCTGACCGTTGGGCCCGAGGGGCTTGCCACCAGCTGCTGCTTGCATCTTTTGCGTTGCTGACATCCTGTTCGTCGTGCTAGCAAGCTCGATGACTAGGCAAACTGTGGCACTCACCAGCCGTACTGACCACCAGCTTGCTTCGCCATACCCGCCATCATCTTCACTTGCACCAACAGCTCTTCCACCTCCCTCAAACTCGTCCCGCTCCCCCTAGCAGCCCGCTTCGCCCGTCTATTCAGACCAGTGGGGCTTCCAGTCTTGTCAAAAGTGATCAAGATTAGCAGCCCGTCAGAGTCGAGTTCATCTGCTCGCATAGCGTCGGTGATGAATATCATTCGTTTGACCTTGGAAGCAGCCTCCTCGTCACCACCGCCGTCCATCATCCCAGCTGGTAAACCGGGGATCATGGAGGCGATCTTGGAGATGGAGACCATACCCATGATGTTTGACAATTGGTCTTTCCAGTTGCACATGGAGAATTTGGCTTTTTGGCGAGATCCTTTTGCTTGTCCGGGTTGACTTGGCCCATTTCTTGCCTATAATCAAGTCAGCATTGTATATTGACCACATGACTATATCCCTCACATGTGCTCCATGAGACCCTGCATATCGCCTTGACGCAAAGGTATGGAGATGACTGACTGAGGAGAGAATCTTTCGAGATCGTTGAGATGTTTACCGGTACCAAGGAAGAGATGATCGGTGCCTTTGTCGCCGCAACCCTGCTAAGAGTCAGATACCGAGTACCGAGTATGAGAGGCAAGGGCCCGACTTACGCCGAGATAGCACCACCACCCTTCGCGTGACCGTCCAGCTTTGTCACGATGATTGCTCCAAAGTCGGCTGAATCCTTGGAAGCTCTGCTTTGCGCCTCCGCCACCTGACCGACAGAAACATCCAAGACCATGATGGTCGTATCCGGCTTGACAGCGCCACCGATAACCACCATCTCCTCAAACAGCTCGGATTCTTGCTTGTGTCGACCCGAGGTATCTACGATGATCACAGCGCTCCTTGCGGAACTGTTCAACACCCAGAGAGGCGATGGCGACTGGGTCGGTCTCGGTGTAACTGCCGTAGAAGAGTATCTTGGCTTTGGTTGCGTTCTGTTTCAGTTGGTCGAAAGCACCGGCACGGAAGGTATCGGCGCAGACAAGACATGTCCTGAAACCTCGTCTTCGGTAGTGCACTGCTAGCTTTGTACACGTTGTGGTCTTTCCCGCACCCTACCAATTCATCAGCATTGTCTGCAACCCGACGAAACCAAACTCGCCTGGATACCGACTGACACCAGAACGTTCGTCTTGCCCTTCACTGGCTTGTACGGTTCCGTTCCAGGATCCACCAAGGACACTAGTTCTTCAACCACCGTCTTTTGGACCACATTCTTCTTGTTCGCTTCTTTCCGCCGGCTTTTTCACTCTCCTATAGACTCTTCTTTACTTTTGTCTTGACACGGGAGCGAAGGGAGGCGACGAGTTTGACATTGACATCGGATTCGAGGAGTGCAGCGCAGAGTTCTTTGAGGAGGAGGACGGCGTCGATGATGATAGTGCTTACGTGATCAGTTCTGCACCCGTATATCCAGACACCCAGCGAGCCATACCGGCCATGCCTTCTCTCCGGTTGTTAGACACCCCGGAAGCCTTGTACCCTGAGTGCTGCTCAGAAGGAACTGCAAGAGAACGAACAAGACTCGAGAGGGGAAAGATCCAACATGGCCGCGGATGGCCGCCGAGGGCAGGACAGGTGCGGCAAGAAGGTCTTTCAGAGGCATGAGGGGACATATACCTGCAAGTGAGCCACACCTGGTGCACTGGCAAACAAACCCTGACATTGTCACAGGACGTACTCTATAGCGTCCGCAGTGTCACTATGCGTCGATTGCTTCAAAGCAGGGGATCATGAAGGCCACGAGGTCTCTTTAGTCAATCCTTCTCCTTCTCGGCATGCTGTGACTGTGGCGACCCTACCGCACTTTGCGATGATCAACATCTCGAATGCTCCTACCATCCTAGGCTCCCTCTCGGCGAGACCAACCCACCCACGCCATCAAAGTTCGACGTCCCCAACGGGCTTGTCATCGCACTACAACAGACCATTGCCATATGTGTAGAGTGCACCATGCACGTCATCGAGCATTCTCCTCTCCCCACTAACTATGGACAACTGCCCAAGACGGAGGAGGAAATGCGGTCTACCAATAGTCCCACCGGACAACCGAGAGAGAGATGCGGCAAGGGGCCATGGGCGGTTGTGATGTGGCACGACGATAAACATGTGGTGATGAAGGAGCTTGCTAGGCAGGTTAGGGATGAGCGGGAGTCAAGTGGGAAGTGGCCGACGTGAGAGAAGCAGACACTGCTGTGAGTGCATCTCGACTGATCTTCTCCTTGCTGACTCCCGGAAAGGGTCGTAAAGTCATACTGGCATCACCAAATCCAGTAGTGGGCAAGGAGGTTAGAAATGACCATGGATGTTGGCAATGCTTATAAGGCGCACAAGTCATAGTACAGTACGAGCAGTAGAAGACAATACAAGAAGACAAGTCGGACAGTGAGAAGGTTCTGTGTGCATGTATCTTGGCATAGTAGCTTATGTTGGAGAAAAGATTGGCTATGGAATGCCAACAGCGTATTCGGGCAGCTGAAACACCAACAGTACTCGTACAGTACTTGTACAGTACTCGTACAAGCCGCGAAGAGCTCAAATTTCGAGACTGGTGGGTGTTCTTCAAGCCATGTTACTGTGCAACCTATAGCGACGTCCTAGCTACAACTGTACTTATGTCCTATGTCATATGGCGACATTCCATATCTTCTTGTTTTCAATGAGAGAGGGGTAGATGTCGCACACCTATACATGTGCTGCGTTCTGACGTGCGCCCGCTATGAAGTGGTCATGGTACATACATTCGTTGAAAATATGTGAAAAATCGTTCTGATGCTACAATAATAGTACTGTACAATTGATGGCTAGCGTTTCGTGTGTTTTGCAGCGCCCTGGGTCATATGGGAGAGAGAAATTACAGCGAGAGTGGGGCAATGGATCGGATATATTTACAACTCATCTGCGCGAGTGATCAGCCTGAGCCTGATAGCATGGACATACAAGTGAACAAACTTGATGGCTTCGTCAAGGCACCTGTTGAAGGTCGCTTTGCTAGCAATGATAAAGATAGTACCCGCTTGCCTGAGAACAGAACGAGCGGCGAGAAACTGTATCTTTCCATTGAACGCTTGGTGTTTCTCATCATGACCAAGCAAATCCTCTTCCAAGGGGTTATCATATACCGCTGAGGGCGCACGGTCAAGACTAGCATTGTCTTCATTGTCAATGATGTCGTCTTCCATGACACCACCTGGTACAACAATTAGCTTTGACATCAAGAACTGGAGTCAAACACGATGGCTCACTTGCAGTCTCTTTTGGCACTTCCTCCTCAATGTTCTGAAGCTCGGGAAGGTGATGTGTTTGACCACCAGTCATGACAGGGTCCATGAACATCCACTCATGGAGTGATCGGACTTTGTCACTTGTGTTTGATTCGAGCATGGAGGAATTGATCTTTTCAAGATTAAAAGTGGTCAGTGTGTCATATTCTATGGCAGATGTAAATTAGTCACTAGTACTGAGAGATATCGGGTACCTCACCAACATCATAATCACCATAAGCTTCCTTTATCAGGGGATCGATGACAATTGGTCCATCAGGTGTTAGGACTTTCTCTAAAACAGACCATCAGCACAGTGAACCCTAGCCTGCGCTCCCTGAGCTCAAGGATTCACCTTCGAAAGAGGCGCTCTTGAGACTGTCTCTCGCTGTCTTGGCCCCGCGCCTGCGCCCACGCCCATGTAAGGGTGATGGTAGGTGGCGTAACCTATGGGCGGTTACATGGTGGATCCAACTATGGGTGTTGGATATCGACCTGGGACAGGCGAGGTAAGGGAGGATGGATAAAGGTGATGAGGAATATACGGAAATACATCTATGAGGAAAAGGATATGAGACGCGGCAGGATGTATGTACGGGGAGCCTCCTCTCGCCTCCGCGCCTAACTCGTCCCTGAGAACATAGCGGCAACCCATAATACCAGACTCTGCGTTCCAACGTACACGTCACTACATCTCCTCCTACTGACCAGTCTGTACCAATCCCTTACACTCCCCCCGGTCTAAACTGAGCGTCCACGCGAAGATGAAAGTCAGATAGGTTGGGTCGCAATCACGAAGGTGGGCGAAAGCGTAGGAGGTGGTCGTCTAACCAAGATCGTAGGTGACCGAACAGAGTGGTGTCATGGTGACGGGGTGGGGAAGAAACACTCTGAACGGCTGCCGGGTTAAGGGCAGATCTTTGGGCGGAAAGAACGAGGTGGATGATAACAGTGACCAGGCCGCGGGGTGTTGTGGAGGGCCCCAGACCGGAACTGGTTTGTATCGTGGGATGGAATGTGGGTGGTAACAGAAAGGCGTTGGAGATTGACAAGCGAGATGGCGAAGGCTGAACAGGTAGGCATGGGAAGCGGCGGGCTCGAGAGAGTGTAGACGGGTCTTGAGAGTTGGTCCTGAAGGTGAAAACGGTATATGTAAGCAAAGGTAACTGTCCGTAGATGGTACTACACCGGGCAGTCCATGAAAAACTCTGAATCTACTCCGTTCTCTTCGACGCACGCAGAGGGCGACCGAACTTGGAAGTCGGACCGTCGTACTGTGCCTGCTCCCTCGACTCCTTCAACTCTTCCTCGGACGCTAACACCCAACCCTTCCAGCCTCGCGGACGCTTCTCCTTCTCAGCTGTTTGTGGTTGGTGGAGGAAGTTGTTGAATTGGTTCTTGAGTCTCGCCCAGGCGGGGTCTGACTGAAGGGCTGACTCGTCCTCCCATGAGTTATCGGACTCAGGTCGGTTAAGCCATTTGATGAGGTATTCGGTGGAGTCTTGGTGGGTGCGGGTTTTGAGAATAGATTCGACTTGGAGTGGGTTGTTGGGGATAGGGATGAATGGTTGGGGGTTCTGTGATGAATGAGCATCGGCGTCGCGCCAAGGCGACAAAAGGGAAATAGGAAAAACATTGTGAATACGAGAAAAGGTAGAAGGAAGCTGAAGACGATACGCGTTACGGTTAATTACCTCGGTGATGACCAAGGGTCCCAGGTAACGGTTGTCGAGCTTCTTCGAAGGACGAAAAGAACGAATGTTTCGGGTGTCAAGCTTCACCTCGTCTCCGACAGAGAACTGGTGATCTCGACGCCGTTGGTTGTGAGAATGAGCTTGGGCGGCCTGCGCCTGCTCGATCTGCTCACGCAGGAAAGCACGTAGCTCGGTAATCTCGCAGACACGATCGATCGCTAGAGGTGCAGTCCCGGGAGGAGGGGGTAAGGGAGGAGTATCATCGACGGGGGCGGTGCGAAGGTCAACGCCGGTGAGGGCGCGGTAGGGAGGGACGCCAGTGGAGCGGTGGTGGGTAGAGTTGTAGCACAGTTCGGCGTGGTAGAGTAGGGTAGCCCAGTCGGACTGGTCGAACGTGCAATATACCCGAAGGTACTGCTCGAGCCACTGGTTGACAATCTCGGTTTGACCGTCTGTTTGTGGATGATAGGAGGTTGAGAGTTTGTGGGTGATACCAAGAAGCCTAGCCATGGTCGACCAGAACTTTGCCGTGAATTGGGTGCCTCTGTCGGTGGTGAGGGTCTCGGGCAGCCCAAACCTGCGGAACACGTTAAGGAGAAAGAGGTGCGCAAACTCTTCCGACGTGACCGAGGTGGTGGTGGGGATGAAAACGGCAGACTTGGTGAGGCGATCAACAAAAACCAGGATGGCGTTGAAGCCTTGGGAGGGTGGTAGTTCGACAATGAAGTCGGCGGTAATGTGTTGCCATGGTCTTTCGGGGACCGGCAGGGACATGAGAAATCCTAAAGGTTTTTGGCGCGAGTGTTTAGTAAGTTGACAGGTGGGGCAACTCGCGACATATTCCTTGACAGACTCTCGGAGCTTAGGCCACCAGTAACGGTCAGCCAAGCGGGAAATGGTTTTGTCGCGGCCAGGGTGGCCCGCAGACAGGGAATCGTGGTTCTCGTACAAGAGACGACCACGGAGTACTCTAGGGATGTAAAG